GAGAGGCTGATCCTCAACATGCCCAAAAAGTAAAGGCGATGGAAGTTCTATGTCGGGACGTCATGAAGCGTCTTCGTGACGATCAGACTAAACGTGATCCAACAAGGAGAAAGAAGTTTGATAGTACTTTCCAACCTGGTCAAAATATGGAACAATTCCACCACAGTCAAGAGGGAGCACCAAATTTCCAACCAGATCCGCAAGAAGCACTTATCCAAACTGCAGCTCATGCTCATGCTCACTCGCAGAACCAAGCTCAGTCTCACATGCAAGCGCAAGAATCTCATATGCAAGCACAAGCTCGTCAGGCTCAAGCCCAGGCTCAAGCCCACGCGCATGCGCAATCCCAAGCTCAAGCTCAAGCACAGGTCCAACCACAACCCCAGGCTCACACGCCCGTTATGGTTAATCACGGTGATATTCAGAATCATGGTGATATGCAGATTGATCCATCCCTACTTCTTGCCGCTGCTAATGATCCTGGTTTGATGAATCGTAGTATGCAAAACCAATTTGCGCATCCCCAATATACGGATCAACAATATGTTGACCAAGCTGCCCAAGCATTTCCATCAGCGGCTCCGTCATCTATGATTGCTTACTTTCGGCTACATCCAGCTTCAGATGTTACTGCCCCGTCTAGGTTATGGATGGATACATTGAATGGAACCTCTCTTGAGGAGCTACGCCGCCTGGCTGCATCCAAATTTCCTGGGGCAATTACTGGTCGTGTTGAGGGCATCATGTTGGGGCCTTCTGACCAAGATTTGACAATACCTATTGACAACGACAGTGAACTGGATGCCTATTTGGGAGCTATTGGTGGTGTCAAGCCATCATTTTCTGTTCAGTTATTTAGTGCATGGAAGAATGCCTAGACATCATGAGGACTATTTTTATTGGTTGAGGTTAATGTGGTGTACGGTAAGGTTGGGATGGATTGATGGAGTTGCTGGTAGTTTGCTCATTATTTTGGGGAAAGGGGATGGGGGCGCTCCGAACTGATGGTAAAAGAATACTGTCTCGCATGGATTAGTTTCATCTTATTGAGTAAAAGGCGGGCTGGTAGGTTGATGACCTAAACACGCACTCTTTACTCCAATCTTAAGACTGTGGTTCCCTTCATATTCGATATATTCTTAATCGAACCTCTTTAATGAAAATACTATTATAAATCCTAATGCATGAACTTTTTCAACATAACCATGAAAACACCCATTGCCAGTCAATTCCACAGGCATTTCAGTATCATGACTGGACTGAGCAAATCGATGCAACGAATTACGTGCTGAAATGTGGGGGAGCGGGAGCCTTTTATGAAGCTTGGATCCTCAAGTAAATTATTCCGAGCCTTGCGAACGAGTTGGGATTTATATTTATACCACCTCGTAAAACTCCACCAAATCCACGAAAACTATTCCTGGTAATCTGCCGATTCGATGCCAGGTTGCTGGACATCAATTGATATTTGATTCATGTCTTTCTCCAGAAGGGCCCCATCGTCGGCCCTGCTGTCAAGTTTGCGCGCATCCTCTTCTCGATCCCCATTTTGTCTTCGATCCCCCGCAACCAGATTAAGATATGCATCCACAGAGCAAAATGCAGGAGAAGGTCGTTCATTTAAAGGGCAGCTCTACGAAAGTACACAGGCTCGATTGATAAAGGAACGCGCAGAGCGGGAGCAATATTCCAAGAGCAGAAATGAAAGTTCTGGAGGAAAGAATTCGGCTTTAACATTCGGTGCGCATACAGATTATCTCCTTGAGACATTGACAGCATGCTGAACACTGCTGATAAAACAATTGTGTAGTTATCATATCAGTGGCTGTAGGGGGTTATTACTTCGGTTCATTTAGAAACCCTGGTGCACCTACGACGTCGACTACCCCTCTTTCGACCACAAAACCTCTTCGACATAATACAGGTCGGTCAAATCTTGAATCTGCATGGGCGGATTTTGTCGAAATAGTGGGCAAAGAAAATGTTTCTACCATTGATGCAGATCTTGAGAGCCATTCAGGTAGCGAATGGTCCTCTCATTTGAGAAAGCCGAATGAGGTACCATTTATGGTCGTCTCCCCCTCATCAACGGAAGAAGTTAGCAAGATCATGAAAATTTGTCACAGGAGGAAGATACCCGTTACTGGATACAGTGGAGGCACAAGTTTGGAAGGACATTACGCTCCTACACGGGGTGGTATTTGCATAGATTTCGGAAGGATGAACAAGATCTTGAAGCTACACAAGGATGATATGGACGTGGTCGTTCAACCAGCTGTAGGATGGGAACTTCTCAATGAAGTGCTGGCGAAGGATAACCTCTTTTTCCCACCAGATCCAGGTCCAGGTGCCATGATTGGCGGAATGGTGGGAACAGGGTGCAGTGGAACAAATGCGTACAGATATGGCACTATGAGAGAATGGGTAATGAATCTGACTGTCGTTTTGGCAGATGGAACTATTATCAAAACGAGACAAAGGCCAAGGAAGAGCAGTGCAGGTTATGATTTGACTAAGATGTTTATCGGAAGTGAGGGGACACTTGGGCTAGTCACCGAGGCTACATTGAAGGTCACTACAAAACCGAATACTACCAGCGTGGCTGTATGCAGTTTTGGAAGCATTAAGCAAGCAGCAGATTGTGTTGGAAAGGTCGTTACTGAGGGTGTTCCCATCGCCGCCATTGAAATCTTGGATGATAATCAAATGCTGAGCATTAACAAGTCAGGTATGACAACCAAAAAATGGCTCGAAGAACCCACGCTTTTCTTCAAATTTGCCGGTACACCCAATGCCGTCAAAGAGCAAATTAGTATTGTTCAAAAGTTGGCTAAGGCGACCGGAAGTAAAACTTTTGAATTCGCAAAAAATGCAGAAGAACAAGTTGAGTTATGGAGTGCAAGAAAAGAGGCTTTATGGTCTGTAATGGCCATGCGGGAAAAAGATGGTGATCATGTGTGGACGTCAGATGTCGCCGTACCAATGAGTAGATTACCGGAAATTATTGAAGAAACCAAGGCGGACTTGGCTAAGAGTGGGATGTTTGCTTCGATCGTGGGACATGTTGGAGATGGCAACTTTCACAGTGAGTATCCTATAATGCCGAATATCCAAAAGCAATACTAAAAAGTACAGCTATTATACTTTACAATGATACCCAAAGACAAACCGCCGAAGAAGTCATCCACCGAATGACCAAGAGAGCGGTCGAAATGGAAGGTACTGTGACTGGTGAGCATGGTGTTGGATTGGTGAAGAGAGACTACTTGAACCATGAATTGGGGGAGAATACGGTTGATGCTATGAGAAGGGTATGTACCAAAATACGTGACATGCAGCCGAATTGTTTTTACTGATGTTCTATTTTACAGCTGAAATTTGCATTTGATCCATTGTGTCTATTGAATCCAGATAAGGTTGTTAGAGTCGAAAAACCTAAGCCGGGAGAAGTTTCAGAATGGTAATTTATCATAGAATCTATTAGATACTAGAAAATGAATACTGAAAAATGCATAAACTTGAGTTCTATATTTATGGTAGGAAGCCACATTGTGAAGATATGTATATAGTTTCAATAATGGAATTTCTTGGATTAATTAACATTATCGTTGAAGTTGCTCCGTGAAAAAAGCTATCGAGTCTTGACTTTGTATTCCAGACCAATTCAATGGGTTGTCGTCTAACTGATCCTTCCAGGAACCGTCCACGTGACATCCTAAGGTTACCTATGTGCTCCTTCAACCTCCACTTTGCTTCTCATGTCGCCACTTTCCGTCACAACAAACTATTTGCAATGGTTGAACCAACTCAAGAACCTCACAAATGGGTTGGCTACCCCTCTCCAAAAGAAGGTCCTAATGTACCTTTTATAAGAACAGATGATAAGAATCCTACATTCCGAGGATTGCTTTTGGTGGTGGTTGGATGGCTGTACGTTATTTAGTCCAGCGAAAGCTCTACCTCACTGACGTTCCTAAAGTGTTTCCAAAATTACGTTCATCCAAGGTCCCCTATGGAACAATGCAAAAATGAATGCGTTGAGGAATATCAAGGGATTAGATGAGTACTATGAGAGATGGGATGTAAGTTTGGGGTTTCATCCGATTCAGTGGATGATAATTGATAAGAGGGCAAATAGCCTACAGTAATCCCTCTTGCAAATGATTCACCATCCACAACAAGTTCGGATGGATTAGACATTAAATCAACGCCTGTCGTTCCAGAGAATTCAGCTGAGCGATATCGTTCGGTGGCTGAATATCATGCACTTTATCGCACCGGAAAATTAACCCCACTAGCTGTCGCGGAATCGCTTCTCCCTCTGATCAGAAGAGATATCAGTCTGAAGGAACCCCATTCCGTCGCTTTTACTGAGAGCAACGTTAAGGAAATTTTAAAAGCTGCCAAAGCATCAACTTTGCGATACCAACAAGGAAATCCTTTGAGCATTCTTGATGGAGTTCCCACCGGTATTAAAGATGACAGTGATGTCGCAGGATATAGAAGTCATCATGGACGAAAAAGGAATGATTCAATGTTCACTGCTGCCGAAAAGTCTACTTGGATTGTTCAACAATGGGAAAACTCTGGTGCTCTTATCATGGGAAAGTTAAATATGCATGAGCTTGGTTCGGATACTACTAATAATAATCCCCATTGGGGAACTCCAAAAAATCCGCATAATGACCATTATTATCCCGGTGGATCTTCCGGAGGTCCTGCCTATGCGGTCTCTTCTGGACTGATTCCATTTGCTCTTGGTTCAGATGGTGGTGGAAGTATCCGCATCCCATCATCTTTCTGTGGTCTCTATGGGTTAAAGCCTTCCCACTCACGAGTTGAGGATACTGGAAGTACTGTCACTGTTAATGGTCCTCTTGCAGCGACTATGGCGGATCTCGAGGTGGCCTATCGAGTTATGGCAAAGCCTAACCCATCTGATCCGGTTGCTGCGCTCTTCAGTCCGCCAGGATCTTTCAAAACTGCACAGCCAAAAGTCATCGGAATTTATAAAGACTGGTTCGACCGAGCTGAACCATCTGTTCATACATTATGTACTAAATTTGTGGATTACTGTGAAAAAACTCTTGGCTATACTATTGTCCCAATCACAATTCCATACTGCCCCGAAGGTCAACTTGCCCATGCCATGACTATTCTAGCAAACATGGCCTCACGGGCAAAGACTCATCCTTTCTCGCCTATGAACTGGTTACAAGATGCCTCTCCCTCAAACAAGATTCTCCTTACAATGGGTGCATATACACCAGCTCGAGACTATCTCCTCGCCCAACAACTCCGCAATCTACTCATGCAGCATCTATCCTTCCTCTTCAAAAAATACCCTGGTCTCATCATTGTCACTCCTACTACCCCAATTCCCGGATGGCAAATAGAACACGAGGGAGACTTACTACACGGTGCTTTTGATCCAAATAAAAGTCTTAGGAATATGGAGTACGTATGGTTGGCCAATTTCACGGGTATTCCTGGAATTAATTGTCCTGTTGGATATGTAGATCCAAAGAAAGGTGAAGGGAAGATTCCGGTGGGTATAATGGGATCTACGGAATGGGGAGGTGAGGAGGTGTTGATTGAATTTGGAAAGGAGGCTGAGGCTTGGTTGGCTGCAGGAAATGAAGGGGGTGGGAGGAAATTACCAAGGAATTGGGTGGATGTTGTGAAGATGGCTAAGGAGAAAGTGGATGGGAAGGCGGCGGAAGAGAGTTGATTTGAGGGATTGAATGGGTGGGGGATTAATGATTTTTTGCTGGCTAGAGAATAGCAGACATTCAAAAACAGATACTTTCTCGCAGTCTTCAAGCCAGCAAAATACACGAATACTTCACAGCACCTGCAAACAGTATGACCGACCTGTTTTTTTGTCGTTGTCCATTCTGGACCATTACTGCTAACGTTGTCGTTTCACTGAAATTCTTATGAAGACTTTTAATTTTATTCCTTTCACTTGCGATTTTGATCTCGCCGATTATAAGATGGATATGGCTTGGTTCGGCTACTATATACTTGCATAGCAAGAAGTTTCGGAATCTTTGGTTGTGAACCTTGAGTTAATTCTCTTGCTTACTAATCTATTAGGTTGGAGTGAAGACTTTTTATTGATTAATAGGATATGGAAAGTGGAGGATGACTAAGCAATGGGATCCCCGAGGAGATTTACGTTCCCGGCAACCTGACACAAGGGTTGATGGCCTGCTGGTATTTTGGCAGAATATCGAGCGTGAAGTTTCCTATTGAGGTTATTAAATCTCCTGGATTTTTATTGGTGGGTTCGTGTCTGAATCAGGAAGTTGCCTTGCACTTCGGGAAGGGGGCAGGCTTGAGCTAATTTCTCCGCTTTGCTTTTAAATCTTTCGAATGTTATTGGTCTTCAATTTCACCTCTTCCTTTTACTTCTTGCTTTTTGTCATATTTTCATATATGTCGAAGCCTTCAAATGCTCTAAGCATTTCAGAAATTATGTGTATAGCCCATGGGTATATCTTACATCAACGTCAATTGAGTATGACCATGAACAGTTCCGACGACAATTCTGTCTACTGTCGGGCTTTCGTGTCCATATGTCAAAACCCGTATGTCGTGGCAAGTGCTCAAGGCATACTCTTGGACTTCACGCTGTGCACTTTATCTTCGCCTTTGTACGAATGCATGCTAAGGCTTGTGTAGCCTTAAGACATCTATAGATCATTTGAGTGGACAAGATGCGTGCACAACGGCATTAGAATCAGGCTTTGAAGCTCACTTATGTTGTGTATATTAGTGTTCAATTATCTTTCAGTGCTGCGGTTTGTGCTCTTTCTCTCGTAGCATTTAGTGATTGCTGCGCCCACGTCGTCTGGGATGATCGTGCAGTTTGAGCTTTACCTTTCATGCCGAACAGAGAATTTCTTTGTACTGTTCTTACTCTTGAACATATAATTCCACAGCTTAATCACTCGTTTGTCGACACATTTGCGTGATCCTCGGAACAAAAGTGAGCATACAAATCTCTTGAGTGTGTTTAATGTCCGGAACCATTTCGATATCTAGCACCGAATGAAATATTCAAAGTCCATATCCGTGCTCTTTTTACAACATGGATCCACTATCAATGAGTGCCAGAATTTCTGGATTAATATCCATTCTCAGTTTTATTGCTGGAAGGAGTTGCAAATATGTAAAATCAGCTAGGAGATCTGTTCAAGAAGTAAAGAAGCTTGTTGACGAAATGACCAATCTATACGGTATTCTTAACCAATTACGCCTGGTAGTTTCACGGTTTGATGACGAATCAATCCCGTCCATAACTCAATCTCAGAATATAGATGCTTGTCGAACACTGCTTAACAAAATAGAGGAAAGACTAGATAAAGCTGACCCAAGCCATCTTAAAAGTCAAAACCGAGTACTCACCGGAAAAATTTCCACCTTAGGGCGAGCTCTCTACTGGCCTTTCAATGTCAGTGAGACTAAGGCATTAATCGACGACATTAGGACACAGAAGCCTACCTTTATGCTTGGTCTACAAGTGGATGAAATGAACATGTTATTAGATGCTCTAGGTGATCGGAAGTCACAAGGACTAGAGATAGAAGCAATACGTGCGAATGTTCTTGCCCTTAGAAATGATAGATCGATGACAATGTTAAGTATGTGCTTCAAAATGGCACTCTGTATCAATATCTAACCAACATGTTCAAATATCAGACAAAAAGCAGAAGGAAATTATCAAATGGATAGCGCCATATGACCCCAGTCAGAGACATCAAGAAGTTGCAACGAAACTTCGGCAGCCAGGCACCGGTCAGGTAAGAAGCCATCAGTTCTGCGAACGTTTTCATATCTCTAGCTAAACGTCCCAGTGGTTCTTCAAAGGAGACCAATTCAGTTACTGGTGGAGTTCGAAAGCATCAAGATTGTGGCTGTATGGTATTCGTAAGCATCTCCTCTGTTTCTCGACAGCTTACAGCATTCACCGAAACCTGTTCTGATCTCAATCTTAGCGGGGGCCGGCAAGACTATATTGACGCAAGCTCTCATTCCCTGCATCTTTGGTTACTCTACTAACTCAAAATAGCAGTTCTACCGTTAGCTGTATATTTGAACAGCTCGGAGATGGTAATTGTATTAACCTCCCAGCTCTATTTGAATCCATAACCTTCAACTAATGAAACTTTGCCTTTTCTAGGTTTGGCATTCTTTTATTGCGACTACAAAGATCCACGGACACATGATCCTTTGAATATTCTGGGATCTCTAGTTAAACAGCTTGCATTGGCAGACCGCCGTGGATTTGCGGAGCTGGAGAATTATTGGGTTGATCATTGTCCAAATAAAGACATTGGCCCCTCGAGTCGAATATCTGCAGAGCAGCTTTGTCATTTGCTTCAAGATATTTCACGATACTTTGACAATGTTCATCTGGTTATTGATGCTCTAGACGAGTGTGGAGACAGCCGATCAAATACTGCACGAATTCTGGCTAAGCTCAACGCTAGCAAGGATAGCAATGTCAAAATAATATTAACCTCACGCCCTGAGCCAGATATTGAACAGTACCTGGCAGGTTTTGCAAGAGTCCCCATTTCAGCACACAGAAATGACTTGGAACTTTACGTCCATTCGGAAATGCAGCGTCGGGAAGATAATGATCTACTATTTATCGAGGATCAAAAGCTCAAAGAAGAGCTTGCACAACGCCTGGTGAACGAAGCACAAGGAATGTGTAAGTTACGTCAATATTTTTCAATGCACCGTGTGTTCTAGGAAGATTGCTGGCTTTTAGTCCGTTGGGTAACATGCCAATTCGATCATCTATGCGACCTCAATAGCGCCAGAGAAATCAGGCAAGCCCTGATTCTCTTCCCTCAACATTAAACGAAACCTACGAAAGTATTCTAGACCGTATCAATCTCAGCAGTGATGACACCAAAGAACTTGCTCATCGAGTCTTGTTGTGAACTGTCTGTTCAGTTGTCCCGCTCTCGCTGGCTGAATTGCCTGAAGCAGTGTCTGTAAATCCATCCGATAAGAAGATGGATCGAGATGTTATTCCGGCTAAAAAGAATATTCTGAAGAGATGCAGTAGTCTTGTGAGAAAGACTAGTGAGGGTGGGCCATTTGACACCCGAATCGAACTGGCGCATTTCACCGTTAGGGAATTTTTATTACTTAAAGTTCTGGATGATCCCTACGCTAGCTACCGCATGTCACAGGATTATCACAACGCTTAAATGGCTAGGTTCTGCTTGACCTATCTACTGTTTGAAGATTTCCGAGACATTATTCCCTACACCATAGAGAAAGGAGGAGGGCACGCGAAAGAAAATTATGCCTTCTATACATATGCCACGCGATATTTCGTTCTTCATGCATACTGTTAATAGCAATGATGAAAATATTTTGAATCTACTTAAACTACTATTTAATCCGATAAAAACAAACAATTTCGTTTCTTGGGCCCAGGAGCTCTTATTCCCCCTTTACCAAACCACTAACCACCAACCACCAGAAGATTATTGCCAGTGCTAGCACACTGCACTTTGGGATATTATTCTCGCTACCTCATATAGTTGAATGGTCAATTCCCGACACCAGCACCCCCTCGCATTTAAACAAAGATAGTGATATTAGTACTTTGCTGGCCTGCGCAGTGGCACACGAAAGAGTCCTAGGCACTGTTTTAAAACGTATTAAATGCATGCAGCATCCTCATCTCATCGATAGAGAGAAGCTATTGAAGTGTATTTTGGAGCCTGGCACAAGACTGGACCGGTTTCCCTTAGCCACGGACGAATGGGGAGAGTTTCCCCGTACAAATTCGTTAGAGCTCGCCATCAAAGTTCATTTTGGATGGGAATTACTAATTCAACATAGAGCTCTGTTAACTGATTCATGTATGAAAGCTCTTGAAGAGGATCTAGATCCTAACTTTGTATTAAATTTCGTACAAACGACACAATCAAAGAATGTCCCGGACTATCTCAATCCAAGGTCAGTCTCGTCAAGGCCACGTTTCAAACTTAGCGATTGCTCGAACTTAGAAATTACTGTCATGCTAACACTATCTATTTATTTTCTGTTTTAGATTCATGGAACTTGTACAAAGAATGCAATGCGTGGGTAGACCTCTTCTGGATCCATTCTTCAACTCTATCAACGACATTGACTCTATTGACGACATGACTGTATTACAAACAGCGATTACTCTTGGTCAGACGTACATGGTGCTACAAATATTGGAAAAAGGTCGTCTGAATATTGATTCTTCTTCCAAAATAAACGGACTGAACGCCTTACACTGTGCTTCAAAAGACGGCCAGTTACAAATTGTCAAGGTCCTTCTTAATCATGGCGCCTCAATCAATCTACCTACTTCTAATGATGGAACAGATGAAAGATACTTCCCACTCTATCGAGATTGTGCGACACCCTTTCACCTAGCTATTGCGCATGGACATCTAAATGTTGCCACATTTCTAGAAGAGAATGGAGCAGATGTCAACAAACCATGTAAATCGGGGCTCACACCACTGCATTCCGCTATTGAACATAGCATCAACATGATCAAATATTTGCTTCAATCCTCCAGGTATCATCATTCATTTTCCACTGCGACGCTTTCAGGGTGGACCGTGTTAATGGACGCAGCAGCAACCAGCACATCCGAAGTATTTAGGTTTATCCTGCAAGGTTCAAATTCGTCGATTGCATTGCTACAGTCCAAAGATGGGTTCAATTGCCTTCACGCGGCCACAAAATCCCCGATTAACCCGTGTCAAAAAGTTGCGATGCTCAAAGAGTCATGCATAGATCCATGCATACCAACAGCCGAAGGATTTCTACCTTTGCATTTTGCAGCTGAAAGTGATTTTCACACATTCCGCGAAACTCTCAACTTTCTTTGAAGCAACACTCTCTGAAATATCGAGATACTTCGACATTCGGTGACTTTACCAACCATGCACTCCTGCAGAGCTCCGATGTTTGGTGGTCCATTCTTGATAGTGCACGACACGTGCATGATGAACACATGTTGAATTGTCTCACCGGCTCCGGGCACTCGATTTTACATCTAGTAGTAAAAAATCGCAATGACCGTCCGTCTAATGTCATAAGGATACTAAGACTACTTCTAGCATCCAAGCAAAATTTGGAGCTGGAAGTTCAAGACGAAAATGATAATTCAGCATTGCTAGTGCTTTGCAAGATGTTACTCCAGAAAGGAACAATAAATTTGGACCCTTCTTGGGGAAGCTTCTTTGCTAGGGCGATAAGGCTATTACTGCGCCATGGAGCCATAGCCACTCAACAAGACGAACAAGGGAATACGGCACTGCACTACCTTTGCAAAATTGAACCTTTTACAAAACTTGAGTATCGATGTATATCATGTTTGTTGGCAGTCAAGAATTCGAAAGCAACCAATAACACCGAGCTGGACATACCAGAAAGTTCCAAATATCGGAGTAAATACGATAGCTATGATCACCAATATGGTAAAAACGAATATGAATATGGCGATGAAGACGACAGCGACTGCGATGAAAATTTCATGACAACATTGGATTTCCCAAACCAAAAGGTTCATGCAGAAAATGACACCAGTAATTCTCTGATATTAGCCAACAACAACAATATGACTGCATTACACATAATGTTTAACAGACTGGAAATTCTTGATGATCCGGAGCTCCAACCATTCGGCACCAAAACTGTGCTTCTTTTAATATCCACAGCTTCCATAGATCAGCTCAACAACATCCTAATTGATGGCCAGCGTCTGCTTAATGTTACTCTTCGTCTCAAGCAAGACCAACTCAGCCAAGCACTTCTTGATCGAGGCATTGATACCATCTCTCTTGACGAGGGGATCCCCCCGCGAACAGCCCTTGAAATGCTTTGTATTTATGGATCACACGATAAAAAACTCATCGCCAAAATTCTTTCGAATCATGCAGATAAAACCGCACTCAGTGCTCGTGGCTATACCTTGCTTCGTTTAGCATGTTTCAACAACCAGATCAACGTTCTCGAAGAATTGCTTCTTGCAGGATGGAAGACGGATATCTTAAGCCGAGATGAGCAGCCGCTGATTTTAGAGGGCATCCAGTCCGGAGTTACAAGAATCGTCAGTTTGCTGCTGAAGTATGTCTGTGTTTTGCTTGACAAATATGAATTCTCTTCCAACTTTTTGTTCTCGCTCGTTGCAGCGCCAAATTCACAAATGTGTAGATTTCTTCGCGAGAATGGCATCAATTATTGGCATCAGAAAGCTAATTTGGAATTCTGGGTTCAGTTCATACCCGGGATCAGCATGATGGGAATAGACAATTATCCTGCACTTCCATCAGGGGCTAAGCAAAAATTTCTTGCCGAGATAGACGATGTAACGCCTCTGCATATTGCTTCCTTTGACGGCACCAAAGAAACTGTACAGTATGCTCTAGATAATGATAATAATACAGATATCAATCTTACTGCTAGCTTCGGCACAACTCCGCTGTTTTTCGCGATTTATGGCATACAGCATGATACTATAGAGTTGCTTCTATCATATGGTGCCACCACTAGCGAGCTCTACGGCCCTCATAAATTGACACCGCTGCATCTTGGTGTTGTAGTTGGCAACGAACTAGTTGTTAATTCTCTCCTTCAACATGGGGCCGACCCCCAAGCTCGTGATGGCGCAGGGTTTACACCAGCTATGCTTGCTTTGGATCTTGAGTATGAGAATATAGCAAAGATTTTGGCTGTCACTCTAGCAAAACTTCGTGAGTCTCCGCTGTACTTGTCCTTTATCGTCTTAGTCGGCTAGTTCTCTATGTAGATAATAGCTACCACTTAGAGATCATGCTAATCACTGATATTCCACCCATCTAGCACCATCTGCGCCTGTCTGTTCAGATAGCAATACATTGACTGTGGCGACTGAACCAGTGGGTGATGATAAGTATGTATCGGGCGCTATTGAAGATGCCATCATTCGCCAGGACTTTTCGACTCTTAAATTTTTACTTCAAAGTAGATACGAGCTTAAAGGGTCTTGTTGCTGTGGATTTAGTCCATTACTTAAGGCATTTATAACAAACTCGCCCGAAGAAATCATTCATTATCTACTGGATAATGGAGCATCACTAGATGGCGTAGTGACATGCACTAAACCCATCGTCACGGCTGGGTTTACACCTCTCCACCACGCTGCAATGTTGGGAGACGAACAAATTATGGAAAAGATTCTCAAATTGGGGAAACCGAATACTCATCAGAAAGTATATCCATTGCATAACGCAGCTTATAATGGTCATTTTGCTTGTGTCAGGTTACTTTTAAATCATGATCTTGAAGGAAAATGTGGTGTTGACGTGAAGACCAGTCTTGCTCAAACTCGATGCCTCGCAGAGGACCAAATGGTGAGCAAGCATATAGGGGTCGCAAAGGACATCTGCGGGACAGCTTTGCATTATTCTTTATGGGAAAATCATATGAATACTATGGAGGAACTCCTAAGAGCTGGGGCAGATCTAAATTCACATGACATGAAGGGGAAAACGCCACTTCATATCGCTGCGGAGAACGATCAAGATCAAGCATGTCAGGTACTGATATCTACCGGGCCAATATGATGTCTCGCAACTCAGAAAATCTCTGCCCAATTCATCTAGCAATATGGGGAAAACACCGGCAGATCGTAGAGGATATGATAAACCAAGACGCCTAGTATTGATACTCTCTTAGCAGATGGAACTGACTTACTTGATTATGCTTGCCGCTTCGGGAATACAGAGATGGTAGAAATCCTGATTGCCGCGGGAATGGACATCAATTCGATGGATTATTTTGATCAACCAACATTATTTTCAGCAATTTCTAGCAAATCACTGACCGATGAGCTTCGAATAAAATTGCTCCCAGATGGGAATAATTTAAATCAATGTCCTAGGGAAGGAAACTTACTTATCGAGCTTTCCTTGGGATTCTTATCGGCAGCCAGAGAGTGAGTTCATCTACTTACTGTTTTTGCGGCGATGATATGTCACCCAAATATTTTATATTTTACCGATAGCTGTAAATATATCACTAAAACTAGCACAAAGCTAACTCGATACAGATAACAGGCAGGAGTCCCTGCAGAAAGAATGCACCAGTATGTCAATTATGTCAGTCTCCGGGGTACAGCTCTCTATTGTGCAGTAACAAGCTCTGCAGAACAGAGCCCGGAAATGGTGAAGCTGCTCATAGAACATGGAGCTGGGCTTAAAATCGCCAAACCCTCACATGGTACACCTCTTATGGGTGCTTGCTACTTTGGTCGTTATGAAATGGTGGCACTACTTCTCAAAACAGGGGCAAGAACTACGTGCAAGAAAGCTGATGGCACAGAAGTGACTGCAGTCATTGAAGCTAGGCTCCACCCCGAGATAGTATCCTTACTAAAGAGTTTTGAGGAAAGGGGCTTTGAGGCTTTGGATGAACCCAAGCCAGCTCGGATTGCTAATATGTCGAGGGTTGAGGAGTGTGTGAAGAGAATTGCTGAGGAGAAAGAAATGAAAAGAAAAAATCGGAATGAGGAAGAAAAGGGCAACGATAAGAAAGAGAAAAAGGAGATAGAGGGAGAAAGGGGCATTTAGGGGTGAGGCAAAAAATATGGCGGGGATGAGGCACGAAAACTACTGACCATGAGAAGATGGGGAGCATAAGGAAATTCAGTTTGACAGGAACATAACGGCTTCCTTTCAAACATTACATTCTTGTCAAATTCATTATTTCTTTACCAATGACTATCAAGACCTGTCTTTTATTTAGCCGTTATCCTCCTAATACGTTCTTGATTATCCGCCCCAAATGTTGAATATTCTTTAACAACCAACGCATTTTGAATGCTCTTGCCTGATTAATCGACTTTCAAAAATGTAGTTCATTCATTGATCGTGGTTATTGCATTTTCTTCAACTCACTTCTATCTGCCGGTACTAGTATTAAACTACCAGTCTACCATTGGTTGAGTCCAACTTTGTTGAGTAAATCGGATGATTCGCGACGTATGCATTATTTATCTGATGATAATCATGATCAAATGCAGCGGCACAATCCCTAGCAAAGATTTGAGACTTAAGGGTTTCCTATTTGACATCGCTAGGCCAACAGGTAGTCACATAAACTTCTTGGAACAAAATCTATGCATAAGTACCTTAATTCCCCCGCTCACAATCACATCCAATCAGTATGATACCTGCCATTTTGGCTGAACACATGTCTCATACCGAGCGATATATTGATGATTACACTGCCTTCATTGAGTGGTTTTCATTTTACAAGCATGCAATAACTCCCCTTTCTTGAGTTGGTCGGGTCTTGATTCTTTTCCCATGATTCTAGTATGCCGTGAATTTTATAAATTTCAAGTTGAAAATTTTTAATACGGTAGTGAATAACTAACTGACATGGCATGATTAATTGTTCCTAGGGCTCGCCACTCTTCAACTGCTCAGCTCTACAATTAATACAACCAGGCCTGCACCATATGAGTCTTTCGCATTATTGATCTATCACTTCGAAATCATGTTTGGGTTTATCATCTAGATTTTCGTTTTAATTCTCGTATTGTGGATCTCTAAAGCATATCTTTCGCTGAATCGTCATATTGCGATTGCAAAGACCTCTGGACTTACTTATATCGTATCTCGTGAGTTGTTGGTAGAATATCTTAATGGAAGTGGATGTCTTGCTCAATACTCACATAGTAATCAATGGTATCGCGGAATACTTCTGGACCGGTATCCACGATGTTGTTTTCAATATTTAAAATTTCTACCATATTGTCAAGATTGGCTATATCCGATGATTATGTATGTCCTCATCTGTATTACAATAACCATTTCCTTACCAAAAGTAGGCATCTTGAACGCCGTCGCGGATGGCACTATGCGCAAAAACTGCGCGAACTTCATGGTGAAGCCTATTTCATCATTAGTCCCGGACAAATATACCTACAAATTTGTCATGCAGACGCTATAAATCAAATCTCTGCTCGACGCAATCATTTATTGAAACTGGTAGAAATATATGGAATCCTCGATGTCTTTGGAAAAAATATCCTCACTACAGAGAAAGAGAAATGGAAACGTCATAAGAAAGTCATTGCGCCTGCGTTTTCGGAAAAGAATAATGTGTTAGTCTGGAAAGAAACTATTAAAAAGATAAATGGAATGTTAAGATTTTGGTCCAGAGCGAAAGATTCTAGTGATAAGAATTTGAATGTTGAGAATACGGCGCCTGATACTGCGGTTTTGATTCTATATGTTATTATTGGAGCGGCGTATGGTATCAGTCAGATTTGGGAGGGGGAAGATGAGCATCAGTTGGGTGGTAATGTGGTTCATGGGTTTAATACTGCGAAGTTGGGGGGAAATCATCGGTTGATGTTTAAGGATGCGCTTGCTAATTTCGTGAATGGAATTATTTGGGCTGCTCTCGGTCCGATGTGGGTGTACAGTCAGTCGAATTTCGTTTTCGATGAACTAAACTAGAGATCAAAGCTAAGGAGAGTTTAGGAATTTCACCCTTGAATGTCCACAAGAAATGGTATCAATCATTCGTGGAATGTGGTAATTATTTTAATGGGCTATTTGATCATAATATGCGAAGTATTGAGCAGAGAGAGACTAAGGAAGATGGAACCATGGCCATCATAGGTACTTATTCCGGTCCTCATCATCTTATGAACAAATCGCTAATCAAAAACTACCTAGGCTCACTAGTAAAAGCAACACAAGTTGACCGTTCACATCCCTCAAAAATGATACTCACAAAAAAAGAAGTGATAGCCGATTAAGGAGCTTTTCTACAATTTTCCGAAGGCGCAAGAATATGTCCTGGAAAAAGGTTTCCGCAGGTGGAGATGATGGCGGTTAACGTTTTGGCGGGGATATTTAGAGGGTGGAGTGTGGAGTTGGATGTTAGGGGGTGGGTGAGTGATGGGGAGATTGAGGAGGGGGGGGGGGGGGGGGGGGGGGGGAGCAGAGAGGAAGATAGTTTGTTGGAAGGCGGTTGAGAGGGTGCGGAGGTTGATTGCGGAGAGTGAGTCGGTCAATTCGTTGCGGATGTTGGGGGAGCTTGTTTCTTTGAGGTTTGTTGGGAGGGGGCGAGAGAGGTTTAGGGGGTGTGTTGGTTTGGGTTATTTGGGTGCTGTAATGAAAGTACTGGAGTATAGAGTATAGGGTTGGATATGAGAGATAAGGAAATGAACTTTGTGTTTTCTAGTACTGGGGTTTAACAAACACTTTTATCATAACGAAAGATAAATAAAAAGTTCTACAAATTAATCTTATTTATTTAAAGAAATTATAGTTTCAATATTGTTCTCTTCTATAATCTATTATATAAAAAGATACATCTTAGATATTGATTATATATTATATAGTCTAGTATACTATAGATTACAAGAATATTTAATCTTATAAAGAATAATTACTTTCTAAAGTTAAAAATACCAAGGTTAATTGTAATATTATTTACTATTCACAATCACCCAGAACCAAATACCTCTTGCAATCCAATCAAGTACCAAATAATAATTCAACAAGTAATAAATACATCTATATATACACAGAAAGACTAAATCCCCCAACAATCTCATTACAGGATTATCTAAGTCGATCCGCCTTTTTCCCAATCTCACTTCTCCATCCCTTAGCCCTTTCAAAACCATTGGTGTAAGTTTCGAAATCTATCATCGTTTGGTAGACTTCTTCTTCTGAATTGAGAACAAAGGGACCATATTGAACTATCCTTTGATCGAGAGGCTGACCTGCTACTAAGACTGTTTAATTTGTTAGTGTATATATATTCTATGTTGTGAGAGGGGAGAATAAAACATTAGATGAGTAGATAGAATTAAGAAAAGTGGGCTTGAATATGGGATGTAGTTGTGTCGGAGACACCCAGTTGATGATACTAACTCGTTCGCATCGAACGACCAGATTACAGGGTAGTCTTGGATAGTCGTGATGTATCAGAGATATATGTCCTCAAACATTGAAGCACTTGCTTTGAAATTTACCCCACTGAACATACACCCCTGTCTCGCTTGGCTATAGTGCTACTGTACCGCGTCAGGGGGACATTCGGCTCTCCCCGCAGATCTTGCCACGTGAGCTTCGAAAGAGTTCGCTTCCCGCGAGCTTTGCTTCTCGTTTATCCTGTCAAAATTTGGCCGTGGGATTTCTTGCTAGAAACTCAAAAAAATGAGGGAATAAACCAGATAAACAAGCTAACTTACTGAAATGTCCATTTTCCTTAGCAGACTCTTCTACTTCTGCGTTCACAAAATCTCCTTCTTGACGGAATACCACATTGTGGAACTTTGCAATCTTGGTCTTCTCATTTCCACTTCCAAAGACAGCCTCCCCACTCAAAATATAAGCAAAAGCATTCCAGCCGGCTGGTAAAGGTTGCTCAATCTTTCCACCAGGTTTGATTTCTACATCGAAAATCCAAACAGGTGTATAAGCGAGCTCTTTTACACTATCGACACCATGACTTTGTCCCGAAATAATCTTCACATGGACTCTTCCATCATCGATATCAATTTTTGGAATTTCCTTGGCTCGTAGATCACGGTATCGTGGTTCGCATTTCTTGAGCTTTTCGGGTAAGTCTACCCAAAGTTGTAATCCAATATTTGGGCTGCCATCTGCACTTTCTCGTGGCATTTCTGAGTGCATTATTCCTCTTCCTGCAGTCATAAATTGAAGATCTCCCGCTTCGATCGTGCCTTTGTTTCCTGCGAAATCTTCATGATCGACGGCGCCTTGAAGAATGTAACTTATACTGATGAAGAGAAGAGTATTTTAGCAAAGTTCATTTTGAGAAGCAAATAATTATCTTACGTTTCCTGTCCTCTATGTGGATGATCTGGAAATCCAGCTGAGGAACTGCTGGAAAAATGATCAAGCATGAGAAATGGTGAGAGGTTCTTTAGCTGAGGTGAACCGATTGAACGACGAACTCTTGCGCCTGCACCTTCGGCCTGCTCGCGCGCCAAGAAAGACTTTTGGATTCCTCTTGGTGTTGTCATATTTATTACTTTGGAGGAAGTAGAATATGAAGGAAAAGGAAATTTAGGAAGTTGTTTTAGTGAAGGAATTGTGGTTGGATTGTTGGTAAATAAGTTAGTTATGATCTCGATGTGTTCGATAATTGGATCTCGGAATATAACTGAGGATACTGCAATGATGATTGAGAAAATGAGGAGAAGCAATTTCATCTGGAATTCATGAGAGTTTAATAGGATATGGGAAAAAGGAATGAGAAACAAAAAGAAGTTTCTTTGAATGAATATTTAAGGGATTTGTAGGTGATTAGTTTCTATGGACTATTAACTTTAGATGTTATGTCAGGATAGAGTATTGATGATTTGATGATGAAATGCTTATCCCATTGCTTATGAGTTGCTGATTAAGAGTCTCGCACATTGCTGAGGGCGCTGCGGCAAAGGTGACCAATGAAGAGAGGGGAATTATCGGGAAAAGAGCTATGGATTGATAAAGTATGAATCTGATTGGCTGACTAAGATCTCACTACTCGCTAAATCGCTTGTTCGGCATTTCAAACCTTCCGAGCTTTACAATCATTAATAAGGTTACCCCACTTTGCGGACATTCTCCGCATCCTCAACTGTGCACTGCATATACACGACGTCCCCGTGTATCTAGATCTTTCAATTATATTATACTAAACCTTGGAAGTTAACATGTCTTAATCTAAAACCTATACGGCCAGCTTTCTGTATCATGTTCTGTATCTATTGTTGAGGTCTACCTTTCACCTAAATCGAGATGTCCTCGCAAAATTCTGTCAACCTTAGCGATGAGAAAACTAGTTCTGTCACCCTGCTGCTCTTGCATTGATGATGTGTAATCCTCTCAGAATTTGGCAATTACTCGACGCCGGATGCATCTCCAGCGGTTTTGACAGATTCTCATGGTGAATAACCGCACCTACACCTTCGGGCAGGTTACCGTCAAAGCCCTTGCTGCTTCTTTTGTGTCGATTTCTCTTCACCAGCAAAAGATGGCACTTAATTATCACAATATTGGTTTGGCTTAATCAATGCGATAGGATTTAAGGATATCGATACAGGAACCCATTGTGATCGTGTTTCGATCCCCTCCGGAAGACATTCCCCTTTTATATATGATGGTAGTCACTCAACTAACCTCTGATTCAGGCCGTTGTGGCGCGAGGGATCTTTAGAATATCGATCGGAAGCACTACAGGCATCTGGCACCAAGCGGGACCCTGCTTCTCACGATCGATTACTGATAAGATTTTTCGCTGGATAAAAAAAAAAAAGATATCAAACCAGTTGAGCCCCAAATGCATATGTTCTGATTGGATGCCTGGGTGGTCATGGGAGAAGTTTATGTCGATCAATGATGCAATGTGATGCAAGCAACTTCATTTTTATGGCGCCCAGCGATCTGGTACCGGTGAGCAAGCTGCTAGAAATTTGGTCAATGATCTCGGCACCTGGTACCAACGTCGTCATCAATCGAGGCAGTGTTGCAGATTATGACACTGTCAAACAGGGGATTTCGGTTACTAGTCTTCCGAACCTGATTAGAGGTAATATGCAATCTTCCATGAGTATTCGCGCAATCCGAAGTTGCTTATCTCCGAAAGGGACCTGAAGTTGGAGTTGTAGTTTTCTGGAGAGGATTGCGTCCTTTGACGGAAAGGAACTTTCTTCTCATCTTGGATTTATCTTTGAATCCCCATCCGCAGACAAATAGCGTCTCAATTGTGGTTGTAGGGCTCGGGAGATAATATTACACTGAGTAACATTATGACCGAACTGAAAATCTGGCTGTTTCAGAAAATTCTCGAGGCTAGTTTTATGCGTGGAATTAAGGCACTTGAAGACCCTCGTCATATTTACATAGCTGACGCGCTTGCTGAAGCTACAGGAACCGGTGCGAAGGGAGCCAATTCTGCGAATAACGTTAAATACACACGGATTATAGCTACAGCACTTGCTGAGAACATGAATAAAGCTGCTTGCGACAATCCTCTAGTAGAGGCTGTGGAGCGGTTGTAGCAGAGCCGCCGGCAGGTCTTCCGCTGATGACCTCCACTGAGCTCCAAATCACCACATTGCTGGCTGATTTAGGAGTCGAGTAGATGCTTGCAATCGAGTTTCAAGACGAAATTTATTGGCATTTAAAACTGACATTCCATTCATTGTACTTATGGATGAAAATTCGCGGGCTGAGACTGTGCAGAACACATTTTCAGAGGCTATTTGAGACAAAGTAGGCATTATACAGCCGGTAGACAGTAGGGCAGCATGAATGTGAGCTCTTGTTCTCTCATATCTGGTTTCTTAGTAGCCAAGACCATGGGTCTACTTTTTGTCAAACGCAAATCAACGCCCCTGACTATATAGTACCGTCCATGTGATTTTCTCGTACGTCAAAAGACATATTTGGGGACTTTCTAGGAATACCTCCCCTCAATATTTCCCTTTTGTAAATGTTAGCAAAGGATTTTGACTGATTATTAATCCAACAAATGATCAATGAAGAATTAGCGATGGGGCCGAGCTTATATGGACTCTCATGTATATCCCAAGAGCTCTCAATGCTGCTATAGATTTTGGCTGTCGAGGAGTGTTAAGAAAACACGGCTGGAGTAGCTAAAACAACATTAGATTTTTGAAATACCTCAGCAATATGTATGTAGCATTACAGTAATGAGTTGCACATTTGCCACGTCATATTTTAATTTGAGGGTTAGACTTACTTCGACCCGAAACTTTAGATGCTATTCTCGGATTCCGAGAAATACCCACATCCGTGCATTAATATGGTTATATAAATGAAAAATATGTGTCTAGTTCGTGTGTAGTCTTGTTATCAATTTATCAATTTCTCCAGATTTACATTTTCTTCACGATTTCCCCAGAACTTTCTAGCACTAATTAGTAGTATTCTATTCCACAAAAACAATCATGGTCAAAGTTGCAGTTGCAGGCGGAACTGGCGGGGTTGGATATGCCATCGTCGACGCACTCAGGGAACAAAGTCAGCATGAATTTATTTTGCTAAGTAGAAATGTGCTCAATTCCTGAATCACCATTTCAACAACCTCTAATATGAAAAGTAGGATAATTCGGAATTTGCTGCGAAGAACAATGTGGAAGTCATTAAAATCGACTATTCTGATGTCTCATCTATATCAAAAGTTCTTGATGAGCACAAAATCCACACTGTGATCTCCGCACTCTGTATTGTTTCTCAGGAACATAGCGATGCTCAAGTAAACCTGGTTCATGCCGCTGCCGCCTCTAGTTCCGTCAAGAGGTTTGTACCTAGTGAATATGGAAGTAATTACGAGGAGAAGTAAGCATATTCTTGATCCCCCAATACCTCCTCTCTCCATACTTCGGTATGAAGTAGCTTGGACATGACATTTAACAAACTCCCAGGCACGCCTTAACACGTCCAACTACCGCTCTCAAAGCAATTGCCATTACAGAACTTGCCAAGACACATCTCGAATACACTTCATTTGTCAATGGCTTGTTTTTGGATTACTTAAGCATGCCGGCAATACCTTCTCACCTCGCTGCTGGTATCAGCTTCTTTGATATCCCTAATAAAGTGGCGGTACCACTAGGTACTGGTAAAGTACCCCTCGTTATGACACATACTAGAGACGTAGCTCGCTTCGTAGTCGCCAGTCTTTCGTTAGAAAAGTGGGAAAAGAGGAGTTATATGGTTGGAGATCGTAAATCCTGGCATGAATTGGTGGAAATACTGGGAAAAGTTGCTGGTAAGTGTTTAAGCATATTTCCCTATACCCCTTTTTGCAGTGAGAGCAGGAAGGATGGATAACAATCTCCTATATGGAATTCTTCCTGGTCCAAGAAAGAAAGCTATACCTAACGTTACATAGGTGAGAAATTTACAATCGTAGATGATCCATCCTCCATTATTGCTGGACAGGTCATCGAGGCGCCAGCCCACCGGGCGGCATACTCTGCCTCGTTGAAAGAGCATGGAGATTGGTTCGAAGCGGGCGCATTCAGCTTCGATGTCAAGGTTCCTAACTCTATTTATCTTAACGAGCTGTTTCCAGAAATAGTGCCTCTATCAATAGAGGATGCTATGCGGGCTCAAGTACAGTTTACCAGGGAAAAAACATCATCGTGAGGACAATGAAAGACATGAAGTTCAGCGTTCGTATGTAAGCAGTAGGCTGAAGCCACAAAGGGATCAGATGCTGGGACTGGTATGATCTGCATGGCTAGACCCTGAATTAGCGGCTTGATAGTAAAGAACTATAATATAAAGACACTTTGGCCAACTCCTCCATCTTAACAGCGGATACTGAAACAAACTTAGAGTTCGAGAAAAACTTCGGGGTCCGCACTACGTCTAAAAGCTCGGGCCCTATGGGTTTTGGGACAGCCAGAAATCGATATTCCATCGTCGATTCTGTTGGTATACATGGTTTTTTTCAGTAGTTAAATTGGCTTACATTTTATAACAATCCTGACTCGGCAAGATTTATTACTAATAGGGGAGTCATCTCACGTGCGTAATGATGACCTGTCAACCCCTCTTGTTGAGCACTCTCGCAACAACTAAGCAAACTTTTCCAAACAGCCCAGAAAATATTATCTAACTAATTATAAGCAATTAGCTAAGGTATGTCAAAACTAATCCTGTTCACTACAAAGCACTGGCTGTCGTGCCTGTATTATCATCATATCGGCTACCGACCGGCTCGGTAACCGAATTGATGGAGCCCCACTCATACATTGCCAAGACTCCGAACATCAGTATCATAGTTCCTGAATGCTATAAAGATCCTCAATTGTTGTTTACTAATAACTGTAAAATGACCTTATCCGTGCTTGCAGGAAGTATAATACACTATAGTCCTAAATCTAGGCCGATATTCTCCCTGTAATTTACCATCTGGCGGTATATGCTTAACAGCGGAATGCATATACTTTCCATCTGCAGGAGTACCTGTCCTGCGTACGAGAATGCAAGATCTTGTCATTCCCACTTTTCTAGCGATATTATGTCAAAGCTCTAGATATGTAAGTAAAGAAAAGGTAACACAGATTAATTTCTCCTTATAACTTGCTTTTCTTTTGATTTGAATTTTTCAAATACTCGCTTAGTAACTTCACATTCGTTGTCCATGGATATGGAGAAAAAGCCACCAGTGAGCGCTTTACAAGCAGATGAGCATCGTTTTGCTATTATCCTTGGAGCCGGCGCTGCAGGTATTATTCAAGGATGCTCGTTCATTCGTGAAAAAGTTCTTCCTTTGGAGGAATTTCATATATTGGATCGGAATGGTGCATATGGTGGTGTGTGGTGGAGGAATACGTATCCGGGAGCTGCATGTGATATCCCTAGTCACGAGTATCAGATTAGTTGGGCTTTGAATCCTTGTGAGTTTTTTGTGCTTTGGATTCTAGCTATAATAGTATTCTATCTTTGCTAGGGCTGCCTTATTGGAGAGTTTTCTCATTAACGTAGCGAGTACTTGCTAATCACTGATACTTTTGGAAAGACTGGAGTAGGACTTTTGCTCCACAACCAGAGATTCGGGAGTACTTCGAGAGTGTAGCCTTGCGATACCATCTGGACAAATCTACAACTTTCAACACCGAAATCGTCGGTGCCACGTGGGATGACTCTCGGTTATTGTGGCTTGTTGAGACCATAGATCTTAAAACCGATACTAGAAAGATATGGAGTTGTCATGTGGTATGTTCCTCCTCCATCTTGTATTCACCTAGCTGGTTTCTGATTCCCAATCTAGTTAATTAGCGCCGCGGGAGCTTTCACCGTACCAAAAAAGGCCAATGTACCCGGTATTGATACATTTAAAGGCGAACAGTGGCATTCCATAGATTGGCCAAAAAAAGCCGATTTAAGAGACAAGACAGTTGCTGTGATTGGAACAGGACCTTCCGCTTGTCAATTTATTCCAAATATCTATCCGGATGTAAAATCCTTGATTGTGTATCAAAGAAGTCCGGGACATGTTTTGCCTCGAGTTGATACTATTTCTGGATGGTTTAAGAAATTTTTATTTGCTAACTTTCCTTTTACTATGCGTTTGCATCGATGGTTCTTGATGAAAAAGGTGAATTGAAAATTATCGATCTTTTTGGGATAAATTCTAATTTAACACTTTTTATAGGATGAGATTTTGCGCAAACGGATATTTAATCCAAATTCATGGCTTCACAAACAGGTAATTGCCATGACTAAAAAACATCTCTACAACCAAGTCAAAGATGAAACTCTACGCCAGAAACTAGAGTCTAATGATGTATTTGGATGCAAACGTCCAATGATTCTCGATAACTACTTTCCCATCTTCTCGAATGATAATGTAGAACTTGTCACGGATTCCGTCACAGAAATCACAGAAGAGGGAATCATTTCTATGGACGCTAAAACCGGCGACGAAACAGAAAGAAAGACAGATGTATTGATTTGGGGTACTGGTAAGTTATCTATATATAGCTTGACATATATAAGAACAGAATCATTAATAAACAACCAGGCTACAATCCCGTAGATTTCGGACTTCCAGTTCCAACACGAGGACGAACCGGTCAACTATTAGCTGAAAAATACCAACCTGAATTACAATCCCTCTACGGTAAACCATGAATCTCCATTCCCAAACATCTCAAACCAGAACTAACAATCAAAAGGTGTTGCAGTAGACGATTTCCCAAACTACTTCAACTTCCTCGGACCCAATTCCTCCTCATTCGAAACCAGCGTAATGGAGCTCTTCGAACTTCAAGCCCATCACACGTGTCTCGTTACCGAATTTCTATTCAAGAAAAACGTCGGCAGTTTCCGTTATGCTATTATGCCCAAAGAAGAACGTGTTACAGAATGGACCTTATCCTTACGACCCGGACAGGCAAAATTACCTCCTGCTAATCCATTGTGTAGGAGTTATTATAGGGTGAGTGTGCTTCTTATCTTCTCTTGTGATGATAGCTAGATATGTGAGGGAATTTCGCTGATAAGATTGCTTGTAGTCGAAAATAGGACATGTGTATCGATTTCCGTATCCGTATTGGATATACAAGGCTTTGATTGCTAAGATTGATTTTAAACGGGATTGGGTACTTCTTCAGAATAGGATTGGGCAGAAAGATGTCCAGATTTTGGAGTTTGTCGAGTGAATGTTGTGAAGATGGTCATGGGAATTATGTATCATGAAATCCTAGGTGGAAGGCCATGGTATATTGTACTGTAAGTTTTTATATCTTCTTATTTTGAAACCATGACTTATGTGTTTTTGTTTAGTATACTCAGCACTACGAGCATGATTACTGGTAGGGATCGGTTCAGCTAGGAAGATCTCTGGGTGTCTGTATGGAGGATAAAGAGGGGATAACTAGTGTAATTCGAGATTGATGCAATGAGCCAATTATATATTGCGCAAAAAGGAAACACAATGATCGACAAAATCGCATCAACTAGACCTAATCAAAAGCGCGGACTTATACAACTAGCCAAGTCAGTCAGTTAAGATCCTGAAAAAAATCCAGCTATTTAGTGAGGATATAGCTTCGCCGATCAACGTTGGATTAAGTGAAAATATTGAAATTGTTGATTTTATTATTATTTTTAGTGATGTATTGTAAATGTAGAGTATTTGAGACTACTGTTACGATAGTAACAACTACTTAGAACATTTTTATATTTTAAATTTTTTTATAATAATCATATATCAAAATAATAAATTCAGATATTTTATTTATTAATTATATATAAAAAATATCTAGAGTGTTACGTGACGGTTGTTATCCCACTAGTGGCTCACGTGCACTAGCCCTGTATATAAAGACCTTCTTACTTAGAATCTTCTTAGTTCTTTGGTTTTAGATTCTAAGTAATTGAATTGACTCCGTTTACGACTTTTCCGTCACATAGAGTATAAATATAATTATTTAAATATAAAAGAATTATGATTGTTTCCAAATATTTAAAATTTATATCCATGTCTATACCAATAACAGTAACGGTAACGGTAACAGTAAGGAAGAAAAAGCGTGATGATGCCGGGGATGTGACTTGATTTTAGCAGGTTGAAAATTTGGGATTTGTTATAGTGATAGTCTGAACTACAGTCTACTCTTGAGAGACTTCTAGATATTAGGATGATTTTGAATATGGGGATGGTATTTCTATTATTTATTATTAAATCACATACATCAAAAATATCAGAACGATATAGTATAGTGAGCTATGCAACATTTTGAATTCATTTTTGATTAGTGTAGGTTGTTGTGTTGGAATAAATTAGTATTTGCAGAGAAACCAGAATCGCATAGTGGCTGGGATTCTGGGCATGGAATAGAAAAGAAAGTTGTCATGATAGAAAAGGTTGTGAATAAAGTGGCATTGAGCAAGACTATGTTATGTGCAAGATGAAGAGGAGTTTTACGTGCCTGCGTGCCTTTGTGCCATTTCGATCCGTTTCCTGATGCATTCTTCCATTCTTACAAACTGTTCCATCCGATTTCAAAATAAATGGCCTACTGTATTCATCGATCGTGTTAACGTTAACTTCATTCACTCGTGTCATCATACCCGCGCTTCAATAAAGGTATGGCGTAACTCAAGCTGAGGCCACAATACCCTCTACTCCTGCCGGAACAACTCTTGCTCTTCCAACTCCATGCACAAGCACAGCATCCAGCCAAATTCGTTCTTTGCCCTCTCCAGATTTTTCCACTCCCCAACCCCTTTCAGGGCCCCATGTCACAACCTTTTTATGGCTCTCTACAACCTCTCGCAGTCCACTCATCATATCTCCGCTCCTCTTCACACCAGGAAAGGCATCAAATTCAACAGTTTGAATTCCCTTCACATCCATGAATATCCCTTCTAATAATTCCTGGCAAAAGCCCTCATAAAATCCATCGCCTACTCTGAAACCTTTGAATATCGCATCCGATGGATCGCATTCTACGAATATTTTCAAAACGCGAACGGATGTGCAATCGGAAAGTCCAAGTAAAGGTGATACAACCCAACCTCTTGGCGGACTATTCCAGCCAGGACCTAGACGAAGTTCAAGTGTAGTGATAGAGTTGCGATAATGAGATGGCAGACGCGCGAGTAGAGGTTTCTTTGTCTTGAAATATCGACCTGGATGGATGGGAAAGATGCGGAAGGTATAGGTCGAAAAGAAGTGGTGCGATGATTCATTGTATATTTGTTTGCAGACATGGAATAGTGAGAATAGTTTATGACGATGAATGAGGGAAAAGGTTGTAGGGTCGAGATCGATAACTTCGGGGAAAGGAGCGAATATCAGAGTGTAAATCTTTGTACGAAGTTCGGAAGGCAAGGAAAGAAATGGAAAGGATTTTTTGGTTTTGCGAGAAGTGATAGTAGTAATGTCTTCAGCATCGGATGGATAAGCTGATGGGTAGGCGGACGAAGTCGGAGTTGTGGTACCAGATATAGGCGTGCTTGCTATCGCGCGACGATGATTCCGTATGGTAAGGGCATGGTGCTTCATAGACGGCGCCATATCAATTGTTATGTTGGAGTAGAGGTAAGGAAACCAAATTATCGTTCTTGTTGATATGCTGTAGAGAGATTTGTAGGTGTTAGGTTTGTTGAGCTTCAGTTAAACAATGGGAAGAGATCGCGTGTTGCGTAGATAAATGGTTGAAAGTCACAGATAAGAAAATTCGTCCGATTGACCTAAAAGACTGAATGATGGATGATATTTATGATTTCAATTATAAACAAGAAAGCTCCTTCTATGAAGGAATTCAAAGAACAGAGTCGTGGTAGAGGCAATGTACTAATGAGAGAGATGTAGAAGAATATTTTCCACAATGAGTTTTGGGTCAATAGATGGAGACAATATATGGAATGTTATGACACCACGGGACTGAAGTTGTAATTGAGTAGCCGGTAACTCTTTCAAGCACCGGCTTAACATCCAATTCTTGAAAGTGTCATATTTATTCTCCTCAGATTGTTCAACTCTTCGTCCACGGTTATTGTAGGCGCGATGAGTATAAATTTCTGTCTGAGTGTCAACTTTAAGGAAAAAAGAAAAAAAAAGAAATTCAAAATTGCGAAAATGAATTGATGCTTTTATGGTGGGGAATCGATGTCCACTGACGCCAATTGACACTAGTATAGTTTAGTACTAGCGTTGATAATTCCCGCCCGCATCATTGTAGAAAATTGTATTTTGTCATTTTGTTGTAAGTCAAGGGAACTTTTAAGGAATCAAGGTTATTTTGTAAGGCTAAAAGCAAAAGGACTCTTAAAGTTTCTCTTCACTGACAAGAACTTCAACAGTATTCAATGCGATTTCGCATATAATCTTTTCTTCATTGGAGTAGGCTGTGTATATTGATACTTTTCCTTCATAATGTTGTCTAGAGCTATCGGAAGGTCGTTGCAAACGCCAGCTCTAAGAAATACTTCGACGAATTTCCGGATAGCCTCATCGACATCATGGACTCGGTCGATGGCGAGTAATAATCGCCAACCTAAAAAACCTACAGAATATAATAGATCTTCGGGTACGCCAAAACCATCTGGTTCAGGTGGGGCACAAGCTGCTTTCACTTCACAAAAACCAGGACAGAGTAGTGATAAATCTGGTAATCCAGACTTTTCCAAGGCCCAAGATGAAGTGAGCAAGGATGCTTCACCGGAAAGGAATACTGTACCAGAGTCAGTGGGCGGTGGTGCCGGCGTGCCGAACCCAGATGCCAGAAAAGGCGAAAGTTCAGACTTCTCTGGCAAACAAGATGAATTCGAGACAATCGCCGTCGACCCCGCACAAGCAGAAACCGAGAACAAACCTCTACCAGATCTCACCCAAGGTATTCCTTCGACATTGGATTTCGAATTGGCAAATAGAAAATCGAAGACTTCGCCATTAAATCTTACAGAAGCGGCGGACCCTGAAGAGATTCCTGGTGCTGGGGGCAAGGGTCGCGGGGAACTGCCAGCATCTGCGTATGTTTCTTCCTCGGAAAGGAAGAGAAACCAGATGGCCAACTACATGTATCTTGCCTTTTTCGTATCTGCGATCACCGGTACGGTATACTTGGGTCGAAATTGGGAGACCGAGGAAGAAGAAAAACTACACGCGGAAACTGCTCCTTCTGGATGGTCACTTAGTGGCATGTGGAACCGTGTAAGAGCTAGAACCGGGGATCAAATTGGTCATTACACAGAGCCGGCTTTTACAAAGTTATTACCCGATCCAACTCCTATGTTCGAGCGCCCTTATACATTAGTTTTGAGTATGGAGGATCTTTTAATTCATAGTGAATGGAGTAGAGAACATGGTTGGCGATTGGCGAAACGACCTGGTGTTGATTATTTCTTGAGATATTTAAGTCAATATTATGAATTGGTTATCTTTACCACTCAACCATCCACTTTAGCAGAGCCAGTTATTCGAAAATTCGATCCATATCATATCGTTACATGGCCACTCTTCCGAGAGGCAACACTTTATGAGAATGGAGAATATATCAAGGTAGGAATTTCGGACCAGAATTTTGTTGTTTTATTAACTTGTATCAGGACCTTTCATACCTCAACCGTGACCTCTCGAAAGTCATTTTGATCGATACCAAACCACACCACGCCAAGAAACAACCAGAAAACGCAATAATTCTTAAGCCATGGACAGGTGATGTGAAAGATAAAGAACTTGTCTCTTTGATTCCATTCCTCGAATACATCCCTACAATGCAATACGCCGATGTACGCAAAGCCATTAAATCATTTGAAGGCACACATATTCCTACTGAATTTGCCAAACGTGAAGCAACAGCAAGAAAGAAGTTCCAAGAACAACTTGCAGAAGAACGAAAGAAGCACGGAAAGAGAGGTGGCGGTGTTGGATTATTGGGAAATGCTTTGGGTATAAAGCCTGGTGGAATGATGGTGACAGATCCCAATGAACAAAGTCTAGCGGATGCGCTTGCACAGGGAAAGATGTTACAAGATTTAGCGAGAGAAAGAGGACAGAAGAACTATGAAGCATTTGAAAAGGAAATTCGAGAGAATGGAGCAAAGTGGTTGAAGGAAGAGGCCGAGATGGAGGAAAAAGCCAAGGAAGAAGGATTAAAGGCTATGAAGAGTGGAATGACAGGAGGTTGGTGGGGAGGTGCTTCGTCGTAATGGTTGATGAATTGGAGAGTCGAAGGGACGATTGTATATTTTTCATGTATGATGAATGAGGCGTCAATAGGAATGAAGCATAGGCGGCCTTAAATCTCACCTCTGCAAACGCGGTCGAGATTGGATCGTGGTATATCGATCATGATGATGATGGATGGGGTCATACGATCTAGCATTGATGATCACAATTCGATTGTTTTAATGCTTTTTTTAGGTAGTGTAGTATGGAACGAAATCTATATCTATATCTGTATGTATGTATGTATGTATGTATGTATGTATGTATGTATGTATGTATTATAAATATCTGAATACTCGAGAATACTAAACAAATCGGATAATATGTGATATCCTTAAATGCCCGAGTTTATGTCTATCTAGTTGGGTTTTATAATGTAGATAGATTGTTAAAAGGAATGACCTTACACAGGGAATAGTGGGAAGCTGACAGGGCAGAACTGAGGCTATATTGGCTTATATATAAACCACTCATTATCTAAGTTCTACGGGAGTGCGAAGCTCTCCTACAGAGAGCTTCTCAATCTAGTCCTAATAGGACTAGTGCCCTGTGCACGTGCTACGCAGGAACCATTCACTTTAACATAGATATAGATTTTATTATTTATTATGTGACGCCCCACACCTCTGGGTCACGTGACATGCCCCGTTTGTATTTAATCACAGGAAAACTCTCTACTCTTGTTTTCCTTCTTCTTTTCTCCTTAATTTAGTATTGTTACGAAGGTAACAGTCAACCTGTCCGTATAAGCTTCGACCCTATGGAAAAGCAAGGAAATTTACATACAAAATTGTATGACAACTTCCTCACGAGATCTCCTTAGCAAGCTTGGACATATAGTCTGATCCAAGTCACATGATAGACCCTGCATATTCAAGGATACAAATCGTAGATCCATACGAATCGTAGGTCCATACGAATCGAAGGTCCATAAACTCTCAGGATCCAAGAGATCCAATGAAGGACGAAGGTCTATATAATCAGGATGGTTTCCTTTGTGTAGAGCTTCGTGCTCAAGATCAATCATTTAGTATACTCTACCATTAGTTACGAATTGCATTATTGTCATTACTTTAAGTCCCTGCTTGACGCCTAGTTATAAACCACCTCGAGAGCCTAGAGCACTTCCACGTGATCTAGACGGCAAACTGTCACGATTCACCATTAGGATTAGTGTCTTGGGATGAAAAGGAATCACGTGATAAGGAGCCCTAGGAGCCCTCAAAGCTGCTAGGGGCTCCCTTTATCGATCATTATATAATCAAAATAGTTTCATAATATAAAAGCTTTGTACTCAACTTAGTTATCAATTAGTTTACCTATATTCTACTTGATCTAGTAACGAATTCACTTCCAAGTAAATACCAGTAATAAAGCCTTAATCCATAGCTATCAACCAGACGAAACCTTAGGCAGCCGCTGCCTCCAGTACAGTATCGTTACATCTTAATTCTGAATTCTTAATTATAAGATCTTACTACTTACTAAAAAATTTCCACCCTCCTCTGTATTATCACCGAGAAATATCACAGACCTCTCCACCTATCCATTCATCCATCCATCTATACATCATAAATCAAATCCCATAGCTAAAGAATCTAAAAAATAAAATTTCCTAATTTTCTACATACATATTCCCGCTCACAAAGTGAGAAGGAAAGAAAGAAAGAAAGAAGGAAGGAAGGAAAGAAGGAAAGAAGGAAAGAAGGAAAGAAGGAAAGAAGGAAAGAAGGAAAGAAGGAAAGAAGGAAAGAAGGAAAGAAGGAAAGAAGGAAAGAAGGAAAGAAGGAAAGAAGGAAAGAAGGAAAGAAGGAAAGAAGGAAAGAAGGAAAGAAGGCGAAAAAAGTAAAGCAAAACTCCTCATTCATCCCAACTCTATCTTCTCATTAATTATCTCATCTCTCATCCCGTAAAATCTAATACTTGCCCTTGCGTATTTTCCCTCAGATTGTGCGCTTCAAGACCGGTACCCTTGTGTCTCTCACCACTAATACTCATTCTATTACCATTCACCCTCGCACGCAAGGTATCCCGCAAAGTTTCACCTGATGCCGATCCCGATCCCTATCGTGTAGAATATGTATGAAAACCCATATTAGAATTCATAACACCAAGCCCGACATTATGATTCACAGTCCCATTCATACTCTTCCTCCCTTTCCTCTTCGAATTCCTCCCCGATTTCTCTCTACCTATTCCCTGCATAACCCTCTCCACCTCACTCTCTCTCCTTTCTAATTCAAACCCCAATCCTAACCCTATTCCCTCCCCTACTCCTCCATCACCATGTGCACCCACCCCCCCAGCAAAATCCTGCCACCGAACAACAACTCTACACCTCCCCCTCCCCATAGCCCTCCTAACCCTCTCCCAAATAATCCTATCCCTCGTAATACCCCTATAAAACTTACTCCACCAAATTCCCTCATTAGGCGATAATTCCTCGCTTATATCTACTCCACTTTCATCTTCCACTATCTCCCCAAAAGTGTGTAGTTCCTCATATGGAACACCTGCTGCATGTGCGTATTTTCGAGCGAATTGTTGGTGTTTTGTCGGGTTTTGAGATATGTGGGGTGGGTATGGGAGGTAAGGGTCTTTGGGGTTGTAGGGAGGAAGTCCGGAGATACTGAGGAAATCGGAGATGGGTGGTTGGTTGGTGGGGGAGGGTTCGTGAGAAGTAGAATGCGGATTGGGATGGTTGGAGGAGTAGAATGTGGTGGGAGATGGAGATACAGGACCGAATAAATCCCGGGTGGAAAATTCAAAGATGGGTGTTCCTTGGAAGGAGAAATCGTAATCTTGGCGTCTGGCGATCTTCCTGGTGGGAAGTCCATGTTTGTTTTTGAGGAGGGTTTCTTCGAGGAGGGAGGATGGTAAGGTGGTATCAGATTGGATGGGGTAGGTGGTTATGTTTGCGAGGGGAACGGCAAGACAGAGCCAGGTTGTGGGGATTGGAGAGGGGAAATTGGGGGGGGTGTTGGTGCTGTAATTTTTATGGGGAGAGGTAATGGTGAGGAAGGGTCTTTGGATGAAGATTGAGAGCCAGGGGTGAAGTATGCCGTTTTTGTCAGGCCTGCGGGGGGTTGTTAGTAGGGGTTTTTTGTTGCTATTTGAATGTATGAAAAAGGGAAGGGAGAAAGTGGAAAAGCAGATTGACAGCAAAACCCATTTGGGCTGTCAAGTTGAATTGCCGCAAATAGAATATACAAATGGCAAAAAAGTAGGAAGACAGCAACTATGCCATCCCAATATCTCATTCCTTCAGGCGGTTAATTAAGCCATGCGGCAGTAACAAAGATTCCACCACTACTACAACAACTTCCATCACAAAAACTCCACAACAATCCCTCCACAACGACAACAAAAATCCCACACAAATCAAACGAAACCCACCAACAACATCCCACCCAAACAAAAACAAAATATAAAAAGTAAAAAAAACTCACAAACTCAACTCAACAACCTCAACCCTATCACTCTTCGATTTTGAAACCCCATCCACCCCAATATGCACCAACAACCTATTATAAAACTCTCCCGTCCGTACATCCGGCGTAAAATCATGAAAAGATATACTTCTACACACTCTCTTTTTAGAACCGGTGAGGAGTGCTCGTGTGAGAAGATATTCGCGGAGTCCTTCGCCTGTGTGGGGGTTTACTGAGGATGATGGGAAGAAGTGTGGTATTTTTGGGTTTTGGGGGTATTCGTAGCTGAGATTGGTGGGGTTTTGGAGTGGTAGGTTTTGTTGGTTTTGTAGAGTTGGGTAGGTGTTTATGATTTGTGGATAATATTGTGCTGCAGTGTTTAGATTTCGTTCTGTATCGGCATTGCAATTGGTATTTGTATCGATGTTAAAATCCATATGCGTACCTACATCTTCCCGACCATTTCCAGCACCATCTCCAATTACAAGACCATCTCCCCTAACAACATCACAATACTCACCAATCCCCCGCAAACCCACAACTCCCAAATCCACCAACATCCCATCAACACCCACCACCAAATTCCTCGCATCATTCCCTCCACTCCCCATAAGTAAATCAAACGGCAAATCATTACGTACACCCAACACAGCCTGTAATCTCCTAGAAGCCGCGCGCACAAAAGGCGTACGATCAGAAACATGTTTATTTAATATCTCCGACGCGTGAACTTGATCTACGATTGCGTGAGAGATGTGCGGAAGATTTGGATGAGGTCCTTGGGGTATGTATTGGACTGTGAGGTGGTCGAGAATTGGTGAGTGAGGTTCTAGACGGATTAGGACGTTGGGGGATGGGAGGTTGAGGGGAAATGTATATGTGGAGGGTGAGGTGGTGGTGGTATTTGGATGGTGGGTTTGTGGTTGAGAGGTGTTGAGTAGGGTTGGGTGTGAAGGTGCGCGGGAAGATTCAAGGGTTTGTTGTTGCGATTGTTGGTTATATTGTAAAGATGCATATTCAACTTGATTGAATTGCTCGATTTCTCCAACTTCAGATGTATCAGCTGCCATGGTGACTGAAGAAAAGAATGGAGCTCTTGGTGTATCCATTTCTGCTTGATGCCATTCAGTATAAGTGTGTTCCATTTTTCTTTTCGTTTCTGCAGAAGGTGGAATTTTTGGGTTATATGGATCGATGGGAATGTGATGATATTGCCACTGAAGCAAAGGTAAAAGAAGTGGTAAACGTGAAGAACAAATGTAATGGGAGATGCAATATTATTTGGTGTAGAGTTTAAACCAGATTCGCTGTCGTTGATATTTTCAGCAAGATCAGAATTGGAAGGTGAGGTGAACCAATTTGTGAGATCAATAGTAGACCTTCGAGGATTGTAACAGTAACCTGCTTGTTTTGCTGTAAGATTGGAATTTAATTTATTTGATGCTACAGCGGATGAAAGAAGTAGTGCTGATGGTGTAAGTGCTCTCCTTTCGAGCTTGGTGTATCAGAGAAGTCAGATTCACCAAGATTCACTATCATCGGTGTCGTCAGAATCGACAGTTGAAGCAAGCCGATCTGTGAGATCGACCATAGATTTTCGAAATTAATAAAGATGTATCCAGCCTTCTTCACTGTGAAATTGAAGTTAAGGCCACCAGTTCTCGAAGCTGGAAAAGAGGATGTAAGTGCTCTTTCCCCGAACTTGGTGTATGAGATTCGAATTCCTTATCATCCGTGTATCTAGATTCCAAAGGTGATTGATGCAAATCGACTTGTAAGATCAATCATATACTTTCACAGATTGTAAATATCCAGCCTTCTTTCCCCTCGGGCTAAAATTCAGAGCATTAGGTTCCGATGCTGGAGCAGGAGCAGACGCCAGTGTACTCACCTCCTCACTATCACTCAATGCCTCACTCAGCAGACTCAAAATCCAAATCCTCGTCGTCCGCTTCACCCTCAGAATCGATATAACTCGTAACCCTGTATCTAGCTCTCTTAGCTGATCTTTCGTCTTCGTCTTCGTCTGCTCCTTACCTACTGAACGATAGTTTACCCAGCGAGAAGACGGAACTAGTTTTGTAGGAGGAGAAGGACTAGAAACCAAAGACCCCTCAACTAAAAAAGAGCGAAAAGAAGAAGTATCAAAATTTCCTCATGACATGAGGGAAGGGATCTGACCAATATTAAACATCAAAACCATGACAAAAATAAAAAAGGAGCTCCAGAAGAAATATTCTCCCACATTATCCAATTTGTACTTTTAGGGGTGAAAGGCCTTTCCCACCCACGTGAAGAAACATTTCTTAATCTTCCTTCCCTTCTACCCAAACAAGAAGAATATAGAATAAGAAAAGAGGAGGATATTATATTTAATGCATCCAAATTCAAATTTATTCAAACGAACAAAACATCACTCTATCTCATTCTCCACTTCAAAGCTATTAACAAACTAATATGTACCTCAAAGCCCCAGAAACAAAATACTAAATAATTATCAATATCTATCTATTATTATCTTTATCCTTACATTCAATTACAAAAAGATATATTTTTTTTATCTCAATCTATATTAATTATTTTATTAATAATATTAAATCAAAAAAAGAATTATTTATTTTTTATTATAGATTGTTAAAGTGAATGGTTCCTGCGTAGCACGTGCACAGGGCACTAGTCCTATTAGGACTAGACTGAGAAGCTCTCTGTAAGAGAGCTTCGCACTTCCGTAGAACTTAAAAGAGAGATTAACCTACTAGACCAATATTACCTCAGTTCTGCCCTATCAGCTTCCCATGTTACGACGGCTATCTTCTACGCCGCGTCACATGACTAAACCAAGGTAACGTGATTAAGTCACGTTATGGACCGCTGCGCGGTCCTGACTAGCCATAGGCATGAAGGTCTATATAATCAAGATGGATTTCCTTTGTATAGAGCTTCGTGCTCAAGATCAATCATTTAGTATACTCTACTATTAGTTACGAATTGCATATCATTATTGTCATTACTTTAAAGTCCCTGCTTGACGCCTAGTTATAAACTACCTCGAGAGCCTAGAGCACTTCCACGTGATCTAGACGGCAAACCTCGTAACATCCCACTATTCCCTGTGTGAGGTCATTCCTTTTAACATAAATATATAAAAAAAATATTTTAGATATTTTATTCAATATTATATTTAAAAAAAATATAAATATATTAATTGTTATCTTATAACATTATCACATAAAGAAAATCAAAATCAAAATCAAAATCATAAAAAAATCACAAATCCATCAAAAGAGCTCAAGATCTTATTTTTCACTGAAAGAGGAAAGAAAAGACATATTCTCTCTTCTCCATCTCTACTTTTTATTCTCACAGTAAAAACAAACATCAAACAAAAGATATCAAAATTTGATTTCAGTATTAAGTATCTATTAAACTTAGGTAATCTAAAATAACAAATATTGATCAACCTTATTCATGCCTTCTATATGCATAGGATACAATGACCTGTATATCCCATCTCGGGGGGGGGGAAAGGTAAGCCTAATGGCCCAAAAGGACCCAATACAAATCCAACGCCGCGCTTTCATTCATCATAATGCGCCCATGTACCGAGATAACGTGAAAAGATTTTTGTCCACGTATCATAAACGTTTATACATCAAACCATCAAGGCTGAGAAAAAGAAGAATTTTTTGATCATGTACCGAAATTTTACAGCCAGTACATAAAACCGAACATAACTGCGGCTAATCCAACGCTCATACCGGTGATTTCCTTACCACCAGATGCGCTTCCCTTTGTTGAAGTTGCGGATGCAGCTGAGCCAGTTGCGCTCGCGGTAGTGGATGCTGATTTAGAAGTTGTTGTGGCAGTGCCAGTGCCAGTGCCAGTTGCTTCTTTCTGACCAATAGATGGTAATGGGACATCCCCGTCAACCAACCAACCTCCAGAGGTCGAAGCTGGGCAAGCAGGAGGTGTAAGAGTAGGAGAATAAGCAGAGCTTGCAACACCAGTTGGAGTCAAAGTTGACCATTGACTTTGAAGGTTGGCAAAATCGGGAGCAACAGGGGTTGGGGTTCCACCGCGAGAGAAACCACCTGCAACATTTGTAGCAACGACAGTAGCAGCTACAGTTGGCCCATAGCTAATCAATCCATAATCATTGGCTTCTTCGATCCATTCGTAAACAATTGCGCCAGACCATTGATCGTCCATATCTGAACCAAGAATAGCTGCTTGATCTTGGAATGTTCTTGGCTTAACCGTATTGCATCCAGTCTCTGAGAAGAAAATCGGGATATTATAACCTTCAGCATACGTGTTGAGGGTTTTGTAGCCAGAAGTTGAATAATCACTGTCGCCGCACCATTCGTATGCATTCAAACCGAAGAAATCGATGGATTCCGAACTGTTGGTACCGCAAGCAAGGTAATTTTGAAGCATAGGACGTAATTCCGCAATATCTGCTGCCGAGTAACCAATTGGAATTTCTCGATAACCTTTTGACTTTCTGTACGCCTTCATATCTCTAGCAGCAGCTTTGATAAATGGTGCCGCTAAAGATTGGTTGTTCATAGCAATAACCTCATTTCCTACAAAGAAGCCTAAAGTATTATCGAATTTGGCGAAAGCATCCATCACTTTGCTGAATGCTGTGTATTGGCTTTCGTCCCAAGTCGCGTTAGTCTATAGAAGTGATCAGCCATTATTTTATTCCCGAAATAATAAGATATATCTTACTGGGGTGATTGCGGTGGTGAAAGTATCCAAATCCAAGAAGAGGTAAATTCCAGCATCTGCAAAGGCAGACATGCATCCAGAATGATCACTGGAAGGATCAACATGGTAAACACGAATAGCGTTTGCGCCCAAGGTTTTCATCAAAGAGGCATCGAGTTGACATTGTTTGGTATCGATTAATGGATCGGCTTCAGTCAATTGATATGCGACACCTAGATATTGTCAGTCAAGAATTGAAGTAGGAAATACATGCCATCTTACCCTTGACAAAGAATTGGTCGCCATCACTTGTGAAGAACTTTGAACCAGTTGCAGAGATTGTGGAAATAGCATTAACGGTAGTAACAGCCAAACTAGCAATCAAGCCAGCTCTGGCAAAGGACTTTGAGAACATGATGCAAATAGCAGATATTATTGTATGTACAAAGATCGAAGATAGCGAGCGGTAAAAGAACGAAAGTCGACGCGATATTGGAGGAAGGAAATTCTGCGAACCAAGCACTTGAAGGAAAGATGGTAGTAGACTGCTCAAGTGTGGATTTGAATATCGAAGTTCAAAAGAGAAGGTAGACAGTAACAATGGGGAAGCTTGTTATTTTTTTTTAATGGATGGCATCCACAAGTTCCAAGGTTTTTCTACTCCGTCTCCTGGCTCGTCTCCTGGCTAGTAGACTTAAGATTGAGGGTAATGCTGGCTTGGTTTGGGGTGCGGGATCAAAGTGTAGGTGGAGCTCCAAATAGAGACTAGGTTATCGATTCGAGGATAGAGTAATTTCGAAAGACAGAAAGAAGTTGGAGTCTGGATCGTTCCTTCGTTTTATGAAGAGTATCACACTCGACCTGCTCCGTACAATTTTTGGGAGTTATGCAGTGGAGCAACAATAAGCAGTGATGATGGAAATGGATGTATAAAATTGTATGGATCACAATTAGGAGTAGGTATTTATTATTGCAAATCATAAAACTTGTAAGATGAAAAACGAGAGTTGATTCTAAGCAGGATTGACGGTGAGGAGGAAAGCGAGTGAATGAGGATAAAAATCCATGAAAGTTGGTTCTGTCGTTCTGTGGTTGTAAGATTGAATGAGTTGATGTAATATTGAATACTGAACGAGCTATTAAGGATATGCGAGAGCAAGGAGGAAGAGATAATGGATCCATGTTGGAGATGATCACGATAGTAAGAAAAAATGATACGCTTAGAAAATCAAGGAACAGTGAGAAAGTTCAAGATTTTAAAAAATCCCATGTTTGCTTGAACCAATAAGAAATTCGTGTTGTGATTACTGATTGAATGATTTAATGATGTCCGTCTCTTTCTCATTCGATTGGTCTGTTATCCTCTACATTATTTCATACTGCAGATCCATCCCCCATGCATTACGGCGTAAGTACATGGGTGCATTTACATTACTTCCTTCTGCACAGGATAAATAAACGGCGCAGAGGTTGGAAAAGCTTCAAAAGCTTCATTCAACCTGGCTAAATTGAGTCATTTTCTTATCGTGATTCTGATAACAAGCTAGTGAGTGATTTCATTGGTCGAATTGTGCATAAAAAGGAGGTTATTGTGGATACATTGTTCATACCGAGTTAGTCAGTAATCACTAAAACAGATTGGCCCCACATTTTGTTTCATTAGTGAAAAGAACCGAGAACTCCTCCATACTCTTCTTCTTCTTGCTCACTCACAGTCTCACACCCTTCCTCCCGAGGTCCTCCATCCATGGCTCATACTCATCAATGATCATAAATAATTTCCAAATGCAAAAACGTCTGTCAGCACAACTTTCACAACTCGAAACTATTCAGAAAATCTTGTCCAGAGTCAATCAAATACATACCGTCCAATTGTCCTTCCTACGTTGAGATCAAATTCATCAATCCACTATAGCAATGACTTCTCTCTTGACTGCGATGAGTTGAACATCTCAATCTCAACAAAGTCAATTCACTTTTCATGCTCAACAAATTATTTCACCGTCTTTGCTAGTCAAACACTCACCGATCACTTTTCTCTTCAGTCAGCACTACCGTTAGTTTTGGTCCATTATAGTGCATCCATCCGTCTACGAAATAGCGTAACGAGCCATTTTAGCTGTGGCTGTCTGCTTGCTACACTATGCAAACGCTAGAAGGTGGCCGAAGAAAGTCGTTGCTAGTGCATCATTAATAATTGCGCGTATGGCACTGGAATTCGCCTCCAACCTTTTCCTTCGTGCCTGGTGCTCCTTGCTATTAGCGCGTGTCGATATCGTTTCAGTGTGTCGCAAATGATTTGCGGTGGCTAATATTTCAATTTATTGCACACACGTTCATTCACAATCAACTCACAGCAAATTTGGTATTGAATACAAAAGATACCTGATGCGCTTTATCTGAGTATTTCGAGGTTTGAGCGACGGAAAGCGACCAATCCAGATTTTAATTCCTTTTGATGCCGATAACTTCTTCGTTACTGCAATTCTATTCGAACCCTTCGACTAACTCTAGGCGATCCCGTATGCATTGAGGGTATAGCGGTTCTACTCCACCACGCTTCGTACTTTCCGAGAGGTGAACCATCCTGGAAGCCTAAAATGACATTGAGGGACATTCTGTGCCATGCGTTAGCCAGCGCCATACAAAAGCAATAGTGCCAGATAGACACTATTTACGCTCGTAACCAATTTATAGTTGCCTTTGATGGATTCAGTTCGATATCACTGTTGACAACTATTTTATGGTCATCTCACCAGAGACTTGCATCTTGAACAGAGGCTTTCAATCCAGTGTTTTGGTGGCCGAGTCTTCCATGTCGAAAAATTCCCACTCCTGTTCATTGAAATTTAACCACGTACAATCAAATTTATGATGCCGAAACAAGTAGTTGATGCTAACACTAACAATACAAAAGATTGAGAAAGCGACGTACCAGATTTTTACATCAGTCACGTCAGATATCCAGACTCTAAAATCAACCTTTCGCTGTTACAAGACAATCTTCATTGAAAATCCCTTCACTACGAGTAGCCGAGTCATTCTTGACCATGAGTCCGTCAAGTGGCAGCTCACTAGTTGGGAACTGATGGAGTTAAATAATTCACAACCACACTTTTATTGAATGGTCTTCTGAAAGTCTCAAATCCTTTTCTATCCCTACTTTCTGATAGCATTGGGTCTATGAAATTGGGAAGGAGAGATGATGATCTAATGCGCCGACGGTGACCAGATTCGAAACCCCTCGACACGAAAGATCGGATATGTTTATCGCAACTACATCCAATTGCAGATATTATTGACCACAACCCTGGTGCACAATTCGTGGCCGAACTGATGAAAACACCAAAGAGGATTATGACGTGCTACAAGTACAAGCTCCAGGGCTTCATGTCATCGCAGAATCAATTTGAATAGTAAGTATGCGGACTTGTGCTAAAGCAATGAATATTGGCAGATAAGATAAGTTTCTACGGCAATGGTGAGAGGAACATGTGGTAGCCTAGAAGGACATAGAGTGTGGAAGAAACGTCTACAAAATTTGTGAGGCCGAAGATGTCAGATTATTAGACAGTTAAGATTGAGCTACGCAGCAGAAAGAGATCCCAAACACATCAAAGTAGAGGGATGAAAAGTGCAATATGAATCCGAGAACATGGTCTTAGAAGCAAGTATTGTCGGACATCAATAAATGATGGTGTTAAGCGCTTCAATTCCACAGCTACAAGATCTCTTGAATTAGGCCACGATACTGTTTTACTATGACTCCTGTAAAATGGATTCATCAATAATTTCCAAATCCTTCATACATATTACGACGGCCTTCCTATTTCGCATCATGAACATGGATTTTAGCGATCACATGCAGTAGTGGGCGCTAAACCCTTGGCATATCAGCCCACATATTACACAATCAACGGTGATGACTCTTATGGTGATGACATTTGCGCAGCTTATATAAACGTGTTACATTATCATCATCTCTAGCACATCTATCCTCATTATCCTTTAAATTTCTTCCCATTTATCAATTATCTCCATCCCTACGATCAAAAACCCCTCGTCCATTCCCACATTCCTCAAAATGCCTATTCATCACGACCCCCTAAACCCAACCCTAACCCTCAACTCCCCCAACCCAAGACACAAAAACATAATCCTCACACGCCCCCGCACCACAGACGCAAATCCCACAATCCCCGCCTTCAACAACCCCTCCATCTATCTAAATCTCACAGGTCCCCCCTTCCCCTACACCCAAGAATCATTCGATTCCTTCTTCTCAGAAGTCCTCGATAAAAATGCAAGGATTGCAGTAGCGGAATTATGGGATACGAGGGAAGCGGAGAGGAATCGTGAGGGAACGAGATGGGTGGGTGCGATTCCGTTCCCGAGTATTAGGGAGGTGGTGCTTGGGGAGGGGGGTGTGAGGAGGGAGTTGTTTATTGGGCAGGTGGAGGTTAGGAGGAGGGGGTTTGTGACGGTTTTGGATGGGGAGGTGAGGGAGGGGTTGGTGCGGGAGAATTTGGTGAGGAGGGTGGGTGATCCCGGGATTGAGTGGGAGATTGGTTGTAGGTGTTTCTTTCGTTTTTATTTTTTTCTTGGGTTGGGGTTTGGGGGGGTGTTCCTGAAGAATAGTACTTTGGGGAATGGTAGATGTGTGGTCTCGCTGGTGAGGTTGGCTGGGTGAATCTGAAAGGAATGGATGGAAATCAAGTTTATCCATGGATCGATAACCTGGGATAGCCGACTCATACACCTGAAGCCAATTTGGTAGTACCAAATTCTCCTATCCATCCAGCTAATCACATCACCAAGTGGAAAAAAAACCACTACACCTTCCTTTCCCCTTCCTCTCCCCCCCCCCTCCCCACCACCCACCACCCACCAGCCCCCAACCCACAAACTAACACCCATAGTCTGGCTCCTCCCCTCCCACCACGGCCAATCCATCATGCCATACGTCCTCCAAACCCTCCTTTCCGATTTCTTCATCCCATACATGAATATGCATTTTCTGACAGGTGAATATCTGGAATTTAATACGGCTAGTAGGAGGGTTTTTGAGAAATGTGGCTTTAAGTTTGAGGGGGTTACGGAGGGGGTGGAGAGGATACATGAGGGGAAGTTGGGGGCGTTGGGGGAGTGGTTGGGGAGGGAACGGGAGAGGGAGGGGAAGAATGTGGGTGGGAGGGAGGATGGGGAGGAGAGGAAGGATGGGGAGATGGAAAAAGAGTGGTTGTGGGATGGGAGGGGAGATGCTTGGGTAAACGGGGAGAAGGTAGGTGTGGGGAGTTTGAGGTGGTGTAGGGTTGGAGGGGAAGGGATTGACAATTAAGGAGGGAGGCGAGGAAGTTGTTAGATAAATAAATGGGTGGGGAAAAGAAACAGGAAATTTTCATAAGAGAAGAGATTTTAATACTTGGATGATGATGATGATGGTTTTATCAAATCATCAAGGAGGATAGTTTCCACAAACTCTAGTTTTTAGATTAAATTGTATAGATAGAAAATAGAAAGATAGATAAATACCGATAAAAGTCAGGTAATCTCAGAGTATACGCCGTGTTTGAAAATATCAACAGGCCAGCCGGATTAAATCCAATCAAATCCAATCAAATCAGATAATCATCTCATCTCATACCACCTACCTATATAATGATCTGAAAATTCGCAATCGGATTCTAAACAAACTCTATCTATGAATAAGCACTTAAGATTTACAATCAAATAAGGTTGGATAGAAGTGAACTGCAAAATGCCAAGGTTTAGTTCTTTGTGGGGATTGGGGAAACCCACATTAATTTGATTGAGGTTTGAATTTTGGTGGCTGATGAATTTATTATTAGTTGTATGGTTTTGTTTTGGCTAAGTATAGTAGGGTGACGAGACAATAGATGTTGATACGGTTACACGAGGAATGCAAAGAGACGAAAATAGAAAATAAGATCTCGTATTGCGGGGAGTAGAGAATATCGATTTGTTTGAATGGGTGGGGAGATGATAGCTATACGAATGGCGATAATTGAAAATTCACTGGTATGACTTATTTTGAGTCATGAGATACGTAGATAATGAAGTATTCATCTTAGATTTTAGATATATTTCCTGATAGTTTTGATGATATGATAGATTTGAATGAGAATGAAATACTCCGTATAATGAGAATGAGAATTTTATTATTGGATGCTCCTAACAATTAGACCCCTCAACTAGTTCAGTGGCTTGCTGCCAATGCTGGGCATCCAAGCCAATCACTAAAAATTGTCCTAGCAACCCCTTTTCTACTTTAATTTCAATCATTTCTTCATATTTGACAACATCCAACAATAGGTATTAGTTCCATTCTTCATCCATCGTTGCTTATAGAAGCGTGTAGACATTTTCAAATGGCGTGTCTCGTATATGTATATGTGGAATCAGAACAACATGGCAAATCAGAACAAAATGTTACCAAGAGTATGGATCTTCATTTGTTTATGTTTATTTAAGACAGATTCGCCAAAGGGAGTTAGTTATGTGATTGGGGAAGCGAGGTGAGACATTTGATGATCCGGGGTGCGGAGTACACGTACTTACTCCGTACTTACAACCTATATTGACGTGACGAGAATTAAAAAAAGATTATTATGACCATCCGTTTTACCAAGCGGGGAAATGAGCAGGGAAATTCAAAATTTTTCATCCAATTCCATCTCGTTGCTATGGTTGCATTTGGCTTGGGTTACTTGGTTACCTAGATATTGAATCATGTATTAGTTTTATGGCGCCATGGGCTGAAATTGAATAAGATATAAATAAGGTGTGAAGTTGCACTTGGGAGATTAATTTTATTGCTTTGAATTTTATTCTTCTACGAGTAGTAGTAAGCTAATCTCCCAATCACTTTCTCGCTTTCTATCTGTCGACTTTAAAAGCTTTTCAATACATCCTACCTACCTACCTACCGACTTTGAACTTGGTGATAACTTTTCTCAAAAGTTCTTGTCAAACATCTTCATTACACAACATAACATAACAAAACACACTCCTATCAAACCCTCCAATCAAAATTCAAAATGCGTTTCCAAATCCTCGCCACAGTTCCTATCCTCTCTCTCGTCGTAGCCCAATCAGCCACCGAGAACGTCAACACCATCACCACAGCAGCCAACACAGCAGCCGCCAGCGTAACCCCAGACATCGGCGCCTACTCCCGCGACGCCCAACAAGACGAATCCGCGCTATCGATCCTCTCCGCCCAACTAGCCACCGAAACCAACCCTGGGCAAAAAACCCAACTCAGCGCACAAATCTCCCATCTAACCGTTCAACTCGCCGTTCTCAGTTCGCAAGCCGCATACGCCAGTTCCGTATCTACCGCTGGTGCCGCCAACGCTTCCGCAAATGCGCTTTCCTATATCTCCAGCTTGAGCGCTATTGCAGCGACCGAGACTAATTCTGCGATTAGGAGTCAGTTGAGTGTGCAGATGAGTCAGATTAGTAGTCAGGCTAGTTTGACTTCTACGTCGTCTAGTGAGTCGGCTAGGGTGACGGGGAATGTGGTTACGACGACGGATGGGGAGGGGAATACGGTTACTGGGACTGCGAGTGTTACAGGGACTGCGACGAGGGGCCCGGCGACGGGAACCGGAACGAGGAGTACCGGGGAGAGTAGTAGTGCGGGGGCGGTGGCGACGAGGGTTCCGGTTGTGGGGGCTGCGGTGTTGGGGATGGCGGCGTTTTTGTTGTAGGGTGGGTGGATTTATGGTTTGGGTGAGGGTGGGAAGGAAGAAAGAAAGGAAAGAATAATAACGCGAGAATGAATTAATTGGAGTAATAGGTCGGGATGGATCATATGAAGCTTAAGGGACATGGATGGGATGGGATGGGATCTTAATGGATTAATTAATACGCGGTGGCATAAATCAACATGATTTCAATGAGATGTTTCAATGTATACTAGGTAGTCCAGTCCAATATGAAAGATATCTGATACTCTAAAGTGTATTGGTTTGAGCTAATTGATTATCTATGATTAAATTCTTTATACATCTCCTGTGTGTATTTCTGTTAATACATTTGTTATTTAAATAATAGGGAAGTAAGACTATCTGTCTATTAAAATAATCTCAAATTTTATATTGTCAAATCCCCAACCCTAAATACCGAACCCCAAACCCCAAGTATAGTATACAATCATAATCACAAGATATCAATAACGTTACTACTCCGAAAAGCTCTATTATATCAAGACGCCATGGATCTTATAAAGACTCTATCATATATCCAACCAGGGGCCATTGCGCGCTAAATACCATGGTCACTCAACTCCCCTCTATACTTTCTGACCTTTCTATTATATACTTCCAGTCTGTCCGAGCTTGAGAATTATTATAAACTTGATGGTAGATGGCAAAAAATGAATAAAGCTGGATCGAAAATCGTACGACTTGATACGAGTATATAAAGTTTATAGGGAAGGATGAAAGTGGAAAAGCCCCATATGTAAGATTATATATTTGGCCAATTATTCGCTAATTAAATCACATAACCAACAGTTTGGATTATGCCAGTAGAACGTTTCATTGATAAGTTTTCGAGTATTACGCTAATACTAGCTCGCTAATATTATCCTCGGTAGTATAGGTTTTATTTCGAATCAAAAATTTGGCACAGTTGCGACACAGATGGGCTAGATTGCTATAGATTATGCAGAATGCTATCATTACAACAACAGATTATTTACTGGTCTTTAATTAGGCAGTAAATCTGAATGAGCCTCTTGCAGCTGGTGGATTTGACCATTTTCAAAGATTTCTCAGCAGTTGTCAAAACCCGTTCGTTAAGTCCTCAGCGTAGAAATCAAAGGCAGGCACTTGCAATTGTAATAGTATTAAAACCATCCACTTCCAACAGTATAACCCTTTTGTGACAAGCTTACTCATCATGAAAGACGGCACGGTTCTTATCACAGGCGCTAATAGCTCCCTTGCAATGCCATCGGTTCAATACCTGCTCATGAATTACCCGAATCATACCATCCTCCTGACTATTCGCAATCCTCTCGACGAGAATACTCAAAGCCTTAGGAAAGTACCGTCTAATTTTCCCAAAGAGCAATCAATTATCCACACGCTTGATCTCGGTTCATTAGCAGCAGTTCAGAGTTTCGCTAATACTATTAAATCAGAAATCACCAAGGCAAAATTACCTCCCTAGGCCTATCGAGCTCGTCTATATCTGCAATAATTTAACATGGAGCATTTCAATGTGTTTAAAGTTCACCGAGGACAAAACTACAAGAGTTCTATTACTGTAAATCATCTTGCACGTTTTTCATTAGTCTTGAGGTTAACGTTGTTGGGTTCATTCCAATCAGAAGGTGGTAGCATCGTCATTCTTGGTAGTGATTCTCAATATCCTGGCAAAAATGACCTTGAAAAGTTCCCCCCAGATCTTCCTGGTGATTTAGAACTTCTTGTGCACCCTGCACCAGATAAAAGCGGGGAAGATGTTGGTCGTGGTTTTCAAAGATTTGGATTTTCGAAAGCTGGGGCTATCATGGGCATACATAAATTGAATAAAAGACTCTTCAAGGTAATCTTATGATTGTGGTTAAATATTGCTTAACATCCACTCACTAATAACTCGTAGAATCTATAATTGAGCAATATTTCCGCAGTGGCCATAGCCCCTGGCGGTCTTCCCGATTCAAGGTGTATGAGTTCTGGTGTATCATCCACATGGAAAGTCTTGATGAAAGGAGTATTTGGACCACTACAGCCTCTGTTGAAATATCTAAATTCCGAAATTGCGTAGTACCAAGATTGCTGCTGTAGATCTAATTGAGATGGCAATTGGGGAACAGCATCGCGGGTCAAGTGGCTACTTTGTTATGTTGAACAAGGGTGAAAGTTCACCGGAGGGCTGGGATGAAGAGAAGTAATGGGACTTATGGAGGAAGATTGTGGATCGGATTGAAATTACTGAGGATCAAACTCTGCTGAAAGAAGTGTTTGTGTAGATCTAGACAGGACAATATCTACTCAGAGACTATTAGATGCGCTGGGTATAGTATAGAATTTGTAATGCATATCTTACCCGAGTATTCTGGCATTATACAATATTTTTCTGAAGCGCAATAACATCCTGAGGTCCGGAAAATAGTATCTTGCTAATCGTCCTGTTCATCGAACGAGTTTGTGACAACCCTACCACTATTGTGACGACTGATCTTAGTTGCTTGCTATTATTATATTTGAGTTTGCTCGTTCTCATGGTTACAACTCCCCTCTTTTCTTTAATTCCATATACTGTTCCGGCATACTATGCTAATTCGCCAACATGCAGTATCAATTATAATAACTATCCTTTTCCCAGCGTCATATCTGTTTGTATGATGGCGCTGTGGCTTGTCATAGCTGACCTAACAGAAGGCGCATTTAACCGATCTACTTTGCCTCGAAATTTATAATGAGAAATGTACTGGGGGTCATCAACGAAGACCTCTATGTTTTAATTATGGACTAAGTCTTAACTACCAACTTTTTAGACGGCAAACTTCAGTGAGTAATTCATCGCACTACATTAGCCTTCTGAAACTGTGACGAAGCATCTGTCATTAGATTCCGTAGTTTGACTAGTGTGGCCCGGTGCGCTGATGCGATTAGAGTTTTAGAGTGATGAAAACGGATTTATGACCACTCTATACAGAGAAACACTATGGTTTACAGCTTACTACTTTTATCAGTTTAACGTCTTATGAAAATCCCTACATTCCTATCTCATCCCATTCTTTCTCATCCCATTCTTTCTCATCCAATCTAGCCCAACCCAAATGGATCTTCCATCAACTACCAACAATTGACTTTCATCTTGACCCAAACCACACCATGTAAAGCGCTTACACCTTCGACAGAAGAAATCCATCCTTTTGCAAGAGCTGAAAAACTTCAGTAGGATCATATTTCGCAGCAATTTCTTTCAATGTTCTAATATTCGTAGTCGGGTATTGAGCTAGAGGATTTTGATCTGCGTAGCAATCATTCATATATAGATATGAAAGATTGGAGTTTCGAGATGCACCAAGGATTTAAAACTGGTCAACAATTGATTTGACAGCACCTAGTACAATTTCATCGTCATCTTCAGAGACCCAATCTATTGGGTTTCTTGAGACCAGAAAGAGCATCAGATTGAATTGATTGATTCTCTAGCTAAGCAGTTAAGCTGCGAGTATATATTCAAAAAATGAAGGAATAAGGTTAGGTATTCAGCCTTCGGAATTAAAGTGCTTTGAAATCAAAATATTGAAAGCAAACAAACAGTATACCAAAAAGGAAAGAATGAATTAAAAGTTGAGTTTTGTTTGCTCCTTATATGCATCATGCAATATATATGCATATGCTGCCAAGATCCCAGGAGGTCAACACAATCGGTCACGGTAGTCCACCCTGGAGAATATCAGCGAGCTTTCATCAATAAAGTTCGGATTAGCGTAGGAGTACAAACATTAATGTGCTTGCGAAGGGATGCCCATTTGATTACCTCCTCGCGCTTCACTTACTGCGACCAGTGATGGTGGGATTGTTTGAAGGGTAAAAGCTATATTGACTTTGATTCCATCAGCTTGGAGACGATTTACAGTATCAAGAAAGTAACTTGATGTTTCATTATAGAATTTATCATCTATTAAGCTAGCTGCTGAACGATATACGTGACTGGAAATTATATGAGTCTTCAAACGAAAAGCTGGAAGGTTACAATATTTACCGCGCAGAAGCATTGCTAATGCAGTACCAAGAATGGTACTCAGGAATGTCACCGTTGCGTTGGTGGGTGAAATTCTGACAATACCATTTGGTATTGCGGCAAATGGAGCAAAAGCTTCTGGATAAGTGGCAGGTTCAGAGTACACGAGACCTAGTGGACAACCCGTTTTCAATATGTTAATGAGAACAGATGATTTAGAATCAGTTTGTACTCCATTTTTTGCCATTCGGTGAAAGCAGCTAGGACTTTAGGGAGCTCAGTGAGAGGATAAACGGTTGCTTGAAACCAGATATTTCTGACTGGTATGGTGTACATATCGAATCGTCTTACGATGCCTGAGCTTCCAATTAATGGCATGCTACATCTCAATAATCGGAAACCTACCGAAGTTAGGGCCACCTCCTTTTAATGCCCAGAAAAGACCTGAGTTAGTATCTGCGTTTGCGTTCACGATTTCGCCACTCGTTAGAACAACCTATTTATTTCATCAGATTGTTTGAAGTCAAAGAGGTTATACATATGCTAGTCACTTACCTCAAAATCCTTTACATTATCAGCAGCCAGTCCGTGCTGAGCCGAAAAATGGGATAAGCCACCTAGATTCATTCATCAATATGACCATAAATCTATGCTCCAAGTTCTTCATCACATATCTCCCAAAATCAACCCACCTACACCAACCTGCGGAACCCTACCACCAATAACCGACACACCATAAGAATCAAGCGCTTCATACACCGCACCCCATCTTAATCCGGAACCAATACTAGCCATCGAATTATCCGGACTAACATTAATACTATCCAAATTCGATGTCGAAATCAATATCCCGTTCGAATCAATACTTGACCAATTGGGATTAGGAGAATGACCTCCACTTCGAACTGCAAACGATACATGAAGAAATGAGATAATCTTCATGATAAGAGAAATTTCTTCTGTTGAAGAGGGAGAAACTACGCATTGTGCTTCTAAGCGACATGCTTCGGACCTGAAGTCTTCTTGTTAGAAGATATTGGGGATGGGGAAAGAGGGAATGAAAGGTACCAGTTGACTGCGATTAGGGATTTGTCAGTCGAGGAATATTGGACATTGTTGGTTCCTAGAAGGATTTGGAAGGTCCAGCACGCTAGAGGTGTTAATGCTGGGATTGGATGCCTTTTGATGGATGGATTGCTCAAATGCGCAACCAGATTCTCGTCGCTGGTAAATTTCGAGGATATGATCGATGCAGTTTCGTCGGCAATATTGAGACTTTTAATGAAGTCAGATATCTTGGTCTCAATGATTGCAGGTTTTTGGTTATTGAAATAGAAAGCTAGGAGAATAGGTCATCAAAGGTTGAAGAATGATAAATTGAACGGAAGGAATGATGAATGCCAGATGTGATAATGAGAACAACACCATACTGGAGAGCGAGTTGTGGCCATGTTGGTTATTTTATACTGTATCTACAACAAAGGCTATTTCTAGGAGCGGGTGGTAACACGTATATATCACACTATCCAACTGTTAGTCCAACAGTTGAAGACCATAAGTTCTGCAGGATGGCGAGATATCGACTTTCGGTCCATCCATTGCTGCAGAACTACCTTAAAACAATCATATACTCAAAAACAACATCAGCATATACATGCACAGAATGAATGATGAATGCGATGAATTTTTTGGGGTAAACAATCGAAAAAGAAATATTTCAAACACACCTCGAATATGGAAAAATAACCGAATATAATTGGTCCCCACAGTTCTACCTGCTCCTGCCTAAACTACTAGTCAGTAGCGTGCTCCAACCCCACTTCTTCCTACATATGCATATGATAAGAGTCATAAGTTGGAGCACATAGATCAGGCAGACTCGTCGCTAATAATGTATAATTTAAACTGCAGCGGACATCTGTATCTAACAAATAATAATATAAGTAAACACACAGTCCTTAATTAACCTTACAATTCCCATAAACTCCAAAGTTCCCTTTCTCACTCACCATCATACACACCAAGCCAGCGCAGCAGCACAAAATGCCTCTCCCTTCAACCCCGCTCACCATCCACGGCGGCTGCAGCTGTCAAACTTTCCGCTACCGACTTGAGATACCTGAAGTAAGCGAGCGACCGCTTCATCCATACTGCTGGAAAGCAAAATCTGCATCACGATCTTCATCTCGATCCTCATCGCGATCTAATTCTGAATCCGATTCTGATTCAGGAGATGAATATCGAGATAATGAATCAGGAGAAGAAGTTAGATTACCAATGATAGCAATTGATCTCTGTAATGATTGTCGAAGGGCAACAGGAAGTATCTTGCCTACTTGGATTTGTTGTCCTATGGACTATATTTGGATTTGTGTTTCTGATGGGGATGGTGGTCAAGATGTTGGAGGTAGTGAGATGGGAGGTCATGATGATGTTAGCGAAGAGAATGATGATAGGAGCAGGAATGAAAGCGAAGAGAAACCGCGCCAGGAAACCTGGGTAAAAGCCACCTCAGTATTCCTACCCTCCTCCTCCTCCTCCTTGCCACAACCCCCCTCCCCACTAGGAACCCACAGTACCACCCCCTCTCACACACGCTACTGGTGCAACAAATGCGGCACTCCCCTCGCATACCGCGCTCATCCCATGCCGGCCGAATGGCCCGAGATGTTAGATATACTACTCGGAACGATGGATCGAGAAAGTCTAGAAATGGAAGATCCGGACACGGGTAGATATGTGATGATTCCGGAAAGGGTGGTCTGGGATGACTGTGCGGTTAATTGGACGAGGGGGTTGTTGGGTGGAGAGTGTAGACGCTTGCCGGTTCATAAGAGGACGAATGTGGGGTTGAGGAGGAGGTTTTATTAGCTTTTCGGGGTCGGGGTGGATTTTATGAGGTGGGGATCGGGTTTCAGGATTTGAGTTTTATGTATATGAGAATGAAGAGGGGGATTCAGGAACTTTTTGCGATGTACGTTTGACATGTTTGGTATTTTGATCCATCTGGAATTTTACCTCAAAACCTGTTGGAATTGCCAAAAGCCTCCAGATCATCCGGCTAGCCTTGAAGACTGAGTATTGAAAACCTTTTGATGCGGTGTTCCCGAAACCTGACTGCTTCGGAGGAAATCTGAATAAGTCTGGAAACTGCTTCCAGTGCCAGCTTTACGCGGCAGATGATACCGATAGAACCTTATAGGCGCTAGCTATACTACCGGTTGATAGTTTTTAATAGACAGTTAATTTTTAAGAAATTGACTATCCTAAAATACATCATGCATTTGCCTAGTAACTTTTCTTAGCCAGGAGTTCTGGAAAAGATAGCACATACACTCAACAACTCTTGAGTGTAGGAGAACACCAAATGTAGCTTAAATAGCATTATCTCAACTAGGAACTTCCACGAGCATCAATCGCCTCTCCACCCCCTTCAAACAAACCACAGTCCGGGAATCGATATTCTACCAGCCATTAGCATGACCTTCATTTCTAGCACCCATCCCCCCTTTTTAATTCCCCTTTCCTCCTTCCCCTCTCAACAAAGAAGCAAAAAAAGAAAACTATATCACTCACGATCAAACAAACTCTCCCCAAAAATCCGCCTCCCTCACATAACAAAAATCCGTCGTAAGATACGCATACGTCACCTCCCCATTCGTATCCACAAAATCACTCACATAACACTGTACCCAAACACCATGATCCCCATTCATATTTCTTCACTAAATGACTTGATGAAGAAGGTGCACTATAGCAAGGAGCATAGTCTTCGCCTACTGTTATGTTAAGAAGGTAGCGTTTGTTGAGAGTGTTAGATGAGGAAGGGGGTAAATGTTTAGTGAGAGGATGTGGGGGGATTTCGTTTTTATTGAGCGGAGAAGATGAACGTTTTTCTGGCTCTGTGTAGTTTAGTTGGAGGAAGCCTACGGGACCGCAGTAGTCGAGTTTGGCTTTATTGGCGGGCTCTTCGAGTCCGATTTGTGCGACGTAGCAGTTATCGGTGGTTTTTAACCATGTACTATTTTCCTCATTGTCAGCCACTTTATCTTGGTAGACTGTCAAGATGGATATGATATTGAGACAGGAGATATTTTACCTATCATTGATTACAAGGTCTCCCTGATCAGTCCAGCAAGTCACCGTAATATCAGTTCCATATTTCAGATATTTGATTATAGCACAATCCGCGTTGTCGTCGCAGAGATTACATTCTGTATTGTACTTTGTGGTTGCAGGAGCGGTAGTATAGTGTTCAATGGTAGAATCATGACCACAAAAGCTTAGATCGTCTTCATCTGTAAGGTTGTACTACCGTTAGTTGAACTCATATGTGAGCTTTGGGAGAACTTACATTCTCCAGCATAATCGGTAAGGTCGTATTGGGTTATATAGCAGTCGTCGCTTGTTCTCAACCATGTACTTGAAGAATTTAACATTTGATATACAACTCAAAATATCGAGATGAATCTTACCTATCACCACCAATTACTGTTCCTGTAGTCCAACAAATGAGCGATACGACGGTGTCGTAGTCGTAGTATTCTTTGTTGGTACAAAGTGAATAAGGACAAGTCTTACATTCAGTTGCTACCCCTCGTTCTAGAGTATTGTTAAATGGAGGTTTGAATGCAGCATGTGTGACATCTGCAAGGATCATGAAGATTCCAAGAGCAGGAAGCGACGAGACCATCATAGCAATACCGAATTCCCTCAATTCGATCTAGAGGAAGATGCAATTGTAGTTTATTGATCAATATTGGTTAATTGAATAGTGAACTGTTTTCCAACAATCTCAGGTTATGTTGGAACCGAAACCTCATATATACCAACATCACACCAGACTGCGTCAAAGCCGGAACCGTTTCCGTTACCGCCCATCAATGGCTGACGCCAAGAATAAACTGTTGAATCTCTGCAATATACGAGTATCTTTGAAATCAAGTAGCTTTTAAGCATATAACTGCAGGTTCAATGCAAGTAATACTGATCAACCCGAGCTTACACAGTCATTACCCCGCCGTCCTACAGCCTTGGCAAGCCTTTCCAGTCAGCCATATGATATTGACGAATCAATGAAGAGAATTCCGATGCAACATCGTATAGTTAGCTTAAGATTTCTGAATGCAGCTTAGATGCTGCTCAGTGATGTTCAGGCTAAATGTAGGTACGAAGTCATGCTTTCAGTAGTGGGGCTGATGATCATGGTGAAGTAGCATTTCGAGCTTCATAGCCAAGAGGTTTATAATGAGAACCCTATAATAACTCCTAGTCCCTGCTGCTGCTTTCTATTTCGTACATGAGTAGCGATGTATACATGACGGACAATTTTTTGAAAGCTCGCGTATGGTATTGTGATTGGTCTTTAGTGACCACATCTAACTCGATGCTGTTTCTTTGTTACCACAATAAAGAAGTAGTGCAGTATGTCGGAGGTTTGGTTTATGGCAGTCTCCTGAAAAACTTAGTTAGGCCTAATCATATTTTGTTACTTCTTTGACTTCACTTTTCTGACCTATCTTGTCGATGACTTGGTCCGGCTATTCGGCTCAACCAGTTTGGCCCAGTTCTCCGTGCGAAGGTCATTGCAATTTTGTATCATATGGCCCTATTCCCTATCTTTTTTTAGCCCGTGAAATTGAGCGACTGAGTATATCAAACAAGACTGAACCCTCCAATTCAAGCCCGAGATTCTGTTCCTTCAGCGATTCGGTGTAAGTCTTGAGTCATAACCAGTCTTCTCGCACGTCTCTTCGTTAATAGCATCTGTTGAACTTCCTCGTCCGTAAGAGATAGTCCAAATCACCAACCATTTCGAAGGCGACCAAGTCGATGATCATCCGCTTGGAATTTTGAAGACTAGAGTCAAAACAAAGGTATAGACCCCGTAGGTTTGCGAGTCGGAATTCGCTGGTAGCCGTCCAAGACAAGCTTCATTTGACATCAAGCCTTGCACGTAATAGATTCCGAAAGCTTGATAGCAAGCATGCCTCAAAGGCTTCAGCAAGGCGTGCTTAGTTTCATCAATACACAGATACCATACCGCCGAGAGTGACAGTATCTGGCGCAAGGCCTACGGGATTGTACGTGTGGTGCGAGATGATACTGTCAGGGTAAGATCACAGTTTATGTTAAAAACAAAAGAATCTTCACCTTTGTTAAAGCCACCTAGTGGCAAGTTTAAGCCCTGAAGAAGTCGACATACGATATCTAAACATAATCCAAATCTTAGATCTTTTACCAAGGACAGCGTACCTCTTCCAGAAAAGTTATCTGCAGCAATTGTAGGGATGAACGCTTCGGGGAAGCTCTCTTTCCTTGATGGCGAATAAAACTTTTGATTCGTCAAGATATAATCGTTTCTTTTGATAAATAAAAACAGGGCGATAGAGTAAATAATCTGCCTCCATTACGAGAGCACAAGAAAGCCCTGTCACATCTAGAACATCACTATCATGTCTTCAGAGTGAGGTAATTGCGGGAGATAACCCAGATGCAAGATAATGTCCAGGTAATGGATGGGCCTCATTGAACAAGGCCAGTCGGGAGACTAAGTAGGTATGATAGCTCCAGTCCTCTTTTTTCTCGCGTCTTTCTTTAGAGGCAGATACTAATGTGCCGTCCTTGTTGATACCGATCCTTTGAATTGATTCTGATTATTTCTGATTATTTCTGCGTATTTTTTGATCTGCTCTTCGGCTGCTGAGTATTCTTCTTGGAAGAGGATAGAAATGTGCTGCCATCAAGAAATGATATTACCTCTTTTTGCGTGATGTTCGGCAATAACCCGTAGTGTTTATTGATGAGATGAATGAATACTGCAATGTGGTATGCTACCCGAGGATATGAAATCATGTAGACTCCCCATCTGTGACCGATTCAATATTTGAGACCTCTGAATACTACATCGACCATTCAATCTGACTCCAATAACATTGGGCGGGTCTGCTTGTGTCCAGATACTAACAGTTCCGGCGATGATACAGCTAATCTGGTTGAGACTTGCCTATTCCTCCAAAATTAAAGGAGCACGAGTGTATCGAGATCCTGTTTTGTTTTTGTCTATTATCGAAGGCCTGCCATTTTTGAACTATTATTGATAATGAAGATCAATTCTTAATCGATATATTTGAACAGGGAAGTATCTGATGACTCCATTTTGAAGGATTCAATAAACAGGTTCATATTCTGTGACTGAAATCTTTGTATGTAGTTATGATGGCAAGATAATAATCGATGCTGGTCTCTTTAACAGGGCAATGTGTATGAGAAATGGCGACTCACATGATAATCAGCTGATGTTACAAACACATGACAAGAGACAACCAGCTGTGCATTACTTGTAAAATCAGCTAGTCTCAACGTTTAGCACTTACCTGATCTGGTTTGCCCAATATCTAATAAGAAAGAAGTGTATCCTAACAAAAATCACCCTATCTCACTGAAAAAGAGGCATGTATAAATGAATAGACATACATGGTGGGGTCAAAGATGATATCATTACTACAGCATGATTTAAGAGAGGGTCGTCCGTTAAGTAAAAAGACGAAAAGCAAAAATCTAAAAGTGAAAAAGTGAAAAAAAAGAAAAGTGAAAAGGCGATAAGGGTAAACAATGAAAATATCGAATCTTTAATATCGATCTAAAATATATAACGTGTTTCATCACCCCGTGCACCATATCACCTCGTGCACCACTTTCACCTCAATTCCTATTTATAATCATATATAATTCAACAATTACTTGATCAATTGATTTAAACTAAGCACTATCTAATAATTTAGGATCTATATTATCATTAGAACATGTTCTTGCATTATGACCTGTTATTCCACATTTACTACAGCATCGATTAGTCGATGCCTCTCTATTAGAATTCCGCCCATTTTGTTGCCTATCGCGTTTAATCTGAACATCCACCTCTTTTTGTGATATAATATCATTAGCCTCTTGAATAGTGAGAGCTCCTCCTAAACGTAATTGAGTCTTTTTAGCGCGTCGACGTTTACTTAATCCCGTATTTGCCAATCGAAGATCGTGATTCTCAAAAGCTAAAATCGTGACAGTACTAGCTAGGTATTCTACACCCTTAATTAAAGGATCTGTAGCCTTAAATATAGGTGTAGGAGAGCTAGAATGATGCCGAGCAATAATAGATCGTACTAAAAATGCTTGTGAAAGAGCTTCGGTGGCATTGTGAGGTGTTTGTGAGACCCAATCGGGCATATGACTCGGAGGAAGCGAAGGAAGAGTAGGTGTACGGATTCGAATATCCATTCTAGAGAGTACAGCATCGGGATTAAAAGGGACTAATCCTGCTCCTCTAAAGCCTGCTTTCATATTCTCCATTGTAATTGCTTGTTCGTATGCAGCATTGAATGCTATAAAGAATTCGACTTTGGAGATATGATTGATATGCATCCGCATATACCCCTCAATTTGCTTGCTATATGCGCGTTTTAGCACACTAAAACAACTAACATCAAGAGGTTGGGTGAGATGACTCGAATGAGGTGGTAGTCCGACGGCTTTAATCTTATGTTCTATACAATACTTCTGAAAAGGGCCTGATTCATGGCTTTCATGTCCATCTAAGACTAGCATTCGATATGCACCCTTCGTTCGAAGTTTCGTATGCTTATCAAAATGCTTTAGCCATTCTAAACCCGTCTCATTATTCGTCCATCCATTTATAGTAGTTTTAACCACCCATTCGGGAGGCATATCCGTCTCGCTGTACCAATTGGCTAGGTGCATTTGTCCTTGAACAAGGAGATATGGAGGTATGTTCTCCCCCGTCGCATTACCACATACAATCGCTGTCGACCATTCTCTATTGCCTGGCTGTATTCCTTTACTTTTGCCACGTCTATCTGCACTAGTAATAACCATACTAGAGGATATCACTCCCATCATAAAGCCTGTTTCATCAAAATTCCATATATCGCACTCCTGTATTCCATATTTTGCCTTTATATTTTTGAATAGTTGAAACCACTTATTAATAAGCTTAGGATCCTCGCAGAGAGCCCTTTGGAAGTCGTAGGCACGATTAAAACGCGTTTTTAGAATATTGTGTCGATTCACGAATCGATATGCCCATTGTTTACCAACACGCTTTCCACCCCTCGATTCAAGAATGTGATTCGCCATACTTTCAACACTTATGAATTTAGGACTAAATCCTCGCTCATCCATATCGATTATATGTTGAATAATAACCTCCTCTTCAATTTTAGTAATTTTATGCTGTTTTTGACGATATTCGGAGGCAGGAGTGATCCCTTTCATTCTACGCATGAGTGTCGTATGAGTAATATTGTAAATCTTGGCAGCTTTCCGGAGGCTTAAATTTTTATCTTTAGCCATTGCCTCCATCGCCATAACGATATCGCGTTCATTTAATGTCGATACCATAATTATTTATTGATAAATCGCGTATTGAAGTGATTGATGTGAATTGAGGTGAAAGTGGTGCACGAGGTGATATGGTGCACGGGGTGATGAAACACGTTAAGATTAGTATATAATTAAAACTTTCATTTTTAATATTCTTATAATTCAAATTATATTGAATTTGATCAATTTTTTATTGATTGGTAGATGTTACGAGGTTTGCCGTCTAGATCATGTGGAAGTGCTCTAGGCCCTCGAAGTGGTTTATGACTAGGTGTCAAGCAGGGACTTAAGTAATGACAAAGATGCAATTCGTAACTAATAGTAGAGTATACTAAATAATTGATCTTGAGCATGAAGCTCTATACAAAGGAAATCCATCTTGATTATATAGACCTTCATGCTTCGTGGCTCGAAGAGAGCGAAGGGATCGAGCTTCGATCCTTTCGCTCTCCTCCATCGAAGGGCTCGAGAGGCCAAGCCTTCGAGCTCTTCAAGTCCTCGCATCACGTGTTATTACTAATCCCGTGACCTAATTGTTACCTGTCGTAACACTTGCTTGACGCCTAGTTATAAACCACTTCGAGAGTCTAGAGCACTTTCACATGATCTAGACGGCAAACCTCGTAACATCTGAAAGCTTTTAATCGATAATATATAATTAATAATTCTTGGAATTTATTTATTATAAATTTCAAATTTTAATTGAATTATTAAATGTTTTTAAACTCTTTTTCCCTTTTCGGAATATCAACTTTTCGCCTTTTCACTTAACAGACGACCCTCTCTTAAATCATGCCGTATCATTACCCCACCATGTCCGTTTGATCAACCATACTTTACACGGGGTAACTCAACCACAACCAACATCAATCATATCAAGCATACCTAAAGTTATCCAAACCAAAACCCCCATAACCATAACCATGAGCACGCAACCCCCCAAACCCCAGCCCTTCAAACTAATATTTTTCGTCCCCCCCTCCCACCTCAGCACCTGCAAAACCGCCATCTTCGCCACCGGAGCAGGACGCTACCCAGGTCCTGGAAACTACACCGAATGCTGCTGGACGACGACGGGCACCGCCCAGTTCCGACCTGGCGATACTGCAAATCCGAATATTGGGAGTGTGGGGACCTTGGAGACGGTGGAAGAGGTTAGGTTTGAAACTTTGTGTGTTGGGGAGGAGATTGTTAGAAGTGCTGTTGAGGCTTTGAAGAAGCAAGTTTGATTTTTGATTTTTGATCTGTGAGAACTTGGGCGTCTCTAATTAATGCATGGTTTTAGAGTTCATCCGTATGAGGAACCGGCTTATGAGGTTTATAAGATGGAGGATTATTAAGCTGGTTATATAGTTGTGATATTGTCACTGTTGGACAGAGACGTGCAAGGGGCAGAAATAATGTAGTGCGTGCTGTTGGAGACCTAAAGTATGGCTTTACGATCTTGGAATGGATGTTTGAGGATTGCTGAAGTGCAACTACTTTTAGAGAGTTCTTTCCTAATCCTCAATTGGGAATTAGTTTACGGGATATACAGTTTCACTTGGAGGTTATTCCGTGCCTTGGTTAGCTTTTGTGCTCAACTTGAGGTACTACATACAACGTATCTTGAAAACATTATTAAAATAAAACAAGAATGTTATTTAAACCGAATATAATGTTACGAGGTTTGCCGTCTAGATCACGTGGAAGTACTCTAGGCTCTCGAGGTGGTTTATAACTAGGCGTCAAGCAGGGACTTAAGTAATGACCATAATGATATGCAATTCGTAACTAATAGTAGAGTATACTGAATGATTGATCTTGATCTTGAGCACGAAGCTCTATACAAAGGGAATCCATCTTGATTATATAGACCTTCGTATCCCAACATTGGAGCGATGAAGCTGGGGAGCGAGATTCGAATCTCGCTCCTTCGCTCCCTCGCTCCTTCACAAGACTATTCATGTGATCCTATAACACGTGATAATAGTTATAATGTTACAACGTAACACGAAGCTCTTCTACAGAGAGCTTCTCAATCTAGTCCTAATAGGACTAGTGCCTTATGCACGTGCTACGCAGAAACCATTCACTTTAACATACTCTACTATTAGTTACGAATTGCATCATTGTCATTACTTAAGTCCCTGCTTGATACCTAGTTATAAACCATCTCGAGAGCCTAGAGCACTTCCATATGATCTAGACGGCAAACCTCGTAACATATAAAAATATTTTAAATATATTTAAAAAAAAATGTTAATTTTATTTTATAATATAATATAATATTAAAATAATTGAATGATATTTATTGTCACGATTCACCATCAGGATTAGTGTCCTGGGATGAAAAGTAATCACGTGATAAGGAGCCCTAGGAGCCCTAAGAAGCCAGAAATCTTTTAAGGGCTCCCTGTCACGATTCATCATTAGGATTGATGGTGTTACGATGGTAGCAAACTGATTAATTAGGAGAGCTTAGGCCTTGTGCAAACACGATCAGATTTCATCGAATTAGTATGTGATCTTGGTCACCTGAAGATCGTATGCGCACGCACCATCAGAAATCACGTGATAAGGAGCCCTAGGAGCTTCGTGCTCAACTTAGTTATCAATTAGTTTACCTATATTCTACTTTATCTAGCAACGACTTCACTTCCAAGTGAATACCAGTGATAAAGCCTTAACCCATTACTACCAACCAGACGAAACCTTAGGCAGCCGCTGCCTCCAGTACAGTATCGTTACATTTATATCTACATCTATAAAGATAAATAAATACATAATATAAATAGATATTTTAAACTTTTGATTTCTTAAAGGTAATATTATATTATATCAAATTATATAACATCTATAAACCAAACCCTACCTATGACCCAAGCCAAGCCAAGCCAAACCGAACCAGTAACGCCCCTCTCATTAGATAGAATGATAAAGAAGAATATGAGAAATTATAATTCATCCTTGAAAATTTCCTCACTACCTTCCTCAGTCTCTTCATCTTCAAATACAACTTTCCCCTCATCTCTCTCCTTATCATTCGCCTTTTTTTCAGGCTTTTCGATAGGTCTTCCCGGACCCTTTTCATAACCTTGTCCACCATCATCCTCTACTATTCCCAAGATCTCCCTAACTTGTCCTGGTACATCTACCACTTCAATTTTCCAACCCTTATCCCCAGCCAACTTTTTAACTTCCTCTTGTAACCTTTCGATCATTTTTGGATCAAGATCCATCTTTTCTAGCGCATGTTGACTAATGACTTCGACTTGACCCCCCTCACTCTTACTTTTGCCGCGGGCAATAACTTCGCTTCGACTTGGGACCTCACCATCGGCAAAATTTGCTGGGATGGGTAGACGTTGTCCTTCCTTGCCGATAAATTTACCTGCGCCAACAGTTATACCTCCGACAACTAAGGGGTTTGAGGGCAGAGGTTTGGAAGATGGGCCAGAGGAAGAAGCGGCTTCGAGGCGGGAAGGGATGTCCGAAGATGAGACCACACGTTTGCAGACTATGCTGTTGGCTTTGTCTGCTTTGGGAGGCATGAATGCTACGTCATCACAGAGACGGGGCGTGTACACGACCATAAGGTATGAACAGGTTGTCATTTCTTTGATATAGCCGATGCGATCTTTGACGTTGGGATTGCAGTGAAATTGAACTTCGACTTGACGAGGTTTGCCTGTGAGATCACAAATCGTGCCACCTTCCATTTTTTGAACCAGGTAGCGAGTATCGCCCTTGACTTGAAGTTCGGTTTTGGGTGAATCCCCCTTTTTGGTTGTCGTATGTGCTTCTATTTGATTTCCCCACTCATCCTCTTTACTCATACTTTTCGATGATTTCTTTGCTTTTCCGAGAATGAATTCTTGAGCTGATGGATCCGGTTGGGGTGGGTAAGGGGCCTTTCCGGGTTGTGGTGGTAGTTGATGAAATTGTGTGATTTCATTGTTGTAGCAAAATGAATAAGACCACCATCCAGATACAAAATATAAACAATTATTCTCTAGATCTTGAAGTAATTCCCAACCACGATCAGTTGCTCGGGCAAGCTCTTTTTGTTCAGCAGCGCGAGCTTCCGCTTCTGAGGTTTCGTTTCGTGGAGGGAGAGAAACTATGGGAATCGTACAGAGATGTGCTTGGCCTTGTAGCCACATAAGCTCATGAGTTTGCTTGGAGGGGTCGAATTCATGATCGGTGGGGTTATCTTGGATGGGATGTTGAGATGATATACTTTTGGAGTCGGAAGATTGTTGAGTATCGTGAATGGGTGAGGGGAGATGATTGATGATAAAATCTGCTTCCTGATCCGAGAGGAATGAATCCGAAAATACTACTTCATACTTTTGTTCGTGAGCTTAAAACGAGTTACATCAGAATGGGTTATGACCTTGCGCATACCTGGGGAAATGCAAGTAAGTCATCGTGAACACTGAACACACTTTGACTAGCTAATGCGGTTGAAGCTGTAACCAACAGGACTGGAAATATTGGATGCATTATGCCATATGGCAATTGGGAATTTCACATGGACAAAGTTTCATCGATAAAAAATGTAGTTGGAAACTAAAATGTGGTCGCATTTTCACAAAGCTGGCATCATCTTTAGTTGGGGCCCCGGACCCTCGGATAAACTGCGTCATATTTGACCGGAGATTACTTTTTCCGCGCTTCACATGACATTAGACTTTACATGGTTGAATTCATAGGAGAAGTGATCTTGGTTCGCAACAGATCACGACAACAAGAGGAAGTTTGTAGCAAGGAGTAGCCCTTTTGACCGACCAACGTTACGACATGCAACAAAATTTGATACCCTTCCAAATTTCGGAGATAAATTTAAGACCGGTCACGTGTTGCGCTTCAAGCGGTTCAGCGACAGAAATCCAAGCAATCTTGCAGACCATGAAGGCTGGAAGAACGAAACATTGTCTGTAAGTCCATGGAGGGTCTGGACAGCTTACTCGGACTTAGAAGTCTAACATAAGTTCTGGGCATCATTTTCATTTCATGGGCATCGCCGATGAGGATAGATCAGGCACTTTTACAAGGCACATTTCAAGATGACAAGATGACATTTCTCTCAACTCATGTCGTGGAACACACCATTGCGACCACAGACTCGGGTCCAGAACATAGACACAGTGTACACCAAAGTAAAGTGTTGAAACCAATCCATGAGTGAGAAATGCATTCGGCAGATTCAACAACTCTCTTATCAAGGCCAGAAGAAGGCCAACGAGATATTGGGCATCACAGCATCGTGCACACCATGCGATTGATCTCACAAATGGGTATGGGTGTCTATCCTAAAGCGTAACACAAATGCCTCCAAAGCTTTTTCGTACCTTACGTATATAGTATAGAGCATAGTCTGGTCTGACAACATGTATTCGTGGGGTTTTGCACGCAGCCAGACATTCACAAACGATAATGATAGCTAAACTTCACCTCGGCCATCAACTTTACAAGTCAACTCCAATGCCCGATATGCAAAGGGAATAAGCGGCTACGCCCGACGAGAAAGAGAGAATTTGTTTGTGTCATTGCGGATCGATGTGATATTATCATCCAATCATCAGTCATATAGCATTGGGTGATTCTGATTCGAGGATGTCATTAGTTGTCAGGTTGAAAGGGTGGTGATTACAACGCAGAGCCTGCTCAACCGTGTGAGCGTTAAGAAAAGCGAAAGGTATGATGGCTTATGATGACTTATTTTCAGAGACGGGATCATTGATGGATGGGTGGACACCCAAGGTTATTTGAGTAATCCGTAGGAAGGGTCGCGATTGAAAGGCAACTCTCGGGTGTTTGTAAAGTTGCTTGTAAACTTGTAATTGTCTGGGCGAACTCATTTTAGTCAGCGATGTGTTGGTTCGTATAATTCACCGCACGTTACGTGTCGAGTCTGTGGTGGAACAGCTTTACGAGATTGATGATTGATTGATGAGTAATGATCGAATGGGCAACTTGGCAAGAGTAGGTAATAGGTAAAAGAGATTGAAAAGACGTTATCAGTTGTTGATCTTTATTATAACAAGACAAGAGCGGAAGACTTTTCAATAGTAGAGGGTGATTGATCATGAGACCCAAGAGATTTCGATAGACCAATGTATGTAATGACAGAGTGAAGGTAAAGAGGGTAAGGATTCAAGTCGATCAGTAAGTGAGAGAGTATGTACCTAGTACTCGTAAAGGTTCTAGATCTAGACTTGGAGAGAAATGTTTTCGATAAGATTTTGATACCGCGAATGCCCTCAAAATATTTAACTGAGTCTATCTTGAACTGAATCCATCTTAAACTGAGTCAACCCCAACCCCATATGTGATTCGGCATCTGAATCAGCATATTGAGCACATAGATTGTCAAGCCGACCAATACCGGTAGATCTACTTGAATATTTGAGTGACATCTGAAATGAATCAATCTTGGAAAGATCTTGGTTGGTATACATTGGCCATGTTGGATATGAATCAATATTAATTATCTCCAAGACTCAAAATATCTGAGTACCCACCTCATAGATACGGAGCTATGGTAGGTAGACGAGATAGATGATGGCTTAGATCCAAGGGACGTGGAGAAGAAAGAGAATAAAATGGCAAAATGTCTTGCTTTTATTTGTTTGGCGTTTGAAAATTGAAATGCATTGATTTGATTGTGATTTGACTGTGATGTGTAAAAAGAGAGGTAGTCAGGTAGGTAGGCAGGTCGTCGTGATTTTTGGTGGCTTACTGCTACTTCGTACATGATTTCTTTTTCCTGTCCTGTGTAGCCCATGTCCCCTCCCATACCACCCAAACCCTTCTCTATAGGTTCATCCTCACAATCACACTACTCCGTACAATGAGAATTTATCGATCCACAGAATCTTGAACACGCACGCCCTCACCTTCGCCCTCACCAATCCATCCCACCATACGACATCCACTTTCATCCACAAACATCCAGAACATCCACATACATCCACAACAAACTTCATTCTTTCCTATATAGGCAAGTCTCCATCTATCATCATTTGAAGATTCATTCTACCGGTACTCGTACACTCGCTTCCATACCAAGACTGGACTGGCTGGCCATCCTCCGTACATCCACATCCACCTCATCCACCTCATCCACCTTACATCCACTCAGAGATCTCAAACTTCCCAAACTTCCCAAACTTCCATACGTCCATACAGAGCACTTCCCATATCCCCCATACTTTATCATCTTTTTTTGTATGACCTCGAAACAAACCTAATCTGTCCTGTCATCATAATTATCCCAACCCACAGTCCACACTTCATCCGTTCCCATGCCGTGTCATCCATATCCCGAACTCAAATTCATATGAGCCCCATCTTACCATGTCGCGCTGTCCATACAATACATAGTTCGCCTTTCCCATTTCCACAATCTTTAATTCATTATTTTCGCCTTACTTTATGCTTCTCTATCTTCCCACTCAATCACAATCATATCGATAACTCAGTGCGAACTATCATTACCTTCACCGTTCGTAACATCGTTACCTGCATCCTTCATCCATACACGTATGTCATGGATTCTCATGTTCATCATCCCCAGCTCCTCTTTGCTGCACCCACTACTGTACCAAGTATGCTGGTGATCATACCATTTACTAATTATGTGAGGCTACAGATAACGTTACAGAAGACGATAGCCTTCTCCACTATCATACACCACGCATTCGAAAAGTCTCTTGGAGACTTATCTGACCAACTTTAAATAAACATTTGCTATGTCGTCCCAACTGAGGCTCAATACCTCGGGAGATCAAGATCAGCTACAATTCCTTCTGGCACAGCAAGAACAGATTCAAGCCCAAATCGCTTCCCTCACATCCGGTTCTTCGTCCTTATCGTCTTCCTTTCCAACTCACAGATCACCAATATACAAGCAACAAACGCAACGAAGACACAATGTTCCCCGAAGCATGTCAAGCAGTGGAGCTCCCATGGCCCGACACCTATCTTCTGTAGGAATCTTCCTTGGTTTTCCTTCCCGAGTTGGTTCTAACGATACTTAGGATGGGATTGAAGCACCGGTGATATCGCGGGCGATGTCTCAACAATCCGAGCCTGTAATGATGCGAACGAGTTCTATGGGCAGTACGTCCGTACATTCCGGAAGACTCCCATTCACGCAAAATGGCACGATGCCTCCTCCACTCCAAAGTGATCTCCGCCGATGTAACCCCGCCTTCGAAGCTTGGGTCAATCAAGACCAGCCCTACAGCTCTTACACATTTTCGCATCAACCTTCCGCTCCTCTCCAGCGATCCATGTCTCAACGAAAACCGGAATTAGAACAGGTTTTAGAAGATCCTCAACAAGGATTTGAGAATCCCGGCGACTTCCTCCTCCGTACCGGCTTTGCCGGTGTCTCACCAACACCAGTCTTTTCAATCACGCCCTCTCCTGTAGCCATGCATTCTTCCATGCCAATGCAACAACGACAATCTCGACAGTCGTTCAACGTGCCAAGCACGCCTACAACTGCAACTCTTACCGATGCGACTACATACACAAGTAACATGAGTCGACAAAATAGTCTCTTTAATGAGCCTTTGGTGGAAAGTATTGAAATGATGAAGTTCAATTCGAACAATTCCTTTTCTACAGGCATCAATAATGATGATCATGTTTATCCCGTTGCTCCTCAGTATAGTTCTCATCATATTCGTCGGTCTTCCGACGAGGAACAGACTCAACTACTTGTTGGGGCTGGTGGTGTTGGCAATGATTCTCAGTTTTCTCTTTCTTTTCCTAGTACGGAAGCATTTGCTCAATCTCAAATTCCACCATCTTTTGGTGCAAAGATGGAAAAGTCACAGTCGGTTGAAAGTGTTTCATCGACCATGTCATCATCATCTCGCAATAAGCAGCGGCTACAAGTCAGTAACATGGCCGCTGCACGACCACTCATGCCTAAAGGTGGCTATGAAGATAATTCAATGTCTCGAGTCAACTCGTCACAATCAATGACTCGACTCGATTCGAAAGATGGGTCAAATGATAAGGTTGCTATCGAAAAACGTGCATATCAACGACCGAAACACGAACGTGTATTCTGCAAATTGTGTGATGAACACCCTGATGGATTTCGTGGCGAACATGAGCTTCGAAGACATTGCGATCGACAACATAAAAGAATGGTGAAGAAGTGGGTTTGCATTGAACCGCCCAGCAGTCAAGGGCGCGAAAAGCCTGTGCTACCACTCTCAAAGTGCAAAGCATGCGCAACACAGAAGAAGAAGTACGGAGCATACTATAACGCTGCTGCACATCTCAGAAGGGCACATTTCAAGCCAAAGGCTAAGGGTAGAAATAAGAGTAGTAAGGTTGAGGATTCTCAAAAGCGTGGTGGGAAGGCTGGAGGGGATTGGCCTCCCATGTCGGAATTGAAGAATTGGTTCAAAGAAGTGGAAGAACCAGCCGCCGATTTTACCCAGCAAGAGGAGGACGATGATGAAGAAGATATGAACGAAAATATGCTCAACGATTTATCGCAAGTTGTTAACGCGTCAACTAATTTCGAAAATACTTCCGATGGTACTTCAATACCTGTCCTGTATCCTACGGCAAATACTCAAAATTTCGTCGGCAACATCACTTTCGACAATTCGATGCAACATGACATTGATCTATCAATGAACTTTGCAGGTCAAACAAATTTTGACCTTTCTTCCTTCCCCATGAATGACCCATCAGTGGCATTCTTTGATCCTACTTCTTCACTTCCTCAAGTTTTCGATGACCAATCTCTTGTTGGTATCAATGCTGTAAATTTTCCTTATGATTCTTCTTTATCTTTCAATTAGGTATTAATTATTCCTACTCTATTCGTAATGATATGGTTCGAGTAAGATGTGATTATAATTTTTTTTTTCTCTTTTTCTTTTCTACTTGTTCATTATCTTTTGGTAGCAATTCATCAATTTTATCAGATAAATTGATGAATTGTTTGGAAATCAGATCTAGATAGATAGGCAGGCGCTTTTTTTTTCTTCGGTTTTCTTATTTTTATACCTCGACTATCTATCTATCTATCATCTCTATCTATCTATTCCCTTTCTTCTTCGTTGAGAAGTCACGGCTGTTATGAGTAATGAATTGATTTGAATTGAATTGAATTAAATATTCTATTGGGTGGTGATATCTATCTTGTTTTTTTCTTGGTTGTTGGTTGTTGCTGGCTGGCTTGAATTACGCAGCGCTGTGCTGGATTATTAAAGGCGTCTATGGATGGATGGATGGATGGTACCGAGTGTTTTGTCGCTGATGGATGGGTGAAGAAGCGTTTTTGATTGATTGATTGGATTGGATGGGTTGGATTGGTGGGATTGGATTGGCTTATACCTATTTATTGTTGTGATCTTGATTATGAATATACTTACATATGTGTGTGGTTATTTTTGATGTCTTGATTGTGGGTTTTGTGTTGTGTTTATGTTGTGTTTGTGTTGTGAGCAGAGAGACTTGTGATTAGGATGTCGATGGGAGGAGATGGAGTGAGAGGTGGAGAGTTGCCGTGGTATGGGGGTGAGGGTGTAAGGGGTTGCAATAGTTATAAATTGAATTATTTGAGTTAATGTATCTTTGCTTCTTGTCACGATTCACCATTAGGATTGATGGTGTTACGATGGTAGCAAACTGATTAATTAGGAGAGCTTAGGCCTTGTGCAAAAGCGATCAGATTTCATCGAATTAGTATGTGATCTTGGTCACCTTAAGATCGTATGCGCACGCACCATCAGAAATCACGTGATAAGGAGCCCCAGGAGCCCTCAAAGCTCCTGGGGGCTCCCTTTATCGATCATTATATAGTCAGAATAGTTTCATAGTATAGGAGCTTCGTGCTCAACTTAGTTATCAATTAGTTTACCTACATTCTACTTGATCTAGTAACGAATTCACTTCCAAGTGAATACCAGTGATAAAGCCTTAACCCACAACTACCAACCAGACGAAACCTTTGGCAGCCGCTGCCTCCAGTACAGTATCGTTACACTTCTCTTCACTTCACTTGCCCTGGCTTAACTTGACTTCGACTTAATTAGAATTAATGATGTTACGACGGCTATCTTCTACGCCGCGTCACATGACTAAACCAAGGTAACGTGATTAAGTCACGTTATGGACCGCTGCGCGGTCCTGACTAGCCATAGGCATGAAGGTCTATATAATCAAGATGGATTTCCTTTGTATAGAGCTTCATGTTCAAGATCAATCATTTAGTATACTCTACTATTAGTTACGAATTGCATTATTGTCATTACTTTAAGTCCCTGCTTGACGTCTAGTTATAAACCACCTCGAGAGCCTAGAGCACTTCCACGTGATCTAGACGGCAAACCTCGTAACACTTATATAAATCGAAAATCAAAATTTCAATCTTTAATCTCTCGATTAATAAAATCGCAAAAATTCTGAAGTCTTTAGGATTGTGACCAAAAGGGTGTTTATAGACCAGCAATTGTATTTAACTTAGAATCTACAGGTGAAGAGCACCTGTAGATGGGGATAGCTACTCTATATACACACAAATGAATGGCCTAGCCGCAATGGCTAGGCAAAAGGAAGTCATATTTATTCCTCCAATGATCTTACTTTACCGATAACCATTGATACCTAGTACTTGTCCGGATCTGATCCTCAGGTCACCTAAATCGCATACTAATCTCGAGTAATCGTATCATGTGTGGACATGGTTAATGTACCTGAGGTTTCTTGTATAATAAGGGTGGGAGGAAAGCAGGGGTTTCCGTCACAGAAACCAAATGAGTCATGGTTCGAGGTTTATCAGCTAGCTGGTTTGATTTTTTGTTCAAGGCATTTCTTTTCAGTCGTACATTGTATTGTACATGCATGTTAGATTTTGGAATAAATAGTATTTTCCGCTATGAGAAGCCCAGCTGGTCTTGGGAATACTGTTGACAGTTTTAATTTAGATACTGTTATTGTATTTATGAACGAGAGGATGATTGAGGTGTCTCTGATTAATGTGGATATTCTATTCGAATACAAGGGAGATCAATTACAGTATTCAATTGCCTGATTATCCTCCGCAGCATCAAATTTTTTTTAAAAGTTTTGATGAAATAAATGCATTTACTCGAAAGTCGATGCTATTACTAGAGGGGCAACTGACGGCCGTGGGGAAATTTCATGGCTATTTAAACGGAGTAGAAGTAGATGGCTAACTGCAATTTTAGGAAGATTCGCTTGGATTCGCTGTTTTTTACCACTCGCTGTGGATACGGCAGTTATACAGCCAATGTAAAGTTGATATAGTCGTCGAAACTTTTTGCTGTGCGTAGCTGGCTGCTGATGTCTAATCACTAGTGCCTGTTAGAACTTGTTAGATATTCCCTTTGTCAAGGGGTCGAGCTTTTGGTGACATTTTTCAATACCTGGTAGGTCTTCCTTTTCTTCCTTCTAAAACAAATCCACCACTATTATTATCGGGAAAATAGGAAACTTTATACTTTTCGTAGACATAATCGTCATCTTTTCAAACCAAACAGTTCTATCTTTCTCAGTAAAGGAAAACACATCATCATTTGGTAATTGTTTGATTGCAATAGCTCATGCTGTAGTATCATCTTAGTCGAGTAGAGTTCGATTAAGTGTTGCCGAACCACAAATTCGAAGGCAGAAGAGTCGAGGTGTCTGAACATTGATTAATGTAACTTAATTATCTTCAAATTTGAAGTTATTTATATTAATATCTCAATCTATACTAAAATCTTGTTTTATATTAATCTCTGATGTGAAAACAACTGTGGTATTCTGGAAAATTTGTCGAGATCTAGATCCAAGTAATGAAGGACAATATTTTCTGGCGTAAATTAGACACCATCGTAGTTCAAGGATAAGTAACGGGATCAAATCCAAGATTAACCAGCTCGAACACCATGCAAAGAATCCACACAACTTTCCCTTGACATATCTGGACGACTGGCACTCAACTACTACTCTCCGTCATATATAATCCTACAAACTAGCCCGGCCCATGGTCTTCCGAAGAAGTCCCCCGAATTTACCATTATCATACAACGCGAAACTAGTCCCGATCGCGACGTCGCCCAATAATCCAAATAGACCATCGTTACAAACACTTTCTACGCATAGCGCTATTTCTCCACTATCTACCAACAAATGAAATACAATAGAGCCCGCTCCATATAACCAGAATTTTCGAAGAGCCACGCCAAGCCTGCCGCTGTTACTCCACCAAACGAGTTATACGTACCGTTCGTACAGTCCTAGTAAGTACACGTACACACATCTTGATGCTATAGTCAGACGAAAAGAAAGGCGATGATTCTCTCCAATAATGTCCATAAGGCCGGTAAGCTGAGGAGGGGCCATCATCAAGATGCGTCGAATAAAAATAATCTATAATACATTCTCGTGATTCCAAGCCTATTTGTCTCTTAAATTTAGGCTTCTTGAAGCGAGCTACCCCATTGGCCGCACGCTCCAGTCTCGAGTCGGGCAGTACACTTCACGAGAGATGCAAACCGCTTCCTCATGCCTTCTGGCACGTTGTTAAAGGCTTGCGTCTGCTTGTAGGTAGCGTCGCGGACCACTTTTACCTCGTCTTTAGTGACTAAGGGTCGAGGGTTAAGAATTCCCTGCGAAGTATTCGCATGTGGCTCCCAGGCAACCCAGAATGTCTGGAGCATATCTGTGAACAACGGAACGAACGGGAGCCATCTTAATAACGAGGCTATAAGACGACTTGCGGTTAGACAGGTTAATTGGCAGAAAAAGTGGACTTGAGATGAGTATTGCGAAAACAGGACAAGAAATGAAGTCACATTGTTAGAGTGTAATTCATAGTTTTTGTTTTACTACTTGGGTAAAATAAAGCTACAGGCTTCTAGTCCTTGACTTTCACTTGGATATGCTAACTCTGAAGTGGAAAGTGGGGGAGAGATCGCTTTTGAAGCTCTTCAATGTGCAGTCCAGACTGGCACATTGAGCTGTCCTACCATAAGCGAAGCAGACCAAAGCTTCAGATCGTTGATTTTCTTTTGGAATACTAGTAGCATGATGGAAAGCAAAGAAAGAGAGTGAATATTAAGCCGCTTAACGCAAAATTCAACTGGCACATTGAGTGCTATCGCCGTAAAAAAAAAAAAAGAGAAAAATTTCCCAGTTGTTCATCGCTTCTTGAAATTTTGAAGATAGTACAGGGAAGTGCAAGAAGATAGTGCATTTGGAGCTCTAGTTGTGCAGTGTAAACTGACACAACGATGAATAATAAAGTCCTTAAGTCTGAAAGGCAGACCAAGAACTTCTAGTATCCCTCATGCGCCACTACATAAAGATACCGAGATGAGTGACAAGGCTAGAAGTTTCAAATATTATTGCTAAAGTAGTATAACACAGACAGCATAATGAGGAAGAAAAGATGGAAAGCCCATTGTATCCCAATCATGCTAGTAACATGTGATGTTAAACTGTATATGGAACAGGAAGATTTTTCGAAGACTTACCAATAAGCGAGAGGGGTTAAATTGAATTGAAAGGGCAAAAACTTTTAGTAAAAGATAATGAGACGACAGCTCTGTAATTCTATTCCTTATCTAGCTATACGCTTCAGTCAGCTAAAATTCTACCAAACTGGAGCTTTAAAGGGCGGTTTCTTACATTTGTGTCCGTTGTGGTTGGGTGAGGGATCTTAGAAGAACTGAGAAACACTTAAATACCAAAAACAGAGTAGTTCTCCTTCCCTTAGGCTGGCTGACAAGCACTATATATTGGTTGTAGGCAGAGATCTGAGAATTGAAAGACCCTGGGTTAGGCTGAGCTTTCCTCAACCTGGTCAAGGTTATCAGTCACTTTAGGGATGCTACAGCTTTCTTGATCGTCACTATAGGTTTATGAGTATCATCGTTGTCATGATTGCGATGGGTTGTCGCCAAACAAGGAGAAATGAAGACATACTTGATGATTTGAACACTTTGCTTCGGGATTCTACAAGAAATTAATATCAAAAACATTACCCCTCAACAGTCGAAAAACATCAGAGCATAATCCAACAATAAAAGGGGTGAATACAAAGTTCGCAACCATCTTGTTTGTGGGATGTCCAAATGACTTTCTACCATCATTATAACACATACTTATTCACAGCTGATAATGTAGCATCAAAGTAGCATCTTAAGAACAGGCATTTATATACGCATATGTATCTATAATTCTACAAGGAAAGTATATACAGGTAAATCAAAATCGAACCATACCACTACTATAATGGATCTATGTATTTATACCAAGCTTATTCTAGGAACCTTTTACAACGAAAAGATAGAACTATACATCGACCAGCCGAAAGCCTCTATGCAACCCAAGGTGAATAAAATGCAAAAAGCTGTAGGGCAACAGTAAAATAACGAAATGCCAAATAGAGTAAAGCAGCATCCTTTATATTGCAAGACCATTTGATTCCGTGAACTTGAGGATGATTTAGGTAGTACAAGAAAAAAGGTTCTATTGAGCTTAGTTTGGGCCAAAACCAAAATACTGAATTGTTTGGACGTGTTGAGCCATATTTGACATTTTCAAGCATTTGTAGGCCTTTTTCCATATTGGACTCACCATGAAATTTTCTCAATTCATACTCTCCTGCCTGGCATAACATTTCACACACTAGTGTATCTCTTGCAGCTGCTGTATCACAGAAATCTGGAGTTCTAAGTGACACCTATGACGACATTATGATGGCAATGGCCACCACGAGGAAGTTGAAAAGCAAGTTGAGATGTATCACAACACTCCTTCTCCAAGTCCAATTTTTCATCTATATTGTATAGCTCTGTCCTTATATTTCTCTCTGTTGCCTTGTCTTCAAACTTTGTAGATGTTCCAGAGTATGCACATATCTTCTCAATTGCCAATTTTAACTCAAAGATTGTACAGAAATAATGAAAGGCAGAATCTCTGCGGAATTCATTCTTACCAAGAAAGCACAATTAAAGAGCAGTACGGCGTTAGCATTCGCCAGGGATAGTTGCTTGAATGAATATGGAGGCCTCCAGGAAGCTGTCAAAGTGTAGCACTACTACCGCAATCGACCCAAAATTCCCGACTCTATCCATTGTGATCACTCAACATTGGACAGCACTACAAATTTGGGCTCGGCTTAAGCATCCGGAGATTGCGGTCATTCCAAACTTCTCCATCTCACTATCATACCCGTCGTAGTCTGGGCGGGTTGCAATCCTGGTCCATAAATCGTCGCAGGTTAGTCGCCGAGGTAACCAGTACTTGCTCCAGGCCTCAATTCAACATATACTGCACATTTTATTTACACATATTAGAATCTTTCTAATCGGAACCGAACGCTGACATCTGTCATATTGAAACGTATGGTTTTTGGTTGGGTTATCTCCATCCCCTCTTCCGCTTTTCTGCAGTGCTATGGCCCAGAAACAATCATCTCTACCACACAAACACCTGTCTCGAACCAAACAATCTTAGCCGATGACAGACTGCAAATGTTCTGTCAATTTCCAGGTCGACTTGGCGAAAGTGGACAATCCCTTTTATAGAAAAGTTTCGCGGTGTCAAAAATGGCCAGTCGCACCTCTACACGCTGGAATGTATGACACGGGGAACGGCAATCACACAAGGCGTAAAACGTTAGGGTGAATGTCCTAGATGGTTCTACCGTTCCGGTCCAACATTTTTTCTTCTTCAGATGCAGTGATTCATGTCCAAATTTGAGAGCAGACTTGAAAATCATGGGTATATGATTGAGCTATCTTTAAGTATTCCGCACGCATCTTTATCATAGATGGATTCGCTCTCAACTGAGACGGCCTTTTAATCCACAGATACGACGGGAGTGAGCGTACCAAAGTTAGACCTCACTTGAGCTGTTTTGGTCAATTGAACCTGGCCTCGGCATCTCTCTTATCGCAGACTACGCAGGTCGTCACAGAATAAGCATGGTATAGGAGCTCGGCTCGGCTCGGCACCGCGACTATGTTGGTATCGGCATCAAAAAGCCTCCGGCATTTTATCTATCGGTATTGGCACGCAGCCATGCAGGATTTAGCCATTGGCGTGGGTATAAAACTTCTGTCATTCCACCCAAAAATCGGACTGACCTGTCACTGAGCTATTATGACGCGTCCAGATCCAAAACTCAGTTTTCGATTCCTGCCCTCAAAGTTATTGCTATGTGGCTGCTACACCTCCTTCAATAGACAGAATGTTGATGTTTTCCGTCTGTAAAAGGATCGGCCTGGTAACGAACATGCAGGCGAGCTGAGCGATTAAGCCTAATAAGGTCACCGCCTTTTCAATTACAAGGCCTAGTAGAACTCTATCTGCTTCGATTAGGGGTGTCGAATTTTGAAATAACCCCAGCAATCAAATTTTGCCAGCGATATCGCTTAATTAGGCTTAGACCATTCAATGGGTGTGTGTTTAGTTGGCAGGGAATCTTTCTACAACATTGAGGAATCCAGGTTTGAAATGCTCATATCTGCTCATTGTGAGATGGATGCTGGTCAGTCTGCTTTTTCCGGCATCGGATATTCGAGAGACAGAAAAATGATGAGGATGAAAATTCTTTACTCGACCACCTGAGCGACTTGGCTTTATGGAAGTGAGAGGTTGGTAGATGGATGATTGCTTCGTGGGATAATACCTCGCCGGAGCAAAAGCTCAGGCGGAACAAAACGTCAATATGGCAAAACTGACCGGAGCAAACAGCCCTCATGCGGAGCAACCCTCACACGGAGCAAAAGCCTCGTCAAGAAAGCACCCCACTGCAGTAACATCTCCCGGAGCAAAGAGACCATGCTGTGCCAAGTTCGACCAAGCTACTTGGCCAGAGTGAGGGTAACGCAGAGAAATCCTGACTTATCGTGAAACCTATGTAGAAGTGGCGATTGAAGTTGAACGGGAGCGGGGATGTTTGTTGAGGTGAGGTGTTTGAATTGGTGACATTAGTCGAATGCGAATCTAATGAGCCAATCAAGGGTAAAAGGGACAATTAGATGGTGTTTTGGCCGATTGATCGAACCTATCGATGTGAAATGAATGATCAACGAAATTCTTGGAAAATCAGAAACTCATCTAGCGTCCAATTTGTGTTCTGTATTGACTTGACTCCGGGAATTAATCAAAAGTGTGAGATTGAACGGGAGCAAAAAGCTGCAAGTTATTTCCTGTTATATCCGTCTGCCAAGAGTTCTGGAATCTGCCCACTACGCATTAAGCGAAGCCACACCAAAAAAAAAAAAATTTTTCACCTTTTCTAAACTTAATTAAATATATGAGGTATTGAATTTATTAATTGAATTTTATAATTTTGTAAGATAATCAATTGAAATTGAATAAAAATTAAACAAAATGTTTTTTAATATTTTAATATTAATAATTTCTAAAGTTATCATTATTATATTTATTTAATATAAAAATTTTAAAACTTTTAATTTATTTGTTTATTATACTCGATTTTAAGATTTTACTGATAACAACAATATTATTAATATTATATATAATAAATAAATATAAAAAATGATTTGTTTATATTTTTTTGAAATTTTAAAAATACTATAAATTAGAATATAAAGTATATAAAAGATTATAAAATTATTATTATTTTTTTTATTTTTTTTATTTATTTTTCTATATTTAATAAATTTTAATAAAATAATATAAATATTCAATTTAAAACTCTATTTTAAAACTATCTCTCTTTTAAATTATATTTTTATATTAAGATTTTTTATTTATTTATTTATTTATTAATAACATTATAATTAATAAACAAAGTCTAATAAAATTTCAATTAAAAATTCTTATATAATTCTAAATAGATTTTGAAAATTTAAGATTTTCATAATTGATTTTATTAAAATTTATAAATTCAAATTCTTTTATTTTTTATTTTATATAAAACTTATATATAAAACTCAAAAAATCTTAAAATCTTAAAATCTTAAATAACTTTTTAATAAAAATAATTAAAAACAAACTTGTCACACTCAAGAATACTGGGTAAAGTATCTTGTATTAGAAAATACTAAGCTAAGGAGAAAAGAAGAAGGAAAACAAGAGTAGAGAGTTTTCCTATGATTAAATACAAACGGGGCATGCCACGTGACCCGGAGGTGTGAGGCGTCACAAAACTATCAATTTTTTTTAAATTCTTAAATCAAAATTTATTAAAATATTAAACTATTTAAAAATAACAATTTATAAAAGCTCTTTTATTAAAAATATTATAATTTTAGTATTTATAAAATTAAAAAAATTTAAAAAAGATTTTTTATATTATTTGAAATTCAAATTATTAATTTATTTAATCAGTTATAATCTCAAGATTTTATAGATATTTATAACTTATTTTTTAGCAATTTTTATTAAAAAGTCATTTGAGATTTTCAAGATTTTCAAATTTGTTTATAAATCTTATATAAGATTAAGATTAAAATTTTAATTATTAATATCTTAATTAATAAAATCGTAAAAAATCTAAAAGTTTCAGAATTGATTATTATATAAATAATGAATTTGCAATAGAATTTCAAAAGATAATGTTTATAAATAAGAAAATTACAATATTAATTTTTCTGATTTTTAATGTGAAAAAGTGGCCCAAAAGGGGGGTGGCCCGAAAGTAGGGTACTAGACTTAGAATCTAGTACGATTCTCGGTATCCTCTTTTCATGGCAACGACACTTTGAACCAAATTTACTCTACTCATGCTGCCAGAAAGTATGAAACTCTAGAGCTAAGCAAACCAAGTGAATTCTTTTGTAGTTTACGGTCTTGTGATATGAGTTTTACAGTTTCTGGTGTGTATGACTTCGCCGCATGTTTAACAAAACGCCATGTGAATAATCGTGCTTGGAATTGAGAGATGGCATGGCTAAGACTAAGTCCGAAGGATAGTATGTACCTGTATGTCACTCTACATGATTCAGTGGTTTCAATCATTCTCCCTGAATGCTTCTTCTGCTAAAGACTACCGGGGATGGAGTTGGATGTCAGCCTTTCAGGGCATAGTGATCGTGATTGAGGATTGTGATTGAGGGGGCCTGAACTTTTGATTCCGCGGAGAAAGCAGGCAGTAAGGTGATAAAATATTCCGTATGCACATGTTACAAAATTGGTAAGCCATAAGGGACAATAAACTAATTTCTTAGCATTCATATTTCACACTTTCTGGCAGCAGTGCATTTGCCACCTGGAGAGGGTTGGTAATGTGAGATTAATTGAGCAGCAGATGTGTATGTACATGGCTACGCCACTAAACCTTTATTTCAATATCATGCAGACTATTGGAATATTTCAACATTTTGATAATTTCACTAAGCCAGATACCGGAATCCACAAACTAGTTGAGGCAAGTTTTTAAACGAAAATAATGTTTTGTTCATTTGACGTTGATTTCCATCGAAGATGGCCTTTAGTATGCAGTGGAGTCCATCGATTCCTTTACAAGGAAGAACACATAGAACATAGGTCAGACCCAAGAACCACTCGTTCGGTTCTCACTACTAGTATACTGATATCTTATGATTTTATACTCTACCTCACTCAGTCTTGTTGGTACCATACAGCCTCATGCTTTCGCTTGTCACCTCCAAGGAATCCACAACTCTAGGAGAAGCCAAAAATAGTATTACGAAATAAGTTTGATATTTCATTGACTCTCTTTATCTTCCCGCTCTTTTCTTCTTACAGTGAATTGCTAAAATCTGCATACTTTCACATCGAAAGCTTAATTTGGTCCACCCCTGGATACCAACAACTAGGGTGGGAAAAAAAATCACTGGCACCCGTACAACGAGTAGCCGATGCCTAGCTTCTTAATACACAGAAAATGAACAAGTAAATAACATCCGAAAGCCCCATCAAATCAATGTGCAGGCCTATAATTTTGCATAAACACCTTCTGTCCCTGGCCTGTGTGAGTGTGATCACGCCTAATGCTCCATGCGTAATAATATCTACATGCTATTCTGCCAGGAGGAATAATACAATTATCGTATGCAAGCCCTGTAGATCTCAATGCTTGTGATTACCCATTCTAGGATAGCAAGGGCCTAGCCACTGGCCTGTCGGACAGACACGTCGGGTTACAGCTTTACACCCTACTATACGGCCACCACCATGCCCTGTAGAATGGTGCCTGGAAGCCGCTCTAACAAATTGACCAAGACATTGTTCTCGCAGTTCATTCAACTCCAAAAAATGCGCCTTCTATGTAGTCAGATGTGTATTTCCCACATGATAGAAGTATTACTCAAGCTAGCAACAACTGGCAAAACAACCGTTGGAAGCTCTTCAGCAGATAAGTGCCAGAAGCGTTAAGCTTCGCCAACGACGCACAGTGTTTTTGTATCTTACCGGCAGATGAATAGCGTTTAAATAAGCATGCAGGGCCATAGCAGGGTCTTCGCAGCGTTCAAGCCAATGGTAGAATCAGATTCAAAGCCTTCCATCTTAATTGTTCTTTGGCTACTGGGCTGTGATCCAATGACCAAATTTGGGTGCATATGCCATTCCCAAATATCAAGAATCAGTGAGCTGCTGGCCCTATTGGAGTCCTGTGTCCCATCATAGCTTGTACATCGTTCCTTGGGCTCGGCTTACACTGCATATGAGACCTATGGGAAACTTATACAGACTGTATACCCCAATTTCACCGGCCAGACCTTGTGTATGAGGATCATGGCTTGCAAATCTTGCTGGCCAGTGATTCTATCGCCCATCCTATCGCTCTCTCTTTAGCGTTCCCAGGGCTAACGACTTCCATTTTCAAATTTTCGCAATATCCACCGGGTTTAGTAATTTTGATTGGATCAAAAGACACGAAGACCACTTCACGCATTTTTTTTTACAAGGAGACGCCCCGAATAGGGAAGGTGGGCAATCGTAACAATACAAAAGGGTCGATCACAGTACCGCTAACGAACCTCGCTCGACATGATGATGCGTGGGGTGAAGCGCCTCACTACTGGCCACGCCGCATAGCGTGCTACTCAGCCTAGGGAATTGAGGAGTGCTGCTTCGGAGCATACTAATGGCTCGGATAATCACGTCGTGCATGAGTAACTTTGATCGCATCTGAGGAAATTAAAGGGGGGATTAGCTTGAGACTGTGTAACTGGGGATTGTATAAAATACGAAAACAGCCTGAAAGCTCAAGAATTCAGTAGTATAGTATCAAGGGCTTCGGTATTGTGGAAGACAGAGCTTGCTCGTTTCCCAATCAGAGCTGTGGAGCTAGTTATTTCGACCGCCATACTCAAAGCCTACTTATTTCAGCCCCAGATATCCCATTGACTCATACAAAAGGATAATAAGTTCTACTTGATAAATTTAGCCTGATCACTTAGATCGTGTAAAGTCGTATCGCCTCTTGATCTATCAAGCAATATACAAGCTTGGAAATCTGGAGCACCTTTCATTGACAGCAACGGTCTAAAATGCAACAGTAGCGCCATACAATTTTCATGTTTTTAAGGCCAGATGCTGCGCTCCTGCTCGCAGAATATGCAGTACTAGTCGATAGACTGTCGAATGTATCATGCGAGGGAGGATCGTCGGTTTAAAACATCCGGCCGGCTTACACAGTCCATATTAGGTATATGCAAATTGCGGAAAGCAGCATTGTTGAGATGACATTTAGCATTATGATATTAAAACACTTTTGGGGCTGAAGTTGTGATCCAAAGAACACTCGTTTACGTGCCTCCTCAGTACAGAAATGAACAAAAGCTCCTATTGTAAACATTGACCCAAGAACCGAACAATTCCCGATGTTGCCATGATGATGGTAACAGCTCCACCCCAGCATTCCTTGCGTCCATGCGTTGAATGACACCTCATCGTAACAAAAAAGAACTCGTCACATCATAAACTCATATGCACTGTGTTAACTATAGCCCCCCGTCCCGTACTCAAGGCTATACTAAAGATCCCTGACAGGATCGTAGGGCTTAGCCTGTCCGTTCTCTCGAGCGATCGACGATACGTATGGAACGTAAGACGGCGATGATACATATGTTTGGCTCGACGAATAAGTGGCGTACTCACTAGTACACGGACTAGGTTCTTAAAAAAAAAAACGTTAGCACGCCGGAAATACAACGGAAAAGGGATAAACACACCGGTGGGAGAATAGCCATATCCTTGGCTGTGGCCTGCCGGCAGTTAGAAAGAAGCACCAAAAAACCTGGTTTAGCTTGTTTGACTAATGCTAAAGATTTCTGTATAAAGGGTCTTTTATGCAAGACTTGCGGCGTGCATACGTTCCACACAGATATCACTTCTTTGTGGATTGTCGTGGGGGAGAGTAAATCATACATACCTGCATTTATGGATACACCTGGATAGTGCGAAGAGTGACTGTAGTGTCCCTCGACTTCGTGCGCTTGTCTACACTGTGTATGGTATGACTGGTGCGAAGTTCGGTGATTATGATGATGGTGCGAGGAAGCGGTGGAATTATAAGGAGCGGCATCCCTACTATCAGCTTTGATATTACGGTTCCTCCCATCCCTATAGCGGAATTTGTGGTATAAGAACCACCTTGCGATCCAGTTTGGGCAGTCGGGAGTTGGCTTGGCTAAGCTCCAGTAGTATGCTGTCTGATTAGTACCATTTTGTACTATCAATCTCATGGCTTCATCTTTCGATCTCTCTACAATGTCGCTCCAATCGTACGGAGGTTTTCCTTTGCAGTTCTTCTTAAGATGGGATTTCTCCGAAATAAGCCACCTATAGACAGTATCTGTCTCTTTCTAAGTGTCGGCCAAGATAAGTAAGCACTTTATTGATAAGGTTCTTGATGTGATAATGGGCAAGGTGGGTTAACGAGGAGGGGGTTTGTTGAAATGGATGGATGCTTACCGCCATCAAGGTGTAAGTCTCCGCATCAATGTTTAGATGCTTGACGAGATCATCTTTCGTCTGACTCATTGCCAACGGGCCTAGGTCGGGTGTAGACATGATGGGCTTGTCGAATATCCGCTTTTTGAAAAGACTAGAGGTGCAGTCTGGATGGAGAGAATCGCGATGCTCATAGCGAGCTTACGAGGCCATGACAGAACTATAGGTAGCCGCGTTGCCCGCAGAGCTTTGCGTATAACAAGGGTGGCGAGTTAGACGTTCACAAGACTTTAAAGAAGATTGGCCAGTGCCAAGTTCGAATCTGGGAAGCCTGCATCTCTCAATGCATATCATCGGCGTCTAGTTTCTCATTGAACTGCTTGTTTACATTCAACGTAAGGACAAAAAGATGCATATGGCTGGGTCACAAAATATTGGTTGGGACAAGTTACAAGTGATGGCAGACATCTTTCCGCCAATGATTTTTAGGCATTCTAGCTAACCCTAGTCAGGTAATGTACGAGCTCGAGGATTAGGATTGTTAGTATTGGGCCGGAAGCGCGTGCCGTTCTATCTGCAAGTTCGGGACAACTGACTGGTACTGGTATCGGAGATACTTCCGACGCCGAATTCAAGTTAGGATATCCCAAATAAATGTCCATTTATACAAAAGTCCCAGCATTTCCGTGAGAATAATGCTATAAAAACTTTAAACGTCGCTACAAGCGGCACGTCCTCGGGGGACGGGGCGGTGACGTGAGGATTTGGTGCCACGCCCTAGAGGTTTAGTCCTTCCGGTCGGGAGAGACAAGAAACAAACAACCTGGAAACTTTTACAAATACATGCTTTCTGCAGCTCCTGCAGCTAGTCGAGTAATACTACCTTCAATAATCGTTTTCATATCTAACAGCAGGTGTTACCGCTTTTGGTCGTGCTTTGGTAAGATGATAAGTGGGAACGAATTTCCTCGACTAGGATGGGACAAGGTACAACAACTGATCTTTGATCTGATAAGGAGCTACCCGGGGGTGATCCTCCGGCAAGGAAACGACAGATAGAAAGAAATGATATGCCGGTACTGTCCCGAGTCTAATGAGTAGGCCACCGGATGCTTGATATGGAAGACGGACTCATCATTGGACTGTACATGGAAGCTTACTGTGTGAGATACACGGGAAAGCTCTTTCCTAACTGAGCTGGATACGTCCAATCGTTTCGGTAGACCAGCGCCGCCACACATGTCAAAAGTCATTGGTTCAAGGGAAATAATAGTGTTAGTAGGTATTGACATTGAAGGAATCAGGGACAAATAATAACCTTTAAGAAATAAATTAACTATAAAAACCTTCAATTCTTTCTCACCCTTTCAAAACCCACATCAGTACAGATATACCAAAGATGTAATCTCTACTTCCGTATAATTAATTAGCCATGAAAATGGCTTTTTTATACACGGAGTTATTCGAGGCTAAGTTACACCGCTATCATTCTGCCACATTCGATTAATAATTTCCATAGGCCGTTTTTGGCACCACGGTAGATCTTTGAGCAATTCAGCCCTCATCGTCAGAGAGGTTACCTCGAACCCGCCGCTTTGGTATGTATGCATGAACAAACAGCAACCTTTCTGAATTGGGTAGTACTTGCCTCAGTAGTACGACAATGTTGTGAGGAAAAACGGTGGGATGGGCTGAGTTGAGCTTGACTCGCTCTTGGAAACATGAAGGGATGCAGAACTTTTTCCCTCGTATCATTGCGCTGTCGTAAAGCGAGAGTCATGTAGCTATGTACTCCTTACTTAGGCGATGCTAGAGTAGAGAGTAGAGATCAAGATATTCATAACATGGCGTATATAGTGCTATACTCAACACAGAGACGCATTCATCATTTAGATATAACCGACTAAACGACTGCATGAGGATCTTTATTGATACCGCGTTGTGTGATCAACGGTTGTACTTACTTATTATAGTTGTAAGGGACTGGGTATTCCGTGATATATCAACATAAGTATAGTCAAGAATCTAGAATCCTAGAATCCTAGAATCCAAGATTCTAGACTTTTAAACTTTCGCAATCTATGAACTTTTGCGCCTGGATACCATATCAGATGTGACTTATTTTGGTATGAACATTTTTCTGTATTATATTGCCTATTTAAATAGATAGAATAAGATAAATCTATTCATACCTATTAGTACTTAGCGAAGTTTATAGGAAAAGAGTACATGGGGCAGCATTGATTTCCCTCCCAGTGAGAAAACTAAAACGTCAAATCATCATTTGCTTATATGAAATTCATTATGTTCAATCCATGCCGGTCATATTTTCAGACTTGTTCCAATGTTTCAGGAGAAACAAAGGAAATAGAAAAACCTCGCGATACACGCAGAACGATATACATATGATACACACGATACCCACACGATATCCGCACGAATACACGCGACACAAAGAAGGTGGGATATACTTGGGTGGTCTTTGTGGTCCTTTTCATCGTTCCACTCGAGCAGCTCGCATTACCAATAACAATCTATTCTTTACCCACACCATGTGCTGCCCCGCCAAATTCAACAGCCATGCATGCTCATCATTAACTGACCTCACGATTACTCATCATTATAAAAGCTGCAGGTGAAGGCACATTATAGCAACCAGGAATCCTTCGAGTCGGGACGATTGATCGTGTATCAAAGTCAGAAGAGATGGTTTCTACTAGCACCATTATTCATTTGCCAAATGGCTACCACATTACAGTTAATCCTGTCTTTGGAGGCTTCTTTTTCAAGGCGAATGAGTTGAATACACACACCAGCATTTTCCCTGCTGGCTGGACTGTTATCATCCAGACCGAAGATTATTCGGATGAACACCCTTCTGACAGTGGTTCCGTAGCTACAGAACTCCAAAGCGCGTCAACTGAACGACATCGACACATACATCCATTCAGACTCCCAACCTTACGCAATGACAGTCTCTTTATTTCTTCCATCTCGAACCCCTCGAGCAACGATTTCAAAGCTCCCATCAGCCCCACCAGGCAGATCGCAATGATGCTCTGGGCAACATTATACTGGTATTTTCATCAGCCAGAACCATCGCCACATATTACCACGGCCGCTTCGAAAAATACACCCGATGCTGGAAAGCCCAAGGCAGATTGGCGCATACATGTCAGAAGGGAAGGTGTGCTACGCGGTCGGAACCTGATACAGAAGCTCGATAGGATGGGTTTGATTACATCTGAAGATTCAACAGTTGGTTTGGCGATAGATGAGAATACATCTGAGGAATGGTCGGACATGTTTACTTCAAGGAGAGCATTCTGGCAACTGTCGGCAAGGCTATTCCTATACACTTTCAGTCCAAATACATCTCTAGCTTCCCCGCAGGGCAGCCGGCCATGTTCGCCCGTTTCTGCTCCGACCAGCAATCAGTCTACTGGTAATAAGAGAGATTCTACCGAGTCATTTTCAGGACTAGGGTCACCTGTGTCCATTGGCCCTTTCTCATCAGGAAGTCATCTACCGACATATTATCCACCACCTCCATTACAATATACAAATACTTCAGGTACGCGTCACCCCCTGCGCCCCAAGCCACCCCGCCAAGGAGAAACATTTTACATACGTTACATCCCTAGTTTGGGGCAATACCTCTCTTTCAGAGTTGCATCCTTGTCCTCCAAACCTGTAGTATATAATGGTCCAACGTCAAGCTTAGCACCTTTTCGACACCATGCCACAAGCTCGTCACTCTCTTCTATTGGAGCGTGTTTGTCCGCAGATTTGCAAACTGTACATTCTAGTACTGCTACACAACAAGTAACCGATACGGCTGAGATGACTGACCTCCAGCTTTTGAATCGTTGGATGAATGTTCCTCGCGTCGATAAATTTTGGGGCTGCTCTGGTCCAATTGCTACACAGGAAAAATTTCTCAAAGACAGTCTGAGTTCAAAACATTCGTTTCCCGTGATTGGTCTCTGGGATGGAAAGCCCTTTGGATACTTTGAGCTATATTGGGCGAAAGAAGACATCCTTGGGAAGCATGTAGGCGATAATGTTGGGGACTTTGACCGTGGTGTCCATGTTTTGGTCGGCGAGGATGAATATCGAGGAAAGCATAGGGTTCAATGCTGGATCACTGCTTTGGCACACTGGGCTCTGGTACAGGATTACAGGACTAATTCTTTTGTGCTTGAGCCTAGAGTGGACAATGAAAGGTATTTACAGTTTCTTTCCAATCACTTCGCATTTGTCACAACCCTTCCCTCTAATTTATCCATAGGTTTATCTCACATCTCAAAGAAGCTGGGTTTGTAAAGGAACGCGAAATCACCTTTCCCCACAAGCAAGCTGCATTCATGAAGCTGAGAAGGGAGTGCTTCGAAGCCCCTGCCTTGTGATCATCTTAAGCTTGATTTTCTTGGATGCTTCGAGAAGAATAAAGTCTTTCCAACCATATACAAAGGTCTGCAGTGTTAATATGATAATGTTATTGCTTCACGGCCTACATGTACCTTCCATGAAGCCTGCAATCAGTAAGTCACTGTTCGTATACAACGCATCACAACCCTTTCAAGTGAGCAATGATGCCGCACAAATCAGACACGATCTACTTTCATCACACTTGCTAGAATGACTTCTCATCTCAATACTTTAGGGGGCTTCATACCGCCTTGCGTCGCCGAGAGTACAACGGGCGTTTTCCCAATGAACAAACAAATCATTCAAAATCCGCTCTCTACATAACTGCATATCTGTCAGACGCGAGATGTGGGGTTGTCAACGCGATAAAACGCCTTGGTTCTGTCACAAGCTGGCCATTCCAAGCCATGATACGATATCGCGGGGCACCGTGTCTGCTGTGTATGCACCAAAACCGCCAGTCTCATCAATTTTAATAATTGGAAATAGAAGCTGTCTAAATCTGTCTTGTCTCCTGATACTCGGAACACACTCCATTCTTTGGGAGAAGTGGGGTGTGCTATTATTGGCTCGAGCCCCATTCAAACTCGAAAACCGTTTTGCCATTGACTAGTTCACTGCATGGGATTTGAGACGACACAACCGTGTATACTCATCTTAAAGAGCATCGAGATTTGGAAAACCCCATGCAACCTGACATTAGTTGGATCAAAAAGTCGAATCGGTTCGTAAAAGTTTACTATACTGGTTGCGACGGTCATGCAAGGATGCAAACATGGTAATGGGGAAAGTGTAGTGATTGTTCTGGACTTCAGGACGATGCGAAATTTATAGCAATAAAACGGATTTTCATTTTCTCAACGAATTACATTTGTTCCAATCGTGCATAGGTTAATTAACCTCTGGATGCGGACCGCTTACTAGTTATTAAGGACCTACAGTTGCTTCTTCGGTGCCTACCGTTATTTCTTCAACGCAAGTGTTTTAATCGCACCCCACCACCTGCTTTCGGGCCTGACTGAATTGGGATATTAAGAACAATGTGGTTATGTCGGAGACAAGAAAAAGGTCGGTGTAACGAGGAGTAGGGCATACATCCGCATATTCCAGACATTTGTTTCATTTTTCTGAACGTCGATATCATAAGGACGTGCCTCATGCGACTCCACTTGAGTTTTGAGACTCTCAATCAGCGTCTAGAAACGACATTTGTATAACGTTTCATCCAAATTTCAGATGGAAATGAGACGATTGGAGCGTTCCATAATAATATCGTAACCTAAGCCGGAGTCGGTCTGGCGGTCAGATCTTGATCGCATAAATTGAGCTATCACTTAATGATATCATAAATTTGAAATGCCTGTATATCTTACCTGGGAACAACGTCGTATACAGGCTGATAAGACGATTTTGAACCTGGAGAAGAGTTCGTCTTTTGTTTTCTGTTTCGAAATGCAAACATTCTATGAGTTGCAAGCCTCTGAGGGCTACCGAGCTTTGCATTGGAAATCACGTCGGAGGCAGAAGTCAGGTTGTTCTGTTCTGGGAAGTAGAGTGTTAGGAGATAGGAGTTAAAATTAAGAAGAGCGTTTTCGACTTATTTTGCGAATTGTGACAAGGTAGATAAGAATGATGATGATGAGAGTTTTTTAGGAGTGTTTTTAATTATAGGATCATATGTATGACTAATGCATTCTCTGTGGTTTACGATTGGTTCGAGTTGAGAAGAAGTCGGTGGTCTCGGCCTCCGCTTTCACCGACATTGGGCGGCTACTACGCTAGACTAACCAAAATCATGCGAATAGCGTTCCCTCTAACCACACTTGAAGATTGCATTGCAAAATTCTGGAAATGAGGGGTAATATTCATGCTATCAGTTTCAATTTTCTATGTGCGGATCATCGAAGTTAGCTAGGAACGCCAATATTGTTGTATGGATCGACCATCGCTAACTTCCTGTTTAATGGACAAAATACGCTTGGCACTCCGCCCTAGGGGCGGACAAACTCCACCTCGCAAGTCGGTGCATGATGGGATGACTACCGGAATACCGGTTATTGACTATGAGCTGCTACTAAGTTTTAGTGCGGGGTTATGTATTCAAGTCAAAAGGTTGGATTCCCCCGAGTATATTCAGGAGACTCTTCATACTTATGACCTGCTATCTGTAACTCTACCGGTCCTTACCCACGATTGTTTATTGATATAGTAGTCCTTCCTCGACTCAAATTACCTTCTCTAAGAACATTCCCCATCGTTCCGGCTCTTATCAATAACATTTTCACGCATACCTCTTTGGGAAAAGACATCTATCAGTACCGACATACGGGCTTAGCCTTGACCGCACAGATGGATACACTATCACAAAAGTTCTCGGGTCTTTGGAGGGATACCAAATCAGTATTCAAAACCATGCACATCGAAAACGCACAGCCAGGCCCTGCCTTCATCGCCGAATGGGATTATCAAATGGAAAGCTCTAGTAGTTTGGGAAGCCTTTCATATCCACCACCATCTCCCGCATTATCATTCGAGCAGCTTTCCAAATATTCTGATCACGGTACCAGAGATAAAAAATTCGGAATCGCGCCAACTACCTTCACTTGTTTTGGGGAACTTCCTACGGAGCTTAGAATACTGATTTGGGGCATGGTATGTGAGCAGCGGCGAAATATCAGCATTCAGCTCAACCAATCTTATAAACAAGTTGATCTTCCCCCTCACCAAAGAAGAGACGGATACATCTGCGCATCAAATACACCTCATCCCAGTGTTTTCTATGCATGCAAAGAATCGCGAGAGGAGGCTTTCAAACATTACAGTCTCCTCTTTCAAGAGAAGCTCATCAGCCCCAGGTTCAGTATTAAGATCCAGCCGAGAATATGGTGCAATTTTAAGGCCGATACTTTATGTCTAAAGTCGTTCGGTTGGAATGACCGAGTTTATGAGGACTTTTTCAATAATATACCCGCGAAGGATATGGTAAGCTCTCTCGCTTTCAACATAGAGCCTCTTATCAATTGCAATTTTGGTCGATCTTTCCGGGAGGAGGTCGATTTGTACAACATTTTCCGCGTCGTGAATGCTTATGGAGCCCGTGGCATCGAACTGCGGGAGATCTTCTTATACTATGATGTGGAAGAGGACCCAATACATCAGCCCGTGGTGTCGGAATTCGTGGAGCTGGACTGGAACGCAATGGACTCAAATTCGCGAAAGATGAAAGACTTGCAGAGGGTGCAGAAAGACTTATTGAGAGACTTCCCTAGTTGGCCAGTTCACAGCGAGCTGTGGGCGGAGAGCCGGATGATTTTTTTGCGGGAAACCCAATCGAAGTTCAAGTTGATGGATCTTAAGGTCAATTATTGATTACAATACTATCGGACACCCTTGGAGGACCTATTGTAAGAATAAGAAGTAATTCTTTGGAATTTCTAATTGATTTCGAGAACCATATGATCTGTAGCATAGAGTAGATAGCTATTCACATTATATAATATTCTCAATATAGTTATACATATTTTCATTCCACTTTAATATATACAACACTTTTTAAATTTGATTTAACTAAAAGATTCTTTTTTGTAAAAAATTACGATAGTATGTTGGCCCTTTACTCGAGAAGATCCGACGGTGCATAAGATACGTCATCGATAACAGGGGTCGAGTGTTCGAGCTCCCAGCTTTGAATGTTTCCAAGGTCCCATGTAAGTTTGTACAGATAGCCAACTACGAAATGGATACTTTAAAAACGGAACTTTTAATATCTAATTGTTACCTTAAGCTCGCTTTCTCTGTATTGTGGTAGAAGCTAGGTAAGAGGGATCTCACAATCATGCGACGAGCAACGCACCTTTTACCGCGGAGTATTGCGCAAACGACATGCCCGCCGACCTCATTTGTAGGTACCTTTCGAAATAGAACTGCACCGCAATCCTCCATAAAACATACCCCTCCCCCATGTCTTCGCACATTTACTTCGACGAATATTTGGAGAAAGGACAATCACACAGATAAGGCCAAGGAACTAAATCAAAAGGGATTGGGCAAGGAAGAAGACTGGTTCAACAAGCAGATCGACAATGCGATTGGCGAACAGAAGGAAATACAAGCAAGAACGCCGTGGCATAGAGAAGGCTCCAATGAGCCTCCTGTGAGGAGAAACAGAAGTGCCGGGGCCATGACAAAAGGTTTCGTGATTCGATTCTTCCTATACCTTTGCTAGCATTGTCTCTAATAGAAATTTCGCAGGCAAACTCCTTACCACCCCATCACGGCTCCTGAAGCTTATTTTACCTCTGACTACACTGGACAAGAACTCCGATCGTAAAGATATAGAGCCACTAGCTCTCCTCGTTCATCCTCAGCAACCTCTCTCCTACCTCGAACGCCTTATCCAGTCTGAATTACCAATGATAACTGCAAAAGATGGACATACAGAAAAAGTACCCGCAGTGCATTTTCGCGCCCAAGACTCCACACAAGATGAGATCACAGCCGATCATAGAAAAGAGATAGATGAAGATGTAGAAGAAGGTACAGACGAACAGATGGTTGATGGAAAAATCATGAAGCTTGGAAAGATTAGCAGCTCCAAAGATAAAAGCATTTCCCAGAAAGATAAAGAACAAATACGAAATGACTTACGAGGAGGGCCTGGCGAAGGAGGAGTGGAAAGTTATTCAGGAAGCGGACGTGAACAATCTTCTGAAGGGGAAGTAAAATTCGTGCGCTGGTCTTCGTCGACTGAGATAGGGGATTTCATTCGCGATGCTGCGCGAGGAAAGGAATTTGCGGTGGAGATTGAAGGGTCGTCTCGTGAGATTAGAGTCGGGGTGCCATCGTTCAACGATCGGACTCATTACTTGAGAGTTCGTCTACGGAAGAAAAGCAGGAAACTGGCGGATTATGCAAAAATCAAGAAAGAGTGCGACGATCTTGCACATCGAGGAGCGCGACATCTCGCTATGGGTGGTCTTGGCCTGCTGGTTTCCTGGTGGGTTGGAACCTTCTTCCTTACCTTCCTGACTCCTATTGGATGGGATACCATGGAACCTGTCACCTATTTTGCAGGATTATCGACTATTATTTTGGGTTACTTATGGTTTCTCTACCACAATCGCGAAGTTTCTTACAGGGCTGCACTCAATTTGACGGTTTCGAGGAGACAGCGAACATTATACCAGGCAAAAGGATTTGATTTGCAGAAGTGGGAAGCAGTGATTGAAGAGGCAAATGCGTTGAGAAAGGAGATCAAGAACATTGCTGATGAATATGATGTGGATTGGGATGAGAAGGCCGATGAGGGAAGTGAAGAGGTGCACGATGCGTTGAAGGCTGAGAGGAAAAAGACTAAGAGGAAAGAGAAGGAAGATGAAGGGGAGGAGGCGGAAGAGGATGAACGAGACGAGGAAGATAAGGAGAAGAGGAAGGATGATTAATTACGTATTACGTATATATTGATAAATGGATGGAAATGGGAGTTTTTGAGTATACATCTTCGGTGGTGCATAGCATGTTTAGAGGATTTGATTTTATACCACAGCATAGCGTTCGAAAATAATAGCAAGAAATATAAAAGATTTACAAAAAATAGATACAAATCTTTCATACGACTACAATCCTTCCCCCTACTCCCAGCCAGCCAGTCTATCTTCAAACACAACCTCACCACCCATCCACCCCATACAAAACCCGATCCATCCTCTCACATAAATGTCATAAAAGCTCCGCAAACCCAGGCATCACCACCAATGCGCTCCGCCTCAGTCAAAAATCCATACCTATCTACCTACCTCTACCTAGGTTAAGACAGATAGATAGATATAAACCGCGTCACCAGAAATTATAGATTATTCTAGCATGCAAATATGACCGACTAGCCAGTTGATGAATGGTATCAAGCGGTTGATTTAATCATGCGATTTAAGTGTAAGGAGAAGAAAAAAAAGAAAAGTTTTGTGAAAAGGTCGTGATGTGGATGGAGAATTTTGAGGTGGTCTGTGCGTGGGGCTAGTGTGTGGGTTTAGTGTGGGTGACTAAGCGGGGGGCATATCAAGAGGGAAAATTTTTTTGGAGGTAGGAAGAATGTTTCCTGTTAACAATAATAATCGATTTCTTCGAGGATTGAAGATGGAGGTTGGAGATTGGAGATGGATGAATCAATGGCGCGACAGTGTGATGATGGAGGTACTAAATGATAATACAAGATATTTATATCTCATCATCCACGAAACACCTATCTATCCTATTCTCTCCGCTCCCAAATCTCAATCTAGGTTTTGTATCATTCCCTCCCCTTCATTTTCTTCTCACATTTTCCCCAGCCAAAAGCATTGAAGGAGTATTACTCTCCATCTATGCTCGCATCATTAATCCAAACCAAAATCAAACAAACAAACCACATATTGCCTACCTCCTGCGCCTCTTAATGGACTTGAGCGTCACTTATTTAAATATCGTTCGTGGGATATAGAACCAACGGCCTAGACAGCCAGTCCAATCCACCCTGCTGGCGTCGATCAGTGCGCTAGGAGGACTAATCGTGACAAACATTCTTTTTTTGATGTTTTACTGCTTTTTTGTTTTGTTTTGCTTGTTCGAGGAGGAGGAGGGAATTGGAGATGAGGATGAGGGATGTGTGGTAGATAGAGAGGAATATGATTATATTATCTTGTACAATTTGGATTCATCTTTGACGACCTTTGCGCTGTGATTTTGTCTTTGTGATGTTGGGTGTAAATATTTCGAGAATCTTGCTCGAGTTTATGAATTCTCCATAATGGGATTTTGACATGTTCAATGAGAGCCCCTCCCATCCACTTGACACTCTACTCAACACCTCTAATTCAATATTTGCTCAGAACTAAGAAACACAGATCAATGGAGCACAATCAACTTCAAGAACTGACTTGTATTATGTGTTTAATTTCAAGAATTTCTAATTCTTGCTGCCAATAGTGTATATCATCACAGAGAGACTGGCCCCTAACGCCATTACATGCTTTTTGTACGACCATTATTCCTCTTTATCCATATCCTCATCCATATCTCCACCCGTGCCAAATAAGTCATTTATATCACCAGCACCCTCCTCATCACCTTCGAGGTTATCTTCTTCTGTAGCTATAATGCCTTCCATACTCTCTCCAACCGGGCCCTCCTCTTCTTCTTCATCGTCTTCCACCCACTCATCCTTCAATCCCCATGGCACACCCGTAAGGACAAATCTCTCAGCTGGTAACCTGACACCCCATTCATTCTGTAGAACCCTTGGTAATGCAATTTTATTCCTCGTCTGTGCAGTTTCTAATAAAAACTCCTTGCTCAACCCACCACCATTGCCTGCGCCAAACTGATACTGCAATCGACTTTGAATAGCCAGTTGAACCGCATTCGCGCTAACTTGTCCATCTGCATCTCTGAAACCCCCACCAGGCGGCGCATCTCTCGCGCGCGTTTGTTGTGATACATAGGCATCGGAGGAAAGATGTAAGGCATCGGAAAGAATAGAAGAGGAGTGACGGTATGCGAAATCGAGAAGTTGGAGAGGAACGCGTTCTTGGTATGCGGATACCCCCAGTGAGGAAAGGAGCATATGGATAAGACGAGCATCGCGGGGTCGCTTGGATAGACCGTTGTCTTGGAGGGATGTGAGAGGTACGCTGGGATTTGCGATGGGAGGGGAGGCAGCCGCAGAGACTGGTGCTGTAGGTTGTGGGTTGGGCGCTGGAGCGGGTTGGGTTGGCGGGGATGGAGAATGTCCGTTTTGGCCATTTGTATGGGATATTGAGTCGCCGTTTACGTCGGCCATGGTAAAGACAGGGGAATTTCTCTTCGCTCTGATATATGTGTGGTGCCGATTGAACTCTTTTTAAATTTATTGCAAATGCGACTTTATCAAATGTAGATTGCGGGCGCAGGAGTCCGTGTCGTTGAATTTGATTTGCGTATCGTATTAGACTCAAGAAATCATCTTAGTCTGAGTATCATAGCTTGAAAAGCGATTACCGATAAAATCCAGGATTTTGTACAGTAATTTGAGTATATGAATATATGAGTACCTATAAAGAACACGACTTAACGAGTAGAGCTCAAATATCTGCGACGCCAGTGGATAACATTCAATCGTAATACCAGGTACAATCAATTGCAGCTGCATTTCCGATTAGAAATAAAGCACAGACCATACCTTAAATTTAAATCAATGACCAGTGAATGAGATTCATGCCCCTCCATTACATAACCCATAATGTCTACATAGATCGAACTTTTCTCGTTGACTCACTTCACTCCAGACATCACTGGAATTTTCATTGAATCTTGCAGAAGACTTTGAGGATATTAGTATTCGATATGGATACTACAGCATCACTTCCTTTTCTTCCTTGTGTTGACCTTGGCAATGGTCCTGCAGAATCGAAAGTAGGACTTGCAAGAAATCAACTATCATACTTGGGATGCGTTTATTTCAAAGCGAACAACGATGATGTCGATATCCTCCTCGGTTTTTTGCAGAGACACGTTGGCATTGATACTTATGTCGATGTATCTGCCTTTAAATCAACAGACGATATCGTAACAATTTTAGACGCTGGAGCCCGCACAGTTTTTGTCAAGCCATCTCAACTTACACACTTGGAAAAGCATACCGATCGTGTTCTTCCAATCATACCACAACCGCAAACAGATGTCGAGTTTCCCAATGGAGGATTACTTACTTTTGTCGATGAGGCCTACACTCGATCCCTATTGGAAGAATTCAAGACGAAAAAAACAACTCCGATATTCCTTCTCCCAACTCCTGAAAGTGACTTCGAATTACTCGTTAAAGTTGCGAGAGAATTCTCCGCCATCCCAATCATACCTGCGACACACCTGAGCATTGAAGGGGCTGGAGAGGGTCAAGTCTCCCTTCCAAAATTGGTTGCGGATTCATGGACTTCGGATAGGGCAGACAAATTAATTCCTACTGTGGTTACAGATGAAAGAGGGCTGGCTTTGGGACTTGTATACAGCAGTGAAGAGAGCTTGAAGGAGTCATTGAAAACTGGCACTGGGGTGTATCAAAGCAGAAAGCGCGGATTGTGGTACAAAGGGGCAACATCTGGGGATACACAAGAACTCGTTAGAGTATCTTTGGACTGCGATCAAGATTGTTTGAGATTTGTTGTCAAGCAAAAAGGACGGGGTTTTTGCCACCTACCACAATCTACCTGTTTCGGTGAATACAAGGGAATTTCCAAGCTTGAGAAGACCCTTATTTCAAGGAAGACTTCGGCACCTGAGGGATCCTATACAGCACGTCTCTTTTCGGATGAAAAATTGTTGCGGGCTAAGATTATGGAAGAAGCAGAAGAACTTTGTGACGCTAAGGAGAAGAAAGATATTGCTTTCGAGGCAGCAGATCTCATTTATTTTGCTTTAACCAAGGCCGTTTCAGCCGGAGTTACCCTTGCAGACATTGAACGTAACCTCGATGCTAAGAGTGTGAAGGTCAAGCGAAGACAAGGGGATGCCAAGGGAAAATGGGCTGAAAAAGAAGGAATTACTAATGGATCTACCGCCAATCTTGAAAGTGTCAAGAAGGTCGTCAAGGAAGCTGCTTCAGTGCCAAAATCCTCGGAAGACAAGGCTGGACTTAAAAATGGACGCATCACTATGAGACGATACAATGCCGCGACAACATCAGAGGCCGATCTCAAGGATGTCTTACAAAGACCTTCCCAAAAGTCTACTGATATGATTATGGGCATTGTGAACCCCATCATCAAGGATGTACGAGAAGGAGGTGATAAAGCATTGCTTGGATATACCCACAAGTTTGAAAAGGCAACATCACTCACCTCTCCTGTCCTTAAAGCTCCTTTTCCACAAGCACTTATGGACCTTCCAGCAGAGACTATTGAGGCGATTGACATTTCTTTCGAAAACATTCGCAAATTCCACGCAGCACAAAAAGAAGACCCATTGCAAGTTGAGACTATGCCAGGCATAGTATGCAGTAGATTTTCAAGGCCCATTGAGCGTGTTGGATTGTACATTCCAGGAGGTACTGCTGTGCTTCCAAGTACAGCTCTTATGTTGGGTGTCCCAGCTATGGTCGCGGGTTGTAAAAAGATCGTACTCGCATCACCTCCTCGATCTGATGGTAGAATTACTCCTGAGATCGTTTATGTTGCTCATAAAGTTGGTGCTGAAAGTATCGTTTTGGCTGGTGGTGCTCAAGCTGTCGCTGCCATGGCATACGGCACTGAAAGCGTCACCAAAGTCGATAAAATCCTTGGTCCAGGTAATCAATTCGTGACGGCTGCAAAGATGTACGTCAGCAATGATACCAATGCTGGCGTTAGTATTGATATGCCAGCTGGACCATCTGAGGTACTCGTCATCGCTGACAAGGATGCGAACCCGGCATTTGTCGCATCAGACTTGCTATCGCAGGCAGAGCATGGCGTTGACAGTCAGGTAATTTTGATTGCCATTGATCTCTCCGAGAAAGAATTGCAGGCCATCGAAGACGAACTCCATGAACAAGCTATGGCTTTACCAAGAGTTGACATCGTTCGTGGTGCCATTGAGCACTCGATAACTCTCGTTGTTAAAGACATTAAGGAGGCAATGAAACTCAGCAATGAGTATGCCCCAGAGCATCTTATATTGCAACTCAAGGATGCTGCTAGTGTTGTAGAGTTGGTCGAAAATGCTGGCAGTGTTTTCATTGGTGAATGGACGCCAGAGAGTGTTGGAGATTATTCTGCTGGTGTCAACCACTCTTTACGTAAGTTTTTCACTCACATAGTTCCATAACATAGTTGTGCTGATCAGACAAATAGCTACGTATGGATTTGCCAAGCAATACTCTGGTGTAAACCTTGGATCGTATCTAAAGCACATTACTAGTTCACAACTGACAGCTCAAGGTTTGAGAAATGTTGGTGGAGCTGTGATGCAATTAGCGAAGGTCGAGGAATTGGAAGCTCACAGAAGAGCCGTTGGAATAAGACTTAAGTATATGGATGAGAAAAATCTATAATGCTATGTATTTATTAGGTGAATGAAATTAAAAGTTTTCGTCTTATATTTTCGCTTCGCGCCAACTCAATACCGTACACATAACTTGCAACTACAAGCCGCTATATTAAATATTGCTCCACCGACCACAAAAACAACAAATGTTTCATCAGTATTCATCTTCATTCTGGTAAATACCTGAACCATATCAGCACAGAACATCAACATCAAAATGGTTAAGAAACGCAACACTGCGGTTATAGCACAGCACGTCTCAGATCATATCCTTAATTCAACCATGAATTCCGACGAAGCTGCTCTACACGCTTCAGTCACTTCCTTGGACGTGAATAATGAGGAGGTGGATTTAAACGGTGTTAGTCATACGTGTTTCCCGGATAGCAGACTAGAGGCTAAGCTGGATATGAGTCGATTGTCGACAATTTCTAAGTTGATGAGTCACTTTTTGTCTGCGGGTCGAGGAGGAGATATAAAGGGAGAAGGAGACGTGAAGGAGGGGTTTGGTGTGGGTTCTGTACGTCGAACTGATCTTCGGTCAGAGTCCGCTAGAGATGGTCGTCGAGTACTGGTTTCTTGTGAGGATAGTGAGGATGTGATTAAGCAGGAGGTTGAAGACTTCTATCGCGCGAGTAGTCAGATGAAGTTTGATCCGAAGAGCTGTGGAGTTTCGGTCACTTCGAGCATATCTAATGATGTGAATCTGCAAATTACTTCGGCTAGTTCGTCGGTTGGTGATATGGAAGGAGATCTTATTGATCTGTATGAGGATAGTCCTTCGCGTCACATCGATTATTGTTCTATATCTAACATGGGGAATCATCGAGCACGGAAATCTTCATTTCTCAAACAGAACACTCCTGCACAGTTGAGAGCTTTGCCTCCTCCTAGTCAAACCCATCAAAATCCACCTCCATCCATGATATTCACGTCTAAACTCCCAATCCCCAAGCACGAAATATTCCTCCACAACCTCCCACCAAAAGATGCTTCAGTGAAGCAAGTCCGCGCCTGGATCACAAGTTGGTTTTCCGGTCGCGACATATCATTTGATGTTCCGTGGGAAGGCGCAAATATCAATATCCAACAATACATCGAGTGTATTTCCTGGAGTGGAGAAGACTAGCATAATTCTCGACCTCGTAGTCTAGAGAATGATCTGAGGGGGTGGATGTTGCGTGGTTATGCAAAACACATTGTGAGGGATATTGAGAAGGCTATGTGTATAGAGAGGGATAGGGAGTGGGAGGTGTGTGCGAAGAGACTTGCGGATTTTCTTGGGGGTGTGCTGTTTATGGTCGTGTTGGGGTTGGGATTGTTGTTTTTTGTTCCGTATTCGTGTGGGGGGGTATTGATAGGTGGCTTTTTTTGGTTATGAGGCCTTGAGTAGCTGGTGATTGAGGAAGTTCTCTTAAGTGGTTACTGGGAGGCAAGCAGGTGGTTGTGAAGGACTGGGCAAATTCATAAATCAGCTAATGAGATGATGCAATAAACTCTTTTTTTGCAATGAGGATATGGTATTTTTTTTCTTATATGTGATTTATATCAGTACACCAGCAGTGTATTCAAGAATCTAGGAAAATATCCCAGATCCTAGCTCTTCATGGTCGAGAGCTAGAAATCTGAGAAGGGTTGATCTTCATTCTTCCACATCAATTCAAAAGCCAAAATCTTTTCATTGTTGAATTATAGCTTCGGCTATTAGATCTACCATCGCTAACAAAATTTCTGCTTATAGCTTGCTCTTTCCTACTTCGATAGTTGTGATGAGACAAGCTAGCAGTACCTTCCATACTAATAAATCACCAATCTACTATCCCTCCTCTCCTATGAAACCCCAACATATAACATCCAAACATAATACCATCATCCATACTCTATTTTGCACAAATTGATATCCATTATTCTAATAGACTGCCCATTAATATCTCTTCATCATGGCATGTAATAACATTCTCCTAGAATTCCAAACAAGACTCACAAACAAGCAAATCCTATATCCCAACATGCAAACGATAGGTTATTTAAGACTAGTCCAGCATACCTCGAAAAACGATTACAATCCCCAAAAGGCAAATGCTGCACATGAGGAATTACGAAACTGGTTTGTGTATTACTGTCCACAGTGTTCTATTAATGAGATACTCTCGTATTGGGAATTATACTCTATAGTGGATGAGATTAAAAAATCGAGACCGCCGCTCAGAGATGAAGTGTTTGACTCGCATGTTACTCCTCAGAAGATATGGATACAGATAGATACTGTAAGAAAAATGTACGTGGTGATGTGAGGGAGCTACTAACTAACTATGTAAAGGAAGCTTCGAATTGGGAAGCATCTGCTTTCGAGCATGCTCCTACATGTTTAGATATATTTTTCCTTCGACTGCAGAACGGGGATATTCCCATGCCGAATACTATTGATTTATGTCCTAGTTTTCCGTCTTGGTAAAATTGATAAACTTGCCTGATTAGAAATCAGCAGTTTTGGTATAATGCCAGTATTGCTTCAGAGAAAGATAAACAATGACTCCTCGGATGGTTCTGGAAATACTGTCCTCAATGCGAACCAGAAAATGAACCACCATTACGACTTCTAATTTCCCAAATCCACAGAGCTAAAGTAAGTTTATCATTTTTTCATCTCAGACATAGGTACCTTGCCATTAATGAACAAAACAGACTCTTAGGAGCAAAAGCCAAGCCCGAAGTCGAAATGGAAGATTCTATACCTATTTTCCAACGTTTTTCCCTGTTTATGAAACAAAGCATGATTCCACTTTCTACTCTCCCATCTTGGTATTATCCCAGACCTAAAAAAGCTAAAGATTTCACATGGGAACAGGCAGCTGAACTTTTACTTTGGTGTCAGAAATATACACCAAACTTATCTCTTCCCGAAACGCCAGTGTATCCAAGAGATCTAGGTGAAGCCATAGCATCTGGTATAGAGCATGTGATAAGTACCCTTGAACGCATTAAGCAGCGTTTGACGACAGCTCTTGAGGAAAATGCCGAGATACCTATCATTTACCATGAAGACAAGCCCAAGGAAGAAGTCAACGATAACGCAGATACCACCACCTAGAGCAAAACCATCTCGACCCCTAAAAACTGGCACGATAAATGGAGCGAAAAAAATCCCCTTCATAGACCTGCAAACCATCCCCATCCAAGACCAGCTCCACAACACAAAATTCAAAGACAAACACCCCTTCAAAATATCCAATAACAAACCCCCAACACGTAAATCCAAACCCCACAACCCGCAGAAGCGAAAATCAAAATCTCTACTTCCTCCGTATACACCAAAAGATAAAGATACATATCACTCGAAAACATGCATCTGGGCCGATACAGAGGAATGCTGGAAACGTATTCAGAGCGAGCAATTGGGTAGCTATAGCTACTATGAAGGAATTGAACATTCTAATTTCTGTTTCGACGATATTGAATTGGAGGAAATAGATGTGGGTGGAAAGAAATAGGTTGGTATTGGTATTGGTATGGGAATATTGATTATTTCACTTTTGATAATATGCGGATTCGAAATGTGGAGGAGGTGCTTGATTTTGCGGGTGGTGTGATTGTTATTGATGAGTTTGCTTGGTGATGATGTATGGAGTCACTAAACTGGCTACCTAGTAGTAATCCGAATAATTGGGATCACTTATGCAGAGGTTAGTATTGAATTTATTTGTTTCCTTTTTTTGCAATAGCCATTTCATATATATTAATAGGAATTTGTTAGATTTCATCAATAGAGAATTATCGCTTAAGGTTTATATTACCTACCTATCTAGCATATACATATGTATTGCATCTACTTAAATATTTATTCTTAGCGGATGATCTCAAAAATCCCCCCTATTTGAACCCTAACACAACATAAACATCAAATCAATAGGTTACTACTCCATAGACTAGTATACAACACAAACAAACACATAGATCTAAATGATAAATAAATAAACAAATCTTGCATTCTCCATTCTCCATTCTCCAAACCCGCAAAGCTAGAAAAGAAAGAATTCCCAAAAGGAAAACGCCTTCCAATGCTAATTAACGATCATCTACACGGGCCATGAGAAACATTGTATTTGGATCATATCGTCAACCATACCCAAACAGACCTTTTTTTAAGCCCATGGGTTACTAGTAACAAGTCATTAAGTCCGTTTTGAACCCTATCGTAGTCCAAAGATATCGTACTTTGAGCGACGTGCGGAACAGAAACAAATGCTCCTTGAACGCCATTCAACCCTAGATAGAATAGTAGGTGAAACACTACTATTACTATTCATTAAATAACCTCGCATTCTACGAATAAAATTGGCTCTTCTGGAAACTATCCACTCCAATATCACCTGCCTTTCCAGCCACAGCAGGAGGAGCCGCCAGTGATTTTGCTCGGTTGGCATTGCCAATACTTGAACTAGTTAAGGTACTAGTTCGACTTCCACTTTGACTTGCACTCTTAATTTCTGCTATAGGTTGACCAGGTCGTCTTGCTACTTCCAGGTATACAGCAGGGAGGTATCCCATGCGACCATCGCGAGCACGACAACGCCACCATTCTGATGGATTACCCATCGGATCGCTTTTACTGATAACTGCTACTAGATCTCCTTTCTTGACTTCGAGATCCACACCTTGGACTGCGGCGCCGGATTCAGGGGTAAAGTCGTATAAGACGCGACAGAAATCTAGTTTCGAAGGATCAAGTTGTGCGGGTACAGGTTGGCCGTCAGCACCCATTAGTTGGCCTGATGCCATTAGTCGTTTCTGTTCCTCTTCTTGTGAAGCAGCAAGGGCCTTGATCATCTTACCCATGAGGTATGGGAGACCGAAGGCTGCTGCTATGAAGAACAAGAAAGGCTTCTTGGATGGACGGGGTGCCGCGCTACCATCTGGAAGTACTTTGCGGCCTTCGAAAGAGGCAAATGCCGAAGGGGTTAAAGAAGTAGCATCTGCGGGCATGGGTCGGCCTGTGATTTTGGCGAAAAGAGTGCGCAACCAGCGCATCATGGTAAATATCCCTAGAATAGATCCGAGAGTATTGCGCAAGTTTCCGAATTGCTCAGCCACAGAAACCATAGCTGTAATTGTTAGTATAGAACCTTCGGAAGAATGCGTCCACGGGAAATGAACTTACCGAAAAAACTAGAGTGTGTAGCCATGTATGTGCTTTCAAGCATTTGAGCAAATCCTCCAAATGCACCAACTATACTTTCGATTATCTGGAAGGTAGCTTGTGTGCTTTGAGTAAAGCCTTGCGTCAAGCTCATGGGATCATTTGGACCCATTCCTCCCATGTTCCCATACATCCCTCCCATGCCTCCACCATACATAGATCCATACCCTCCCATGCCACCATAACCATATCCTCCCATGCCCCCCATCCCTCCCATTCTTGAGTACGGCGATGAATAGGATCCCATAGTTCCCATACCATATGGCGAGGCTCCTACGGCTCCTAGTCTATTTGCGCCGTATGGCGAGTATGCGGACGCGTTTTGGTTGACGGTATTTGTGAGAGAGGATGGACGTTCGGGGATGGCTGGTGCGCCCGAGGCAGTACTGGCTGTGGATGATAAGACCGATGGTCCAGCAGAACCTGACGTAGCAGCAGTGGTTGAAGTCATGGCTGTGAAGACAATCAAATGTTAGCAAGGTAGATAATATAAGATAATATGACGGGCATACTAACCAGGACTTGGAAGAGCGGTACTAACTGCAGCGCCTCCTCTTTCCCAGGGTTTTGGCGGTGAAGCCATAACAAATGTATTCAAATTAAACACAACCCTGCAGATGGAGCTTTTATGCCTACAGAGACCTTGCGGGTCTTATGGCTGTAGGATAGATAAATTTTGGGTCGCAAAGATGTCGATTTTGATGGTGAGATAAAATGATTTCTAATGAGATCCAAGCTTGTGATGGCCGACGGTGACGGATGGGCCGATGCGATGAACGAAATAAGGCTAAGCCTGTGACAGTGGAATTTTGCGGGGGATTATTTGGATTGGCCAGAACAATTCCTAGGATGAAAGCGGAACTGGAATGAAGAAATTGGATTAAAAGCGATTTACAGAATTATTATACAGATCGTTGGTAAAGGGATAAAGAGGTAGAGAGGTAAGAGGGAGGATCTTGAAGTTATAGATGGATAGATTGATAGATTGATTAATTGTTCAATATTCCATGTGGAGGTTGAGAAGGTTGGGAACAAAATGAATGAGAATGAAATTCATCAAAGACGCCCGACGCTCATGCCCGAAATTCGCTTCTGAATTGCATTTGGTCTTCAACAACCTCGGCATTTATTTTGCCACCGGGCGGTCAAATTAAGCCTGTGCTATTTACCTAGGTACTACTCGATCGCGAGTAGATATCACATTATCTGAATGCATATATGCATATACTATTAAAAGAGAATCTATCTAACAGCTGTTTATAGATATTATTTATTTTGATATTATCTAACTATAATTATTGATAAAAGTTTTAGTTACCAATCTTGTAATAATAATACCTAGTAGGTTCTCTTCTATCATCATTACTATATCATCCAAATACATGTACTATTAGATAGACTCCGTTTTATTATCATTACATTATCTAAACTGCTGTTGATAATATCTAGGTCGGTTCTCCATTCTTCTTCTATTATCATCACATTATCTAAATGCTGTTGATAAATTTTACTTGCTCAGTAGCTACCTGCTTAAATCGTTAGTTTAAAGCACACATTGCATTGCAGTCAAGTTACAAAAACATGGTTGGCATTGCTCAAGTGCTTGAAGTTTAACAACATAATCGATTGTATTCATATTTAAAAATTCCCACGAGACACCCCCCTTTCACAAAACACCCCCTGACTAATCAAGACCCTTGAAACCTTACTTCAACTCAGCAAAGACTGGGCTCTTGGCCATGAACTCCTTCCATGTAGTCAATTTGTCGACCAAAATCTAAATGAAAATGTATCAGTATGAATATCCAGATTACTGTAGATGAATCCCATCAGAAAAACTTACCGAGTGACTTTCATCCAAAGAATCACCTCCGTAATAGCCGAATTCATTCAACAATCTCATGTTCTGGAGTATCTCTTCTTGAATGTCGGCATTCATACCCGTGCTGCCGAGGATACCCTTGTAGACCTCATGAGGAAGTTCAACATTCTCGGCTCCCTCACCAGCGATAGGGAATTGTTCCTTGAATTCGTCCAAAATTTGGGTAAAGGTGTAATAGTTAGTGGCACCATAGATTCGCTTTCCAAGAACCTTCTCTCTGTTGACGAGAATGCCTTTGACAAATTTGCCAGTGTCCTCAACTGTGATGTATGAGTGAATGATTCTCACAAGATTATAGTGCAAAGTTACTCACCAGTAGCAATAAGAGGAGCTGGGGATGAAGCTGGAACTGGCATAGCAAGCTTCCACTTGGTCTCACCTGGCATCTGTAGTAACGATTGACCAGGAAGGTTGGACATATAAAATCCAGGCAAAAAGAAAGTTGCAGGGACTCCAATTTTTCTAATATACTCCTCGATGTCGGCCTTGGCGTCAAAATGTGCGACCTTGGAGAGGACTCCCTTGGAGACTGTAAAGAATTGATGAGCTTGAAGACCTCGCAAAAGATTTGGATACTGAAAAGCGGTATGGATTGTTGAAGGCAGGTATCAAGAATGGATAGAAGGACTTACGGTCTGTAACGTTCAATAATGAACTCCAGATCAAATGCTGAACACCAGCATCCTACATGTCGATCATATTAGACTCTGATTCTCTCAATTCAATGCATACATTCGATTTCATACCTTTGCGGCATCTGCAATGGCAAATCCTTGTTTCTTCTCTACCTCAGCACTGCAACTTTCCCAGAAGTTGGTAACGGCAAAAACAGCATATGCACCCTTCAATGCAGCTTTGAGAGAGCTGGCATCGTTCAAGTCTGCCTATAGATAATTGTCAATTCTGAATCATACAATATCAAAGATACTATGAAACTTACAGCAACGGTCTCGGCACCGAGAGCCTCGAGGGCCTTTGCGGCAGGCTTAGAGACGTCTCTAGTGACGCCTCGAACTGCCCAGGTCTCCTTGAACTTTGGGTCGGAAAGAATATTCGTAACGACTGAGCCACCTTGTGCTCCTGTAGCACCGAAGACGACGATCAATTTCTTGCCAGACATGTTGATTGTTGATTTGATTGTTTATGAAGTTGTTGATTTGAATAAGAATCGAAAGCTGTTGAGTGAAAGATGATTGAAACTGGAGATGAAGTGAGGTTTTTGTTCGTACATTCCTGGAGGTACTTATATGAAATTCGTCCCTACTTCAAAGAGGCACAGCTACCACTCTAGCTCGCCCCTCGGCTCTCTAGATTCCATCGAACTTCGAAGGGTAATGCCGCCGCCATGCCAACAAACAATTGAAGCTCTTAGCTATAGCTACTTGCTACTTCGAATGGCCGTAAAGTATAATACACATTCCTTAGATTTCCTTCCTATTTTAGCTTAGGACGGACGGGCTAGACCTTGAAAGGCAGAAGGTTCAGCCAGTAGAATTATTTTATATGGTTCATTTGTTAACGTTAATGTGTTCCACGGCCCATGAGTCGCACTACGTACGTACAAAGTTCAAACTCAAAGGCATTATGACAATGGAAGTAGGTTCTAATGTGCTTTACCAATCAAATTTGAGGTATCTCCCCCATTTCGCTGTTTTCGCTGTTTCGCGTTCTCTGAGTTCCGGGCTCACATAAGCTGCTTATCTCACCAAGGATTAGGTAAGTAAACGAAATGTCCGCACCGAGATGCATACTCCGCATTATTATTAATATTTGTCTTGATTAGGTAAGGTCACCAATCAACGCCTACAAATCACATTACTTGTACCCAATTCTGCTTTATATAAAAGACCCATCCTTAGGTATTCTTAAGTTTCAACTGTTAACACGCATAATTAACCTCTGAGCCTGCAGTAAGGTGTCGTGGCTTGTTTTACTCAGTTGCAAAACTTGGACGAATATGGAAAATGGTCAAACAAATGGAAACCGTTTGTCTCTTTGGCCAAAGATGTTGTTATGTGGCATTTGGCATATGGTATATGTCTGATATGTTGCCCTATCATAACTTGGTACATTCATCAATATTATCGTTACCATTTTGTAACTTGCTTTATCTAATACAAAAAGCCAAGTATGCATGAGGGACAATTAAGAAATGCAAGAAAGTCTAATAGATGTGGGATACCCGATGCATGTAGGTTCTATATCACCCCATTTTTCGAAAATGTGATTTGGAGGAAATGTCATGTGACACTGAAGACGAACGTTATTACATATTGACGAATATATATAATTATTTCATTAGTTGTATGGTAATTTGATACTTAGATCAGATCGATTATGAATTACTGATAATACTATGGCAATTTGACATCCACCATCAAATGTTCTTCCTACTATGCGCAGAAGAACAATCACATCGCTCTCTTTAGCCACGCCGACCTTCTACTTTTAATCATCTCATATGTGATGAAGAATTCTATTATACTGCCAAGTAACTCTACCAGATAAGTCAGCCTTTCTTAGAACCCACCTTAACTGCTCGCAATTCTAACTTCTAATGCAAGAATTAAACCTCAGCACTATCACCAATTCGTGGCAGTACGTCAACGTAGCTATCAAGCGCTTGAAACCTACCAATGAACTTATCGTTTTGTGAAATGCACAAGCTTTGAATAATTCAGAACCAAACTGTCGGATTTTTCCCCATCATCTTGAATAATTTGTTTGGCTAGCAGCGTATTTCAAAAAGGCGAACTTTAGCCGAGCATAACTATAGATATGACTGGACTTAAGGTTCTGCTGATCTTACCGCCCTAGCGATGAATGCTGCAAAGGGTCCAAAATTCGTCAAAATGTATTGGGTATACACGCTCCAAGCTCAAACACGACCCTGTGTTTTCGCGGGGCGGCGTCTATGTGAACATGCGTTTATGTGATCGTGATATAAGTTTGTTATATCACTTTTGGAGTCTGAGTAGAAATGCGTATATAACTTCACAAAAGAATTGATTGTGCTGGTCACACAAAATCTTTCAAATATCAGCGTTACATTCATTTCTTTATCTTCTTTCAACAGTACCATCGTCAGTGGAAATTTTATAGAGCTATCTCTACAAAAACTCAGCTACTACAAGTGAAGTTCGAGAAGCCCAGAACAATTAAACACAATATGACGATGGGAAATGCTTCTCCCGTATCTCCACCCCCGTTACCAAAGACACCATGGGTTCAACATGTACAACTGCGGAGATCTGATACTCCCACAAGCGTCTATTCGAATACACAATCCCCTACCGTGGAAGCTCCAAATTCTCCCACCACGACAACTCCTCCCAGTCAACAAATAGATATACCCTCGAGGAGCAGTAGCCCGACAATATCACCCATATCATCCAATAACTCGTCACACACCGAATTTCGTAGCTCTCGATATCAAATAACACCACCTCAAAGTCCACGTAATTCAGCACATTCCAGACCTCGTAGGTCCCGAAACCAGACTTCACGGTATAAAAGTACAAATTTTCTTGTTTCAAAATGGGGCATTGGATGGAAAACACCGACGATTATAATATCTTGTTATTTACTTGGTATGTTTCTCGATACAATAATATAATTCATGTTCTTACATTCTCCTTTGAAGCTCTCGCAACCGCTCTTCTTCACTTATTCTTATTCATCTATATTTCGGGTAAACCAGCCGAGGGAAAAGATAGAGTTGCTCCTCAGACGTATATCTCTACCGCTTCCAACCTCCTAGCCAATGCCTTCTCATTCTTTCTCAAGACGGCATTAACCACATCTTTTGTGCAGTATCTTTGGCGTCTCCTTCGTGTTCAAACCATGAAAGTTTCCACCATCGACTCTCTTTTCGGACTCAGGTCTAACATTTTTCATATGTTCAAGGGTGCTACTATTCGAGCTGCTCCTGTTTTGTGCGTGATGTCTGCAATTATGGCCAGTATGATGATTGCAGTTAGCTTTACTCCTGGTGCTATCAATGTTGTTTTAGTACAGAAAACATCGTATGATTCGATATTTGTTCCCACATTCAACGCATCTTTTGTAAGTTTATATTACGACTCGATGGCAGCCACTTCAGATTTTCGGCTAACCACATATTATAGATGGGAAATGGCTCTGGTGTGGCCGCGAATCAATATTCCCTAGCTACATTATCACCGATATTTGAAAGTGCAAATGGATCTGTATCTGGATTTACAGCAAGGTACGACAGAAATCCTGAATACTGCTTTGAGATTGAAAATGACTAAAACTCATTCCTAGTAGTTCACAACCAGGGAAAAACTCAAATATACTCACTCGTCTCGCACTCCAAACAATGATCACAGGACAAACATCGGATCAACCCTCACCATGCGGCGAAAACTGTTCCTTCATAATAGAATTCGAAGGACCATCCCTCGAATGCAATTCAACCAGCACCAACATCACCACCAGCCACACAGGCACCAACACAACCGATTTCCCCCTCTTCACCATCTACACCGGAAACTGGACATCTGGCCTCCCATCCAGCACATCCCCACAAACCAACGCTCTCCCAAACAAAACATACACAAACGCCCACTGGCAAAGCCGCACCCTCACCCTCCTCAACGCCGAAATAATCCTCACAAACTCCACCCTCCACCCCCCAGTCACCGTACTAAACACATCTTTCACGCAAAACACCCTCTCCTGCATTCCCAGCCGCGCTTTATACACCATAAACAGCACGTACATTTCCAACATCCTCACACGCAACATCACCCGCAAATTCATCTCCCCACTAACCAATCTCGTCTCTACACCCAACCACAGCATTTCCGTTCCGGGGTTCGCTAACGCGTCGGAAATAAATACGAATGAAGGATTTGGGACGAACCCTGCGGAATGGAGCGAGGAGGCTCGTGATTATTATCGTGATTGGAATCTCATGGTTGTTATTGAGACGATGGTTTCGTATCTCGCGGGAGGATATACGGCTATGCCTGCTATTTGGCCGGTAGAGGTAGAGACAGGTGAGGAGAGCTCGAGGATAGGGGATCGGATTACTAAAGAGGGATGGGGTGAAAGTTCTGCGTTTGGGAATGTGGATGCTGGGGTTCTGGGAGGTATGTGGTTTTTTTATGATTTAATTCCTTTTCCTCTTTTTATTTTACTTTGCTTTATTTCATTCTCTTTTTCTTTTGTCCCGGTCTACTCCTAATAACAAAACATAAACTAACACACTCTTCTTTCCCCCCAAACAGCGCAAAACAACACAATAATCGCCCTCACCCTACTCAGCAGCACCTTCACTACTACTACTACTACCTCCCCCTCCACAAACCCATTCACCATAAACCTAACCCCCGAAACCCTCAACTCCCTCCTCCAAAACATAACCCTCAGTACCATCCAAATCCAAACCCAAACCCACCTCTCCGCCTTCCCCCCCACGCAACCCCTCACCCGCACCCGCACTCAAACCCAAACCCCCCAACAAATCTACACCTTCACCTCCTCTCCATCCCTCCCTCTGCACCTCCTCCTCCCCTACACCCTCTCTCTCCTCCTCACTCTCCCCCTCCTCCTCCTCGGTCTCTGGTCCTTAACCCAAAACGGCATATCCCTCCCCACCAACCCATCTTTCACATTAGGATTATGCACTACCTCATTTATATCCTCCTCTTTTCCCACCTCATCATCATCATCATTCCCCACTTTTCCCTCCTCCTCATTTTCCTCTTCCCACACAATGGCGACACCCACACAACTCCTCACACTCTCGCGCGCTGCCTGTCTAGGGAATACAGCATCGCTTTCGAAACCATTGCGGGAATTACGAATTCGGTATGGAGAGTTGAGGTCCGGGTTGGAGAGTAGTGATGGAGGGAATAATAATAATGGGATTAATATCCGGAGAGCGGGTTTTGGACTTGAGAGTGAGGTTGTACCGTTGGTGAAGGGGGAGAAATATGGTGTTGTTTTATGAGGATAACTCAAGTGCAAAGGTCACTTTAAATATCACATGTATCACAGGAGAACTTTTAATCACCTGGAAAAATATACATATAATTATATCATGACACTAATCTCCGTCATACTGGCCAAACAGCACGGGGCAGTACTATCCTACTGATGGTATACTTCACCATTTTTGCACGTCAACATACACAAGAATGAAAGGATATTTTTTGAACAAAATTTAGGCCTGCCTTTTAAAACCTCTCTAAAAACTTTTTTTTTTCATCATCCTCCACGGAATTTTCACCGTAACCAATGGAAAATTCCGAACCCAGGTTGAAATCACTAGGAAATGGCAAATTCGGAAAGCTTACTTCCCGTACTCGTGCCACAAATGTTTTGAATGTCATCTGTCGTTAGACTTGTGGGGAATTCATAGCTCGCAGGCAGCTTCTGAAGATGTATAGTTGAAGTGGCAGAGCTAAAGACAACTGCAAGTTTCATTGTGCTAGAAGTAGGTCGTACGAAGTAGTCTGAATCACCTCCAGGATTGTTCGTATGCAGTGTGGACTTCAAAAATGTTGAGCCAGCGTTGAGTGCTTCAGCAATGTCGAATTCACCGCATCCAGATTCCCAACATGAACAGCTCGGATTTCCATATTGAATTGTGCGAGGAATCTGAGCGTTGAGGATCCAAACTGAGGGCATATCGGCATTGAATCCAGTGCTTCCATCTATTGGCATGCTAAATTCTAGGAGAAATACTTTGTTTGCCCCATTAAAACCATCTACAGATGTGTTAGTAAAGGCAATTCATCATTCTTAGCATGATAACCCACGGTAAGCAACAGATCCTGGTCGCACGTAGCCACAATCATTGTTGCATTCTTCATCAAGCATGACAATAACCTCGGAATCCGATGGCAAGGTGGTATCAGCGAGAACTTGAGGTGACGATGCACCGCCTGTGCCATTGCTATTTACGAAAGAAAGTGAAGCGCCATAAGCTTCATTGAACACACCTGAACCTTGACCACCACTAGTAGAGAGAGACTCGATTAGTATTGCTCCTGGGTATGTATGAGGAGTGATGGAAACTTTATACCAAGTTTACCCGCGGAATTTTTTGGAGACACATGCATCTTGGGAGGAAAATGAATACTTACTAATTTCCAAGAAATACAAGATTATCAAGAGTCTGCTCAGCAGAATCATAATAACCTATTCTGCTGTAAGATCCCGATCCTACAGCTGTGGTGGAGGCAATTGCGCTTGCGGATACTTGAGATCCAGGAAGGGATGCGCTTGTGGATGATTGAGGCTCTGAAAAGGATGTAGTGGCGGATGATATGATTGAAGAGGTAGCTGGTTATGGATGTTAGCAACCTAAAATTTTCAAGTGGGATTTTGTTTCGTACAAGTCTCTTGAGCCTTTGAACCTGCAGCTGCACTTTGAGACAAAACTTGAGATACGGTAGTAGACGCTTGGGATGCCATCGTCGAAGTACTTGGTCCAAACCAATTGTTGATCCATGTTTGTTTTTCACCATCAATCGTGGCAGTAACCGGTACTGCACCACCATCGTAAGCATTTAGGCCTGGAGTAGGCCAGTTATTATCCCAGGAGACAAGTTGTCCATCAATGGTAGCATAGATCTTGTCGCGTTTCTTATTGCCTGGCTTGGCATGTTTCTCAAGATGTTGATGATAGCGACGGCGTCTAGCGGTTGAGCCATCACGTTTTTCCTTGCTAGTGGTAGTAGTACTTGGAGTGTATACTGCAAACTGCTTCAACTGAAGAGGTCCTAAGTATATTGTTAGTTCGCAAAGGGAAGCCAGATTGTGAATCATTGAAAATACCCCTAAAATGAAAAGACACTTCTTCATCTAATGGAGAGATCGGACCAGAATAAGATCTTGGTGAGGAAGAACAAATCCCATTAGACGCCATATCGGTAACTTGATTGTATGTTCCTGGTGAGCCGACATTGCTATACAGAATAGCATCCACGGGATTGCAGTACCAATTTCCAAGAACCTCAGAGCAGCCACTGACCGAGAGTACTACTGATGATAAAATGAGGGCCGTAGCCAAAATGTTATCGCGCATGATTGATTGTGTAAAATCGAGTATGTGGGTATTTTGTTTTCATTCGAATAGGGAAAAGAAGGAATAGTGAGTAATTTTTGTGGGTTGAGAGATAAATATGAATTGATGCCCGGGAAGTGATGTTCTATTCTTTGGTCGTACGATTTGTATTATTGGGAAGGGCTGACGGTGATGGCTGAATGCTTTGCGACGGTGCAAGGTAGAGGCTTATTGAGGAGATTGTATATTCTAGGTAGGGAGAATATGCTGTATTTTGATTCTTGTGATTGGATCGTAACTCGTGAATAGTGAAATAGAATGAATGAATAAAGAGACGGACGGATGTATGGATGGATGAGTGAATACTGCGAATGAATAATATGATATTCGCTGCAAACAAGAATAATGATAGTCAAGAAGAAGTAAGAAGGTACCAAAAAGAGCGACTATAGTTAATAGATAAAGTGAATCAGAACCGTGGATGAGCAAACAGTGAAATGAAGGTGAAGTGAAGGTTCAAGTGAGAAATTCGAGTGAAAGTCTGAATGAATAGTCGTGTATTGAGGTACCTTAGGTTAGTTGAAGAGACACTTGATGAATAGATGAGAAAGGGAATGAAGTCGAAGAAGTGTGAGGAAGGATAGTGAAGTGAGTGAGAAGACAAATAGAATAAAGTTCACTTAGGTAGATATGGTTACTCTTGCAGACAAACGAAAGGAATCTTGAAGGACAGAACAGGAAGGATCAAACCATTTAAACGAAGGAAGCAAAAGAGCAGCAAAGTCCATTAGGTAAAGCTGGGAAGCAACTACAACAACAACACCTCGAGACAAAATTTCCAATTTTAACCACCATCAGCAGATCAAAAGCAGTTCTGAAGCAAAAACGATGTGAGGTCAAAATAGCCGCCAACCTATGTATCAAAATAGTAAAGTCAAAACTAGTAAATCATTTATTCATTCGTACCTGCATGATACCCCAAAAACAAGAGATTGATCGCGGGTAGATAACCGAAGTGCGCACAACCAATCATCCATCATTCAATCAATAGATCATCTATCACATAAAACAAATTGTTCGTGTTAGCTTTGCGCTTTTGTAGGACTATCTTTGTACTGTTTGTATCCAATTTCTGAGAATATTTCAGAGATAAAAAATACTACTTGTCAACTGTGTATTTTTATTTAATCTTATTTACTTTAATTAACAAAGGAGAGTAAAGTACTACCTAGTAGGAAATTACTACTAGGTAATTACAAGCATTTTATAATCTTGACTTTGGAAATGACCTATTGAGTAACTTGTTAATCAAAAGCCAAAAAAACTACCTACCTAATAGATATATCTACATTCCTCCTTGAGAGAAACGAAGAAAACATAATCAATACTACAACATATCATCGTTCACTATACACTCACTATACACTAATATATCACATCAAATCAAAGAGCCTCAACACAAGATACGAAGAATTGGAATTGAATTGAAGAATCGCTGATAAGTTCAAAAAAATGCATACATTATATATAGATTGGTAAATGCAAGGTATTGTCCAATGGTATCCGGCCTCCTTACTCCATCCAATGAAGATAAATCTAATATTCTTTTCCATCGTAGCTAACTACTACTCTGCTCCAAGTCGCCTCCACCAAGTCAAGTCTTGTCTCGTCGAAGTCACTTGTGCTTCAAAAATAGGCGGTTTCCAAAATTGGCTTGAACATGATCCGCTTTTTCTAAATTGCTCTATGTATCGAGGTCGTAATGTTTTTTCTTGAAGATCAATGCCTAGTCCTCCTCCACTTTACATGGTTCCGCCCATGATAACTGTCAAGTGGGCAGTGCTTTGTGAAATGTAGCAGCTGCCATCACTGTTACCGATTGGCTCAGTGGCAGTTAACCAATAGTTTTGGGTCGGGTCACTAGTGCACAGAGGAGCCTCCTCACTGGTGATGGTCATGTTGTAGTTGTTGCCAGCTGAGTTCATGATGGCAGACATGTCGTATCCAGAACCGGTCTTCAAAAATTGGGCCTCACCCCATGTGGTGTCATAGGCACCTGATGCGGTGGTTTTACTGCAGGCCTGAGCCCAAGCGACTTGCGAGTCCTCATCAAAAGCCACGGTTTGAGAACCACCAGCTGGGATGACGATGGTGAGCGTGGTGTTTCTTGGTGCAAGCGCAGACCCGGAGAGCGGTTGCAAGTCAGCACCGACTTTGTTCCAAAGATTAACGGTTATGTTGAAACTTTGTGTGTTAACAAACTTGGCAGTGTAGGAGTAGCTTGCCGATGGATCGGCCTTGATCACATTGGCTCCATATGGACTACCATAGTTTCCGTAGTAGAAATCGGTGGTTCCTCCAGCAGCAGCTACAACTCCTCCGAAACTTGTGCGGTGGTTAGAAGCTCCAACCAATCCATCGAAGAGTTCTTCAATGGAATTTTCAAAGTCGTCGAGGAGAGACGAAGTTGGGGTAGCGGAAGGAGCGGAGGTGCTTGTCCTAGATGAAGAGCTGCTGCTGGACGAGGAGCTGCTGGAAGATGAAACGCTTGTCTTGAAAGAGGAGCTGGCGGCAGTGGTACTGGCAGCTGATGGTGCGGAAGTAGTCTGTGCGGCGACCTGGTTTCCTTCGAGATCGGCCATAGCGTCGAGAAGAGAGTTAGAGCCGGCGGAGGCGGCAGCATTAGCAGCAGTCTTGACGGCGAGGCCTGCTTCATAAGCGGATGACCAATTGATGCCCATGTCGGCCCAGTCCAATGCCTCCCAATCAACGTTGGCGCTATTGTCATTCTCATTAGCAATTGCTTTTCGGTATCTAATAATATGCTGTTCTTACGACTTCTTCTCATGTCGGTGTCGGTGGACGTGAGTAGGTCCAGCTACAGCTTCGCCAATGGACATGGCAGCCAAAACAATCGCGGTGGTTGAGTAACGCATTTTCGGAAATAATGACAACTTTCAAATGTTCGCTGATGGGTATAGTGCTTTATTTAGAAAAAGGGATCGTAAGAGGCCGTTGATAAAGAGCGTGCGAGCTGTGTATTGCTCAGTTGATTGATGGGACAAAGGAGTGTGTCGAACGAAAGAAGGGCGAATTTCTTGAAAACGGTGAAGAAGAGAAGAAGAGGAAGAAGAGAGGGAGAGGTATTATTTAATAACCAAAGTCATCTTAAAATTGGGAAGATCATTTTCTGGGGGTGCCTGTGTGCAGTTGGGGGGCTCCTTTGGCAACCAGGCTTACGACCTTAATCTTACGACCTTAGCCATTAGAAGAAGCCCTGGAACATTCAGAATTCATTTCAAGCCATGAGGGTGCAGGGGGTTGGATTGAGATGAACCCAAGCAACGCGGATGGATGATGGTGGTCCACTGAAAACGCGTTCCTGGGAGTGGAAGTCCGAAAAAAAAGGGGAAAATGATGCATAATTGGTCGGATAATTAATCATTTCCACTCTTTTCTCGAGTACGCTACCACAGGGGTAAAATGCCACGGCATCCACTCTCACGGATCAACAAGCAAAGTGTCAAGCACGGTAGGACCGTAGGAGGTCTGTTCCAATAATTCCATTCTCAATCTTTTCATAACTTTACCGATACCTTCCTTGCTGTATGGTGGTTCACATTACTTTCTGAAGGCTTTCATTCTATGTATCTAATTGGAGCCACGCAAATTAAAGCAACAGTACCTTCTCTTTCGAGCAAGTTTGATCGAGTCGTTCATTTTTTTAATATTTTTTCTTTCCTCTTCTCGCTGTTCTCCACTCTGCGCGGCAGTCAATCCACGGAGTACAAAGTACGATGGATGTACATATGCAGGCAGTAAAACTTTTTATTTCGTGAAAAGATGAAAACAAGGCGGATGATTAGAGATACCCTTGAACATTGAAGTCATTCCGAAAATGGGTAGTGTGTAAACGGGATTTGGTCACATAAATCTCCCGCTATTCCGAGCGGGTATAAATGTTTTGATGATTACTTATTATAAGAATATCCCTATAGGGAATATTGAAACCTCGTAAAGGGTAGAGTAACTTAACGCTTCAACGGTGCCGTTCAAAATAATAGTAATGTGTACCGGATATCCTAAACTATCTACAGAGTATCGAATTGAAAAATAACAATCTTTAGATACCTATCAAATTTCATTCTATCTATCTAGATCTTCCCCCCACAAAATCATTAAGTAAACAATAATTTTATACATCAATCAATTCTGTATAAACTACAATCTACAGTAACTCCCTAAACTCGCTAGATTTCAAGGTTCAACCTCACTCGCCCCCAAGCATTTCACAAACCAAACAAATCACGAATTTTGATTATTTGACTCTACAAAGGCCGTCGTGCTTGTGTTCATCGTCATACTTTATGCATTCTTGCATATGATGTAGTCATGAACGAATGGTTTCCTATCCTAGACCTATAGGGATGGAGATGGTGGGTGGGATATTGTGGTTCTTTATAGGATCTTCTTTTTTTTTGTGGAAGAGTTTTTTAGTTTTTGGTCTGGATTCGTGGTAGATGTGTGTGACGTTTGGTTGTTTGGATTTTTGGTTGTAGATTACTGTTTGAATTGTTTGAATTTTGGAATTTTTGAACTTTTTATGTGGATTGGGAGAATACTTTAGTGTAGGGCTACTTGAAGAGTGAGGGGATTCGGGAGGTTACAGACAGACAGGTAGGAGGTAGGTACATATCACCCATGTGATGTTCTCGACGTAGAGATTTAATTTCTCTTGCATTATTATATGCATGCATACATACATATGTACATTATGTATATGTGATAAACACCACGAGTTACATAAAGCTGCAGTACCTATCAATATGCTTTGTACGGAGGTACCAAAATTACAACTTTTCAGCATCCATATATCCTCTGCACGAGGTAAGATACACGGAGTAGGATAATGACAATTTTCGGACGGAAGGTAGGTACAGCAACTCCTTCCTTCCCTAGCATTATCGTCCGAGAGAGAGTCTTATTCTTACTCCAGACGTTATACTCTACCTACCCAGTATGTAAGTCTTATTATGTAGTTATATTCATTTTCACATTCTCCCCCTTTTCAGGAACTTGTGCACCCCAGCCACCAGTTGATGTACATATCAAGATAGATAGATTCCTATTTCGTAGATAGATATCTATAGATGGATAGATCAACAAAACAAGCCTTTCCATCCATCCATTCAATTCATTCAATCCCATCACTCCAAAGCACTCCAACACAAATATACAAATACAGAAATATAAAAATCCCTCCCAAATTTGACTGTCTCGAACATCTAGATATATCGAACTATTCTCCCCGCAATACTTCATCCGTACTCTGTATTGAATGGATTCATTGATTCATTGATTACTACGAGACAGGAATTGCGACGACTTTTCACATTTTGGGATTTGGGGATGGTTCTAGAATGGGCGAATAAAATGAGTGGATGGATGGATAGATAAGTGGACGACGAATGGGCATGGTTTTTTTTGGCGATTTATTATGGCGCTTTATAGGTGGTTAATATATCGATCGCTACAGTGTATTTTTTATTGTGTTCGATTTCTATAATTCGTATACATATACGTATGTATACGAGTTCGTAGTACAGGTAAACGTAGATATCATCATTAATCGGGATTGAAACAGTGATTGTTTTAAAGGATTTACTCCATATTAACCTATCAACTAGAGTAGGTAATCTTCATTCATTCATACCTGAGTTATCCCATCAAAAACTCCTCATTAAGCTTCTTTTTCTCATGATTCATGATTCATCCCATACAACATACACGAGTTTCAGGGTCTGCAACGCGAGACCTAGAGACCTTTAGTTATGAACTCTAGGCCAGATGGTTGGTTGGTTGTTTGTTTTACCGTTTAACTGTTTGACTTGTTTTGCTGGCTCGTTTTACTTCTTTCTTGCCGATTACCTATGAATGACGGATAGGATAGGATAGGATAGGGTCTAACAGTTTGATTGACCGTGCTGAAGCTCCTGATAGATATGATAGATAGCAAGTCGAAACGAATTGAAAGATAGAGACGCACAGCATACATAACACAGTAAGGTTACTCTGTATAACATAATAAACGCCTTTTCTCGAGAAATCTTTTTTCCTTCTACTCCTCTACTCCGTGCTTAATATCCCTATCATTATAGAACATATATACAACATCAAACATCAAACGTCAAGCTAAGATAATAATTGACCGAGCACACTATTCACATACTGTACTATAATCACCTACTAGAAAAAAACTAGGAATTTTTCAGAAGCACCCCGGGAAATGCTAAACCTAACTACCTAGTAGAGAAAAGCTTTTCTACGTAAATCGAAAAAAACAAAGTTCTAGATTTCCATGTGGCATTTTCACAATCGTCTAATTGGTACGATGATTCTAGGTTCGTTTCTCGGCTACTTAATGGTGTTACAACTTACGACGCCGGATGGTGGGACTCTTGTGGGTGACATTTCTTGAGCGTTGAAGGGCCGGCCGGAATGTTTGTGTGCGTGCGTAAGTAAGTATGGAAGTACGGAAGTACGTAATTGTCTTGCGGATAGATAGATAGACCGGTCGATGGATTTTTGGGGTTTGTAGAGGTTGATTGTCGGTATAATTTGTTGTTTGTTTTTCTGAATAATATAATACAACTATTTACCTACCCCAAATAATTTGATTCTACACCGAATAAATACAACTACATATAAGGCTGTGTATAATATAATAGTCTCAACAACTAAACTTTATAGTCTTTACAATCTTATACTAACACGAGTAGGTTAGGTTAGGTTAACAAATAGACCGACGGGAAAGTTCCCGGCGCTTCTACCACGTATCGTATCGTATTGAGTTATTTGCTTGATAGGCGGTGTATACATACTCGGTAGGATCGACTTGATTGATCTGTGATTTGCAAGTTTTTTGGGCTGTCGGGCTGAGTTTTGAGTTTGAGTTTGGGATGGTATCGGATTGTCCGTTTTGTGGATGCTGATTGTTGATTGTAGGTGTATTGCACGATGGATGCTTTTATACTACATTTGTAGTGGGAAGTCGAATTAGGAGTCTATTTCGTATTTTCTCTTGTGTAGATTATTATTTGCTTGTCTTTAATACATATGGATGGTATGGAGATGGATGATTGTGTTGTTTATTTACGAGGACTTGTGATATACAGGAGTATATGAGGAGTATTGTAGGCTGGATGAAGTGAGTGATGATTTTACTTCGCTTAATCGTTTCTATCTGTACCTAGGTAGGGAGAATATTATTTTATTTTCTTCAAAATAATAGTGTAGAGTAAGATGGATAGGTAGATACCTAGGTAGTATTAAGCGCCTGTTTCTGTGTTTCGGTTTACTATGTGATGTGATGTGATGAGATGGGATGAATATTTGAAGTTGGAGTATGGGGATGATCCGGCACGGTTCACGTTACAGGATTGAGGTGAGTGAGATGGGATGGATGGGATGAGATGAGATGAGAAATACCATTCCTTATTTGCTTCATCTGATAATGATAATGATGATAATTGTATCTACATCATCCCAAATACCGTCCGCTATATGTGAAAAGCTAACATACTTTTTATAGGCCATATCATCATTTCAGCCATTAACACTCACACATTACGTTCAATCCGATTATTTTCAAGTGCAATTGGTCTCAGGACACAAAATATCACTACGTATGAAGAGTATTATCAATATCTGATTTAATCTTATATTGTATATTCTAAGATCTCGCAATGTACATTCCCGTTCATGCCTCATCAACATACTTCTCCCTTCTTTTCTCATATGGAGAAGTGGATATATCGTAGTTTACGCTTTCCAAATACATATCCATCCGTGTCCATATCCATAACCATAACCTTAAACCTATCCATAACCAAATCCCATTCCAGATTCCGAACATCAAAGCCGCTCATGAAAATGCGTGAATAGCATTAGGTGTAATAAAGCCCAGTAGTAGTAAGTAGCTTACAATATATACGCTACTTTACCCTCGAGGTTTCAATTTTGTCCATCCACTCGTTCCAGATTTCTTGTCTTGATCCCTATCCTTAGCCATTGCTGCTGTAGCATCCCTTTTTCCCTCTCCCCTATCCTTCTTAGCACCATGTGTTATCCCGAAAGAAAGCCTCTCGGCGATCCCCGTATTGATACCAGGCACTTCACCAACCATTTCAACCGCATCCATCACAGTTCTCATACTCATAAAACTTTGCATCCCAGCCATGTAATCTCGCTCCGTTTTCACCTCAGGAGTCCCTGCCTCGGATCCCTCTTTCCTAGCCCCAACCACAACCCCATCACTGCGCATCTCATCCTCAATTGCCCATGCATCCTGGCTCAAAACCTCCCATTCTGCATTGGCCACTTCGCTCATGAGTTTACTTTTCAATTTGTCAGCCAGTTGATTCGGACGCGGAAGTTTGAAACCGCGTATGAATTCTGCTCCTTCTGCACTTCCGAGGAATGAATATGCAGAACCATGACTAGCCCAACCCAAAAGTGAACGTTCAATTTTGTGATTCTTTTTGTCTTCGCCTTCGATGTAGCCATCAGAGTCTAGATTTTTTGGCGAAGAGGGGTTGAGAGATGCCGAGCGTGGTGTGGGTTGTAGATGTGGTTTATCACCTATGAGAAGTTTCCATAGGTTTTTCCCTATGTTGCAGATGTCTTCGAAAGTTGTGGTGCCGTTTTCTCCTACAGAAATCCCTTGACTTTTACATAGCCAAGCTACGTTATAGGCGAGAAGGACTGCACCCTCGAGAAAATAAGTATGGACTGCCGAATCCTCGTTTGCTAATATGGGAAGAGGCTTGTTAATCCATAAAGGTCTGGGCCTAGGTTGATTGGAATTTTCGGCATGGCGAGAAGTGGAAGGACTGTTGCTTGAGCTAGACGTCCCCCCAGGAAATGGTACATTGGTATGCAGATATGATGAAGCTAAAGAGAAGATCGTGGGTAAAGGATAATCCCGATGAGGAAGCGTCACTTCTGCAGGTAACCGGATAGCGAGATAATGAGTAGCTAGCATAAGGACATGAGTTATGTGGGATAAGGAGGTAGAGATCTGGGCAGGGCTCGCCGCTGTAAATGACTATTAGCACTGTATTTGTTTTCAGAAAGCAAGTACGTACTGTTCATCAACCTCAAGTCTACTATGCCGACGCCACCTATTTTATATTCTTCCTCACCATTACTTCTTTTGACTCTCTGAAGTCCATATAACTTGGCAGCTTCGTAGCAAAGATAAGCCCTGGAGCCGGCGATAAGGTTATATGCTTGATTCCATCTGTATTTCGTTCTGCGAGTAGAACCCTCAATATCCTGAATTTGTTTTGTCCGGCGAGCTTCGATTCCGCTTGAAGCCAAAACAAGGTCTGCCCTTCTCTGACCATTTGCGGCCTTCTTCTTGCTGCGCTCCTCCTTCGCGCGCTCGAGCTTTGCCTTCAACTCATCAGCATGAGCAATAATCTGGTTCGTGCGGTCTATGATTTTCTCTCGTTCGGCGAGTAATGCATCGTAATTTGACTGGGTGACAACCAAAGGTGGTTCATCTTCTTTTTTGATTCCTTTTGAAGACGGCGGCGGGAAGCGCCCGCTGATTTCTCGATCAAGGGCATCCTTTTCTAGGAGAACGCCAGCGGTTTGGACTCGAAATTCGTATAGCTGGTTGCGCGCATCTGTGGGACAAAGAAATGGGAGTTTATGCCCGCCTGTACGGAAACATATATCGCACTGCATCTCGTGCAGATACTGACAAAAGGACGTTGTTTTAGATGTTGCAGGAGATGATGTATGTAAGTCCGAGGATTATCAAAGAGTGTAGGTTTGTACAATTTTAGGGAGGCATATAATACATGATGCGGAATACAAGAAGCTTCGCTAGTAACAGGCTTTTATGATTTAATGATGTTCCAATGAAGATGTAGCGCTTGAAATATATATTGGAACAATTAGGAATGTATTGAATGCATTGTGCGTCAGGCTGAATGATCCAAGTGTAATGATTCATTGCCTCGCCTTATCTCAATTCGCTTGCTTATCATCACATGATTAGGCGCCATTTTCGTGGCGATTACAACGAGGCTGTCAAACTTTAACATTGAGTTCACTATTACAGTAGCTGCGACGGTAGCACATTCAACTAAACCAGCTCCACTGGTCCTACCGCTTATGATTAAACTCTTCCCTTGGGAAGATTTTAGCTTATTTTAGCGATTATCATTATTCAACTTTTCCAATGTCTCAAATAAATCACTCTCCTCCAAAAACCCCTCGCCGTCCAATTATGGCTATCGTCAACGAAAAACTCGCAGAGAAATCGGCCGCCAGAGGTATTCCAAGTACACCAGCTTTTACCCCTTCTTCTTCCAAGCTCCCTCAAAAGATTCGTGGTGTTAGTTCAAACCTGCTGTCTACTAGTATTCAAGTTCCCGCCACGCAATCTCCTATCGCGTCACCCCTCAAGAGCTCACACATACTACAACATAACGATCAGGCCGATGATGTCAATCAAGATATAGATATGGCACTACAAGCAGAGCAAGGACCAGGAGACGAGACGGCCATTAGTCTAGACAAATCAGATCCCAAGAGAGACCTCGCCCCAATGAACTGGAGTGGCTTTGAGCAACGCTATGCGGAGGCTATCAAGGAATTGAATGACAATGAGGATGAGTTGATCGACCACTTCAACCATCTTTCCGAGGTTGGTTTTTTCATATGATGCACATAGCCAGCTCTAATCTTTGAAGGCATTTACAATCTGGGCGGATTCTTCGGCAGAGCGAGATAATGGGAGGGCATTAAAACGGTAAGTTGTACTTTATATTTTATATCAAGCTATCAACTAACATTTACTTAGTTTGAAGACAAGAGAAAGATATGTGCAGATACAAGAAAAGTCATTGGAAGACAAAAAGCTGCATTGTAAGTCGCTCTTCTAGCATTTCCCCTTCCTATGCTAATTTTGGCTGTCAGACACGAAAGTTGTTGAGGCATTCAAGCAGGCGCTACAATTATTTGGAGAATGACTTACTCGTTTTGATTTTCATTTTTACATGGTATAGTAATATGGTTAATTTCCGGGAAGCCATATTTTGCTCTATTTGGCTAAAACATAGGCGCAACAATGGGAGTAGGCGTGGCAGAGGTTCTTAATTTCACGGAGGCCATATTTTTGCTTCATCGGACTGGGATATAAGGTGCAACAAGGAACTAGTTGTGGTCGATATTGCTAAGATACCCTATTTCTGTTTGCTCATATATCGCAATATTAGCTGTTATAAACTCCTCAATCGCAATTGCACTGATATTTTCAATTTAGCAAGATATACTTATCTTTTTGCATATTTGAAGTCGCCAATTGGCCCCTATTTAAGACCAAGCTATTGGAGTAGTAGCTGAGGCGACAGAATTGCTATAGGATAACAAGTACAGTCTACTTTACAGAATTTTGATCTGTGATGTTCTGGGAGCGCTTACATGTCTAAAGCCATCTCACAATGCCATTGTCCTGTGACGGATAATCTGAAGTATAGATAATTGTGATATAGACTTTTCTCAAACTCAATGGATATATCTCATTAGAAAATACAATGAGCGCGAATTGACTGATGTGTATCGTTAGCAGCATCATTACGATCACAAAAACATCATGAGTGATATCATCCAGTTTCAGGAACTTCAAACATCAATCATACAGGATGGATGACTTCTTGTCCTAGTTCCCGTACCCTTCTTGATGGCGAGTTTCTCGGTCAATTCGAAGGCGAATATGCTATTCTTGTCTGAAATCACCAGGAGACATCGAATCACCACCTCCTTGCCTCGCCTGCTCTCTAAGACTTCAGGGAAAGTACCATTTGTTTCTGATTTGAGATTCTATCTACCAGCCCAAACAAATATTTCGATGAAGCGGGAAGAACAGCCTCCGAGACGAGTCTTTAAATGTTCGAAACTGCAAAATTCTGAAAAGATTCAAATGTTCAATTCCATATTCAAATGATCGTGTCGGCTGGTGGCTCGCATCTTAGTGGGTCGCGAGCTTCCACACTAGATTTACGCTAGTGTTCCGGTCACCGTAGTCTACAATAAATTTTGAAAACTTTCTTTTTATTTGCTGAGTGAAGATTCTCATCCTTCAAGCAACATGACAACACAAACACCTGCGATCACGCCTCACATTGCGCGTCGCCATGTCCGCGCCCGAGGTAACTCAGGTTAGTTTATCCATTTATCTATGTTGTCTTACAATACTAATCAATTGTAGAATGACCTCGTGGCTTTCCATGCCGCTCACTTTGGCAATACCTCAACAGAACATTTCGCACAACAATTCTTGGGTCCCGTTGAGGATACATATGAAGAAGAGGTTGAGGATGATGGTCTTGGGTACTATCCTGATGGCGTCAAAAGAACCTTGACCGATGAACAAATCGCGATCTTTCGACATTCCGAGATCCAAGCGATTCTTCGACAGCGCAGACATGCCGCAGAGTCCAATGACACTTTCGATGAGCAAACCACATCTAGAATTTCCAACACCGACCACGTAGAAGTGGATGAAGCTGAGGAAGAAGATGGAGAGGTTGCCGAGAATTTCTCACATCCTGAGCCAATTGGACCTGTGCGACCGAAGAAGAAGTCAAAGAAGGAACTGAAGAAAATAAGAAAAGCGCAAGAAGCCAAGGAGAAGGGCTGGTTCAAGCAGAACGTCAAGCCTGACTTACGAAAGAGGACTTGGGACAAAGTAGAAAAGTCTATCGGGTCTCTAGCGTACGATGATGAGGGTGGTGGTAATAGCCATGCCTCAAGCTCAACGCCGCAGAGAAGAAAGATATCTTATGATGATCCTTGAGCCACCTATAGCTTGGTCGATTCAAACTTCGATGGTAGCTTGCATTATTCATTCAAAAGGTCAGTGCTTCCCCTTCTCACCTTGTTCGCGCCGCCGACCAAATGATGAAAACCTTCGTATCGTCATCCTTAGTCGGAACTGGCAAGTATCCTCTGGCTCTTTCGGCCAGCTTTGGCTTGCCTTAGCTCGCCGATATGTTGCCCTTGTGTACATTGCTGGTCTTGATGAGACATAATCTTCTCTCTGAAATATGTTGAAGCTTTTGCGCCCATACCGTCATGCATCTTTTTTGAGAGCCCAAGCTGATTGTAGTAGTCATCAAATCTGTTTATGAACCTGTGTCAGCACAGAATAGTTCATACTCGACTTCAAATTCGATCACTGCACTCTTTCTTTAGGTATGATGAAACACTTCACTTTTTCTTTCGCTTTTATGATGACAAAGGGCCATGAGGCCTGAATAATCCCAGCTCGTCGAGTGCCTCACAATAAACGCAGAGTGCATACTGAGAGATAAAACCCGTTCTGAAAAGCAGTCATTACATCTTATCTTTGAAACTACTTCCACAAACTGTACTAACAGTTATGTATAGCCTAAGTTCTACCTACATGCACACTAAACCTCGATGGTTTCAGCCCCGCCATTCCACCAAGAGACGAGACTGCACAATATCTCAAGATTTCATTTTCAGCACCTGGCTTCCAGACCACAGTCTTTGCGGACATCAATCATCTTTTCCTATTTTCATTCTCAAACTAATGAGGGAATCAAAAGTTGTTTCAAAACTCCCACATATTTTGGCCCTGGTGAAGAAAGTAAGGTGGGGTTGGACGTGGAGGGTTTATGATAGCGGCTTTTGAGCGCAAACCGTCTTCTTAGAGGAACCCATTCGGTATATGTGTGAAGGAGTGGAAATTGTAGGGAAGGTCAGAATATTTTGCGATTAGTTTTGAACAAGGGCACGGGAGTTAGAAACAAGACAAGGCTGGGTTGTAGCCTCACATACTTGGCATCAACCGACAAATCTAAAACTCCAGCTTCTTTCAATGCAACATTTCTGACCACCAATGTCCATCCTTCCATCACCATCAAAAACTGAAAATGAGTGACCCTCCAAGTTATGATCAAGATCTACTGAATCGACTTAATGCTTTGAAGAAAACCAATATTCAGCTCGATGCATCTACGTAAGCTGGAAATTAATATAGCCTTGTTACCACATGCTGAGTCCTTAGCCGCACACCATTAAATGTTCTTGCAAAGGAGTCAACACCTGAAACAGACCTATCCCAAAGACTTCGAAGTCTACGAAACGGCACCCCATCAAAATCATGTACTCCTAAAGCTCCCGTGCCCGTTAGCACCACATCGCCTCCACGGCAATCCAGTTTCTACAATGAAACCGTCGCGCTTGATGCCACTCCTCCGTTCTCAAATGATGCCCACGATGACAAATCTTTGGATGAACTCCTAGCAGAAATAGGCTCCGGATCTGAGTGGCTAGACCCCGATGACCCAAATGATATTCAAAAGCTCCTTGATGAAGCCAAGAAGGCTTTACCCAGTGGCGATGACGTCGCTGCAGAAGAAACAGCATCATCAAAAGAGGCTTCAGAGGAGAACACTCGGAAAGGTAATATTTTGATAACTGGTCTAGATATGTCGGTATTTGCCCTAGACGATGAGGGACATGAAGCTCCTCGTAGTCATCAAATCGAGGGTTTGGAGACCGAATCACGTGAAGTGCAGGATATTGTTGCGAGATTGTTGGATGAGGTTAATTTCGAGAGAGGAGATGAGGATGAAGCTCAAGAAAAGCAGGATCGGGGGGAGAGAGCTTATGATTTGGAAAAGGATAAGGATGAGGATAGGAAGCTCTCATCGTTTCCAACATATCAGCGAAATGATGATGAAGAACCAACCTTCACACTTCCCTCCGCACCATCCACACTCCCAGAACCGAGTCGGAAATCTCTTGATTTCGAAGAAGATATCACGGCAAGGTTAGCTGCACTTAAAGGTCTTTCTAGCTCCACTACTAGCGATCCCCTCAATTTACCTTCCGCACCAACCACTAAACCCGTCGAGAAACTAGCAAAGTCCTCGAAAGGAGCATCGGAATCGAAAGGAAACTTAAAGGAATACACAGATGAGGAAATGGATACGTGGTGTATTATTTGTCAGGATGATGCGACGGTGCAATGTGGAGGGTGCGAGGGAGATTTGTACTGTGCGAGGTGTTGGAAGGAGGGACATATGGGGGTTGATGCGGGATGGGAGTTTAAGAGACATCAGTGGAGGAAATGGGAGAGGGTTGGTTAGATAGGAGGGTTGTGGGGAGGGTGGGGGGTGGTTGGTTGTGTTTTTGATTGTACTTTTTTTATTCTGGGGGTGGGGAGGAGGGGCTTGAATGATAGATGGTTTTGGGTGATGGTATGATGGGTTGTTGTCGTTGATTTTGGATACAGTATGTTGGTGATGATGTACAATTTAAGTTACGATTACCATCCCAATTGATCCTATCTCAACCGATAAATTCATTATCAGATCCTACATTTCATGCCAAGTGCAAACAATTCACACACAAGTCTCAATAAGCTCAACAATACGAGTAGATGAAAAAGCCATCAGGCTTCAGGTTGGGTCCTTTGAGTAAATATGTTCTCAAAACCACTAGATCACGAATATAGCAATGAAAATGATACTGATTACAAGCGACGTGAAAGGAAATGGAAGCAAGTGGATGGTACAAATAGATGAGGGATGATAGATACATAGATGGATGAGTGAGGACTTACTGACAATGTTTTTGTACATCAGAATAGATTATTTCGAGTATGGGAGGTTTATGACTGGTATAGGTTTATGAAAGAGGTACTAATGTGATATATCGCTGTTTACATTCTGCCGCTCATAATGATTACAATGATTATGCAAATTTTGTTCTCTCCTACCATATCGCTCCGACGATAATCGTGGGCAATACCGATTGCCACTCCGCAAGTCTCGATAGAGACAAGTTTTTCCACTGGTAACCATATTCATATATTCCAATAGGAAACAGAGAGGAAAAAAATCCTTAAACCAAGTCCGAGTATGCTGTACAAAATGCAGCTTCTCAAATCAACGCCATACTTGTTTCCAATACCATCCAGATCCAACCGTATCCGACCTACCAACAAAGGAAAATGGCAATTTCATAGAGGAAAGCTTAAGGTAATAGCGATGAGTGATTAATCATCATCGTGATCATCATCACCACGAATTCCTCGACCAGCGGCACCCCTGCTAGGAGTCTGGTTTTTGGCTTTACCGCGGATATCCTGCCATGTCGCACCGAATCTTCGGCCAGTAGTAGCAAGAAGGCCCTCTTCCTCATCCGCCTCAGCATCCTCATCCAGCTCGCTGAGATCCAACTTGGGAGTTCGGAATAGCGCAGTGACAAAGACAATCAAGAAGATTGCGAGGAAAACAAACTGAGCCCAAAATGCGAGAGCACCGAAGAATGGGAAGTTGACGGTAACTCTGTTGAGGAAAGTAGAGACAACTGTAGGAGTGCAGACCTTTTCAGCACCTTCGCCTGAAGATAGCTCACTACAAGTCTTGATCAATTCTGGGTGATTGCTGCAGTCTGGTTGGTCGCCAGGAAATCTAGTAGGGTTGGTGCAGAAGGTTTGAGCGCCATAGATAGCATATTGAGGTGCAATAATCATAGCAATCGAGTAATTTATTGCAAGAATGATCAAGGTTAACATGACAGTTGCCATGAGAAGAGCTTGAGGAGAGGTGTGGCCTTTTCGTATCTCAAAAAGCCTTACCCACAAGAATCGAAGACCGATCACGGCAATACCTGTCACTGAACTGCTGAAGAGGAACAGGACTAAGAGTGCCATTAAGACATAGTCAATTGGGAAGACTATAGAGGATTTGACGAAAACCCAATTGAGGGGTTGGAAGATATTGATACTAAATTGTAAATTAGCCAAAGAGGACAAAATGAATGACAGCAACGCATGACTTACCTCCCTAAGATATAACCGCAATGCTGTTTGCAGAATGAGTTCTTCGCCTTATCAATTCCAGTAATGAGCATAGAAGCCCATATGATAACAGAGAGAAGCAAGAGCAGTATCCCTCCCACAAGTTTGAGAGGCCTGAAGATTGCGCAAGTCTTGGTCCATGCTTTCACAATAAAGCTCTTCCCTTCTCCACGAGCTTCCGCGGCTAGACGTTCGCGTCGAACCAAAGTACGTTCTTCACGATGTAATGCTTCCAATTCTCGCTGATCCTTGGCCGACAATCCTGCATTCCTTCCGACGTTTCGTCCTTCAAGTTGACGTTGACGTTCCCTATTTTGCTCTAAAGCTGATGCTGTTGTTTCTGAAAGCTGTGGAGCACTGATTGAAGGTGCAGATTTGATGAAAGACATGGGTAATAATGCCAATCCAACAGAAGTGTAGAGGATGTATAACAGCGTGCCCAAGGAAATCAATAGCCCCAGCGCGAAAGTTAAGGCGCGCTCCCCGTGGTTTTCAGCTAGCAAGCGTTTAAAATAGTCCAGATCCATATCAGATCCACCGCCTCTTGCGACAGGCGCAAAGAATCCAACCAGGAATAAGATTACGACAAGAACGACAAAAAATAATGTGTATTTTGCAGCACCTAGGAGTCTCTGGCCAAGTGTCTGTGTGCCTTCCTCCGTGTCGACTTCATCGTATTCCTCATAGAAAAAGTAGGTAAATGGGATGACAAGAAGACATAAGACGGCATCCAAGCTGTACAATGCATAGTAAACGATTTTGAGAGTCAGGAGAATGTTGCGAACAGTCTCGGGAGTGGCCCAGTCTTTCTTTGCGCCGAGCTTCGAGGATGTCGTAGAGCTAACAAGGGCAATATCGACAGGAAGGAGTAAAACTGTTGCCAATAGAGAGGTCAAGGTGATGATGGTAATTGTAGAGACCAGAGCTGATCGATCGCGTGGTGTCTGATATGTATAGGCAAAAATAGCTGCTATGAGAGCAACAATGCCTACAGCAACAGCATAGGCAACCCATATGAACGCAGTCTGTATGAGCGCCATATTGCAGGCGAGGAGTTTATACTGGATTTATAAAAGATATTAGTCGTGGTCGTGCTTGTATTGTTGATGTTAGATCTGCATGAAGTTGGAGGGCTAGGGAGAGATTACGCTTGCGGAAGCTCAGCAAACAAAAGGAAGCGTGTGACAATAAGAAGAGAATATTACTACCTCACGGATGAATGAATTAATGAATGAATTGATTGTAAGTATAAATACTCTTCTCGTAGCAAACAATATTGTTATTTAATGTCGAAATTTTAATTGTGTTTTATTAAGATCTTACTTCACTTCCTTGTTCCATCTATTAATACCTACCTAGGTATTCAATATACAGGATTCTAGACGTCTGACGTAAGGTTAACTGGGCGTGCGTGGGTTGAAATTCAAGAACCCTCCAAAAGCTGCTGCATGAGCTTCAAGGGCAGAGAGTGAAGGTGATAGGTCAGCGATAGCCAAAGCACTGACGACGCTAAAATTTGTGTAAATCGCGGGTTCGCGACGCATCGACATTTGATTAGACTGGCAATGTGAACGAACATATTGACAGGCCAGGATAAATCAGAATTATATTACGAATTGATGGTCTTAATGCTTTACTTTTGACCAGAATGCAATGCTATACGGAGCTGACACCTCCTACAGCTGTCACACATTCTTTGAGCCTCCCATTCTTGTCGGCAGATGCCAGAAACCTCGTCGTCGCAAAAGCTTCGTTGCTACAGATATTTACAACCAAGACCGTATCCGTGGATCTCGACGAACTTTCTGGAAAAGATTCATCAACAGTGAAAGATGTCACAAGTACCGACCCTAGGGCTCATGATGAAGATGGAGTTGAAGCTTCCTTTCTCGGCGCAGATTCAATTTTACCGCGATCTGAATTAGCTCGAACGACGAAACTCGTACTTATAGCTGAATATAATCTATCCGGGACAGTTACATCTCTTGTACGAGTGAAGACGATATCCTCAAAGACTGGTGGTGAAGCATTGCTAGTGGGATTCAAGGATGCGAAGCTCAGTCTCGTAGAATGGGACCCAGAACGACCTGGCATATCAACGATATCGGTTCATTTTTACGAACAAGACGAACTACAAGGAAGTCCGTGGGCACCCAGCCTTTCAGATTGTGTCAATTACCTTACAGTCGATCCAGGAAGTAGGTGTGCTGCTTTGAAGTTTGGGGCTAGGAACCTTGCGATTCTTCCTTTCAAACAAGACGAAGATGTCAATATGGATGATTGGGATGAGGAATTGGATGGCCCTCGCCCAGCGAAAATCTCACAAAAATCTGCGGCGGAAAATGGAATTCTCGCTACCCCATATGGATCCTCTTTTGTTCTACGATTGTCTTCGCTCGATCCCAGCCTCATCTTCCCGATCCATCTTGAATTCCTATACGAATATCGAGAGCCAACTTTTGGAATTCTCTCCTCTACCATGGCTCCATCGTCTGCTTTGCTGCAAGAGCGTAAAGACCACCTGACATATATGGTATTCACCCTGGACATACATCAGAAAGCGTCAACCACAATTCTTTCCGTTGGGGGGTTGCCTTATGATCTCTTCATGATCGTTCCACTAGCCCCGCCTGTGGGTGGAGCACTTCTAGTTGGTGCCAATGAGCTGATACATATCGATCAAGCTGGTAAAGCCAACGGTGTCGCGGTGAACATGTTCGCCAAGCAATGTACCAACTTCAGCCTATTAGACCAGTCCGATCTTGCGCTTCGGCTAGAAGGTTGCAAAATCGATCAACTATCTATTGAAAATGGCGAAATGCTCATCATACTGCATAGTGGTGATATTGCTATTTTGAGCTTTCGCATGGATGGAAGATCCGTCTCCGGTCTGAGTATTCGACGAGTAAGTGCAGAATTAGGCGGCGATATATTGACGGGGGCTGCATCATGTGTAAGTTCCCTTGGTGCAGGTGCATTATTCGTTGGTAGTGAGGTATCGGACTCTGTCATTTTAGGCTGGAGTCGAAAGTCAGGCCAACCTTCACGTCGGAAGTCGAGGCTCGACAGCTCAGCAATAGCGGATGTTGACGAAGCTATGCTTGATGAAGAAGATTTAGAAGATGATGACGATGATTTGTACGGTGACGGGCCCACGATCTCCCCCACGGCTGCCAATGTTACAGCTTCGAACAGTAAAGCTGGAGACTACACATTTTCTATACATGATTCCATGGTCAATATAGCTCCCATCACTAACATCACGTTTGGGGAAGTAGCATTGAGCTCAGATAAGGAAGAAGAGCTGAAACTTAACGGAGTCCAAAGTGAGCTTCAGCTCTTAGCCGCTGTGGGTCGTGAAAAGGGAGGTTCTCTAGCCGTCATTAATCGTAATATCCAACCCAATGTTATAGGCCGATTTGAATTACCGGAGGCTCGTGGTATTTGGACCATGAGTGCAAAGAAACCTGCGCCAAAAGGGTTGCAGGTCAACAAAGAGAAGACAGTCATCGGTGGTGATTATGGCGTTGATGCTCAATATGACAGACTAATGATAGTTTCCAAGGCATCTGAAGCTGAAGATGCTATTGACGAATCAGCTGTTTATGCATTAACGAATGCTGGATTTGAGGCTTTGTCAGGAACAGAATTTGAACCAGCTGCTGGATCCACAATCGAAGCTGGTACGCTTGGTAATGGAATGCGTGTCATTCAAGTCCTAAAGTCTGAAGTAAGAAGTTATGACGGTGGTAAGTACGCCCCTTTTTTTTGAAATTATGTCTCTCTCATGTTTTGTGGTCGGGTGGGCAAATAGGTTGGGACAAGTCTGGGGGACTTTTGTATTTTTCGCTCATGTATGGTTCGCTGCCCGGGGCGCTATCTGGAAATCTATCATATCCTTTAGCATCAATGAAAGCGAATTATCAACATCACAACTGTGCCTCCATGCAATCTGCTCCCTGCGACATGTCTCTTCCTGTCATTCCATGATAGAACGTAGCTGACTGTGTATCTGTGGTGTAGATCTTGGTCTCGCACAAATATTGCCGATGCTCGATGATGAAACTGGAGCAGAGCCGAAGATCATCAGTGCAAGTTTTGCAGATCCGTTCCTTCTACTAATAAGAGATGATGCGAGCATTTTCGTTGCACAATGTGACGATGACAATGACCTTGAAGAGATAGAAAGGCTTGATGATGCTCTACTTTCCACGAAATGGCTCACTGGCTGTTTGTATGACGACTATAGCGGGGCTTTCTCCGATAGCAAGTCTAGCAAGGCAGGAGAAAATGTGAAGATGTTCTTGCTCAGTGCTGGTGGGGGATTGCACGTGAGTACCATCTGCTTATTTTCATTGACAGATTTCTAATACTTTCAGATTTATGCACTGCCTGATCTTTCAAAGCCAGTCTATGTGGCGGAGGGAATATGTTTTGTGCCACCTGTTCTCTCAGCAGATTATGCAGCCAGAAAATCTGCAATTCGGGAAACGTTGACCGAAATATTAGTAGCCGACCTAGGAGATTCAGTATCTCAGTCTCCCTATCTCATTGTAAGACTCACCATTTTACTCTTCTTGATTTCACGCTGACCTTCTTAGCTACGACCCTCAAACGATGATCTTACTATTTACGAACCCTTCCGCATCGCGTCTACATCACCTAATCTTCTCTCATCTACGCTTCAGTTTTTGAAAATACATAACACACATCTGGCACAGGCTCCGGATGTGTCTGCTGAAGAGCAGGCGGATGAAACTCAGCAAACCAGTGATAAACCAATGCGTGCTGTCTCAAATCTAGGTGGATACAGTGTTGTCTTTATGCCAGGTGGTTCTCCAAGTTTCATCGTCAAAAGCTCTAAGACACTACCAAAAGTTCTTAGCCTGCAAGGAACAGGAGTTCGCGGTCTAAGTAGCTTCCATACCGAAGGTTGTGATAGAGGATTTATCTATGCCGACACAGAAGGAATTGTTCGTGTAGCACAATTTCCTCCAACAACCACGTTTGCCGACATCGGAATGGCCTTGCGAAAGGTTGAAATAGGTGAAGATGTTCACGCCGTAGCATATCATTCACCACTGCAGACCTATGTCATAGGTACCAGCACTTTCACCGACTTCGAATTACCTAAAGATGATGACCACCGAAGAAGCTGGCAAGAGGAAGATATCGCCTTCAAGCCGTCGATCGAGAAGAGCTCTCTCAAGTTGATTAGTCCAGTCAACTGGTCAGTCATTGATACCATCGAGCTTGAACCCTGCGAAGTTATAACTTGTATCAAGACTATGAACCTTGTAGTATCAGAAGTCACCAACGAGCGCAAACCCTTACTTGTCGTAGGAACAGCTATAACCAAAGGAGAAGACCTCGCAACAACTGGCCGCCTCTATGTTTATGATGTCGTTATCGTTGTCCCCGAACCCGATAGACCCGAGACAAATAAAAAGCTAAAATTGATCTCCGCCGAAACCATCACTCGTGGCGCTGGTGGTCCTGTGACTGGTCTTTCCGAGATTGGTACACAGGGTTTCATGCTTGTTGCACAGGGTCAAAAGTGTATGGTGAGAGGCCTCAAGGAGGATGGCACAAACTTACCAGTCGCATTTATGGATACGAATTGCTATGTCACGTCTATCAAGGAACTTCCTGGTACAGGCCTCTGCGTGATAGCAGACGCGTTGAAAGGTGTGTGGTTTGCGGGGTATACAGAAGAACCCTATAAAATGCTACTTTTTGGGAAGAGTGCTACGAGGATGGAGGTACTGTGCGCAGATTTGTTGCCAGATGGAAAGGATCTGTTCATTGTGGCTGCGGATGCTGATGGAAATTTGCATATTATGCAATATGATCCTGAACGTATGTTATATATTTTCCTATTCCATCTTCTGCTTTTTCTCGGCGAATATGGTTACTATTATAGAGACCCTTGACTAATATACACATAGACCCTAAATCCCTCCAAGGCCACCTCCTCCTCCATCGCACCACATTTTCCCTCGGCGCCCATCACCCCACAACAATGACACTTCTTCCCGCCATCCCATCTCTACACCCACTAACCACAGCCTCATCCTCATCTCTCAGTCCATCTCCCCAAGAAGATTCCCCCTCACCTTCCCAATCCCTCCTCCTCACTTCGCGTACTGGAACCTTTGCCCTTCTTTCCCCCCTAACCGAATCCCAATACCGCCGTTTCGGCACCTTAGTCTCACACCTTACAAATACACTTTATCATCCATGCGGACTTAACCCAAGAGCATATCGAGTAGACAAAGATGCGAATGAGGGAATTGTAGGAGGAAGAACGATTATCGACGGAGGCGTGTTAGGAAGATGGATGGAGCTTGGGAGTCAAAGAAGAGGAGAAGTAGCTGGACGGGTAGGAGTTGATGTTTTGGAATTGAGGGATGAGCTAAGTGAATTGCGTAGGGGTTTGGAGTTTTGTTAGGGAGTTTTTTTTTTTTTTTGGAGAAGTGCGATGTGGTTTGTGATTTGTGATTAGAAATGCAGAAGATACGAATGGGTAGAAAATAAAAGGATTTGGAGCATGGGATAATCGAGTCTCAAGCATAATAGTGTCAAGAATGAAACTGGCCAACAAATCGGTAACCCAAGATCATCTCAGCTCCCTCATCCTAACCCCAACCATATCATATTACGAGCGACCAAACAACATCTCTATCCACAGAACAGAGATATAACCTCACATCCCCTCAAAAATTCACACAGCCAGCAGCAAAATCTCGCAGCTATAAATCCTCACCATCTTCATACACTTCAAACTTCAAACTCTAAAATTCAAAATAACTTTACCAAACTATGCCGAATACACCGTCACAAGCCAGCTATACATAGTCCTACACCACGGAATACATTTAGTGACAAATTCACACAAAATTGGTTTGATATCCGTAACTATAAATGCTCTCATCTCATTTCATCTCCCTCGCGAAAAATGTCGGATGAGTAGATGGCTACCAAGATGGGATATAAGATATTATTACGCTTTTAGTTGTTAATTCGTTGATATCTGAGAGTTTAGAGATGTTTTTATAATTGGGTTTATGTTTTTTGGGTTTGTTATTGTGTCGTATGGTTTGGTATGGTATGTTTCGACGATTTTGAGAAGAGAGAGATAATGTGCTTTTTCACAATAGCAATGTATTTCCATTAATTTAATGGGTGTGTAAATCTAGAAAGTGATGAAATCGTTTATTGTGTTGTGATTTACACATCTCGTTGTTTCGTGATGCTAAATAATGCGAAATGTGAATTCCGTTGTTGAGATCCCAATTGGTGGCTCTCAACACCTAATATTTTATCTTCAACTACTCTTTTCTCACCTAGATTAACCTATTACTTCTCTTGACTCATTTAACTTAATCAAAGTCGTCAGTAGAAAAGTTCTGAAACATCTCTCCTCCTAACCGCACAAAAAAGAGTTCGTAGAACAAAAACATCGTGATTTGAAACGATGTTTCGAAAGTCATGGAAAAGGCAACAACAGCGCCACCTTCGACAACTTTATCATCAAGAACAACTCAATAGCATTGTATTGATATTTTTCAGACTATGAACAATCACTGAATAAATATGAAACAATACAGAGTAGAGGTATATAAGGACCCGAAGATTTCCTGATAAAAAAGCTCTTCCAATCCACATCCATATCCATTCAATACAACCACCACAATATCGAACAAACTACGTGCATACATACATACATACATACATACACCACATCCCGGAACCCGTGAATCTATCATCAAACCCATCGAATACGAAGAGGAATTATCAACGCCGTTTCTAATACCACTTACAACATGGCAAAAACTATGCCAACTAGAAGTGCATCCAAGAAGGACAAGCCCGAGTTTGCGGTCGTTCAGCCGAACAAGAACCATGGCTTCCAAAGGAGCTCAAAAGTTGAGCGGGTAAAGAGCAAGAACCAAAAGGAACGTCATCTTTGGGCAGATGAAGCTTTTCTCATTGGCCGCGATGTTGGCAGGCCGGGTGACAAAGCTATGACTCAAGAAATCAGAGCCTCCAGAGGAGATAACGCGCCCGCTGAATCTTTAGGCGATTTGAGTATGTAACAACTTGGAAGATGGCCCACGTAAGACAGTGTGATATTTAGGCAATACGATTCTAATCAACTATGCCTTCAAAAAGCCAAGCAAAAGTAACAAAACAACCTCCCAGAACAAGTGCCCAGATTGGATTACGAGGTTCACTTGCGTTGATGGGTATTGTTTAGTTATGAAATTTGCGACAAATTGACAAGAATAGCACACTCAAGTGGGTTGACATAGATAGAGAATGATAGATTCAATGTACTTATTGTTTGCCAAACTTTCTTGAGATATCTTTGTGAACGCCATAAATCTACTCCACGTTGAAGAACGCCGCCTTATATGACTCATTCCTAATTAAATACGCCGTAGACCCTTATGCCCATATTTTATGAACTCCTTCTCGCATTATTAACATTACTTGCGTGAGCCAACAAAAACTTGCAGCATGTGAGAGTGAACTTGCACGCTCTGCTCCATGCATCATCTTGAGCTATGCCTAGTTTTATACTGACATCCCCTATCTTCTCTCCTTCAATTTTATATGGCAGTTTAAGCCCCCGTCCAGTTTCCGAGGTCCGGGCGGATTCCTGTTCAACAAACGCACCTAGTTGGCGCATACATTCGAGGAATGCCTCCATAGCTATATCGAACTTACGATGCATGAAAGTAAGCCCGAGGGGCATATCACCAGATGAATGAAGTTCGAGAATAGATTTCTTGGGTGGCCGGGTGTTATTACCACGTTGGGAGCTAGAACGACTTGCAGACGGCGATGGATAATCATAACGTATTATTCGAGAGGTTGAGCCCATGGGCTGAAGCTCGTATCCTTCGAATTTAAAATTGAGACGGTCAGCGACAGTAGCTAGAAGAAGCAATGCGTGGCCCCATGCTGCATTAATTTCCGGCCAGTCCACTGGCACACTTGAGAGTCGTCCAAGTCGTAGGCCATTGATTGTACCAAACTTTCCGTCATGGCTTATGCAAAATGTATCGTTATATACATTCGTTCTTTGCAATTTCTCCAATAGCTGTGAATCATGATCATATTGAAGATTGATGCTATCCCTTATGTTTTGGAACTCCGAGAGCTTCATCGCAAACTCATTTCGATCACTCCAGAACTTCTCTTCTTCAATATCAAGAGCTCTGGCCTCTTCTTCCAGCTGAGCATTTTCTTCATTTACCCTGGCAGTTTCCGCTTCGATCTTCTTCAGCTCATCTATTGCCGCGGCCTCATCTGCTCGTACCTTTGACAAAAAATCATTTGCTTCTTTCAACTCCTCCTCTGTTGGTAATTCGGCATTGATCTGTTTCAAAAATCCGACATATGCATCCCTTTCTCGAGTTGCAGCTTCTAATCGTTTTTGCAGCCCATCGACAAGCATCTCTGTACACTCAACACAGATAGGATGATCTACATCGGATCGCGCCGTAAGAATCTCGAAAAGCCTCGATGCCCGTTCCATATCTTGCGACATTGCTTTACCCTCGCCATCCAGTGCTTCTCCGCCAGGTTGACCATCTTCTTGTGGTTGATTAGAGTCTGTGTCTTCGGGCGGTTTGGCAACTGACGGAGGCACGACTTGAGATTCCGTCAGCATGACAAAAGACATGGCTGGATTGTTCAAGCCGCTTCTCATTGTGTCTGCTAAATTAGAATCATGTCGACGAGGTGCGGATATTGTCCGCTTAAAGGTTGGCGGAGCGGCATGCTTCGAGACACGATCATAAAGTTGTTTTCGTTCTTGAGGATATGCTGGCCGTGAAGGGGGGATATTTTTAGGATGGTTTTGTGAGGTCGCACCTAGAAAGCAATGATTATAAGCTCCAGTCTATCTCCAGAGGTTTGTTTCAAAGAAAATCACAAACCAACTAATAAATCAAATGCCGCGGGATTCAGGTCTTCCAAAGAGCTATCAAGTTTCAATGATGTACGACACTTTTGACAATACATGTTGGGAATCTTTGGCCAAATATTCACATGGAATCATTGAGAAATCAAACAAGTATTCACCAAGCTGTCTCTAGCATTTTGCTTCGACAGTGATAGAGAGAGAAGATCAAAATAAAAGTTTGTAGATTCACTTGGTTAGACTTGGTCATGAAATATGATGCGGTGCGATGCGACACCAGTGATCCCTTGACGTACGGTTAGGCTCATCAATTAGCCATGCTTACATAAATTTAAGCTCATTTATGCAACCCCGCAGCTTAACAGTCGTAGCTTTATGCATGTAATTTACACGAACCCAACGCGTTATTCCCGACTGTAGGGGAAGTCAGCTCGCGACTTTTATTTACTTACTAGGTACTTTCCAATCTTGGTTCACCTACCAAATATAATACAATGATGCACAAATACAGAACTTTATAATTCTTACAACCTTATCAATCTTTGGACATGATCGCAAATTGTCACAATGGAATCTCCAACAAAGAGGCAAGGGATTTCCAATGAGCCTAATGATGTCGACTTCGAAGTTGACGATGATTACTTCGAGAGGTATAGCGAAGTAGAGGAAGATGAAGATGATTTCATTGTCGATGATGACAACGATGATGTTGTCTACGAGCCTGGATATGACCCCGATCAAGAGCTTCAGCAGAGAAGAGCTCGACTCGATTACAAATTAAAATCTACATTTGAATCCATCTTCGAAAAATATGGGAAAGATTTCGATGGAGTTGGTGATGAAATCGACCTGCTCACTGGAGAAATATTGGTTGATAATGGCCATTTGAAAGAGATGCAAGATGAGCGGGATGCTGGAGACAATAAAGCAGGAGGCAATCTTCTGAGAGCCTTGACTGTAGAACCAGAGAGTATTATGGAAACATCTGATGATGAATATAGCACTGAAGAAGGTGAGGTTATGAATGAGGGAGATAAGGCACAGGAAAAATCGGACCACCGAGCGAATGTGGAGGAGATCAGTTGTGAGGATATGGAGGAGGACGACATGATTTTACGCGGCTACGATGAACCGAACCGGGATCCTTTCCTTGATGTGGTACCCACGATAGAGACGGAATCCGCTTCAGACCATCCCCTGGGAGACTTAAAATATCAACGAAACTCAAAGCCTGAAGGACGCAGCGTTTCTTTTCCATCATACAATGAAATTTTACATTCATTTGGACCCGACGTTGCTCCTCAAATTGTAAACATTATTTCACGAAAAAATGTCCATGATGATACTCATATCGAACCAGCCTGGAGAGTGCCTGAATTACCTGCACTTGAACCAAGAAAGCGTCCGGCGTTAAGACCTTTCGTTCCAGAGCCAGAAAGTGAGCGCAGTCCATCTCCTGATGTGTCCGAGTCGATCTGGGCTTTACCAAGAGGACGAGGTCCAGGACGTCCAAGAGGCCCATATAAATCAAAGGCGTCTTTTAGACTAAGAAACATCGGTGACACCGTATTACTTCCAGACGGACTAAACACCCCAAGTTCCGCTGCCTCGAAGTCACCACGAGTGCGTAATGCTTTTACGGAGGAAGAGGATGAAATACTCATTGCAAAGGTGGCTGAAGCACGCGATCAAGGTCTCGCATTAGGAGCAGAATCTACCTGGGAAGAGCTGGCGAGTTTGAATGACCGACATACAATAGCATCATGGAAGAATCGGTATCGCCAAAGGTACCTACATTTGTGGTCTCCAGAAGGCACAGCTAGACCGGGTTCTTCTGGACTCCGCCGGCCATACCGTTCTAAAAATCGAGAAGAGTCGAAATCGAGCATTAAGTCTGCATCACGCAGTCGGCATCCGGTATCTTTCTTCCAACGACCATCTAGAACTCGAAAACCTGCACAGCAAGGACCGAATGTCGTTAGCTGGTCGGATGCAGTCGCTGTAATCAAAGCCTTGGACCCTAGACTTCACAAAGATTTGATTAAAGACGCTAGTACATTCGATTTGACTGATGTCGGACCAGTGAATGTTGATGATGAAGCTTTGAATTTGAGAACTTCTGATTTGGAATTCTCGGAAGTAAGTGATGATGAGCCGGAGCTTCCTGCACATATTGAATCGGGAGTTCAGAGGATTGCGCCTGTAGCTGTTAATCCTGCCTACGAATTTTCGGATGAAGAAACCGGCTCGAATTTCAAGGCGCTACAACAATCAAGCGGATCAACACCCAAACCAAATGAAGAGAAGGGTTCTTGGCTTGTAACCCCTCAATCCAAGGAATCCAAGAAAAGGGCGAGAAAACCAACAAGTATTAAATCAAAAGATGGAACCAACGGGGAATCAAGATCCCATCAAAGCATAGTTCGAAAGAGGCTTATGTCAGAAGAGGTTGACGAATTAAGCCTTTGCGTTGAAGAAGAAGACGTTCTGTTTGTCCGTTCAATGCCAAGAAAAGACAAGCAAAAGGAGCCTCAGACTTTTATCAAACGAGAGGGTCAAGACTCAACAATCTCAGATGCTATCACTCCTGTCCCGCCGAAAGAAAGGATTCCCATCCTCAGCGATTACGACGAGTTTGACGAGCTCAGTGCGGAATGGCCACCGGTTCTACCTACCGTGTACGCGAAGAGGCCCATAGTCGAAATAAAATCCGAACCTGACCAGGCAATTGAAGTTGGTCTGTTCGATAACACCAAAGAGACTAATGTTGATCTATTCGATATCGACCAGCTTCCTGAAACTTCTCCAAGTGCTCTTGATGCACGGAAGCAATCTAGGATAAACAAGAGATTCAGCAGCAGTGCTATTATCCCTTCAACATCGCAAATTGAGTCGTCACCCACTGTTGCGGTAGATAGAAGGATCCAGTCGAGGATTCAACAGAGAACAGATTCTATTGGTAATGGTTCTGTACTACCTAGTTCCTCAGATATGGTGTCATCTCCTACCCCGCGGCCCAAGCGAAAATTCTTTGATCTAGACGAGAAAGAAAATGTATCCTTGACACCATCACAGAAAGCCAATCAGGAGACCGAGACACCTGTGTCGGATGTTGAAGATCTGCCTCTCGAGAATATGATCAGTGGCAAAAGAACGGCCACTTCGACACCAAACAAGAAGACAGGAGGCCTTACCACACCAACTCACAGCGAATCAAGGAAATCAAGAACTCCTCTTTTGGACTATACTACACCTACTCGAAGAGATTCCACGAGAAAAAGAACACCGAGAGGTACATCACGCAGTCCCGGAATGGTAAAAACACCAGGAGGAACGTTTAGAAAATGTGGACAAGATGGATTTGCTTGTAAACGGACTTTTTGCTTTAGATGTGGATTGAGCTCTAAATGTATGGGCATTGAGTGATGGATGTTGTGATAGAATAGCTAGTATATTGCGGAGGTAATGCCAATATCAATACTTGCTTGTATTCAATATCAATCCAAACACATACACACACACATATATACAATAAGAAATCATCAACAGATTCAAAAACAAATACACATAATATAATATATAATTTCAAGCAAAGTGCTATCTACCTCTGTACCACCCATCATTACGTATCTATCTATATATAAACAGCTGCCTAGTTCCTGATAGCCGTCTAATTAACACTAGTTTTCATCCTCTGAAACCTCTAAATCTTCGGAGTTTATATTATTCTACATAGATGGCATATCTATCAAGACAGATGGATGGATGATTTTAATAATAACCTTAGTTGTTTATTTGATATATTTGGTGTTTGTGTATTGGCATATCAATAATCAATTCATACTACTTCCATTTTTATCATGTTAATAGTGGTTTATTATGGTAATCATATTTCATTTTATACCTAGGTATCTACCTAACTACCTAGGTAGTCTAGTGTTTTATGATTTCATAGTGTGCTGAATGGAGATGAAGATGAAGATGGGGGTAGACAGACACAGATACCTATAAAATGATGAATGATGACTCTTTCCCCGGGCTCCGATGTCGCTGCTAGCTACCTAGTTAGTATGTATGTAAATGCTAGTATACAATGAATGATGTTTGGATATTACGAAATCACGAAATTACGGAGTTACGAAATTACGAGATTACGAAATTATGGATAGGATGGATGCGTATGGAGTATTATGCACGCCTTGAGGATGACATGTACATGTTGTGTTTATGGTAGTGTACCACCAGTGTACTAGTTTAGTTGCTTAGTTATTTAGTGACTTCGGGTACCTGGCTGGTTGCTTGTGACTACCTAGGTAGTTCTACTAGTTGATATTGAATTTTTATAGGGATGGAGAGTAAGAGGGAGATGGACATGGAGAGAGTAAGTGGGGGATTACTGGGTGGAGGTTCTAGATGTATGGAGAGGAGGGATGGAAGGGTGGAAATTTTGGATGATTTGGTTTCATGTGGAAAATACCTAGAGAGGACAGGTTCTCGAGTCATTTCATGAATATTTACACAGTACCCCCCTCATTGTTAAGCTTAAGCTTCTTCAAAGTTCACATCTACAGCTACAACTTCATCGTCCTGCCAGAAAATATGTCACGTTCCACCTGAATATGGTTTCTATTCCCGTTGTAATTTATCATCGTGAGGTATATGTTTAAGAGTGGAGTGTGATAGACATACCTCCTAACCGCACACACGAGTAGACTTTCGAACTCAAACACGGATTTCGACAACCAATCCTTTGATCACGACTCACGACATCCTATTATGGATACCCCATATCCCCGATCGCATTATTGAAAAAAATTGAAAGCATACGTCGAGAGTGAGATGGACATGACCATGCAACTAAAACGAAGGAAATTGCGAAAAAGAAAATTTTTATCATGTTGGCGGGAGATTTGATCGCTATAAGCAGTTGTAAGAGAGGTATGTGTCAGAGGTGACCGTGTACGTTAAGTATTTGCGATGTTGAAATAAGGTCGAGAAAATTTGTTTAGTGCATGGATTTGGGGGTGGAGACGAGAAATTTGGGGCCCAGTTAATTGGATCTAGTTTGGAGACGAGCCTTCCCTCCAAAGGTATTCTTGTCTGCTTGTAAAGGATATGAATGCCTTTGGAGGAAAGGTTGGCGTGTCTTCTGAATTTGTATCCTGGGATAGTGGATGTATACTACATAGGTGGTCCATGGGAGGAGATGGAGAAACAAGAATTTGCTCGTATATATGCCATTATGGTCATCATCGTTACTATGGTGTGATGATGATCGGTGATGTTGGCTTCTAGGCTTTGGGTTTTTTTATGTCTATATTGTGTGGCTCGGAGTTGAATGTGATAGATATTCCTGGCATGTGTTGAATTGTTTTAATGGAATACCGTTGATAGTAAGACCATTTGAAGAATAAGAATAATAATAAAATGTCAGATTTGATAGACAGCTACATTTCAGCCTTACGAGAGACGGACCGTCCGAATCTTTGTGTGGTATTACTAATTAGTAATCCTTTTTTGATGCGATTGAGGTTATACAGCTTACTGATGAATTGCATCAATCATGGTGATCCATCCATGTTGGCTTGAGAAATCGGTGTAGGAAGTTTGGAGTGAAGGGCGTATTGATTCGTGCACGGAGCTGAATGGCCCAATAATATTGTCAATGTTAGTATCCTTTTTGGTGCACTACAGACACACTAATCAATTAGTGTCACTTTCCCGCAGTTCACTCCCTCCCAAGAGCACAGACGGACGATCCATTTTGTTGGAGATGTCAATAGGAAGAAATATCCAATATGCATCAAGGGCGTGAATCTGACAAGCTTGACTCATATTCAAAGTTTGTCATGGTCATGGTCATGGATGATATTTTCTGAGAATACTATACTATTCCATTGAGGAAAACAGTACTAAAACATTTTATATATAAAGGTAAGTCATTGTCCATTGTGTTTCCAGAATTCGAAAAAGCATCAAGAGTCAAGAAGAGACGAAAACAGCGTCATCAATTTCTCATTTTGTTCAATTCGGCATCTCACAACCGATGTCAATACAATTATCGATTGCTTTCTTATCAAAGTTACACCCAAGAGGCTTCAAGGCGCATATTTCCCCGCATTTACCATATATCCAATCATACTTATCTTAAAATCATTCCTCCTATATCGCATAGCCTCTTCTACTTTGTCCAGCTTCTTTTTTCCAATACCTTCGGACAAAATGTCTGCTTCAAGTGCACTCTCTGGTTCGGGCACAATTGCTAGTTATGCTAAGAAAATTAACCCAACGAAGCGACCAGATGTCGAGATCCATCTAGATGATCATCATGATGGAAAGACCTATACAACATTTGATGCTTTGTCAGGCAATGCCTCAATCACAGCTCCTCATGATGCACAATTCGATGAGATCCAAATCACACTCGAAGGCGTTACTCGAACATATGTCGAAAACATATCTCAGTCCAGCGCAACATCTAGAACAACAGCCATTCACAGATTTCTGAAACTCATCATGCCAATTCGAGAAGCCGCATATCCTCAACCACGAATTGCTGAAGCCGGCAAAACATATATCTTTCCTTTCAACTTTGTCATCCCAGAACAACTCCTTCCAACTTCTTGCGCACATCCTTGTGATGCTGATCATGTCCAGATGGCACATCTGCAATTACCTCCTAGCATGGGCGATCGCGAAGCATCGATACTAGATGATTTGTCCCCAGAGATGAGCAAAGTTATATACTCAGTCAACGCCAAGGTAATCAAACACACCGAGATTTCAAGGAAGCCGATTTCTGTCGTCGAGGGTTCAAAGAAACTTCAAATAATACCAATGGTGGCGGAAGCACCTCCTATGAGTATTTCAGCGAATGAAAAGAATGATTACCTGCTATCGAAGACAAAGTCTCTTAGGAAAGGCATGTTTTCTGGGAAATTAGGAAAGATAACTGTGTCGGCTGATCAAACTGGAGCGATTATTCTCCCATCTCCTGGAAGTTCCTCGGTGGCCACAACAATGGCAACTGTCAAGCTACATTTTGAACCACACAATTCTAGCTCACAACCTCCCCGTCTTGGTGGTCTCGTTACAAAAATTAAAGTATCAAGTTTCTACGGCACCAAGCCGGCAAAATCCTTTCCCTGCAGATCGAGCATGACATTAAACATTGAACCTGCCCGACAAGTTTATCAGACGTCAGTTCCTCTCTCATCGAGGTGTGTTGAGCAAGTCTCGTGGGTGAAGCACTTGCCACAACCAGATTTATCCCGACGAGCTTCTACCGTATCATCAAGTTCGTCTGATTACTCAGACAACTCACAAATGTCACTAAAGGGAAAAGAAAAGATCTATTATACAGCCGATATTCTAGTCCCAATTTCACTACCTTCATCGAAGACTTGGGTGCCCTCATTCCATTCATGTATCACCTCGCGATCCTATTCCCTTGATCTTGCCTTGACCATCCATACTCCGGGGGCAGGCGTTCCATCCTCCTCGGTCAAACTTTGTCTTCCAATACAAATAGCATCTCAAGGTAGCCGAACCGCACCAGCCGTTCTTACTGCTGCAGAAGCTGCTGCTGAGCTAGCTAATGTAAATGAATATCTGATGCCAAGAATCATTGAAATACCAAGGGAGGACTTGGTTGAGAACAGTTTTTTGCAATCTAGCTTTACTGTTCCACGATCAGAGTTGCCTCCGAGCTATGAGCACACTGAGCACACTGAGCAAGCAAGCAGACAAGTTGATCCATCGAGGTGCTAATTTGAAATGGTGTGGTTTTGTGTGTTTTTTTTTTTTTTTACTTGAATAAGAATGGTTTAGGGGGTAGTAGGTACATTCTTCATACAGTACACACAAATCTGGGCGGGAGTTTGGGGATACTAAAATGGATTGTTACTTTTGGGAATTTGGAGTTTTGGGAATTTGCTGGGAGTCACATTTACGAGTACGAATTATACCCCATACTTAGGTACTTACCTACTTATAGATGAATAATAATAATATACTGTTCCACAATTATCTTCTTCATTCATTGATGCATCCATCGTAGGGGTTCATTCCCGCATCTTCCAGAAGCTCTCGAGTGATCTTTCTAATGTTCCAATGTTCCATTGTCTATGAGAATCAAATTCTGAAAATTCTAAACGCCCTCTGTGATTCAGAGACCCACTGGTCTTCTGACGCCGTGTATAGCCCCGCGCAACCCCACTAACAATCATCATTTCAGGGATGTTTAACACAACGCGTCTAAATTTGACAGGCTCACAGACTCTGAAGCTTTCTACAAGGCTGTTACTTGTGGGCTGCCTATCCTATATCACAATTATGCCATGCCATTATTTGGATACCCAGCCATTCCAAATACATACAATACAAATGTGCAAACCAACAAAAAACATAAAAGTCACGCATCATTTAAGAATATTTATCCTCAAGACCAAGTTGAAGACCTTCCCGTTGTCCTTCATACCCCTCATTCTTGAATCAATATCAAATATATATCATCTTTCATCGATCCTTGTACTACCACATTACCCCAGACTCAATCACATCCCACCTCACCGCTTGTCCCATCCATCCACCAGTTGACCCATATCACGGCAAAATCAGCCTACAAGGCCGATACCTGATGATTTGCCAGCTCACGCCTAACCATTAAGAATATGACTGGTGATGAAATTTTGCGCAGCAACATTCATGAAAAAGATCTTCCTTCGTCGTACAAACCATTGAATCACTTGATTCACGAATAATAATTGCGATTTCTTTCCTACCTATCGATCCTACATATGCTTGCTCCATGCTCTATCGATGCGGACAAGACAGTCAGGGAAAACGAATGCGATGCCAAAGCAAAGCAAAAGATACAAGAATATTCTTATCTAGATCTTATTGATTGATTGTTTTCAGAAAATCCAGCTCATACGATTTCGAAATTATCTTTTTGAATATGACGCAAGAGAAGCCACCGCAGCCATCGCAATCTCAAGAGGAGACTCCTCCCAACGTGGATCCAAAAGAGTTCTATGGGTATTTGTTTGATGAGAATAAGAGTCCGACGCCAGTGCTAAATGCGCTATTGAGGGGTATCGCAAATTATATTGTAAGGATGTTCGGTCCTGTAATGCTCACCTTGAATTTTATGCTTATGATTATCGCAGATAGAAAATGTTGGAAGTAAAGAAGATCAATTCTTAACGCCAGAAAAGTTGGCACTTTTCTATAAAGCTGTTGGTGGGAATTACGATTGTAAGTTCTTAGTGTTTGGTTTTTTGTTCCCAACGTCTTCCTTGTCTATTCGCGAGTGTTTGCTAATAGTTTCCGTTCTCTTACATAGCTCTTTTTGTGGAGACTACACATCCCTCGATATCTTGGATTTATGCCTCGATAGGCTGTCAACATACTCTGAACCCTACGAAAGATGATTTTGCGCCTCCTTCAATACCATGTCTCACTGTCCGAGGATTTGTGCGATGGCAATCGATAGAAATACTTTTGGGGCCCGAGGAACATGTATCTTTTATCCAAACCGCAGTACGAGATTTTGAAATCAAACACCCAACTACAGGAGAGAGATTTCCAGTAGATTTACCGAAAGAAGCGTTCCCATTGGTACCGGACGCGGAGATAGAAAAATGGCATAGAAGCTGTGCAGAGAAATTACGTCAACGAGCAACTCCAGATGAGGCACCAGAAGAAGTAACAGAAGAAGTACCAGATCAACAAGAGGATGTTCCCACGCCAGACCTCCCGCCTAGACCTAAAGTACAAGCAACATACGTTCACGTCCGACCTTCCCCCAGAATCCCGGATCATACACCAACTAATGGCGGTAACTCTCGCACCGGTTATTTCGAAACTTCTACTCGTGAGCCGCCCATTCGTGAATCCTCTTCTCGTGAACCTTCTGCCCGCGAACCTTCTGCCCGCGAACCTTCTGCCCGCGAACCTTCTGCCCGCGAACCTTCTGCCTATGAAAGTTCCGCTCGTGAACCTTCAACTCGTGACTCTACTACCCATCGGGCCGGGCGACCTATACCTTATTCACACGTTTCCGCATCTCGTCCTCAACGACCACCTCTCAATCGATCACCAACTCATCGAGTTCGTCAGTTTCTCGCTCCAGAGGAACCATACTCAACCCGCATACCTCGAGGACGTCATCGCAGTTTTCCCAATTTAAGCTCGCCCTCTTCAGAAGATGGGCCCGTCCACGCTCACGCATCCGCCTCGGATCCTCACCATCCACATCATAATGTCCCGGTACCCGATCCTCCACGTCCCGCTCATCGGAGACATAGTCATCCTCGGCGATCCCGGCATGCACCGATCGTCTCAGACTCCTCGGATTCTTCCAGCATTACTAGTGTGACATCGGATTCTGAAGATGATACGTCCCCTAAAACTCGTACTAACCCATTAAATTCATCTACAAGCGCACGGGCAATACCGAGACGCCCGCGAAGTACTTATATACCACGAAATTCTGGCCCGGAGAGTCCTCGGGCTTTTGCATTCTCGTCCACAGCACCAGGTAGTACGATGCCGTCCCCTATTTCAGATGCTAGGGAAAGGGAGAGAGAAAGGGACAGGCAGAGAGACATTGAGGATAAATTTAGACGGGGTCACTATCCCACTAATATTGATTTGAATGGAAATTTGAGCGCGCCATTTTTGGCGGGGAGGAGGCACAGGGAGGCGGAAAGGGCAATGATTGAGGTAGAGGTGGAGAGAGACATGGAAAGGGAGAGGGATAGAGGGAGAGAAAAGGGGAGAAGTGATAGTAGGGGGGTTAAATGGAGGGATTTGAGGAATATTCCTGAGATGTGGAGAAATGGGGGAAGGAGGGGTGATGGAGTTAGTCATCATGTCAGTGGAGGTAGTGGTGGAGAAAGTGGAAGGGAGAGTGGAGAGGGCAGAGGGAGTAGGAGACATAGTAGTCGAGAAGATAGGGGAGATAGGGAAAGAGAGAGAGATCGTGATAGAGAACGAGAAAGGGAGAGGGAGAGGGAGAGGGAGAGGGAGAGAGAGAGAGATAGAGATCGAGATGAGAGGGATCGAGAAAGAGATTACAAAAGGATGGAAAGTTCCAGGGTACATTCGAGACATAGTAGTCATGAAGACATTCCAACCAGGAGAATCAGAACGGAAAGAGGAGATAGAGAAAGAGATGATGAGTATGAAGGAAGGAGTTTTAGGGAAAGGGATAGAGAAAGGAGGGAAAGGGGTATAAGTCCTGTAAGAGGGGTTGATGGAAGGAAATATCCTGAATGGAGGTGAGATTTGGAAGTAGGGGAATGTGAATGTGTTTCTGTGTGCGGGAGTTTGCATGGATTTGGTTGCATATGGCATGGATTGGATTGGATTGGGTATGGATGGATATGGATATGGATATCAGCCAGCGAGCGAGCGAACGAACGATATTTGAATGAAATTATGCATTATGATTATGAAGAACTTTATTTACTCTTTGATATTATATCATGTTTAGCCTGTTTAGTCTGCTTAGCGAGATACCAGGATGAATAGATGACTTGTATTTGGGTTTGATGAATGAATAGATAAATAAATAAAAAAAAGAATAAAGTACTAGAATATCATATCATAATATAAAATGATTTTTTTTTAATAAAAAAACATTCACTCCATTAGTAGAAAGTTTGTCAAGATTCATCTCTGTAACAGTATGCCCAAGCCTTAACAGCACTCTCCTCCTTCTTAATCCTCGCTTGATATTCCTCCATATTACCCACACCCTTTGGCATTCCATTCGACATCAAACCCAATTCCTCCATCAACCCAGCTCTAATCTCCATACATTTTTTCCAAGTCCTTCTAGCCGTAACACGACTATGCCAGGCATCCACATTGGGAAATTCTCGGATCGGATTATCCTCTGCTGCACAGGGGGATATCCAAATAATGTGTCAATGCGATCATTCCACGGAGCGAAGATTATATCAGCGAATGTGTATTTGTCGCCAACGAGCCATTTTTTACCGGAAAGAGTGTCGTCGAGAACTCGGAGAATGCGTCGGATTTCAGTATTGTAGCGCTCTATGGCGGAAGGTACTTTTTCGGAGTGGAGGACGTTGAACCTGTGGTTTTTGTATATGGTTAGGTATTATTATTATTATTAATGGTTACAATATCGCGCTCCGGAAAACTTAAGGAAAGTCGTAGCTTACCAACCGCACTGTCCAAAGTATGGACCTTGTCCGCTCATTTGAAACATGAGCCATTGTGTAAGAATAGCTTTTTCTTGTAAAGACTCGTAGGTTAATTTCTTTTCCTTGTCGTAATGCTCGATTAGGTAGAGCACGATGGCACCAGATTCCCAGAGGGTAAGATTGGTGTTTGGATCCTTGATTGCTGTGATATATGTTAAATTGCGAATGCGAATCAACAGGATCTCTCTCCTAGAGTCGTACCTGGTGCTCTACCGTTGGGATTGAGGTCGATAAATGGTGGCTTTTTGATATCTTCAAAACGAACGGTCTTAATCTCATAGGGAATATTGAGTTCCTCGAGAACCATAATCACCTGTGGTGAAGAAGGAAATTAGTCATGTACGTCAGACTTGGTGTGTTTGTTCTTGCCTTCCAGGAGTTTGGACCCGGTGCTAAGAAAATGTCAGTATTCTTTATTCGAGTGAAGTAATTGCGTACAACTTACTGGTTATTCATACTTCGATAGGCTTGGTCATGATTGTGGTCGTAGGAACGTTGTAAAATCACAAAAAAAGAAGATTGTAATGAAGTATTCGAATCAAAGTGTCAGAATTGAAGTATTGATGAGAAAAAAGAGGGAGAAAGAGAAGCAGGAAAGGAAAGAAAAGGAGGTAAGATTCCTAACCAACTGTTGGAAAAGTTGCAGGAAGTTTCCTAGCTAGGAATTTGTTGCGAATACGAGGCAGGATTCCAAATAAACTGTTTGATAGTATGCATGGAAACGTGGTTGTAGATCACGGTGCAGAATTCTTAAAGGGTGCTGGGGGAAAAGATGAAAGATTGTGGATTTGATGGACAGCATTATAGTGACAAGACGTACCGATTTGTTGCACTCTTGTGGCGCAGCCTACTCGGTCTTATATTTACTCCAGTGAATTCATCAGATGCATTGGAGTGCCTACTACTATTCGGAGGTCTAATATTAGTATCCTGCTAATAGTACCTATTAGAATGGGTTGGTGGTCTTGAATCAAAGGAAAAGTTGCAGAGACAAGTATACCCCGCTAATTGTAAGATGTACTGATCATAGGAATGTGTATCTTATAATTCTTTAGTATATAATAATCTAGTATAAAATAATTCAAACAAAAAAATTATTATATGAAGTATGTTAAAAGAAAAAATACTTAAATAATTATCTAAACAAGCTTGATTAAAAAAGGTAATATATTTATTTACCTAGATATAAAAAAGTCTTCAGAATCTATAAAACGATTTCTTTTTCACGCAAATATCTATACATCTAGATAATTAAATTTATAATTCCTAGTCCAAAAGTCCTATAATGATTAACATTAACTCTTCATAGGTGCCTAAGTAATTGTCCTTAGCTTTGAGTCCCCCGTGGGAAGTTCCCCAAAATGCTTATTTTGAAACGCATAACAAAGCTGTGTACGACAGGAATAGTCGCAAGAAGCAAGAAGAACCGTTGAAAAAGCTAGTTGAGACTTGCTCAAGAGGTTTGCAAATCGGGTCAATATTAACATCAATCTACGATACAGCATGGCCATGGGTATCCATGGTATCGAGGAAAGACGGTGAATGACGACAATTGAGTTGGCTGTTCCTAGAATCATTTCAACTCATACTAAGAGTCTCGGCAGCTGAGTGGTGAATAGGAAGGAATTACTTTCGAAACGGACGCGGTCTTGAAACCATAAGCCGCCCTCTTCTCTACAAGTTTTCCGGCGCTAAAGACTATCCCAGTGATATATTGTCCCGGATATCTCGAGCTGCGGCTTTCTGGATGAAAAACTATGAAACTGGGATATATCTATCACCGGGCAGATTGCATTTGAGATTGTAGCATTTTCAAATTATAATGCTACTGATAAAGTTCTGTATACACTCGTATACATCCTTAACGCTGATGAAATCCCCGGTTATAGAAACTTTGATCAATTGCAATTTGATGTGCGGGCGGCCTTAGAAATGCTGAAGCAGATAACTGCGCCTCATTCTTTTGAAGCTTTTAATAGTGATATTAATATTGACCTCTTAATCCACCAGAAATGCAATGGAAGCTTTCTCGCATCGCCTTCTGCAACATTCGCATATATAAATCTCATAAACTCATCTAATTTGGACGAAGAATCAAAACAATATCTCAGATAGAGTTTCCAAAATGGCGCAAGTAAAGTATCTGGATGTTTTCCAAGCGCATTTCCTAATTTTACAGAGCTTTGGCATAGGAAAGTGCTTTAAACATATGCTCTGGAACGGAATCCGAGAATCTCAGCAAATTGCAACATTTTGATCATTTTACTGCATGACCCTGAGATCGATCAATATGCTACATAGATACCTGTCATTGTTTCTTATCTGCATAAAAAATGGTAAAGAGGTTCATTCAAAGATAAATGGGTAAGTCTTTGAATGAAAGCCCACTTGGCAATGCTAACATCAAGTTGGAATACATTCGAAGAGTATCCCGTGATGCATCCTGCACAAGCACTGAGCAAGTTGCTAAGGCATAAAAGAAACGACTTTCTTCGAGTATATCTAAAGACGTGCTTGCAACAATCCCAATGACTCTCGTGCAACTGGCGCGGAAATTCTTACAAAAGCAATCGAATGGTAGCTCATGGGCCATCGGTTCATATGAAACCACAACCCATAGCATTCATGGTCTAGTGGCAATCTACTCACTACACATGTTCAAGCTTTCAGACCCAATAACGCTCAATGCACTCAAAATATCTCATAAATTTCTCCTTGGCCAATTTGATGGCAGTGGATGGAGCGCTCAACCTCTATAGATAGAGCAAGCTTGTTCGTTATTCATCGAGCGTTTTATCAAGGGTATATTGTATTTCAGCAATCTTTCTGTCGAGAAGATTGCTCGCTGAGGTTCTTCAATGTTACAAGGGCCCTCGACGAGCATACAAGGGAAATCCCAAAACTAACTATTGATTTACCCCTCATTTATGTATTGATATACTCAGATATGAAGTAAAAAAGTAATAAGCGATATGGATGGAAAATTGAGATAGAATGAAAGCAGCTATGTACTGGGTATGAATGGAATTTGATAGTGATAATGATATTAATAGTGATACTTTCATTTGATCATTTGATCGGATGATGGAATGTGGGAAATGATTATGATATATTGGTGCCTAGACAGATGAGCATTGAACCTACCTAGTAGGTATAATTCTTTTATTAGAATTAAGGATGTTACTACTTGAGTTCTTGATGCTTCTGCTTGCTTTTGTAGAATCTATCGGCCCCCTGTTTGTCTCGTTCTGTTTGTACATGTACATGTACTTTATAGAGCAGAAGTCAACACCAACCTTATTCTTTTTATTGTATATATATTGTTTAAAAGAATTACCGTTCCCTTCCACAACGACAAAGCTATGAATCAGAAAGAGAATTAAGAGTTCTATCGTATCAATTCAGTTGATGTTAACACAAGGAGCTCTGTATGTATCACGTGCCACACACCCATCGTATCTCCATTTACTCAAATGCAATTATGTGAACTCTCATCGGCGAAAACAACTCACAATCTAGAAAAGATTGTGGGTGGTATTTCGACTAAACTCCATGCTTAAAAATGACCCTGATAGCAAAAATTTCACCTATGCACTCCTTTAACACAAACCATCCATAAGAAATCGAGAAGAAGAAACTTTCGTGGAGTGTTGGTCGATCAAGAGAACTGGAGAATAATTAGACTGTGAATCTCAAACACTTGGATAATACATACCTTCCAGCGATGACCACAAACTTGACACTCGCAAAAAGTCGTCATAGGTTCATCTGCACTGCGGGTCTGTGCTTGTGAATAGCTGACTTTCTTTTGATGACACTTTCCACATGTTAAAGCATCACTAATACTCTTCTCTGCCATTGGTACCTGAGCCTTCTTCATGTTCTCCATCTCCAACAAATCATCCTTCTTCTTCATCTCCTCTGACTTCAGTTCCTCATGCGTCATGACCACAAAACGGGCTGGTTCAATGTCTCCTGACATAACTCTCTTACGTAACTGTGTATTGGATACTTGCTTGAGATTTTGAAAAAGGGAGCGAAGTTTCTCCTTATAATCCTTCGTCTCGCCTCCAAAATGGTCGAATGCGGCTTGCTCGACAGCCATCGCCTTGATAATAACATGAGTTGGTGGTTCCTCGCATTTAAAAGCAAGACCATTATACATCAAGCCAATGCAAGCATCGCGAGTTGGAAGACCCGTACGCTTTGTATCGACTTTATCAGTTTCCCATCTTCGTTTCGAGGAATCGCCCTTGAAAGCTTTGGTGACTGGAGCGCTGGGCGCGGATGCGGGAGAGGAAGTACCGTTGCTGCGAACTGCGGGAGAAGATCCGGATGCCATCATTTTTGCCTTGCGCTTTTCTTTTTCGACTTCGACGGTTTTTTTCCACTTAGTGACAATTTCAGCTGCGAGCTTGGCAATGTCTTTGTTCGCGTTTCCTCGTTGTTTGGCAACTACCATTCCCGCCTTGGTTGCCTATAGAATAAGCTCTGTTAGTTGGCGTGTTGAGGATTTAATGGAGACACAAAGACCCCGAAGGGCTTGTTTAGGAATGTAGCCGGTTGTAGACATACCCTAAGAAGTTCTTCCGTGGCATTTACATCTCTCTTCAGAGTTTCCATAATGGTTATAACATTCGCTGCGGGCTCTTTGTCATTGATAGCCTTTTGAAGAGCTGAAACCCGCGAGGTAAGTTCTCTTTGATCCATTTTGAAAGAAAGGAGATAGAGGGGTTTGAGTATGCGATGGTTGTTTTTGTTGTAGACCGAAGAAGATGTTCGTCGATAGAGTAGAGTCGGATTGGGACAATGCGCAGGATCTATGTCCGTGAAAGGATCGTATTGGATGCTTAAAAGGTAGCCAGATTAATTACAAAAGAAAGTTTGTCAATGAAGGTTTTGATAATTATCTTGTGGAAGTTTGATGATTAAATATCACAAGGCTGACGTTGCTACCAAAATGTTTATGCACGGACCAACTGTACACACTTCCCCAGGAAGCAGAGAAGTTTCCATCGTCACTTCATAAAAAGCTGCTCAACATTCTGCATCATACTGATACAGCCATATTTATTCTTTCCTTAAAGATATGACTCGATGGACTCAATACTGAGTTCGAGTGTTGAATTCGGTATTCCCTACAAGTTGAAATTCAGCTGAGTATTCAAGTCCTGTATTTGGACTATACAAACTACGAGCAGTGACAATATTCAGAATGTTTGATGGCTCCATGCTCCAGATAGAAATCTTGACACGTCCGCGGAGATTCACTTCTTTCTCGGTGAGAGTGGGAACAGGAGCAGTGAATAAAACTTTTGCTTCAGACCGAGATACTTTGCAAAAGGATATATGGTTTGACTTTAACCCCAATCTCCACGGCGATGAGCCTGTCTCCCGATTACCTCCACAAGGATATTGCGGATATCGCGGAAAGTTCCACAACTACATATGCCATATGCGCAATGAGTTATCTATGGAGTTTAGGTCTTTACGTGATAGCCATGGTAATTTGAACTCTACTGTCTATGCAAAGTTGCATGGTAACCGTCATAGTTTGACTCACTATTCCACCAACTGAGATTCCCGCTTGCTTCAAATAGTATAAATACAACATGTTTTCCAACACTGTTTGACCATTTGTACAGGGTCGCTCAAGCCTCTTGACCAATTCTCAAAAGATCACAACCATCCTATCCAACACTTCTCATAACCTCACTCCCTTCTCCCACACGATACCCACACAATGCAATCACTCGCCGGAAAAGTAGCCCTCGTGACAGGTGGAAGCAAAGGGATTGGTCGAGCAATCTGTTTTCGCCTTGCAAGCCAAGGAGCAAAAGTAGTCATAAACTACAGTAACGACTCTTCCGCAGCGAATAAGGTTGCGTCACTTATAGGGGAGGAAAACGCTACTGTCATCAAAGCTGATGCTGGAAATGTTGAAGAGATCTCGAAATTAGTTGATACTACAATTGCAAAATATGGAAAGATTGATATCTTAGTCGCATGCACCGCGACTATGAAATTGAATGAACTGGATAATGTCACCGTTACGGAGTTTGACCAGACTTTCAATTTGAATGTCAGGGGACCTCTATTTCTTGCTCAGGTAGGTACGTTGTGAATTTGATAGTAGTAGAATGCCTTGCTAATAGTCTTAGAAATCCGTTCCTTATATGGCACCCGGCTCTCGTATTATTTTATTTTCCACAACCCAATGCCACGCTAGTACAGTAACACCAAATTACCTTACATACATCATGTCAAAAGGCGCCATTGAGCAAATGACACGAGGTCTTTCGAAAGATCTCGCACGAAAAGGTATTATGGTCAATACTGTAGCACCAGGACCAACATCGACCGAACTTTTCCTCAATGGGAAGAGCGACCAACTTTTGAAGACGATTGCGGGCTTTAACCCGCAGAATAGGATTGGTCAACCAGAGGAGGTGGCAGAGGTTGTAGCATTTTTGAGTAGTAGTGCTTGTTCATGGATGACGGGTCAGATACTTAAAGTAAATGGTGGTATGGCATAATTTTAGACAAAGTTTTAAATCCTACTTTTTCTTAACTCGTTTAGCGAGCCTTGTATTCCGTATGACTTGTGAAAACGAGGTAAGACTTACTATACTTAAAAGGCATAATCATTCTACATCTCTATTCTAACCTTTTACAAATACTCAAAAGCTAGGAGTGTTCCATAGCAATAACATTGCATAATTGATTAATCACCAGCAGTCTCTATATCTCCTAAATAACACGCCCAAGCCTACGTACCTCGCTAAACAGCTCCCGCCTCCATGATCCTACTTCCTTTCGAATCCGTCATTGTACACATATAAGGATTTTACTCCTGTTCTTCCTATCATATTTATCCTCCTTCCTATGCCTTTTAGTTATATTTACTTTGATTATACTGTTTCCTTTTACTTTATTCCCTTCTCATTTCTAGAAAAATTCGCCAAAAACTTAACTTCAAGATTTATTGGATTTAGATTCATGTTGATATTCGAACTCCTTATTAATTTCCTTTCCTTTTGTGATCTCCTAATCCTTTTTCTTTTTATTTTAGGTTTCCCCAAATCCAAATCCAAATCCAAATCCAAATCCAAATAAAAAGCAGATCTAATCAATTTCGCAACTCACAGAAAATCCCCCCAGGATAATATGAATAAAACGTGATTTGATTGTACCTAATTTCAATAGAATGAAGAATAGGAGATGCTTTATGAATGAGGAGTGAGGAGTAGAAGAATATTGTATGTATTTGTGTATTGTAAGATCTTACGAAGGATTTGGGAAATCTTGTTGGTGAATGCATGCATGTATGGATGGGTCGATTGCTGACTGTTTAGATTTGACTCATCATCACATGGGGAGATGCTTGCAAGTTGCAAGTTGATGTCACGCTCTTTGTTGCGTTAAGGATTTGTGAATTAATAGATAACTATCGCTAGCTACTAGGCATATACATAAATATTGAAGAGGTTGCGCTGGTAAACTAGATACGAGCTCTGTCCTGACGCAAATGTCAATCCGACTAGAAAAAGGGTGGTTCTAAATGAAAGTTAATTAACGCAATGTAAAGTAGTCGCTATTATAAATCTTGTTCTTTAAAACCGGCCGTGACATTATATATTTCGTAAAGTAAATCGATTTGAGATCACTGAGCCAAACGATCAGTACTCTGTCGATCTCCTCCATGCGACTGACGACCCTCCTCCGCACCATGTTGGCCTTGACCAACGTCAGAATGCTTCGCCGGATCAAACACATAAATAGGAAATTCCAAGAAAAGTGTTCTTTTAAATATAGTAGGGAGCTTCTCGTAAAGCTGAGGCGGGAAAGGAATTAAAATGCTCGTTCGATTCAGGTAACGAGAGTATTCCTCCCAATGGTTGTCCTTCTCGTATCGTTTCTTGGCTCCAGGTCTCTCTTGAAGAGTCAAGCCAGATACGAACATCAGGAGGGTAGTGAGAAATATTGGTCCAAAGATTGAAGCATAGAGGGCTTTGCGAGCTCCACCATGAACAAATCCTTCGGCAGCGGGAGAGACCGCAATCATATAAATAGCTACAGGGGATTAGCGAAAGAGAACCAAAAGCTAATGGGAAGCCTACAAAACTGAATCAAAATCTCTCCAAAATAATTTGGGTGTCGACTCCATGAGAAGAACCCTTTATCACAAATTTTCGATTTGTCACTGTTGTGGGCTCGGAAGCGATACTTCTGAATATCACTCACGCTCTCCATAACAATACCAATGGCATAAAGAATGACACCCGCGATATCACTAGCAGTCCCAAATGAGGGCTGTGGAGATCTCGTGACTTTTGGGGAATTCAAGAGCGTGACTGGAAAAGAGACGATCCAAACCCAGAACATTTGAAACACCCAAAATCCGAGGAACTTGAAGAAGTTTTCACGTTTATCGTCAAATCTATCATCTTTTCCAGTCTTCAGAATCCTGAATAGGAGGAAAGCCGAAAGACGTGCACCCCATATCATGATAAAAAGAGAGGCCACGATTTGGCGTGCATTGTGATGGCCACTGAATGCAAGCGTTATGATGGCTAATACAACGAAGTTCGTTCCACCAGCAAAGTCTGAGATCATGTTAGTGGATAGAAAAACTCGAGAGATGTGTATTTCTTACCTGTGAGTTTGTCGAATTTGAGAGAAAAGGCAATGGAGAAGAAGAACAATTGATATGCCGCTGTAATCAACAGTGTTATTGCAAGGTAATAGTCATCCAAAACATGGACGACCGTCATATCTACAGAATCCTTCTGTACTTAGATATTGAATGTGATGGTAATTATCGTGTCTTATGATGGTTTGATGTTGTCGAGACGGATTGAAAAAGGAGGAATGAATAGATTGAAAACAATCCCTTGAAAATTGGAGGTGAAATATGGGATGACAAGGCACTACCTCTTGCCGTGTTTTAAGGAGCTTGATGTCAGCCTAGCTGCTAGTTCTTGCAGTTCCTGTATCTGGAGTCTACTAGTAGGTAGGTACTTATTAGTGTTATATAAGAGCCATGACTTCAAAGTTCGAAATTAAGAGATGAGAGATGTGGCTGGAAAATGCTGTGTTTGAGGAGGGAAAATGGGAGGATTGCTTAGTAGATTTAGATCCAGAAGCGTAGTTTAGCTAAGATCATTGACGCAGTCCGGGGGATAGAAAAGTCTGTTTGTAGCTTTACCTTCCTCTACATCGTTGAAACATCGCTGAAATCGAGAAGTTTACAGGCCAATTGATGTCCCGCGATCATGACGTACTGGATACTGATTATTAATCGGTGCATATTGATCGAGGCTAGCATCATTTGTTCTAAGCTAGACTCGGAAGTCGGAGTTCGGAACTTTGTGTGCTCCGTACTGAACTTCACCCCAAAGTGTTCCCATCTTATGCAAGGCTGAAAGATTACTCTAAATGCTGCACCTCGCACGTTGAGGTCTTCGAAAGTTGTTTCTATCAAACATTCTATATAATCTTACATTCAATGTTCGTCATGTCCTAGAGAGGTTGCAAATGATGGGAGATATCACAATCCCAACATACACCAATATCTCCATCTACTTCACTCGCTTGTGCGACAAGTTATCGTCAACCACACACGAGCATAAAACCCTGCAAACCGAGTATTTATTAGGAGAAATGTTAAGAAGGTTCGGATTGGGGATATTCGAGTCCTCGACGAGTCAAAAAATCTAGCGTAATCACAATTGCGTCGCGAGTTCCATACAAGTAATTCCCCGTTCACGACACTGACAGTGGCACACCCAAGAGAAATCGCTGGACCATTTACAAAGCTTGTTTGGTGTCCAAGATTCATAGTTTTCATTGGACATTATATCTGGACTGCCGGTATATCAGTTTGTATAACTGTTTTGAAATTTTCTGCCGCAGACTTAGCCTGAAACCGCAAACGTCTGTGATTGTCCCTTTCCCCATGCCTCAAAAAAGCTCCGACGTTTGAGATTCTCTCATCTCTTACATGCTTTAGCACTATTCTATCGAAACTTTCTCAAGCCACCGCTTGTGAAGTGATGATTTTGCACTAGTCATCCTTATTCTCTCTGAATTTTTCTACTTTTATGTTGTGCATGGAATTTCTTTCACTCGACCCTGCCGCCGAGACCCTTGGAGTCTTTGGATTTTCACTCGACCAGATCAATCACTTTTTGATGTTTTACTCCTTATGCTATGAGGATGGGTAAACTTACTCAAGTCCGGTAAATTTGGATCACAAACCCTGGCGGCTCACAAGTTTGGTGGCGCCATGATCTCATATTCATCCATCCACAATATTCTCCCGCGTGTCGAGGATCTATACTTAAGACCACGCACCGGGGTCCCTCAATTATCAATCATAGCGCCAAGACTATTTGATGCACGGTTTTAGGATTGTATGCATATCTTCCACTTCGCTCATCGAATGTCTTGTCATCTGAGCACTCTCTTTTAAGTTTCTTCCCATCTAATCAATTGTAATTCTGCAGCTGCAGGTCACGCTCACTCATTATCTTCTTGTATTCTTTGCTTCATTCCACAGCTGGGCTGTTGGCGACGTTCATTAAAAAAACTACTTCAAAACTCGCAAGGCCGAAGACTAAAGTTTATTATCTTAGCGGGAAGATCTGAGAAGAGGGATGAAGGGCTTCATGAGAGCACCGCTGTTAGTGGTAGTCGGGGTCGCAAGTTTTGCAAATGTATGGTTTAAGGGCCGAGTGACGATGTGGATGGTGGCTAATAATCGTTTAGGCATATCCAAAGGATCCAAGAGGCTTAAGTGATATCATCGCGGCTCTTGAAGGTGGAACGAAAGGTGAAAGTGGAGGAGCGGCGGCGGCGGTGACAAAGGAGATCACCAAGACAATGACTGTCACGAAAGTGATTCAAGGAGCGGCAGCGCCAACAGGAGCTGCTATACAAGCTGTAGGGACTGGGTATGATAATCTATTCCATTTCTGTTGATACTGGCTGAGGACTAACATTTTCAGCGGCCAATTCTCATTCCTCACTTCGACCGTATTTGCTTCAGGCGCTCCACCCACGGTCACAGTAACTCCTCTACCTGAGATGATTACTCAAACCGTCACTGAGACAGAGCAAGTTATGGTTACCATGATGGCCACGGAAATGTCGGTGGTAACATCAATGGTCACTATGACTATGATGGAAACAACTACCATGATGGTATCAGGTATGATGGATTTACATTAGAATGACTTGCATGAACTAACTCAAGATCATAGTTACTATGGAAGGAGCTACGACGGTAGCATCAACTAGCATGTCCTTGAGCACGTCCTCCAACACAACCTTAACCGAGGCCGCTATTCAGGGAGCTCCCGAGCCAACCGCCACCACAACATCTGCATTGCAGCCTGGTATATCAGAGGCTCCTGAACTTGGATCTGCACAAGTTGAGGAACCAAATCCCGTGGACATCAATACATTCTCCTTGGCTAGCACTTTGGTCCTCGGTAATCTGGCTGTCGCGACAGCTGTCTAAGATTGGGCTGATGTTCAAACATAATAATAAATGGGTTCAGAAGTAGTAATATCAGGTTGTGTAGGGCTAGATTCCCCAGAGATACTAAATTCGTTGTAAATATACGTTCAGAAAGGATGCCAGGAAAAAAAGAAAAGACAAAAAAGAATATAAATCATCAACTTTTTGCTTGCGCTTTTATTGTATTATGAGTATCTATGACTGTGAAAGTCGATTCTCTTGGGTTTGTCTCTTTAGATGAGCTCGAATTGGATTCAGTGGCCTTTAGTGCTTCCATTCTCTGTTTCTTTGCCTGCCTCTTGCTTATTTGAGGTGGCTCATTCTCTTTCACCTCCTTGCTATCCTCGGCTTTTCTCTTTCCCTTTCCCTTGTCTCCATTATTTGCTTTATTCTTCTGTGTCTCGCTGATTTCAGCTTCCTTAGTAGCACTCCTTTCCCCACCGTAGACCACATCCACCACTCCTCTGAAAGAGCTTCTCTTTAAACCCTCATTTATGACCACTGATCTCGGAGTGTCCCCTAATCCTTCCATGCCCCTTTCTCTGCCCAATCCCCAAACCGCCATCAAATTGACAACATCTGCTGGACCCCGCACACCCAATGCAGTCTTGGCTTCACTGCTGATCACAATTCCTCTGCCTCTAGTAGCCCTGAATATTCCCAAACAATTGCTTATGAAATTTTTGCGCGCATTCGCATCTTCCATCGTAGCCTGCGCGTAGCATATTTCGAATCTAATACCGCGATGTATAGCTGCCATAAGAGGTTTTGGTTTAAAATGAAATGGAAATCGTTGTGTGAGATCGAGCGATATTAGAGAGTGCTCGCTTAGATTGAGACATGCTGCGAGAAAAGCCTTTTCGGTGGTAGGGCGAATCGCGAGGATATCGTAGACGGATGAAATGGTCGAGAGACGGTGATTAAGTGAAGGATCGGAGAGAACGATGGTGCAGCGGCGGAGAATGACCGTTTTGGGTGGAACTGTGAAGGGAAATGTCGCAGGTATTGGGTTGGTTATATTCGAAGGAAGCAGTCCGCTATGGACATGATTGAGGGCTATGGTTCCGTAGCCTAGTTCTGAAAGGAATGAAATTGTCCTTTGAAGATCAAGAGGGTCTTTATTTGATGACCAAGGGATATTAAGATCGTAGAGCATATCTGCTTTATTTCTGCACTTGATACCTCCTTTGTATTCGTAATTTTCCCACGGATTTCTTAAAAATGGCGACAAAGTGTGTTGAATATTCTTGAGAAGTGAAGCTTAATCAAAAAATTATCATTGATCATTCAGCCTTGGACAACTTGTTAAAAGGCTACCGTTCACCTTTTATTTAAGGCCACCGGACAAAAATATAACTCCTGCGCTAGCGCGGGGTGTCTTGGCCATTCCATCAAGAATTCGTAGCACATCAACATCAGATCATTTATTTTCTACAACATCGTACAAGGTCATTCTGCGAATCTCGACCAGAAACTTCCGGTCGAATAATTAGGTTCTTATCTATAGGCGACTCAGTTCGGATCTCGATATCTACAAAAAGGCGGTCTCTACACGATTTGCGCGGCGCCTTCCCATAGCAGGCCGGCCGCAAAATGGCTCGCGTCTATGCGGATGTCAATCAGCAGATGCCACGGGCATATTGGGATTATGATAGCGTGAATATTACTTGGGGCGTGTTGGAGAACTATGAAGTTGTGCGCAAGATCGGTAAGCCAGCAAAACCCCCTTCCCCAATGCTTGATGTGTTTAATCCCGCCCGTGGCTGTTGTGTGTGCTGGTTACTGACACTCGGATGTGTGCTCGTGTAGGACGAGGAAAGTACTCGGAGGTCTTTGAGGGAATCAATGTGGCCAACTACCAGAAATGTGTAATCAAGGTGTTGAAGCCGGTCAAGAAGAAGAAGATCAAGAGAGAGATCAAAATCCTACAAAACTTGTCAGGAGGTCCGAATATTGTCGCCCTCCTTGATGTTGTTAGGGATAGTCAAGTAAATCCAAAGTTTCTTATTACCCCGGCCGATGCTCCTCCCCTAGGTGGGAAGACTGGAAAATCGGCACTTACTGGTCTTGAAATACTCCTTGAACAAGAAACAGACGACTCATACATGATGCAGAGCAAAACACCTTCTTTGATTTTCGAATATGTCAACAACACCGACTTCCGAAGCCTCTATCCTAAGTTCATTGATTATGACGTTCGATTTTATATTTATGAGCTTTTGAAGGTACAACATCTTAACAGTCAGGAAGCTCCAAGTTACTAATGTTGGTAGGCATTGGACTTTTGTCACAGCAAAGGCATCATGCATAGAGATGTAAAGCCTCATAACGTGATGATTGATCATGAGAACAGAAAGGTAGTATTGCTGCCAGCTCCAAGAATGCTTGACTGATATTTAGGATATAGTTGAGACTTATCGATTGGGGTCTTGCAGAATTTTACCATCAAGGCACAGAGTATAACGTTCGAGTTGCATCTAGATATTTCAAGGGACCGGAATTGCTCGTTGACTTCCAGGAATATGACTACTCCTTGGACATGTGGTCTTTAGGTGCTATGTTCGCTTCTATGATCTTCCGCAAAGAACCATTCTTCCACGGAAACAGTAACTCAGATCAGTTGGTCAAGATTGCTAAGGTCCTCGGTACTGAAGACTTATTCGACTACCTCGACAAGTACGAGATTGAGCTCGACGCACAATATGATGACATCTTAGGCAGATTCCCAAAGAAGAATTGGCACAGCTTTGTCAATGCCGAGAACCAACGATTTGTTACTAATGAAGCTATCGACTTCTTGGACAAACTTCTCCGTTACGATCACCAAGTATGACTACAATTTATCATCGGGTTTTTAGCATATGCTAACATGTGATTTAGGAACGTTTGACCGCCAAGGAAGCCATGGCCCATCCATTCTTTGCACCTATTCGCGCCGATGAGCAAGCTGCACGTGGTGCTGCAGCTCCTACTACATGATTTCCCTCTACTCCATACGACTCTAAAAACTTACCCGGCGTCCATATGGGCTCACTTTTACTTCTATGATTCATATGAGCTTGTCCAATTCTGAATAGCGTTATGCCGTTTGGCTTGATAATGTTCTTCTCTCAGAGCCACCTCACATACTTCGCCTTTACACATCGAGTATGAGAATCAAGGGGATGGTCGTTTCGATGGGGCGGGATCTGGAGGATGGTGGCGAGGGCCAGGCGTTTATGACTTTTTTTTTACATGACCAAACTTGCATACCCTCTGCTCTTACCTTTCGTCGAGCATTGAAAGTTCTAATGCAGCTTTGTAGATAGACTAAATCAATTCAAGATTTTGTGCTTATCGCAATACTATTTCATTCGTTGTTTTTCAAAATATAATATCTTGTTTTTGTACCTTCTCTTGCTTCGATTGCTCTCAACGTATTGGATTACGCCTGCAAGGGGTACATGACACGGTTTTTGCACCGGGAGCGGAATATTCATTCTGCTCCGGCCCCGACCCACGCCTCTAACCTTTAAAAAGCAAATTCCAACGGCGACGGACCGTGAATATGCCTTCTTCTCCGTCTGTATTGAAGCATAGATTGTTTGATATATGAAAGCGAAAATAGGAATCCGTGATGCCGTCGACAACCAATCATATTGGTAAAAATCACCTGAACTCCAGGGCATGCAAGACTTGTGCATTGGCAAAAGCCAAATGTGTACCACGAACGGAAGGATTAAATACGAAATGCGAAAGGTGCGTATAACTAATCCATTGGCTACCATTGTGTTAAATCAATCTGCTGATATTAATAGATGCCATCGTCTGAAGAAGGATTGCGCAAGGCAAACTCCTTCGATGAAGGTTCGTAAACCTTACAAGGCTACGTATGGACTATCCTTCCCATGAGACCATTTATCATATTTGTGTTTAATGCATGAGCCATAGTCGAGTTGCACAATTAGAAGAAAAAATTGATGGCATCGTCTCACTTCTCCAACAACAAAAGAGCGTCAATTCCCAAGACACGACGTCGGGAAACTCTCCGCTTGTCACTAATGAGGATATCCTCCCAAGACCACCACCACCACTCACAGAACCAGAACCTCCAAGTACAGTTACTTATGGAAATCATCCTCATCCCCATCCTCCGCCCAAACCCCTCGAACAAAGTAAACGACAATCCGTCTACGAAAAAAGTACCAATGCGTGTCTCCTCGCCCACATCAACTCAAATCTCGAGCCCAGCGATATGGAAATCGAAAGGTTAGTGAAACTATACGAAACAGAAATGACAGCCAAATTCCCATTCGTGATCATTGAGACAGGAGAGTTGACGAGGAAGGAATGGGTGCTGGAAAACCCTGTACTGGGAAAGGCGGTTTTGATGGCGGCTAGTTATTTTAATTTGCCAAGACAGACGGTTTATGAAACAGAGTTGGTGAGGGATTTAACGGATAGGATTATGGTGAAGAGGGAGAGGACTTTGGAGTTGTTGCAGACGATTTTGGTGTTTTGTGGGTGGTGGGTTGGTTCTTTTTTCTTTTACGTTCTTCTTTCTTGTGGGATTGATGGATGGTGGATGTATTTTCGATTATTGATTTCTCAAGAATTGTTGATTGTTGTCCTATGAAGCAGTCGGTGGTCTAGAGGGAGTATCAAGGGTGATTAGTTTTCCGGTATTTGGAAATTCTCAGGGACATGTTCGAACTGGAGCCACTTTACTGATTAAACTCGATGGTTAGGTATCATTATCATTGTCTAGGGCATCCCAACCTGAACAATCTTCTTGGCTTAGCAATCGGGCTCGCCGGCGACTTGGGGCTGAACAAACCACCATCCTCAGATAAATTCAAATATCCATTCGGTCACAGTAGAGCCACGGCTGGAGATTTTTCAAGGAGAAGTATGGAGCAAAAAAGAGCCTTGGCTGGATTGTTTTATCTGACTTCCTTGTAGGCTTTTTCACTGTTCACTACAGGCATGCTTGCTAATCGAAATCTAGGGTTGCAACTGGCTTTCAACGCATAGATGCTATGAGGTACTCAGTACATCTTGATGAATGTATTCGTGTTATAGAGGGGAACCCAGAACATTCTACTGATTTGTTACTGGTTGAGTTGGTTAAAGTAACAAATCTAAGTGAAAGAATTGGTCAAACGGTTTCGCTTATCCAAAACGAGAGTGAAATTCTGGTTCCTACGGCATTGAGGTTGGGTTCGTTTCAAGCGGAACTTGATACGTTGAAGCAGGGAATTCCTGGTGCATGGAAAGATGATGGTATGTGTTTCAATTTTTCTGTTTTTAGTTTTCTTGCGTTTCTTTCTTCAAAAGGTAGTTGTAGTACAAACCTAATAACCGCAAATAGTAATTCTCCAACTCCACCACCACCTATCCGCAATCCGTCTCTACGAAGTCTCTTTAGCCAATAACTGGACCCCCAAAATCACAACAAAATCACCTCAATCAACCTCAACAACCCAAGCAATTCCACCACCTCTGCATTCCTCCCACGTCCAATCTCTATTCACCTGTCTCCACCACACACGTTCCTTCCTCACCCTTATCCTCTCTCTCCCCCCCACCACCTACCTCAGTCAACCCATCACCCCCTGGTTCCTCCTCGCCTTTACCCTCATGATCCTCGCCCGTCTCTCCTTCTACCAAAACCCGCTTCTCCCCACCTGGAACCTCGATTTCGTCCGTGAAATCTGCGATCTCTCATTAATTCTCGAAGAACTCGCTGATCGGAACGAGAATGCGAAATTTGTAGATATCAATCTCATAACTCGAGAAGAAGGAGAATGGGAACCCAATGTGAGGGTAGATGGGGAAGGGAAAAGAGTGGTAGAGGGCTGGACCGATTGTTTCGATAAATTTGCGCGGAAAATTAAATTGGTGAAGTGTTGGTATGATCAGAGAGTTGCGGGGTACCGGGGTACTGCTACTGCATCGGTATCGATGCCATTAGGGGGCTGGCTTAGAGCTGATAATACCACGATGGAGAGTGGAAATGGAGGTATTAATGAAGATATTACTCAAGAGGGAACACAGACACAATCTGCTGCGGTGTTAGATGCAATAGTAACTCCACAGGTAAACTCAGATGGAACACCCATCTTGAGTGAAATAGACACGAATCCTTGGAATGGATTTGATGATCAGAATTTCTGGATGGATTTAGATGGGGAGTGGGATATTGAGGGATTGGAAGCTATGAGTGGGGTTTTTTAGGTGTTTTTGTTTGCTTGTATGATTTATATTATATGTATGTATGTAGTTTTCATGGTGTGAGGATGACCCTTTGGTAATTTTAATATGATGATAATTAATCAATAGTTAAGTAACAATATAAAAACCAGAACGCAAGCAAGGAGGCGAAGAAAGAAGAGCAGGAGGAAAAGAATATCTACATCTCCATCTACACATGAAAATACCATAACTTTCCACATATAAACAAAATTATTTATCATCATTGTTAAGATAGCTAGCTAGTTATTCATACTATATAGGTCCTTATATATTTACTTTTATATTGGCTAAGATACCTAATCTTATCGAGCAAGCAAGTAGGCAAGCAAGCAAGCAAACTACATATACATGCCAATTTTACTTTGTATATCGTCATACATACCAAAAATATCGTACATACCATCATGAAATTACACATTTTATCCCACCCCGGCCCAACCCATTCCATCCTGTCCGTAGAACGCCAGAAATATCAAGCAAGAAACCAAATTTATACCTCCTCCTCCACCTCCACCTCAACCACGAATACCCACACATCAATTCCCCTCCATAACCTGCGCAATCGGAATCTTCTCAATCTTACTATTCTGTTCCTGATCCCTCGAAACCTGATAAAAATCATCACAAAAATCCGAACACTGCATGACCTTTAAAAATTCCTCATCATGAGTAATAATAATAAGTTGAAAATTCGCTTGCTGTTGACGGGATTTAATGATACCATGAAGAGATTCCGCCAGTGCGCGGATATTATCTTGATCTAGATTCGTCGTGGGTTCATCTAATGCGATGAGCTGTGGCAGAATGAATGTTAGTTGGATATCAAAACATGAGGAAAGAAGAAGAGGGGTACTTACACCGCAATTAATACCGAAGCATTCTGCTAGCGCTAGACGGATAATGATACAAGCTAGAACCTTCTGACCTGCACTACAACGACCACGCATATCCATTTCAACATCTTGCTTTACCATCACCACTCGATACTTATAGTTTGTTTTCTTGTTACCAGCTGCTGTCTCGCCTTCATCCTTTTCCGAACGAATCATAATTGTATCGACATCCGTACCTTGGTAGGTAGTCTGCCAAAGTTCACCAGCAATTCGATTGATTTCCTCCATTTTCACACTGTGAAATTTCACAATTGCTTTGTCCATAGCCGTAATCATCTTGCCTAAATCATCGATAGCAGCCTTTGTGGTCTTAACTTTAATCATAGCAGTGCGGTACTCCGTCCTGGCATTCTTGTAATTAAGATCCCACTCAAGTAAGTATTGTGCCAAATTTTGATCTTTCTCTGCAAGAACAGCTGTTTTCTGCTGGTAAAGACGGCGATGGTCGTAGAATTTTGCTTCTATTTTTTCGGCCTCCTTTGTTAAAGTTTCGAAGTTTCCTTCCACATTCTGTGCTTCTAATTCAATGGTTTGTTTTTTGTATACCTCAAGTTTAGCCAATTCTTGACGATATAGGATGTTGTCGCTGATATTTGTCTTTAGCCGATCCGAATCACTCTTTTTAGCTCGAAGTGCATTTAACTCGGTAGTAATCCGGGCCATTATTTCCTCAATACGCTCCTGGTCTTGTTGAATTGAATTGATTGCTCGCTGGCAAGCAGAAAGCTTTTCAGGACCATTGCTATCAATGTATCCATTGATATTTTTCTCATGCTGCATGAATTGACGGACAGTGTCTGCTAGCTTTTCCTTTTGAGATCGGACTTCTCTTTCCTTTGCATGACCTTGTTGTTGAATATCTTCGTATTTAGCCTTCGCAGTGTCAATTTTCGGCTTTAGAGTCTCCAGCTCGGTATCAGCACGATTGATTGCTTCCCGCTGCTGTGAATTGCTGTCGAGAAGCTCATCAATCTCCTTTTGCAAAGCTTCTTTCTTTGCTAATCCATGAATGACATCTCGAAGTCTTTGCGATTTACGAGACAGATCACGCTCCATATCGTTTATCTTGTCTTTGGCTGCATCCTTCTCGGACAAAACTTTAGTCAGTTGTTCTCTAACCTCCCGCATATTCTCACTACAGGCTGTCTGACGTTCTTGGATTTCATCAGCAGTAATGATGCTTCCAGCAATATTTTGCTGCGAGGATAAACTATCGATTTTTGCCTCATGGTCCGTGATATCGCTGTTGTACCTAATGATAGAGGAGATTATATTGGTAAGAGACTCAACATCTCTTTGTCTAGCATTCTTGCGCTCGACGATACTGTCATGATGCTCGACTTCTTCAAGCAATCTCTGTTTTTCTTCATCCGCCTTTTTGAGGTCTTGCTCTATCCTTGGGATTTCGTCTTTGAGAGATTGGTATATATCATACTGTGATTGAGCAGCTTTTGCGACTTTGATTTGTTCGTTGTGGATCTCTAACTGTCCCTGCAAAGTTTCCCGAGCATCCTTGTTGAGAAGTTTCTGAATCTTCTTCATTGCTGCTGAGCGATGTCCTTCTTCCACAAACGCCCTCTCACAAAGTTTGCACATGTCTTTCGTCTGAATAGTATTTAGGCATTGAGTGAAATAATCGATCTTGTGTTTGAAACCATCAATATTATCCCGGATCTCATCGCGCTCCTCCTCCAACTGATTCAGCTCTCTGGGATATTCTTCGATGCTAACTAATGGTCTGCCATCTTCATCCCTGACCGAAGTGAGTACTGCGTTCTCGCAGGATTTTAACTGATCCTTCTTGGCTTTGAGGTCGTCACGAACTGCATTGAACCGGAATCCCGCTTCAGAGTAGGATTTTTTGGCAGCTTCTTGCTCGTTTGTTGCATCTGCAACTTCATCTTTCTCTCGATCTAGTGCATGTTGGAAATCCTTCCCAAGGGTATCGACTTGCCAGTCTGGACCAAGAATTGAATCAAGCTTCGAGCCGTGGGTCGCCTTCATGGTGTCTAGTTTTCCCTTGGTCTTTTTCAGTTCTCCAATGACATAATCAAGCTGAGCACGGTCATTAGAACGTTTATTGATTTCAAAAGCCTCTTTTCTAAGTGATTTCTCTTCGTCTTCAAACTCCCGCAAACGTCCATTACTAGCGTTGATGCGATGCTCCCAGCCAGCACGTTCAAATTGAGCCCGAATCTTTTCCAGGAGATCTTTGGTCTCGTTGTAGGATGATTCAAGGCCGGTTTTATCACCTTCGTCGAACTGGATAAAGCCAAGTTCTGTTTTTTTAGGGCCCATTTTCCTATCGTTGTTAGAAATAGTTTGCTTCGCGGTCACCTTTTCTTGAACACGTATTGCGTGCTGATTCTGAAGCTCCGTCAGTGTGGTCTGGACGCTTTTTAATTCGTCATTAGTGGCCGCCTTAACCCGCTCCAAATCACGCTCCTTGTCACGAGAGAGCTTCTTGATTCTTTCCATAAATTCATTCACCCGAGACTCATTGATGTCGTCATCATAACCTCGAATGGAATGCTTAGAGGCAGAACTCTTGACTAGCTGAACTCTAGATTCAAGTTCTTCTTCGTAGGCTTGTTTCAGGGCTTGCTGCCGACCTAATTCTGCTTGCTTTTTGCCAAGTTCGCTGGCGTTTGCTGACATCTTCTGTTGCTGATCTCGATATTGGTTCTGCAATTGCTCATCTTGTTGCTCCATTTCTAGTATTCGATCCGCGTATTGATCTAAGGTTGACTTAAGCCATTCATCCGATTCAGAAAGTGGCTTGATTCTCTTCTGAAGCGATTCTAGATTTTCTTCACTGAATTTGACTCTTTCTTTATTGGTCCTGAGCTTTTGAACCAATTCCCAAAATTCGGCCGCCTGTCTCTGTTTTGCGTCAACCACCTCTCGAACTGCTTCCATGTTGGCTTTGTCTTTGAGAGCCTCCTCTGACAACTGATCAATTTGAGAAGCAAGTTCTTCGCAACGACTCTTGGTTTTTTCTCCTTTATCCTTGTTATCCTTGGCAATCGCCTCCTCCGCAATCATGCCTTTAATTTGCTGAGCATAATCTTTTTTCAAAGATTTGAGGCTATCGACAGCTTTGGTGTATTTTGTAGCTTCGAAAATGTCGTCAAATTTCTTCTTGAGATGTGAAGGCTCGCTCATCGGCCATAGTGAATCATCTTGGTGACAGAAGATAACATTGTCCAAAACGGCTTCAGAAACGCCCAAAGCTGATTGCATAATTTTGTCGATTTCTCCAACTTTGTGAGACACAGCAGTTCTCTCGCCGCCGTTATTGACCATCAATCCTGCATCTAGAGTCTTCATCTTTCTCGCTGTCTTCGTAACCGTGAGCTGCATACTTCTTGTGATGACCATTCTCGATCCTGTCGTACTTTGAAACGAGAGTTTGACTTGTGCCAGTACCTCCTTCTCCCCACAAAGCTAATCTATGTAAGCACCATGTATAAAGATGTACTGAGGAGTCGATGAGTGACATACTTTTGGATCATGAATGAAAGCTCCTCCAACCTTGCTATTTGGTGGTTGTGCGCCAGTGGTTGCATATTTCAAACATTCGATGATTGTCTATATATGACTTAGCTAAGTTCTAGGTTTAATATGAATGCCAATACGTACAGTCTTTCCCGAACCATTAAGCCCAACAATGAGTGTTAGAGGAGTGTTGAAAGAGATATTCTCCCAACCCTTGTGATCAAAGGACCGCACCCTATCGGAAACCAGTAAGCCCAAATGTTCCTGATACATGACCGAAATCAATAACACTAACCCGCATATTCTCATCTTTTCTATTTTCGACATCTTGTTAACTTTAAAGGCTACCAGAGCCTGTTGAATGTTGACGGTGGAAGAAGAAAGTTATGGTCGTGACAAAATTTTATAGACTGGATATCAACATTAGCTTTGATATCAATATAGAAGGATGAAGATGATAATAGTAAAATAATGCTACCTTTTCGTTTGCGGCCTTCTGTTTTGGGGCGAATATGAGTACTATGTGGGAAGGGTTGTGTTTAGATTGACATAGATAACCGTTGAGAAACAAAAAGATATTCGATATGACGCTCCGCTGGGCCACTGCCGTGGAAGCTTTGCCGCTTCGCTCTAAATAATAAAATGTGTTTGGGAGGTGGTAGGATGGTGGGTGGATTCTAATAAACTGTACATAAAAATCGAGAGTAGTATCCAGTAGGTAGGTGGCCAACGCGACGCATGGAAATCGAGTTGAAAGAAAACGCGTTTGACCGCGTAATCACGTGTTGTTCTCGGCAACTTGCTTGTAGTTTTCTTCGGGTTTGGTCTGATTCTGCTATTGATGGATGGTCAATGCACACACAGTATCTATCTACATATTCCCCGCCACCACAAGGTTTGTTTGATGAAAAGAGCTGGTCCAAGTTCCTATGACGACGTAGATGCATCATGTCATCTATCAATTGAAGGCTAAAATAGATAGACGGGAATTCATTGAAGGAAAAGTAAAGAACAGCAAAACTCAAAATGAGTGTGCTCCATATGTAGTATGTATCCTACGTAGGTACTTGGACACGCAATTAGACAGACACCAGTGGGATCTCTTTGTAACCTTTCTTTGCACGACTCAAATATCTATCAAGTTCGTTCGTTACTCAGGAGTCAGTCAAATGCATTCATCATTATAGTCGAATATGAAGTCGAATCAACAATCCCATTACTAATCAGAGAAATGAACACTAGGTACAATGATTGATGTAATTAATAGCTTTGAAATGTATCATGATGAAAATATCTTTTATTTTGTTTCAAAATATACAAACTAATAAATCAATCAATCAATCAAATCAAATCAAATCAAATCAAATCAAAAACTCTCTTTCACTCATTCTCTCTTTCACTCGTTTTATTATTTTAATTCAAATCTATCTATATACTAGGTACCTAGTAATACCTCCCTATCATTTAGTGTTACCTAAGGTTTTTCTCTAATAATAACTCCCGTAGTCACATCCCTTCTCTTTTTAAAAAGTAAGCTGATGAACCTCCCTAATACCTCACCCCATCAGCCCCAAAAACATCTTCCCACTTTGACACCTGGGAATTCTTCAATGCTAATCACTCAACTAACCACAACACACAACACACACCATAAGCCCTTTCAGTTAATACACTACTGCTTCACCTACTTTACCTACTTGACATACTATACCTACTTTACCCTACCTATCTACCTACTACCTACCTACTACCTACCTACTACCTACGCACCTACCTAATCTAACCCAATACATTCAATACCTGATACTCCATATATCCACCTTTCTCTCCAAACATCACATTTTCACACATTCCCATGCCTTTCCCATTTCCCGTCTTATGACATTATTTCGTCATCACTTCTTCAGATACCTAGCTAATAATTGATATCAATCAAATCAATTCCCGTTTTAATGCGAACTTGCCATTCTTTCCATTTTTCATTTTTTTCTTCCCCTTCTTCTTAAACTTTAACCCAAACTTCCGAACGAAAACTGAAAAGGAAAAAGAAAAAAAGAAAAAGAAAAGGAAAAGGAAAATCTCTCAGAGCTAATGCCTCAGCACCACATTCACATCCGGCCATCCAAATAACATAGACAATTTTTCAAGTTTGAATACATACTACTCACTCCCCATTACACAAAAAGAAAAACTCGTCTTTTGCGTCGCAGAGGATCAAAAGGGATAATTAAATTCGTCATGTCGGACGGTGATCCCTCAATACATATGAATAATTTGGATTTGGACCCTACTGCCGTCATGTATCATCATCATGCAGACAACCTCGGGTCCATGAATAGGGTCTTGTCAGCCTCGCAGGTATGAAACGCGGTTCGATCGAGATCTTTTTTAGATCTTCTGGACCTCTCAACCCCAATTTTCCATTTATGCCACATTCTAATCCCGAGTCTAGGCCGACCAAAGTTTATCTGATAATTTAATGAGCGACATGTTACAGGATAATTTGTTTAATGATTTTGATGGTTTACCTGATATGAACATGAACATTGATATGAATACTCTTGGCGACAATGGCAACATTCCAAAATCTTTCACGCCGCTCAACAATTTGATGTCGCAGACCGGAAATGACCAAACCGATGACGCGGGAAAGGCTCTAACAAATGTCGGGGATAGTCAGATGGGAGAAGTTGGTGCAGGACCGTTACCCGCAGGCTTTGGCGCTCAGCCTTCACTCCCCAGTAGCAGCTCAGTTAACGATTTTACCAAACGAAGAAATTGGCCACAAAAGGTTGTCGAGGAGATTAAGGATTTTATGCACGTATTAACCCCCAATGGAAAGCTGGTGTATGCGTCTCCTAGCTGTCATGCCCTCACTGGATATACGCCCGAGGAACTCGCGGGTAAATTCATTCAGGATTTGATACATCCGGATGATAGTGCAATGTATCTTAGGGAGTTCAACGAATCCATCGCGTCAGGCAATCCACTACGCTTCTACTACCGATTTCACAAGAAAGACAAGACGTTCATAATTTTCGAGTCGCATGGACATGCTCATTATGCATCGACAGCCCCTCCATCGACCACTCAACAGTCACAAGCAGAAACCGCAGATTATTGCAGAGGATTTTTTATGATGGCACGGGAATATCCAACAAAAAACGCTATTTTATTGGATTCATTTTTGGAACACAAAACCGAGTTTGAGCGAATGTCGAAGAAGATTAGGGATCTCAAGAGAGAAGAGGAGGAAGAATACGAAGATAGTGAAAGAAATTATCATAAGCAACCATCAGATTCATCTGAGACGATAACCACAGCCATGAGCACATCTATGCCTATCGATCCAAGCCATCCTGATTTTATAGCAATGCCTCCTCCAGCGAGGCCGGATATGTCATATAGCACTTTGACCAAAGCGAATCTCGAGGATGCAAGTTCTGGTAGCAAACCCGATTCCATGAAAGACAAAATGATGAGATATGAGGGCGTGGATAGCATAGAAATGCTCACTGGGTTACAATACCGAGAAGGTGAAAGAAGTCAAGGGATCAGCACTGGTGACCATAGTCCAGCTTTGATTAGAGGTGATGCTGGGATTGCCATACCAGCTGACAAGGATGGCCGTTCAGGAGACAAAAAGAAGAAGATGAAGCTGGTCGATGAATATGTTTGTACGGATTGTGGTATGTACCATATTTATTTACTGACTTTGAAAATTTGAAAAGGAAGAGCTAACATTTGATAAGGTACTCTGGATTCACCAGAATGGCGCAAAGGTCCTCAAGGTCCCAAGACGCTTTGTAACGCTTGTGGTCTTCGTTGGGCCAAGAAGGAAAAGAAACAAAAGCCGGAGCCTTTGAATCCTTCTGCGGGACCTTGAGAAAATCGTTACCAACTCTCTTACGAAAAATAACTTGATTGATTTTACAGGGCGCTTGGGCGTGAGGGAAATTTAAAGAAATCTAACATGAAGCTTGGGCTGGGATGGTGTTTTAAGAGGGTTCATTACTTCAATACCCCACTCGAATTTGGCGTTTTCTCATTTCTCTTTTTGGCTTGGGATATTCAATTGGATGTATGGCGTATCCGAGATTCAAGAATGAATGAAATGAGATATAATAAAATAATATTTTATATATCTGATTAATTACTTGAGGTTTATGAATATCATAGATTATTTTATTATATCAAAATAAAAGTGTATTTATTATATGATAATTGAATTTTTTTTAATAAGTATTTATTTGTTACGACAGGTAACAATTAGGTCACAGGATTAGTAATAACACGTGATGCGAGGACTCGGAGAGCTCGAAGGCTTGGCCTCTCGAGCCCTTCGAGCCACGAAGCATGAAGGTCTATATAATCAAGATGGATTTCCTTTGTATAGAGCTTCGTGCTCAAGATCAATCATTTAGTATACTCTACTATTAGTTACGAATTGCATATCATAATGGTCATTACTTAAGTCCCTGCTTGACGCCTAGTTATAAACCACCTCGAGAGCCTAGAGCACTTCCACGTGATCTAGACGGCAAACCTCGTAACATAAAAAAAGTGATTTAAAAATAAAGTCATAGTATTAGATTTATATTGATTATAATTTTATAAAATTTTTATTTAATAATCTATTTTATTTTATTTATTTATTTATTTTATTCCTAGTATCTATTAGTATTATTTTAATATTATTTTGATTTTGATTTTCGATTTTGATTTTCCGGTGTTGAAGGAGGGAATGGATGTCTTTATTTACTTTTTTCATTTTAGTGGGGGAGGGGAGGGGGCGACTTGTTAGTGAGGGATGAGAAGCTGGGGAGTTTACGATCGTAGTATGATCTAAAATATAAATCATAAAAATAGAAATTCGTTTTTTCAATTTTGGATAAATACACAAAAGACTACTACATAACACTATACTTTACCATACTGTACTATACCATAACGAAATAAAATATACCAAACAGCCAAAAAAAAAAATATAAACACAAAACATCTCCTACATAGTCTACTCCTCCCTTCAACGCCCGAGTGCATAGTTCGGAGCCGTCTCATACGCATCCTTTGCCACATCTGTTGCTTTAGGAGAAACTTTCTCATACACAGTTTCAGCCGCATCCGCTACCTTGGAAGAAACCTTCTCATAAGCATCCTCCACCACATCACTTGCCCTAGAAGAAGTCTTTTCATAAACACCACCCCCCCAAACCTCCTCCCGAAGACGAACGTCTAGAAGAATACGCATCAAAACCGTCCTGAACACCTTCTTTAGCTTTTGATGTTAACTTATCATAGATACTCCCAGCCTTGGATGTTCCATGTTGAAAACCATCCTTCAGTTCCTCTTTCGCCTTTGAAGAAAATGAATCATAAGCTTTTCCTGCTTCCGATGCGTGACTTGCATATGCATTATATCCTTCCTGAGCATTCTCCGCTGCCCTTGAATAAATTGTATCGTAGGTATCCTTGATACCATCTGTTGCTTTTGAGTACGCATCCTTCACATTACCCAGAGGAAAATCTCTCCTCTTCGCCAACCACTCTGCACCTGGAGATCCAGAATATTCATAAGCGGCAAGGACTGCCTCTTTTCCTTTTACCGTGCACTGTTTTAGGAACTCGATGATGATATTTAGAACTTCTCCCATCCAAGCTTTCGTTCGGGTCCATCCAACAACGCAGTAGGAAACTAGGAATACTCCTAAAAATAAAAATTCCAACATAGCTAGAAAATCCCTCAGTGGTTTGTACCTGCCACGAACCATCTTCTTCTTTTGTGCAACAAAATCAAAAAGTGATTCGACAGGTTTATCTAATTCTTTATAATAAAATACCGCTCCAGCACCAGTAACATTAAAGACACTTTGTCCATCCATGTCACCTCCTGGTTTTGAATTTCCAGCCCAATATCTGCGGGTAAAAGGCCACACTGCAATCTTAACACTCGCCTGATGCGTATATCCCGGTGGTTTATGTTCAGCCAATTTCTTTTGAGCTTCGAGAAACCTTTGAAGAGCTAGCATTCCTGCTTTCGACTGCTGGCGGGCCGGGCCGGCATTTTCATAGCCCATTGTATAGCCTTCGGCCTGCGCGCGTTCAGCTTCCATCAGCTCATGATCTCTGGTCCATGTAGTCTGAATGATATTTTTAGAAAGAGTCCACGATGGTTGAAGGATAGATGTGTGTTCTTCGGGATCGTAGAAGCCGCCTGGAACGAGAGATGTGATGTGCATTATGGTTGGAGAGATACGTGTACAAAGGGAAATGTAGGCGGCGCTTGAGATTATGTTGTGGAGGGATTGATATAGCGTTGTAGATTGAGGAATGGCGGTGTTGGGGGGAGCGGGAAGAAGGCAGAGGTAGTCAAAAAGAGGACCCAAGAGAAGGATTATTTGTGCTGTGAGGGTCGTGCAATCTTTGTGAAAGTTGGGGGTTACGGATGCTCCTCCTAGGAGAGTGCGAATAGATTTACTACGGAGTTGCTGACGACTGTAGCCTGCAGATAAAATTTTATTAGTAAAGGATTAATGGTAGAAACCCAATTTCTGGGAGTTTGAAGTCTTTACCTTCACTATCCAGAAGTGCGCGATCTAAACTATGCAGAAAATCTTCCCCCTCTTTAGTATTTCCCCATAGATTCGGTGCAAAAACCTTCACCTCCGATATCTTTACTATAATACCCACAATAAGAAATTTCCTTGTCGCCGTATGTTTTAACATCTCATCCCATCCTCCAACTACAGGATCCGGTTCAGCAATAAGCTCCACGTATCTGTAAAACTCATCTGGCATGTTAATGGCCCAAGGCTCATCAAGGCCTCCCTCTAAATATTGAAACCCAAAGTAATCTTTAGCAAATGCAATGATTCGATCAAATAAGACGGCATATGCATTTTGAAACCAATCATTACTGCGGTCTCCTTCGGGATGTGGAGGAAACTCAAATTGAAGTGGCATAAAGTTTTTGAGGTCAGCTACGACGTTAGGTGAATGAGCCATCCAACTCCACCTTGCTCTTCTAGCCGGCCCTTGATTATTCGCAGTTGATCCGCCGGCCCTTTTCAAGCCTGATACCGGAGCAGTTTTATCACCTGTGGCATTTGCAGGGATGGCATCTGTCACTGGACTGCTAGCTAGACCACTAAGGAGACTAATCCCTCTCAGTTTATCGCCAGCACCTCGCACCGCTGCCAATGCATCTCGTGCTTTATTTCTTCGATCTTGGGTTAGTTTTGGGTTTAGAATCTGGCTGCGAACTAATTGCTGAGAGTGTCGGACGGTTCCTCTTGTTGTTTGAAATAAAACACTTTTGTCGGCTTGACTAGGAATTCTATCATCGTCCTCCACATCAGTTTGAAAGTTGGTACGATTTCGTAGGAGCGACATATTGATTGGGGATGATTAAGAATTACTGTATGCGTAACGCATGCTTCGAAGTCTTCACGAAATGGCGATGTTGCGAGGGTCTTAAAGATGGGTAGGTAACAAAAGAAAAATAAATGAAGGACAATCACGAAGCATTCATCAAAGAAACGAAGAACGCCGGTCATACAAAGAAAAGAAAAGCTGGAAGCAATACCTCTTTATTTTCCGAAAAGAGTCAAAAGTCGTAGCAAAAAGCACTGTATGGAGCTAAACAATTGTAGACTACCTTTCATTTTAAAGTCTTTGTGACCTTCAGGAAGAGTTTGACTCGCGATATCTTACTACCAATCCTTAGTCATTAAATTTGGAGTTGATAATAAATCAGTTGGCGGCAACAGTGCTTCTATCCTGAAAAGACTATGTCAACAATAATACTCTGCATGTATTGGAAACAAGATATTACCTTACTGATGAGCTGTACATTCAATTTCCACATCTGTTCCCAATGGCAACTGGTGTACCGCAACGCATGTTCTAACTGGCTTGGGATCCTTATGGAAGAATTCTGCATAGACATTGTTCATGGCTGCAAAATTTTGCATGTCGGTCAAGAAGACATTGACTTTGACCACATTATCAATGCTACTGCCAGCTGCCTCGAGGACCGCCCGAAGATTGAGGAGTGATTGTCTCTAAATTTTTATTCAATCATGCTGTCAATTGAAAATGTAGAAGCTTCAAGACATACGGTTCGATCAGCAATTCCTCCTTCGACAAGTTTCATGGTAGTGACATCCATTCCAATGCTACCAGAGCAGTAAACCATTCCTTGACACTTGATGGCCTGGGAGAAGAAGGGCAATGGCGGTGGTGCCTTGTCGGTTGAAACAGATTCTTTTTGAGGCATTGTGTATGATTTTATAGTTGAATCTTTGACAACTTGATCAAATAGATGTAGTCGGATGAAGATGAAGAAGATGAAGACGATGACGATGTGTCAAACCGTTGTTGAGGTCAGGAAGGTGGGGGATGTGCTGCGGGGTACCGTCAATAATGACAGGGATAAAATTGATTTACTTCCATTTGCGAGCGAAGCTCTCAAATTCATGATGATCAACACAGTAGGTAGGTAGGTGGGTAATTAACTACATCTCAAAAGTCTCACTTCTAGATTTAAGATAATATTGATGAAAATTGATTCTTCTCCGAGCGATATGCGCTGATCTCCTCTATCCCACATCTTACCCAGGATGAGAACCGTGACATCGTGATATAAGACTTACTACATTGGGCATTGCATTTGAATGTGAACTCGAGTATCCACTACTCAACCATATATTATTCCCAACAGAAGTATAAAGATCCCCGAAGATATCTAGGACAAAAGTGCCCATCCCCACAGAACTACCGATCGAAAACAACCAAGACTTCACATGTCGCGAGCAACGGCTCCCGGTGACCCCGCGTAAAGACTAGTTATCCTCGGCATTTCGAGGTCTAAGGTTTTGTTTGAGTTAAGGGGGTAATTGATAATTTCATTCATAGTCCATGTGTAGTTATTGTGATATTCCCAATTGATTCCGATCACATAAATCTTCCCTTCATACCGCTCTGCGCATGCATATGGTCGGACCGAGCTCCAGAGAATACCAGCCGCGGCTTTATACCACACTGTTTTCAGAGTCAGACTTTAAGATACATATCAACTCGTGGAGTGGCAGTTAATTCTCTCTCAACGCCGTAGATTTCCTAGATCAAAGTCTCAAATCCTAACATTATCAAAACATCAAGATCAGATCCTGAAGATCCTAAGCGAAATCTGCAAACAACTAAACATGTCACCATCACTCCCAGATTCCTACTCAACCCTCCCATTCCAACACATCCGCGTCTCTCACGTACCCGAGTCCTCACCAACACCCACTCAAATCATTCTAGTCACACTATACCGACCAGGAAAACACAATGCATTCACGGATACTATGACCGAAGATCTTGAAACAGCCTTTAATCTCTTCTCACTCGATCCTAGAGTGAAATGTATTGTGATTACTGGCCATGGAAAGATGTTTTGTGCTGGAGCTGATTTAGAAACTGATTTGTCTTATGAGAATGACACGGCGATGACACATCGAGATGGTGGTGGAAGGGTATGTGTTTTGTCTTTCTGTGTTGTGGGAGAATTTGAGTTTTATCATGCTCTCCTGTAGGATGCTGCTAGCTAATATTTTTGTTTAGGTAGCACTAGCTATCCATAGATGCACAAAACCTACAATTGCGGCCATCAATGGGTAAGTGAACAATCCTACTCGCTTCCCTTGAATACCATAACCACAAATGATGGCTCCTAAACACCTTTTATAGCACGGCTGTGGGTATTGGCATAACCTGTAAGCATTAAATTTTCACAATATTCACCTACTTCTTCCACCCAGTTCCATTTTCTACCATTTTCTATTCTCTAATCCACCCCAGTAACCCTCCCAACCTCCATCCGTATCGTCTCCTCAACCGCAAAAATGGGATTTGTCTTTGCTCGCCGCGGTATAATAATGGAAGCCTGTTCCTCCTATTTCCTCCCTCGTCTCATCGGTCTCTCCCGTGCCACCCACCTTATCACAACTGGCTCAATCTACCCATCAACATCTCCCCTTCTTTCCAGCCTATTTTCCGAGATCCTACCCCCAGAACAAGTTCTCCCGCGAGCATTAGAACTCGCAGGTGATATTTCCAAAAACACCAGTGCGGTGTCAACTGCCGTTATGAAAGATTTGATGTGGAGAGGTCCCAGCACGGCGGAGGAAACGCATCTTCTGGAAAGTAAGATTTTGTTGGAGTTGTATGATGGGGAAGACAAGAATGAGGGAATTAAAAGTATGTTATTGATTGAATTTGTGATAGAGCCTCAATATTAATCTAATATGTGGCAGGCTTCATGGAGAAGAGAGACCCGAAATTCAAGGACAACATGCAAGAGAATTCACCGAGTGTTTGGCCTTGGTGGAAACCTATTGATACGAAAACACCATCTACGACCGAGGAATTGACACGGCGATTGATGGAAAAGGAGCCAGAAGCAGGAAAAGCTAAGCTTTGAGACTCAAATCTGGTAACTTTTTTGTAGATGATGTATAGTTATATATTTTTCAAATCCGTTTAAAACAAAAGGCAACTTTAGAAAAGAACCAGCTGCCATGACAATTCCCAATTTCCATGCATCCAGTGGTCTAGTCAATGAAGATTACCTTAAAAAAATGAGAAGCTGCGAAATGTGAGGACTGGGCAGAAATACAAAAGGGAAACAAATCAAAGTTAAGTAGCATGAACAGACGACCTCAATATAAAAAACAAGTCAGGTAAACATTAGCTCTCCACAAGTAAGCCAACTCACTGGAATCAAACAAGTGCATTAAGAGGCATATCTATGTAATTCCCTATCCCACCAGCATCATTCTGAAAAGCAATCAAAGCCGAACTTTGATGATACAAGGAGTTGATATATCAAGCAGCAAGAATTGAGTATAACGAGAGAACATGCTGAAGCATAAGATTAGCAGTAACGCTTTGTTTTAAGGCCAGCGCAGACGGCTGCACAGGTCGATACTAAACGATGATGACCAGCATATGACAACGAAGCAGTTTATGAGACAAACATCAACGGAAGTTAACATTCCTGTGCAACGCAAGCGGGTGCATGCGGATTTTGGCCTAGATAGGATGTGTCAAGGAAGACACATGCTCAAGATCTCAGTACATAGACAAAGCGCTTAAGATATGGCCACGAATCGCACACCTGTGAATATCTTGAATCCCGTCTAGACAAGTTTTTCATGATAAAAAGTATTATAAGTCTAACTAGTACTTAGATACTAGTAGGAGAGTCATGAGTTTTCGGAAGTTATGGAATATATTTAGAACGGATCGCCATTGTAGGCACTTTTCGTCACATGTAAGGCTTACAATGTAGACAGGTTATAAGCTATCCAATTCAGTGTTGGCAATAATAAAAGGTAATGCCGTTTCAAACACAATATCGCACATTTTTATGACAATGTTATCCTAATTCCATGCAATCACATCCCCGGCCGCATCAGAAATCGGGATGTGGGCAGGTAGTGCATTAGCTAGTCTGAAAAGGCGCCATCACTGAGGCTTTCCTCCATGCCACGAGAGGGAAGATCGTGCCTCGCAGAATTTTGCTTTTTGTATGGTGATTCTTTGAATTGGAAAGTGTGGGATATGAAAAGGGGAGAACGGGTGAGATGATCGCGCGGAAATGCCTCAATCCTAGTTTCCTCAGTTCATCCTTATTATCCCAGATGGGCTGGCTAGCAAAGAAGTATCATGGAGTGTTCCAAATCGATTGAAGGAAGGCGTTTCTGTGTGAAACAGCATGTAGCTCAGTCTCCACTTGGAACTTAAACATATATGAAGCAGTTATTACCAAGCTCACTTTGACTTCTGAACACTTTTTCTGACTGAATATTTTGATGTCATTCAACACACAGCGGCTTTTATGCTACTTTTACTAATACTATATCCTCGTTCATTATTGACATGCTATGATGGAAACATGACAGGTATGGTGTAAGAGATAAGGCATACAAAAAGCCTTACGGCATGAACCCCTACCCATTCTGTCTGTTCTAGAAACGAGAATCGACTTCTTCAGCCTTCTTCTCCATGTCGATGGAATTTTCCGGAGGCTAGTGACTCGCGATCTCTCCCCATGTCCGACAGTAGGACTGTCATTATACGTCGGCGGGGTGAATTGGGATTTTCGTTTCGCTTTGACCGCGTCATTTCCATAAATTCCTGAATGGAACTCATGCTATGCATGAATTGCTTCATCCAATTTCTCTTGTTGACGGTATTCAGAATTGACGTTCACCTGCAGGTGAGAAGTTTGATTATCCAACATTTATACACACTCATTATTCATCCATCATCATCGCATCGTATCTCCTTTTTTCATCCTCTTGTCTTTTCTGTTCATCTTTCTTGGCGATTTCGGTATTATCTGCCATGGCTTGCTTCATTTCTTCCGCATCCTGTGCACCCAGCACCTCTTTAACAATGTCTATAATTGCCCACTGCTCATTCTCATCCGGAAACCTCAACTCCAACTCTTCAATAATGATATTAAGGTTTTCCATCGATGTTGGTCGGTGATTGATTATCATGAGGATTTCGGCTTTGGTTAAGTCGTAGGGACGAAGCTGCTCAAGGAGATTCCTGATTGTATCCTCTTTATATGGACAGGGCTTTTGTGCGAGAGGTGATGGTGCTTCTTCGAGGTATTGAATTAACTAAGGATGTCAGTATTGACTTTGAGGGCTGTGTTGAAGTAGAGTTTCACCTCTTTCATAACATTATCAAGATTACCTGGTCTTCTTCCTCCTGTACGGTGTTTCGTTTGAACATCCTTCAAATGAGTGTAGACCTCGAAATTGGTAAGGGTTGCAGATTGTGCTTCTAAGATCTTCATGATTGTTTTGTTTCCCTGGCGTACTAATGTCTTGTAGTTGACAGGTGGTAAGGTTACCTCCAAGACGTTGTATTATGTGACTCTATGGTTGTAATGAACATCGATTGTGGTTCACAACCTTCAGCCTTGAGAAATAATTTGCCCATCTCATGCAAAACATTTTAAGCGAGTTCAGCCTCGCCTGCGGGGTTGGAAGCTTAACTTTATTTGGCTAAGCACGTCAGAAGATCTGACCAAATGAATCTTTTTTTCTTTCCATTTTGTTGCCTGTGAGAGGTTTTTTTATACATTTTCAATTCACATCAATTCGAATTCCCAACCGGGAAAGTCTTTGAATCCAAAAAAGACATATTGAGATACGAAGAACTTTTCTAGCATTTGCTTCTAAAGGTTGGCCGAACTAATTCATTTCATTACATCACTAAAAATCTGGTGCGATCCAATTCTTTCTTCTCTATTTTAAAGCCCTCAGACCGCCCCAGATTTGGCGCGGCTGCAAAAACGAACCCCCTCAAAGAAAAAAAAGGAATAATCCCGCATTTCACTCGAAACCCTTCAACACAATCATCCATCGTTGACAATCACTCACCATATCACAATTACCTCAAGTTTCTTACCATACTTTCAAAGAGATGGTTCGTAATCTTGTTGTTCTGGGGGGAAACTCCCACCCTCAAATCACAGAAATGATCTGTAATACGCTCGGTGTTCCACCCTGCAACAGAATTCTTAAGAAATTCTCCGTTGGCGAGAGTCGTCTCGAAATTCAAGACTCAGTACGAGGCAAAGATGTCTACATCATTCAATCGGGTGGAGGAAAGGCCAATGATCACTTCGTGGATCTTTGCATTATGATCTCCGCATGCAAAACTGGCTCTGCCAAGCGCGTCACTGTCGTCCTTCCTTTGTTTCCTTATTCACGACAACCTGATCTGCCATACAACAAGATTGGCGCACCACTTGCCAAAGGACCTGCCGACGTCAAGGGTAACTTCACTTTCGAAAGTCGACCAGCAACACCAGGTCCTTCTACTCCCCAAACACCGGGTCTCACCAACGGTATGGACAAATTACAAAAGAAGCTTGGCAAGGCATCTCTCGAGCAAATTAACACCCAAACATCAAACGGAATAACTCCCAGACGACAAGATACTTCAGATTCCATTGCGTCTCTCACAAATGGACGCTTGAGTGAAGGATCAGCAACTTCCGTTACAGCTCCGCCCTTCACTACCCACGACTATGAAAACCCTGGATTTGTCAATGGCCAATCCAAGACCCTTTTCCAAGGCAAGCCGGGATACAAACAATGGGTTGCGCAAGCTGGCACACTCGTCGCAGATCTTTTGACTTGCTCTGGTGCAGATCAGGTAATCACTATGGATCTTCACGATCCTCAATATCAAGGATTCTTTGATATTCCAGTGGACAATTTGTATGGCAAGCCACTCTTGAAGAGATACATTCAGCAAAATATTCCAAACTTTCAGGATGCCATTGTCGTAAGTCCTGATGCTGGTGGAGCAAAGAGGGCAACTGCAATTGCCGATGGGCTCAACATGGAGTTTGCATTGATTCATAAGGTAAAAGTTTCCTCAATTATACTCCCTGCGTACACTCATATCTATTAGGAACGTCGACCTACCCGAATTACCGATCGCCAAAATGCCACAATGATGCTTGTAGGCAATGTTCGTGATAAAGTTGCTATACTTATCGATGATTTGGCCGACACCTCGAACACAATCACAAGAGCTGCCAAGTTGCTCAAAAAAGAGGGTGCCACTTACGTTTACGCTTTGATAACCCACGGAGTTTTCAGTGGTGATGCTATCGAGCGCATCAATGCATCTGCGCTGGACAAAATCATCGTGACAAACAGTGTTCCGCAAGATGAACATCGACGCCTTTGCCCAAAATTAGAGGTCTTGGAAGTTGGCCCGGTCTTTGCCGAAGCAATTCGTCGTGTGCACCATGGAGAAAGCATTTCTGTGTTGTTCAACTATGATTAGACTGGAACTTGGCTATTTTCCTTCAAAGGCATTGCATTTAGGAGTTCAGGCATATCTAAGGGGAGTACATTGGTAGGGTACTCACTTGTACTCGCTTGGCGCATTGCGAACCATGGCCCATGTACAATTGCTATACCCGTGAACCGCATGGCGGACTATTCAAAATTTTCCATTTTTGTTCATATGGTATGGAAGAAATTTAGATATATACACATACTCGATCTTTGGTAGATTTCCATTGAACGTCTTGACGAACCAAGTGCTGGGTTAGGCGTCTAGAGTTGCATATAAAATACAATCATAGAAGAACATAGAAATGAATAAATGGGAACGTAATTTAGAACAAAATTTGTTGGATTGGAATACCTGATGTATGTCTTCCATGTATATGTAAATCAGTGTGAATGTCACATCCAAGTAAAGTCAACCAAGTCGTAGTTTCTCTGTCCAGTAGGTAAACATGTTGTGCAACCGAGCCATAGACCGATAAACATTTTTGATTCACGTAGATCAAGGGTCGTTAATATTTCTACAGTTCTTCGATTGAATAGCGCGCAGGTTATGATATATCCCCATGTTTACATGATCACTCACGAACGGGAGATCTTTCCTTTCGTATATCAGATATTGAGTATGCGAGATACTAGGCACACGATACTAGCGCCAAACACAATCCTCCCTTTTTAACATCAACACGTATGGTAAGATGGTCTCGTCACCTTCGTCAAGCGCTGGGTTTGAAAAACTATTTGTGTTTGATGGATCTCTACAAACAACTTAGGAATGAATGGTCGTAAATTAATTGGCACCTGGGCATCACCATAATCACCAAAAATGTTCTGAATACATATCCAGCCATTTCTCATCCGTAGACTCTGCTCCATCCATCCCAGATATTTCCTTCCTGCCTTCCAGCCTTCTCGTCAAGCTCCAGCACCATTAAGTGAATGGGGAAGATAATATCGAATCCCACAACGTCATCATGATCCGTTTCTCAAGAATATACAAACAACTACTATGATCAAAGTAATAGGATGTAAGTTTTAATTGACGATTGAGCGTCGTTTCATCGTCTACATAGCATGGCAATGCAAGGGGGAGAAGAGTTCATAGGGACTATTTTGCTGGTTTTCTTTTCTTTTTTTTTGTGTTTGACAGAAGTAATTAATTAATTGATGCGAAGGATTGGAGGTTTGATAGGAATGTATGGAGGATGAAGTGTGTAACATGGAAATATCTAGTTAACGTTATTGTGGTATATACGTACCTTCCATCTACCCACCTACCTACCTAGGCCAACTTAGGTCAATAGCGAGTTGTAATTTAGCAGAGCGAATGTATTGACGGATGTAGATAGATTATAGAATTATTCAGGTTATGAAGAGGCGAAATGGTTTATACAAATTGTGTTGGTTTGGTAAGAGGTCAACCGAGTTGACAGCAATATTTTGAGGATGAGGAATGTATGGAAGCTGTTACTTCGCGGCTATATCATAAGGTGAGGAGAATATAGCTTTTACATGCAGTATTTTAGGTAATAAGGTATTTAAGAAATTGCGTTTACTACGGCTAGCTTGTCATATGCACTCGCTGACTGGTAGCCGTACTGAAGTGATTGTGTAAAGTTTTAACATACGCCGCGGCGAGTATTGTAGAATGCGTGCATTCAAAGCCTATAGTAAGGTGAACTTCATATGAATTAGTACATTTATTTTACGGTTGATATTTTTTTCCAAAAAAAGGTTTTCATGTTTTACCCATAAGATTACATTATATAAAGGATCAAATAATAGTAACAATCTTTTACCCCAAACACACAAGCACAACAGAAAGCACCTAACCAAGAAGAAAATGCAGAAACCAACATTCCATTTATTTCAGCTCCTTCCTGTTGAGCTACAAATTTAAATTCTAAACCACGCTGTGGAAGATCTCGCACCGCGCGATATTGGAATATGGCCTTTAATCAACGCCAGCGTCATTGGGTTATCAAATCACACAGCACCGTGGAAAATTCATCCGAGGCTACTCATGTTACCTCTCTTGCATACCAACCGCTTAACTCGCAGTATCACACTTAAGAAATATACTCTAGGCTTTCAAATGTATCTTCGGAAGAAGATATATGTTTCTTCAAAGGATAGGATTATTGTGCACGGCTTTACTAGGAATGATGGACATCGATCGAATCCGATGTTTGGACTGAATATGTTCATTAAAGCTGGTCGGAAATATGGGGAGGTAGACTACTCGAGAATGATTGGCATTCAAAAGTTTCAAGAAGTGAAGCAGAAGCTGGCATTGAGGGTTTATCATGTGGAAGAGGGAAGTTACATTGGAAATATGGTGCTCCTCGGGGCGTAGAGCCGGATCGATTACTGTAATCATGCTGATTGGCAGACCACAACACTTAGCCTCTGCATTAGACTTTCACTTATTAGCAATTTAAATTTAGCATTATCTGCTAGCAACCTTTTGAATTATTCTAGTGAAAAACTGATGTGGTTATTCACACCCAGCGATTGAACTAGATGACCTGAAGTGCTATGCCTCTATGCTCTGTGCGGTTGAGATGATAGCTCTTAGAATATGAAAATGTGATCAGACGACAGTCATTAACTTCTAGCTTTGGTTTTGTTGCACATCTGAGAGTGTATAGCTGCTAGCCTGTTTGCAATCTTGGCTTTTAAGTGGTCTAGCAAACGATGACCTGTCTCCTAGAAGCAATGCACCTTATTTCAGATGTGCAACAAAATTCCTTGTTGCTAGGGAGCTGTGGTCTAAATTTTAACCAAGGCTCGAATTACTAGCCAGGAGATTCATTAATATTCACTGGGACTTGTTTCAATGATCCGACCATGCCATGGATATCAGTGCTTTACAGAAAGAGAGTGTTCTATTGTCCAAGCACGGTTTAAGTACAGAATTATTGCTAGAGATGGACTCAGCTGCAAAGTTCCTTCCAAAGACTCAATTTTGTCAAACTTTTGACCAAAAAGTTGATGGAAATAATTATCATTCCCAAAAAAAAACAGTGCTCCTTTTATCTTTACAAAAGAATTTGGCTGCCAGTAGACATTACGGGAAGCATATCAATGTTGCGGTTGCTTCAAATACCACTGGAGACAGAATTCGCAAAATACGAAACTAATATGGCACCTAGAAGCCAGAAGCGGATATCAAAACCTCAAGCTAGGCAAATCGCATATCTGAATTGCAGCAAGCTTAGAGCAGATAAATACTTGATAGTTCTCGCCAGATAAGAAGGTGTCCATCTACAAAGACGGGATATATTTGAAAGGCCAGATCTGCTAACAGTTTATAAACACAATGTCAAAAGATGGCCCAAATAACGTATACACCCACAAAGATACAGATCATGATTACAAGTGTCTCTCTATCTTAGATTCATAATAATGAAATAAAGTCAGGAAAACTCTTCGTGGCTCGCTTGAGACAAAAGGTTACAATAACTAGCCACCTCTACGCGGAGCATTTGAATGCAGCTATTGTTGATATTTTCATACGGAGAAGCATAATAAAGCAACAGTTGCAGCTATAAAACGGATGGATTCATATGAAATGAAGAAAATGGATACGGGGACCAATATTTGAACATGTCTCCACTAACACATCCACAATTATTTACGAATATCATCAAAACTCGACGAGGTATGTGTACCTGCAGGATCTCCGTCCGCCAGTGTGCCACCATGAAACGCGAGGCTGAGATGCACAGACCATTTCTACACACGGCGGTTATCTAGCCTTCCCTCATGAAACAAATCACTCCTCCTCACATCAGATTCGTCTCATATTCTCTCCTTCGAAAAATGATGCCACTTATATGAATGTATCTTCCATTCTCTCGTTCCTCTCATTCACCTCATTTTAACCCAAAGTCAAGAATCACATCTTAATTATTTCTCCAACTAAAAGTTTCCAACCCACTCCCTCAAAATGAACCATCGACCTCGCAATGGAGAAGAGCTTCCATGGGCTAAACCCCTCAGTATAGATCTCTTGTACAAAGTCCTCAAAGTGACATTTCTACACCCCTTTGTCGCATGGATGATTCCTCTCTGTATGCGCGCACAAGCTATGCCATGGCATCATCAAGCCATTCAATATGCCATTGGTTATGCCTCTTTGCTCACCATGTTATATTTCCTCTCGATACTCAATCGCCAAATAGCATACTCAAAGGCTAGAGAGGTAGATTTGTCAGAAGAGGTTATTGTGATTACCGGCGGCGCAAGCGGATTGGGATTATTGGTCGCGGAAGTGTATGGTATGCGAGGCGCAACGGTTGCAGTATTAGATGTGCGAGATTTAGAGAGCGGAGAAGCGAGGGGTGTGAGTTATTATAAGTGTGATGTAGGGAATCGGGAGGAAGTTGCAAAAGTGGCTGTAGAAATCGAACGAGATGTTTGTCCTTCCCTCTATTTTCATCCATTACTAGAAGACTAACAAATTTATAAATAGCTCGGCACCCCTACAATCCTCATCAATAATGCGGCAATTGTAAATGGGAAGACCCTCTTGGATTTATCCCTTGATGAAATTGAGCATAATTTCAAAGTTAACCTTCTTGGAAGCTTCTACACCCTCAAAGCCTTCCTCCCAGGCATCATCCGCACCGGTCACGGCACAATCGTAACCATGTCCAGTGTCCTAGGACACCTTGGCGCTGCCCAACTCAGTGATTACAGCGCATCCAAAGCCGGCTTAACCGCACTTCATCATTCTCTAACAGCAGAACTCAAAGCACACCCTAATATCAAAACAATACTTGTAGAGCCCGGCCAACTAAGCACGCCATTATTTTTCGGAACCGTGACACCAAATAGTTTTCTCGGGCCGGTATTGGAACCAGTTGATGTAGCGAGGGAGATTATCGCCACGATTGATAAGGGGAGTAGTGCAGTTTTGGCGATGCCCTTGTACGCGGGGTGGGTTGGCTTGATGTCAGTTTTACCTGTGGGAGTGCAGGCGATTGCTAGGAGGCTTAGTGGAATCGATGGAGCGATGAAGACGTTTGTGGGGAGGGGAAAGATGGGTGCGGAGAAAGAAAGTTGGATATAGGTCGAGAGGTTTGGTGCTGGCATCGAATCTGGACGGATGGATGGATGAGGTATAGTGGTGTAATATAGATGTGATATGATAGGAGAGGATGTAAGAGGATGATATATAATGACATGTAAAAATCACCTCTACCCTGTTTCATCACGGAATTTCATAGACAATAAAAATATAAAATAACACAAGACTATATTCATGTAGCGATGCAGACATAAACAATGTCTATAATGTAATCGGCACGATAGATATCCCTTACCTTGAAATAGTATTCTTCCTAGGTAGTAAATAAGATAGCTTTTACAACCTACATGTTACGAGGTTTGCCGTCTAGATCACGTGGAAGTGCTCTAGGCTCTCGAGGTGGTTTATAACTAGGCGTCAAGCAGGGACTTAAAGTAATGACAATGATGCAATTCGTAACTAATAGTAGAGTATACTAAATGATTGATCTTGAGCACGAAGCTCTACACAAAGGAAACCATCCTGATTATATAGACCTTCGTCCTTCATTGGATCTCTTGGATCCTGAGAGTTTATGGACTTTCGATTCGTATGGACCTACGATTTGTATCCTTGAATATGCAGGGTCCATCACGTGACTTGGATCAGACTATATGTCCAAGCTTGCTAAGGGTGGGGAGATGTCGTGAGGAAGTTGTCATACAATTTTGTATGTAAATTTCCTTGCTTTTCCATAGGGTCGAAGCTTATACGGACAGGTTGACTGTTACCTTCGTAACATTACTCTAATGTCTCGATGCTAGAATCAAGATGTTATGATGTGCTGATATATAATCCCTATATCTATTTAAAAGTCTCGAATGAATTAAAGGCTGGGTGGTATGACGGTGGTAGATAGGCTTCAGGTTCTAGGTAATATGATGATATTTTATAAAGGAGAAAGAAGTTGCTAGGAGGAGCAGGGGCTATATAGGATGCGGAAGCTGTATATGTCCATGTAGGCTAAGTAGAATGGGTTATGACCCCGTGACAGGTGGTTTAAATCTTTGGTTGAAGCGGAAGTAGGTAGTTTAGTGGAATCTAACGGAATGCTTCAAAAACGTTTGAATTGTATGATTATATGTTTTTCTTTCTAGTGTAAAATAGTATAATAATGCGATTCTGACTCCATGATTCGATTTCCAAATATTAGACAAGGCATGAAAGGTGCTGCTTTCAAACTTCAATGTAGGAATGATGGGAGGAGAGAAAGTGCTTAATTGAAAGATGCTAAGAATATCATGAGATGATCGAAGGAAGAGCTTTTGGATCAAGCAATAGCTATGTCAGTGATCGAATCCCACCGATATATCGCCGGCACATAGGATTGATGAATTGGGAATCTCCAGGTCATCCCGTGCGGCGTATACCAAACACATACGAGACCCCGCCATTCAACAAATGGAACAAGGGTATCCGAATATGATCAACACTTGTTCAAGCTGTATGAGAATTTGCACTTTATCACGGTATAATCCGTTCAACAATGAGTTGTCTATTTTAAAAAGTAAAATCTCAGCCTAATATCGACAGATCGATGCCCAAGTCCCCATGTTCCACTCATAATCTTGCAAAGATTGCAAAAAATTTGTGCTTATACCGTAAAACCAGAATTGAATGTCTCCGAAACTGCCAAAAACAACATGGCGAACCAGCATTACCCTTCATACAATCAACAGAAATGCAGTACTAGACTCAACAGCACGGGCCGAACTTTCGGTTTTTAAATCATGAACCCTAGCTGTCAGATAAGTAAGTCGCAACAATGTTAGAAACGGGGAAAACAGAAGTAAAAAGGAGTATGGAAGAACAAAAGAAGAAAAAGGTTTTTACCAATAGTTTGATAGTTCATCCTATGATATACATTAGTGTATAGGGGGAAAAAAGTTTAAAACCGTTGAGATGAGGAGCATCCTTAATTTTCATGCGAGGATCGCCTTGAAATGTTCCTGGGACTACCCGGAAGTACCGAGTCCGAACCGGTTCTTAGATATCGTATGATTAGATGTTTGAAATTCTTGCATATAAGCACTGTAGATGTGTCGGCGAGGTTGACTTGAAGAAGAGCTTAGAGAAACTGCATGATGAGGAACCCAGACGTAAAACCCTATAGATGTAGGCACATTACGAGAGTGTTGAATTCTGAATTTATTCTTCAAGACAGAATCTGTGTTACTTCATAGTACTACCGTATGTACTCACAACCGTTATTTTAATGTATTCTAACAAGCTCGGCCCATCTTAATCATGACGAGGGAGCGAGAAGGGAATATCCCGTCGAATATATCTATATGCTAGATATTTATGTCCATTCCAGTCCGCTCTCGCCGAACAGTGTCTAGTGTGATCTCCGGGTCGAAAGACGGTTAATGCCGGAGGGAAATGAATGGGCACGAGGCAAAGAGGAGGATTGCGACTTGAGGCGGATCTAAATACCGTATTGCCTCTAGCTATAATGTCGGTTGCATTTTACCTGATACCTCGGCGCTGACGAGCTCGTGACGGGCATTCATTTTTGCTTGTGGGAATCGCATTCATAGACTTCGCAAAGAAAGTGAATTGTTCCATCAAAACCTTTTGCTGCAAGAAGAAAATTGCAAGTTCATCAACTTTTTACCTCAAAGGTCCTGGGACAGTTTCATGTAGGAGCTTTCTCTGAATACCCACAGGTACCGTGCCTGCGCACAGACGAAAAGTCATCCTCCCTCCAGAGCTGGGATCTCCCCTACGCTTGCGCCGATAGTGAACATGCCACTGGTAAAGTAGCCAAGAAAGAAAACTCAATGGGGTATAAATGGAAATTGGCTTCTCTTCCTGATTAATGGATCATCTGTGTACTGTACAACACAAGACTGGGCAATTTGCGGTGACGCCGGTGAGCATGTAATCATTTGTTTGTGAGAACGACTGCTGTCGGAGGTAGTATGCATAATGTATTGTGTTCAAATGATGACAACCCAAGGATGGAGGAGTCCATGGTATGAACCCTTGAACGAAATTATATTAGGTAAGTGATGATGAGAAGGATTAGGTGAGAAATACGGTAGTACAATGATATCCTCGGTAGCCTCGAGGAGTTTGATCGACACTAAGCAAGTACGAAGGATACATTTATCCCTCTCTCATCCGGAGTCATCCCTAACATCCATACCCAACTTCAAATGAACTCTACGGTGGAGATAGATTATCCCGAACTTAGCCTCTGCCAAATCTTTACGGAACTTGTGCGTCTTGCCCTCAGAAAAGGTTAACCGCACACGCCATGACCTCCATTGACGGGTACAGCCCACGAGTCATGGGCCATGACCTACTTCTTTACGTGCCGGCTCCAAAATTGTAGGTGGATATATAGTATCGGATACCAATCGAGCCCAACTGTATACTGCCAGCCTGATGAATGAGTTACTGCCCGGTGAATATACAGTACCGGTATCTCATTTTAGTGATCCTGACATTTGGCGACCGGGAAAACCCTAGGGACTTTGAGTTCATGGACACGAAGCGGTTTTGGTCCCAAAAGGTGTTAACCTCTGTCTTGAACAAAGTTGGTGCATCGCCAATGCGGATTTCTTCCAAGAAGAAAGATGCGACCTATACTAGAACGAACAGGAAAAGTAGGGTTCGGCTCCAAGGTGGACTTTGAGGGTAGACTTGGATCTGGGAAAGAGGATAGGCAAGTAACAGTGTCCATGTCCACCCTTAGGACAGCTGCCCGTGTTCAATGTACATTGTGATAAGCCCCGATTGGTGATATAGCAAAGAGTGCATTATGAACATGCTACAAAAAACGGCATATGTGTCTGATTCCCAAATTTGGTTGGAAACAAAGCATTTGGACCTTTAGCTATTGGTACTGCTTACGAAGGAGAGACGGCCATCAGTGATAAAGTTCTGGATGTGGATCTGGATATCCCGCCCTCGCAATCATACCGTTTTTTCGCATGGTATCTCCTCTCCGCAATCCCAGATGCCGAATCCCGGAGGCGAAGCTGTGTAGAGTCTTTTGAGTCTTGAGTCTTGATGTCCAGTCTTGACTCGTATTAACAAGCTTCCTGGGCTTGAACTCATCAATGAACATAACATTTAGAAAATTAGGCCTAAGGTTATCTACCTCGGTATGTACTCCGTATTGGTAAAATTCTAAAACAATCTGATTGGACATTCGTTAAAATGGTGTAAATTGAGTGATCCTCCATACTCATGGCTCCACTATTTCGAAAACTCGTTTCCATTGCGCTGGGGCTCGTTACTCGTTGCAATTATTGTTGCTTGGTGGATGGATGATAAGAGAGAACTGACAATTCCTAGCCTTCATAATTTCCATGAGCACCACCGCTTGGGTTGGGTCCGTAAAATCAACCTTTTTTTAGGTAATTAATTATAGGTTAGATAACGATATAGAAGGGAAGAAGAGGGTCAGTGTCAAGAGTGCGCAATTTCATTCGATTCTAGAAGTTATTCTGTTGTTTTCTGTTCGTGAACTTTACCTAGGTTGGATAGAAAGACAAAGCAGCCTTGCGAACGGGACAAAGTGAGAATCATTCCACCCTATCAGTGCGGTGAGCAGTATTATTATTTAGATTCCAGAATCATGGTTGCTTTCGATAGGTAGGTGAAGCCACGTTTGAAATTATTCCAAGATGGTATTAGCATTTCAAAGTTGGGGTTACTCTGTGTGTAGCACTATGCACACTTTGATCACGGCGCGAAAACTTGTTATTAACAAACCTGGTTACCATATTGGGATTTTGTAGCTTATTATTACTCCTACTGAATGATCAATGCAGATTTACGGCGTCAAAGGCATTTCAGATATAATAATAGTCGATAATTGGTCATCTGATGGTGAGTATATAACTTGATGACTGAGAATTAGATGGTATTTAACCAATTTGTGCAGAGAGTCTGTACAAAATTGTGGTAATAAATAGGTAGGTTCACCAGTTCTTACTCCGGGCCCCTTACTCCGTACATGTCCTAGATGATGATTATCATCGGCGACAACACCCCACCAGATCCTAGAATTGGGGCAAATGACGACCCGCTGAAACATTGTCGCTGGAAGCCACTTTTTTGTTTTGGATGCTTGGAAATTTGGAATCGCCTTCCTCCACTTTTTGTCTCTAGCTAATTTTCGATTGATTTGATGAATGAGATAGATGGCTTGTTCGACTGCTGACTGTATGATTTCATGTCTTTTGCCATCCCGATACCAAAGTCCGATAGACTGGCTTTCTTGTAAGTTGTTGGTTGGTAATGTTTGGTGATCAAGTGCTTCATGCAACAGGAGTTACGTAGGCTCTAGACATCGGCCCAAATGAATTCCCACAGAAAATAGGTAATGTATACTCCGTACATCATCGAACACGAAGTTGGAATCTGGAAGCTGTAAGGATTTTTACGATAACGAGACACAGCATACTTGTATAACCAGTTATCTCTCGTCTTATTAACTCAATCGGCCAGACTCGAAAGCCGCAAAGCTGCAATGCTGTATGCACAAATCCGATAGGCGTTGGTGCAAGTGCTTACTAGTACCGACCTACTATTTTAGGTACTAGCCAGGTACCACGTGAAAAGATAAGGCCAAATATACTAGGTAAGTGACGTTTTGTTTACCTAGGAGGCACTCACACATAGTAATCCTCGATAGGGTATTCTTTTTCAGAAAGCTTTTCAAACTTCTCTTCTAAATTCTAATAACATGTACGTAGGTGTACGAATTGGAAAGACTCTCATTTCAAGCCCTTCAAGCTTCCCCTTGATAACTACCGAGTCCAAGTCAAATCATCAATCAAATAACGCTCGTACCAACTCTTATTGATGAGGCAAAAACCCTCTTACTGGGTGCTTGTACTCCGTAAACGCATTTTCAATTTGTTTATCCTTAAAATCTGATCTCCAAGGATATCGTGGTTAGGGAGATGAAATTATTCGACACTTTTGTGCATTAGCCCCCCCAGAAGCCTAATCGGTGCTAGTGGTGTGGAAAAGCTGGGACTTTCCGTTCGTCAGCCCATGTAATAAATAGATAAAATAAATAAATAAACAACCAGCCCTCTAAGCCCCCTGCAAGCAAAAAATGCATCCAATACTCGACAAAAGTAGCAAACGCTACTTTCCTTTTGGTGCATTTTCCTTAATTGCCTCTTCGAGATGATAACTCTGAACTCTAAGTGGTTGTGCTTCTTGCCTGCTACTTCTTTCGCATAGGTACTTGGTTGGTCCTGCACTTCAACGCACCAAAGCGCCATACACACTCATTATTCTTATTCGCACTTTTTACTTTACCATTTCTTTCATTCCTTTCCTTTTGAATGCCTGCTTGGCCAAAAGCAATAATATCGGCGAATAACCAGACCTGCTGAATCGAATCCCCCTCTCCCTCAAAACCGTCACGTTATTGGATGGTCTTTTGTTGATCGAGAACCTGTCGCAGACCTCCTTCAACCTTCTCCATTTCATTACCCCAACCTCGCAGTCCAAATATAATTGACTTACAATGTTCACTTGATCCACCCTCCATGCATCGCAAACCAGGAAAACGACGAAGAAGCTGAGTGCTATGAAGGAGGCGAAAATCCGGGCAAGCAATAAATTAATAATGGAGGTCGAGGCTCAGACCCAAGCCTTCCATCCACCTGTAGTTCGTTCACCTGAAAGTTTGCGTCAACGTCAACGAGATCGATTGTCCCCTAGAGGCCGTTTTGCGACAATTAATACTATACCTACACCTGTCACAGAGGTCGAAAGACAAAATAATAATGTGCCATCATTGTCAGCTCCGAATTTGAGGATTACTGGAAAGAGAAACCCGAACCGACAGAAAAAGCTGATGCAGGAGAGTTCGCGCAATGATAATAATGTTTACCGGCGGGCTAAGAGAGAGGTAGACGATGAGAAAGGCAGTATTGCTCCTGATGGGGGATCTGCTGGCCGGGAAGGTAGACAATTTACCGTTGCTAAAGTTGGGAATGGTGGAAAGATATACTTACGGTAAGACAAGGTGATGCTTGTTGACGAAACAGTACTCGTTACCACCACAACGAAGTTTGAATACTTGGCAGTAAACAGTACTGACAGACGAACAGCCCGTCAATACGTCCAGCAAACCAGCGCTATCCTCAGCCATCTTTCGTCTTTCCAACAACACCACCAGACACTGCTGGACCTGATGCTGCCAGATTTCGTGGAGAAGAGGAGGAGGATTTGAGTCACCGCAGTAGTCTTTGGTCCCCGTCAAAGTCGGCATCGAGCCTAGCCCAGCGAATAGAATTTGCAGCTCCACCAAAAACACGACGCGCGAGAGCACACTCATACTCGACTGTAGACGATCAATACGCCCCAGTCACCGACAAGGACGCTGGTGCTTTCAAGGTTGTTATCGAAAGGCCCGGGACCGGTACGGCCACCCAAAAGCCTGACTTTTTTCAAGGTACTCCTGCTCTAGATGTCACTATCCCTTCGTACAAGTTAGGAAAACCACGATTCAGCATGCGCGGCACCCCTTTCCTTCGAGGTTCTTATACGAACACCAATGATGACGTACGCTCAAGTGTCTTGTCAAGCACAGAAACATCACAAATGGATCCGGCTTCACAGCGCCATACGCGAACTCTTTCTCGACGTCATTCTGATGCATCTCCACAGCCTAGTGCCGTCAGTGGTCCACCAAGCCCAAACTACCAACCATGCCCAATGCCATCGCCAAGAATTGTTAAGCCCTCGAGAGCCATTGAGCCCGAAATGTTCGATGCTCTCACTTTCAAGCCAGCTTGTGATCACCCATCTATTGTCCGCTATGGCGAAAGTGGAGGTATTAGAGCGGCAACTCCAGCTCGTCTTGTTGCAGAAATCACGTCTCCCACTTTCGTCGATTATGACCTTCTTTCAGATTTCTTTCTAACGTTTCGATCATTTCTCGAGACAACAGATCTGTTGCTCATGCTCATCGCGAGACTGCAGTGGGCAGTTGCGAGAAACGATGAGATTGGTACGGTGGTCAGGGTTAGAACTTTCGTCGCGATTCGCCATTGGGTACTAAATTACTTCTTGGATGATTATGTCATTGACTACGAGTTAAGAGTGTTGTTCTGTGAACGGCTTAATGCATTTGCAGAAACACTTCTGCAAGGCGAAACGCACTCAAAGGTGCCCCTAAAGATAGTAGAGGAGCTGAAGAAGTGTTGGCGGAGAGTATGTGCATTATACTGGGACGGGCCCGAGTTTGACCCAGATCTTAGAGTTGAGGTTCCAATAGTTGCTGGGGGAGTAGCTGGTTCCCGAGATCCCAATTTAGATCCAGCTTTCTGGGAGACCCACCCCGCAGGTCCCCCACGACTCGATGGGATTATTGAGCCTGACTTCATTGAGCATGACACCTCATTGGTTGAAGGACGAAACTTCTTCGCCGATGTTTCTCGTGCAGGTTACATTGACTCTATAGCCTATAATCCTACCCCTCCAAATACCAGAGAGGACGACGACGACCCAGAACCACCCCCATCGCCCACGAGCATAGTTAGTGAAGACTTTGTATCATGCTCATTTCCTAGTCGAACAAGAGGTGGCGGAACTATCAACCCCTTGGGGGCGCATCCAGTTCCTGCCAGCTCTATATACGATCCTGCTCCCCCTGTGGCAACCACACCTAAAGCATTGGCCGGTAAACGAGTGCGCCCTTCGCATTCACACAAGCGCAGTGCAAGCTTCTCCGACTCGTTGAGAGATTGCCGAGCGCAACCAGATCCCGTACCACCTGTGCAGAAGGTTATTTACAAGAGTACGGAGTTACTTCTTACTTTGCCTCATGCTGGAAGTTTAGTGAGGGGAAACCTCTTCCCTCCCGGACAAGCTTTTGTCGATATTGTCGCCCCAAGCACTCCAGCAGAGTTTGTTCGAGAAACAACTTTGTTTCCCAGACCGCCACCCAGCCACAAAGGTCCTTCGGCAATGTCGGGACCAGGGATGAAAAAACTTTTAGGTAGTGTGCGTCGTGCATTGAGCACTAGAGCAGGTCATAACCCCACTGGTTCTCCAACGCAAGGCAGCTTCCCCAATATGCCTCCTCTGGGCATTCGAGGGGCAACTATAAACCGGCTTCCTGGTACCGCTGTAGTCCCACAAGCTCAAAAGCACGACTCAATTCGTGCACCAATGAGGATTGACTTGCTTGGCGCCGAAGTTGCCGAAGACTTCAAAAGGGCAGTTCGAGAGGAAGAGGAGGCTGATGAGGCCCGTAATTCTCGTATAATCAAGCAGCCGTCACCGCCAGGGAGTAGCCATCGCGAATCAGCAATCCACTACTCGACTATGTGCCCCGACATCACCTTGGAAAATGCGGGTTCCATAACTTACAGGTCACCCCGGAGTGAAGTTACAAATGGAAGCAAGAGTATCTTAATTGTTGACGATACCATAGCGTTGCCCTTGCCTATGATGACCGGCGCATTGGCCGTGAGCCCATCTTTCGGCTCAATCGCTGACACCTTTTTGCATCTATCTCATGGACCTACCCCGCCAACAACGCCCCCAGGAGTTCCTTTCCCTGGAACCCCAAGGAGATCATCTCATCTACTAGGACATACTGTGAACCGCAGTTTATCGTTAGAAGGTCTTCCTTCGCTCGTCGGTGACTCGCAGCCATCAGGAGAATGTGAGCACCCCTTAGGTCCGCGACCAATTCCTAGACATTCAATGAGGCTTCACAGTCAAACCTACCGAGTCAGAAAATCTGCATCACTACGCCGGCATGCGTCTTTTCATAGTGGTTTCACTCGGCACCACAGGAGTGAGAGAAGCTTCGATGCCACCACATTCACTGAAGAACAATCAGTGAGGGAAAGTTATTCTCGGAATGCGTCTATCCCGCTTCCACTCCGAGTACTACGAAGAAGACCTGGTGGAGATTTGAGAGCCGTGGGCAATGTTGGGGATCTCAGTAACGCTAACCCTCGACCCATGTCGACTGGCTCCCTGACGACTTATTCCGATTCTGTACGAAGCTCGTATCTTCTTGGTAGTGGAGATGATAGCCGATACGTCGATGTAGTAAACAGTGATTATGATGAAACTCAAGCACATGTAGAGACATTCTCATTGGGGGCTTTAGCTGAGGTCACACCCAAAGGCCGCGTCTCGCTATTCGATACCCATTCATCCCAACCGGTCATGCGCCCTTCTTTTGAGAAAGAAGCTCAGATGCTTGCTCAGATTCCAGATGACATTGACGATGATGGTGGGGTTGAGTCAGCTCTTCTGAAACTCGAAGGGAAGTTCGAGCAGAGGCGCTCCGAAACCTCAGGTGGTCAATTTTCTGGCAGATTTGAGAACGAGGGAAATACCAATAGCTTTGGCGGCGGCCCATATGATGTCAGTACACTTAATTTGGATTTCGGCCAGGAAGAAAATCGCAGGCGCCGACAGCGAAATGTTGTGGACTCGAGAATTTTCAACAATCCAAACCCAACTACATATCAGTCGCAGCAGGCTTCGGTCAGCACAGAACATAGACCGACTGCATATCAACCGACAGGAGTGCCAAGGACTTCCTCGCTATCGGGGTCAAATGGTCTCACGGATTCATTTTTTGAAGGCTCTTTCCTTGACAACGCATTTGACGAGGATGCAAGTTATCACAGGCATACACACAATTGGTCAGAACACTCAATTCTTGAAGGGCCCGATGAAGAGCACCAACTGACTACGGACAACACTTCGCATTCCTCTCATCATGGATCCTTTGATTTCATAACTGAAACAGAAAGCCTGCGAAGAATGCGCCCCGGCGCAGAAGGACCTGCTCGTGAGAGTGGTACTCAGTCGTTCCTCAACATTGACAGTGATCTTTCTTCGGAAATGTCTGTCATTTCGCAATCCGAATATATTGAAGAAATGCCAAACATGGCTGTCCCAGCTTCGCATCCTTTGAGACAAGAGGCAGTGATTAAGGAAACATCTCACCCATCTAAATCAGCACATCATCCTCCATCGCCTCCAATAACTTTTGTGCAGGCATTGAATATGTCTCCAAACACTGCGAATATTTCTCAGATCCATGATTCCCAGCTGGAGCAGAGAAATTCGCTACCACCAACTCCAGATATCACACCCACTACTGCCCTCGGTTCAAGTGGATTTGGCAGAGATGCCTTGCGGCCCAGTGGTACAAGTGAAGCTTCTCGTAAAACATCTGTCCACCTACCCTTCATTCTTGCCTTTGATTCGCGAGTCCTTGCTCAACAGTTTACTCTCATTGAAAAGGATGCATTGAATGAGATTGATTGGAAGGACCTCATCGAAATGCGCTGGAGAGATGCTGCTACGGATACTCGCTCTTGGGTTGAATTCCTGCGCTCGTCGGAACCTCGAGGGGTGGAAGTTGTCATCGCTCGGTTCAACATAATGGTCAAGTGGGCTGTGTCTGAAATAGTCTTGACTGGTGATCTGGAAGAACGAGTTCGATGCATCATCAAATACATTCACATTGCCGTGAATTGTCGGAAATATCGAAACTTTGCTACGATGACACAACTCACGGTGGCTCTGACCTCTAAGGATATCTCCCGTCTTACCTCGACGTGGGCCCACGTTCCAGCGTCGGACATACAAACACTTCACGAATTGGAAGAACTTGTGACACCTACTAGTAATTTCCATAACTTGAGAGCTGAGATGGAAGGCTGCGGTGCAGATCGAGGCTGCATTCCATTCGTTGGAATCTATACTCATGACCTCATCGTCAACTCGGAGCGCCCAAGTCAATTTGCAAGCACGCCAACAACGGAACCTTTGGTAAACTTCGAGAGGTGTCGATGTGAAGCAACTATCACAAAGAATCTTCTTAGATTGCTTGAGGCTAGCCAATTGTATAGATTTCTTCCCATAGAAGGCATCACTGAAAGGTGTTTGTGGATGGCAGCATTACGAGATGAGGACATTGCGAAATATGGGAAGTCGATTCAAAATTGATTATCCACCTCTATCAACGTCTTTATCGCACTTTTAATCTCTCTGAAGACAAGCGCGCTATGCAGTCACCAATGCGAGCTCATTTTGGGGCTATGCCTGACCTAATCTACGAAACCTTCGACTGGGTTTCGATTCATCAATAGATGGATAAAACAACAAATTCTTTGTAATAACAAATTCAAATTTTGGGGACTTTTGTTTAAAATTTTGTAATGTGTTTCACCACAGTATTCAAACTTCATACCTCTCATTTCGAGATAGCTGCGAAGGATTCTTTTCATGTACTTTCTTCACGTTTTCTTGGTCCCTAATTTTTTACAAGCACAGCATAGCCTGCGCGTCACCACGACGGCTCAACATAATATTTCCTTATTGATATTGCAGTCTGGCTTCGGACTCATTTTCCACGACCATGACTATCACGATTCATTTCCTGTTGATTCACTGTAACATTTTTTTTTGTTTTGCTTACGTCCACCGAGTACTAAGCTTAAAGTGGCTTTGTGGTGTTGGGAAGATGGACGGACGGATGGGTGGGTGGATGGGAACTTTGCTCCAAAGAATTTCATAGGCGCTACCACAAATGGGTGTGGATAGCATGTAAAAGAGAGGCGAGGCATATACGTTGCTAAGCTTGAAGAGGGAAAGCATATAATTTCTTGTACGCGATAGCGGATTGACTTGAATTCGGTGGAATGGGTGGGATGGATGGACGGATGGATGGACGGATGGATGGATGGATGTAAAGGACAGGCGGATCTTATACCCCTTTGTGTGTTGTTTGTTTGCTTGTGAGATAGTTAAGTGTTGGTGGTGGTAGAGTAGCTTGAGTGGCTAGATGAGATATCAATGAATGAAAGAAGAAGAATTTCAATCTACTTGTGCAATCGCCTCGTGAACCTATCTAATTATTTTATAATCGTTGTGTAATATCTGACATGTACCTGGGATTATTCGACGATACACACTTTATAAATCCGAAATCATCCACATCCATCTAAAAACATCACATCATGTTACAAATTCCCTACATGATATACTGTCCATTCATGCTCAATCCAAAACCAATCTTCCCTGCTTCAACATTACATAATTACACAACCCCCATCACTCAACCCGCCACCACCACCACTCGAACCCCCTTTCCCTCCTCCCGCAGCCAAGACGGCAGTTCGACTAATGTCCTCCCATACTTCTGGTACTAGTTCACCGGTCATAGATGAACATCTAAGTGAATAATGGAGATTAGTTTAGGGGATTTATTAATGCTTTGGGAGGTAGAGCAGGCGAAGAAATGAAGAGATGAAAAGGATAAAATTAAATGCATGTAGAATTATGCACAAACTCACTCCATGTATCGATCGCATCTCAATTCTTGCGCAATGCGGTGTCCCTCTTGCGGATATATTATTCCGTTTGGATCTTTTTCGGATCGGAGATCTCGCTTCAGTGCGAGGAGGAGGATGGGGAGTTCGTATTGGAAGGCGGTTTGGAGTTGTTTGGCCCACTGTGTTTGTTTTTAGTTTGGTTTTGGTTTGTTTGCATATCGATGTGATTTTTGGGTGCTTCATGTGGGTATGTGTGTGTTTTCTTCACCTGACTTTGCTTTACTTTGCTTTAAGTGATCTTCACAGGAGGAAATGATAATCATCATGACGCAAATAAATATACATACAAATCTCTGCACGTTAATCAAGCTCAATCGATTCGGAACCGCATAGCAGAGTACGACGACATTAGGTTTCAAAGTTTTCCAATCGATAGGCGAAGAGGAGTCGTAGAAATTGATGCGGTAGGGGATGTTGGAGAAGCGGATTCCGAAGGTGAAAGGTTGGTGGGAGTCTAGGAGGAGCTGGGCTTGGGTTGAGCTGGCGGAGGAGGAGAGGTTGGATGGGGGGTTGCTGGGATGGGTGAGCTGGGGTTGGGGATGGTGATATGGAGGGTGTTTGGGTAGATGAGGAATGGATGCTTTTGGAGAGAACTACTCACGATAAGAAGGTCGATTTACCTACTTCGGGATCTCCGAGTAGGAGAACTGTTGTTTCTATTGGAGGGGGTCCTAGAGGTGGTTCATCCATTGTTAAATAGATGAATTGATAGCTTCATATTTTATAATGAAGTTGGGCTTGGAATGGCCTGGCTAATAGTGGAGTGGATAGGTTGATGGAGGGGTACCTCGCGATAAGCGATAAGGAATTTACCCCTGTGAGATAAATAAATGCATCTAGGAAAAATATCATTCTCGTTGGCCCAGTTATTTGTGCGTCAATTAAAAAAATTAGACAACGTCATTGTAAGGAATTCTCATGAATATTTCATGAATGTTCGCCAGGAAAGTCTGGAGAAGAGAAGTGCTTCTGATACCACAAAAGTATTCAAGATCTTTCCATACTAAATACAACTGGATTCCCGAAGCAGAGAGAATCGCAGAGGAGAGGAGAAGGAAAAAGATGGGAGGAATGACGGATTATAGCCATTGGTCGCATGAGGATTTGATCAAGAGGGTAAATCAGTTGGAGAAGGAACTTGTCAATAACACGAAAAGGTATCCATCCATTCATTCATCCACAAATTTCTGATCCTCCAAATGCAATACTGAACAAAACACCAGCGCAACTCCCATTCCCAAGAGAAATATACAGAAACCTCGCCGTGAGCGAGAATTCGACCCCTCCAAATACAATACTCGACTCATCGCTCTCAAACTTGCATATTTGGGAAAACGCTACAATGGATTCGAACATCATGCGCATCCAACACCTTTGACCACTATTGAAGAAGAATTGTGGCAGGCGTTGAATAAGGCTCGTCTTATATTTCCTCAAGGAGTCAATCCGATGGCGCCGGGTGAGGTAAATTGGGAAGGATGTGAATATTCGAAATGTGGGAGGACGGATAAGGGCGTTAGTGCTTTTGGACAGGTTATTGGAATTAGAGTTAGGAGTAATCGACCACTTGCTAAACCGAAAGCCAAGCCCGCATCAGAAGAATCGGTAGAGGGAAAAATAGCAGCGGAAGATGATATGTATAATACGTATCCGAGGGAAAATGGCATCGAAGTTACATCTGCGCCGCTTTCTCCATCAGCAGGTATTCCAGGCCCACGGGGGACGGATAGTGGAGCATTCGTTTTGTCGGATCCGCACATTCAAGAAAGTCTTGATTTTAATCATATTACTGATGAGATACCTTATCCACAAGTTCTCAACCGTCTTCTGCCACCCGATATCCGTATACTGGCGTGGTGTCCGTCACCACCTGTTGATTTCTCTGCTCGCTTCTCCTGTCGCGAACGTCGCTATCGATATTTCTTTACCCAGCCTGCATTTTCTCCCATTCCTTCTCAGCTTGAACATGGCGCATCAGCTAGTAAAATGAAAGATGGGTGGTTAGATATTGAAGCTATGAGGGAAGCGGCAAAGTTATATGAAGGTTTACATGACTTTAGGAATTTCTGTAAGGTAGATCCGGGGAAACAGATTACGAATTTCGAGAGGAGGATCTTTTATGCGAATATCGAGGAGGTGAAGGATTATACGAGTTCGCTGGCTTATGTAAATGGAGATTCGTTTCTTGATGATTCGATTCGTTCCAAAATTGACGGTGAGAGTAAGGCTCCTAAAGTCTATACTTTCGACCTTCATGGATCGGCATTCCTTTGGCATCAAGTACGTCACATGGTTGCAATTCTATTTTTGGTAGGACAGGGTTTAGAGAAACCTTCTGTGGTATCAGAATTGTTGGATGTGGAGAAGAATCCAGGAAGACCAGCATATGAAATGGCTACCGATACTCCCCTCGTCCTCTGGGACTGCATCTTCCCCCACGAAGATGACGAATCTAGAACCGACGCCTTAGACTGGCATTACATAGGCGATAGTCCGGGTTTTTCCGAGGGCAAATACGGACAAGCGGGCTTAATGGATGATCTCTGGAAAGTATGGAGAGAGCGAAAAATCGACTCGATTCTCGCAGGCGAACTAATGGGCATAGCGAGTCGTCAGGGAGTTGAAGCGCACGAGTTGAGCGGAGGCAAGGGTGGCAAAGGTAGGAGTCAGAAGGTTTTTGATGGAAGCGATAGTCCCCGGTTCGCGGGGAAATATACGAGGGTTATGGATAAGACGAGGATGGAGCCTGTGGAGGTGGTTAATGAGAGGTATGTGCTTAGGAAGGGATTGGTGGCTAAGGATCAGAAGAAGGGGTTTAGGAGGATGGAGATGGAGAGGGTTGAGGGTGTTGATGAGGTTGAGGTGCAGGAAAAGGGGACGGAGAAGGGAGAGAAAGATGCAGAGTAAAGGATTATGATGATTAAATTTTCCTTCAAAAGTCTTCAAGATGTTGTGTTTATTGAGATATGTAAATTTCGAAACAATCAAATCAGATCAGAGTAGGTCAAACCACTGCGGTTGGTTTTAACTGTCTGCTACAGTTTTTAGATAGACAAATAAAGAAGGGGAAGATATCGTAGTGATTATAGGAGGCATTGAAGCATTTGATATGTATATCATGGACATGCTCCATCAGCTACTGATAATACCTAAAAGTTTTAATTGGGATCTCTGGGATCAATCTAATTCTTCCACTTAATCTCAACATCTATTAAAAATAACTCTATCTATCATGCCCATATCCAACGCCAAACCACCATCTATGTCATCTCAATTCATCTAATCCCTGCTACTCGCGATCAACTGTTCCATAATATCGGCAAACCTAGCTGGTACACTACCCTTCTCCTGTTTCGCTTCGCCTACCGCTAAAAGTACCTTTTTGATACCCACGCCAATACTGTCACTCTCCGTATATTGTTTCAGTTGATTCAACGACTCTTGCAAATCGCCCTCGTTATCAAACGCCTGGACTTCTCGCAATATAGTTGCTAACTCGTTGAAAGTATTGACGTTGGGGACTGCGAGTTCACGGTTGAAGATGGGTTGGAGATCGAGTTGTTTGAGGACACTACGTTGAGATGTAGTGCCTATGATTAAGAGACGACGTTGCTAAAATGGTTAGTATTATGATATAGCGGAAGAATGTAGAGTACATACATTTGGTGGCTGTTTAGTGAGAAGAACCATGAGGGCTTGTAGAACTGCATTAGAAAATCTGGGACCAATAGGAACCCATTCTATAATACGCTCAATGTTGTCTATAACAACAATATTTTGAGGGGATTTGTATGCATCCATAAAGACTTTGTTGAGATATTGAATTTTCTGGGCATCCCCGAAGCCAACCATGTTCTCGGCGGAAACAAGCTTGATGAATGGAAATTCCGAGCTTTTGGCAATGGCTGCGGCAAGGGCAGTTTTACCAGCACCAGGAGGTCCATGAAGGAGGACTGAGAAAAGAGACGTCGTTTGTGACTGTCTTACCAGATCGATGAACAGACGGCCATCTTTGAGAATGGTTTCAATGTGCCTGCTGAAAGGTAAGATACCTGCTGCCATGGCACCTTCAAGTTCTTCCTCGGACACACCAAATGCGGGTTTGACTTCATCGAGGGCATGCATGAAATCGCTGCGGTTAACCTTCATGTTTTCAATGTCGTCGCTAACTCCTGCAACGGTGCCAACTTTGACATGCCTATTGAAAGCGAATGATGAGGCTGATTTGACGAGACCACCAATCTCAGCTCCCGAAAAATTCTTGGTTAGATGAGCGAGTTCAGCAACGTCCACATCTGAATCCATAACATCATTCTTTAACATCTTGGAAGTATGAATCTTGAGGATTTGTGCTCTTCCGGCTTCATCTGGCAAAGAAATCTCCATGTGAACTTCCAGACGTCCTGGTCTAAGAAGAGCGTCATCAATCATATCCATACGATTGGTCATTCCAATAAGAAGAATATTGTTGAGCTGGTCAACACCATCAAGTTTAGACAGCAGTTGATTGACGACACTGTCTCCAACACCAGTTCCACCACCGGATCCACTACCTCTTTGCTTGCATACAGCATCCAATTCATCGAAAATGATGATATGGAGGCCACTCTCGTCTCCCTTTTCCTTGTACTCCTTTTCGGCATCTGCGAAGAGCTTTCGAATGTTTTCCTCGGATTGACCAACGTATTTATTAAGTACTTCGGGACCATTGATGACCTTGGGCTCTCTTGAGTTCAACATTTTTCCAATTTGACGGGCAATAAGCGTCTTCCCAGTACCCGGAGGACCAAAGAGAAGAATACCCTTCACGTGCTGAATGCCCAATTTCTCAATTAAACCAGGGGGAAAGATGCGAGAAGCGAAAGCTCTTCGGAAAATGGCACTGAACTCTGTATCTAAACCACCAATGCCCATATTTTCGAATTTGAAGTCCGGTGCAATGATAGAATTAGCGGCCGGCCGCTTACTCGAACCCTTTAACTTAATAGGCGATTTTGCATCTTTGTAGAATGTGATGGGTGTCGTCCTCACTAAGATACCCCGAGCCTGTGGAGCACTGACGGTTGGAGAGTGCTCGGCGGTTTTTTCCATCCTCAAGTCAGATAACTGTACTGTTTTTACAAGAAATGACAAAGGGACGTTTTTGAAATCCATCAACAGCCTTTGACCAGGAGCAAAAATTTGGTTCTCGAACCACTTGATGAACACGCTGGCCAGTTCATCCTGGTCATAGGGCATATCTGAGATCTTCTTCACCGAGGCAAATCCAACCTCAACGTCAAGAGCACCAAGATATGCTGAAGGCCCTTGAATGAAGGGATCGTATGTTTCTGCGATTATTGGATCCAACATTCCAACATTACACCACGTTCGCTGTGGATCCGACAAACTAATGCATCCTGGAGGAAAGCCATCCAGGGGCCTTGCAGTAACCACAAACATGCCATTCAATATAAGGTATATATCCGATCCATCTGGGTTATGTGGAAAGTCCATAGGAGATACTGCGGACCTTGTAAAATTGTCAGCACAAGCAGTGCATTACATGTGAACCAAGCTACTCACAAATTGCCAAAAATGTATAGATTCGCCTTTGTTTTATCTTCGATTTTGGCGATATTTAGTTGTGCTCTCCTGTGGGATATTGGACCGCCGATACCAGGAGCTGGCCTCGTTGCAGCTTTTGGTGAGGTCATAGGCAATTGTCGTCCACGTCCAGCAGGGTTATATTTTACCTCATCGTAGCCACTCATAGCAGTGTCTTCCCGAGGAGGAGGTGCTGGAGCTCTACCATAACCTGCTGGTTGTTGCTCCCCTCTTGAAGCTCTTGGCCCTTGGCCAAAGAGGTTATTACGGAGATTCATCGTTTTTGTTGGAGATTTTTGTGTTAAAAGGGAGTGGACTCGAGAATATGGAAGTCTTTGTAAGATTGAAGATGAATTGAAGTTGTGGAAATGAAACTCGTTTTAAATTGTTATGTACACGAGGCAAAATGAAGTTATAGCTGTAGTCTGTCCTGCTGCGGAGTGGTTGATCTTTACGGGATTTCGCGAGGCACAGCCTTACGATATAGGAATCAAACTGTCCTTTTTAACAATGACTCAAAGTTCAAAATGAACAGATTTTGGTTTTGTAAGTTGAAAAGATCAGTAGTCCCTCTCTATTCCGTAGACTCTTCGTATAAAATATGCAGGTATGTAGTTTCCAAGGTGGACTGTGTCTTTTATGCTGCGAATGCTGTCTCTTCTAAGTTTGACATCCACCAGTGATGACCGTGCACAACGAATGATTGGATTGGCCCTGTCATCATCCACGACCCCGGAATCCTTATCGCAACCTCTCAGCCTTGATCTAGACTTCTTTGTTCAGAGCGGGATCAACAACTCCGTTCACCAATTATGCCTCTGTGAGTTTTTGATATTGAATGATTATTTAAAATCGGATTACTGATTGTCAATAGTCATCTATTGGGTAAAAAGTCCTGGAATGTCTATAATAAAGATAACATCGAGAAAGTCAGGCGCGATGAAGCTGTTGCGAAGGCCAAAGAGGAGGCGGAGGAGCAACAGATGCAAGAGTTAGATGCAGAGCGTCGGATGCAAATCTTACGAGGGGAGATACCTACACCCCTACCTTTAGAGGATAAACCAGAAGAGGACGAAGGTCCGCGAGAAAGACGTTCTCATGGTTCTAGCGAAGAACGCAAGAGGAAGCCTAGGAAGAGAAGTGGGGAAAACGACACTGATTTCGAGATGCGCATTGCAGCTCAAGGTACACAGTCTTCGAAAGATGAACGCCAACTTATTTTACGAAAATCCGCAGATGGGCCATTAGTTGATCATGCCGGAAATATTGATTTATTCCCGCAAGAACATTCACACAAGCCTCGAGTCGAGAAGAATGCAGAGGCAGAGAAGGAAAAAGAGAAGAAAAAGAAAGAATTTGAGGATCAATATACAATGCGATTCTCGAACGCGGCGGGTCTGAAACAAGGTCTCGACAATCCGTGGTATTCGAAGGCAAGGACAGAGATCAAAGCCATTGATGAAGATATTCCAGGTAAGGATGCATGGGGAAATGAGGATCCAAGACGAAAAGAAAGAGATGCGGCGAGGATTGTTTCAAACGATCCGTTGCTTGCCATGAGACAGGGCGCTGCTCAAGTACGACAAGCAAAAAGGGAAAAGGAACAATGGATGAAGGAGAAAGAGAGAGAGGTAAGGGAACTGGAGGCAGAGGAGCGAAGGAATAAAAGGAAACGGAAACATGATACTGACGGTAAGGACGATGATTTGGAAGGATTTAGTTTGGACAGGCCCGAAAAGAGGTCACGAAGCTCTCATCGTAGGACTGATGCGGACCATGAACGAGAGCGAGAACGTAGGCATCGACATCGTCGGAGGTCAGAAAGAGATGAGATCGATCGATATCAACATAATCATCATCATCGTCATCATCACAATAGAGATTAGCAGATTTATTATTTAGTATTACAATTTGCAGCCTAATTATACCCTTGATACTCAATCTTAACCTCAAACATATCCTTCTTGACCAGTTCCCCCAAATCAGCAGCTTCCATCCCCTCCAACGCCTGCTTGACCTCCTTGTACGTCCCCTCTGATAATCCCTCCTTCCTGCTACTATAGATATCCAGCCCCTGTGGCGTAAACAAACTCGGCGCAAACCAAGTAACAACCCACCTCTCCTTCTCACCCATCCCCAACCCCTCCGTAATCTCCCTCTCTCCCCATCCCAATACCTCCCAATGACTACTCGCAATCTTCAACCAACCCTTCCCTCTCCAATTCCACGCTCCATCTCCATCCGGCGTATCAATACCCTGTATACTTTTCGGCTGCGGCAACCAGGTTCTAGATGTAGGCGTAGAGGTTACCTCATCGTCGAGAAGCGGCGCTGCGTGAGGAGAGGTGGACGGTATGATTTTATAGGTTATGCGTACATTTTTTGCCTTTTTCCACATGGGAAGCGTGGAATGCGTGACGGACCAGGTGTGCTGAAGCCATTCGAGAGGGGGCGTGGTGAAGGTTGGTGAAGGATGGTTGTATTTGAGGGGAGAGCGGATGATTATTTGGGGTTTGTCGGCCATTGCTGCGACTGATTTGGACATAGAGATTCCTATAATATTTGAAATGTTATATATTTATGATGTTAGTGCTTTGACGTACGAAATTGGGTTCCTGTTTATAGAGCGTGAGTTTGCTAAGGCGTGATGATCAGTTGAAACAAAGCGGCAGGAGTGTTATATTTTGATACTACCTCGCTCATTTTACCTCCAACCTCTCTCTACATTTTACCTATTGACTGGATTTAATTACTAGGTGTAGTCCTTAGAAGTAACACCAGGTTTTATTTATTCCACGTTTGGCGTAGAGTGACTTTTTTTTTCTCTGAAGTAGAAGTCAATACCTATATAGGAAAAAGAAATTGTGAACCTCGAAGGGCTTATCAAATAAATTGAAGCTCATGTGGATCCCAATTAGACCCTCGAACTGCAAGGCTCTCCCTCTAGCCTCGCCATTGTAAACCAAAAACCACCAAAACATCCTTCGTCATCGCTCCTCAATTTCTCTTTCAAAATCTTCGGAACACTTTTCTCTCGAGATCGCACAGCCTTCCTCTTTTCAAATCTACAATAAAATTATACTTTTCCTAAAGGTCCCATATTTGGTTTTGCTCTCAGACGTGCAACAAAACTTTGGAGTAGTTGAGGGTTGGGAGGCTGCTGATCCAAAATCTTTCTAATCAGAATTGGACTGTTTGACAACAATAACAATTGGGGATTTTTAATTGCGAATTACGAACTAATTATGGATGATGTGGAAGTTGAAAATGATTCCGCCGCAATGGCAGCCATGATGGGATTCTCCGGTTTCGGAAACCAAAATGCGCTTTCCAAAAAACGCAAATTCAACACTGCGACTGATGCATTTGTCGAAGGTGTAGAGTTGGAGAAGATTGATCGGGGAGGAAGGAAAGGACAGGGAAGTGGTGGGAATCAGATTCCACTAGGCAGAATGAGGGTTATGGGGGTGAAAACTATGGAGAACAGGAATGATGAGGAGATCGATTTGGGGGATGATGAGGATGGGGATGGAAATGGAGAAGATGAGGGCCCGAGGTATCTAGACACGAGTGCGCCGCCTCCGATATTTGATGGGATTGAAGGGGGTGAACATTCATTGGGTCAGGATGGGCAATCGGAGGATCCAGCAATAGTGGAGGAAAGACGGAAAGCACAGGAACAAATTGATGCGATTCTCGCTGCTGCGCCTGAGCCTGCTAGTACAAATATCTCACAACCGGCGTCGGGATTGCCGCATGGTCTTCCGGAAAAACCGGTATATAGCAATTTGGGATTTAAAGCAAGCGCTAGGAGTAATAGGGGAGGAAGAAGCGGAGGAAGTGATGCAGGGAGCATGGCAAGTTCAAGGCCAAGTGGACGGGGAACATTCAATGAGAAATGGTATGAAGGATATTATGATAAAAGTTTCAACAAAAATCCATGGGCGAAATTGGAGCAAAAGATGGGGCTGGAAGCAAAGGGTAGCTGGGTCTAAATATAGGTGGGACGTGGGAATATATTCATTGCGGAGAAGACAAACGGACCGCACTTGCGACGATGATTTCTGGTATTAAAGAGATGTCGAAGAAGATCTATGTAGCGAATCTTGCTGTTGCATGAGAACAACTATCAGATACCCGAAGGAGAAACGGTCATCTACGGAAACAAACATACTAGGTATGTGGTGAGAAGGTTTCAGAGTTTGGCGGCTCTTCTAAATGTACAACACAAATTGTATTTGCAGTTCGAGCCTGGACATCATGGAAGAGTTATCCACAGGAGTTTGCAAAATTTCAATACCAATGATTTATTAAAGGCTAGGCATTGAATGGGTATATCTTGGCAGCGATCTGGAATACAACGAGTTTACAGCTAATCAGCAAAACCTTCAAATTCTTCATCAGCATCATCCTCAATCTTCCTCCTTTTCACCTGCTCGATCAAAGCCTGTAGCTCTCTCTCCTTTTCTTGCTCTACCCTCTTTTCTTCGTCTGTCATTTTGTCGAGTCTTTCGATTTCTCTCTTTCTCTTCTTCTTTTCCCTCTTGAGCTCTTTCAAATCTTGTTTTTCATGCTTCTGACTCCAAGCCTCCCTTTGCTTCTTCCTTGCTATTTGCTCTTCCGTTGGTACATATGGGCCGGCATTCTTGGCTTCCTCCATTGCGACTCTTCTTGCCTTTTCCCTCACTTTGTCTTTGTATGCATACTCAGACATATCTAGTTTAATGCCCAAGGTCTTATCACCTTCCCACTTTTTCAATTCAGGCATTTTAGGTAATCTGACAAGTGCCCAAGCATTGCCTAGATCAGTCCAGTCAAGGTCAGCAACTCGGAATATACTACTTGCTTGATGTTTCGAGTATGCCTGAACCCAGCTGACGAAAGCACGCTGTCCTTTGTCATAAAGCGCACGGTCTGCGAGCACTTCCTTACGCATCTTTGAGATGAGAATTTTAGCAGCATCATCAGTCGTGCTAATTTCAGGCCGTTTGAAGAGCGTGATCGGAGTTTTACGAATTTCAAGAAACGGGATATAATCTTCCTCTCTTCCTGGTTGTAGAAAAATGACACTCAACCCCTTTCGCCCAGCTCGACCTGCTCTTCCGCATCTGTGAAGAAACACCTTTGGGTCTGACGGTGGGTCTATTTGCACAACCAAGTCGACCTGTGGTATGTCAAGACCTCTTGCGGCTACATCTGTGGTGAGTAGTATAGTTGGGCTGACTGCAGCGACATATTTTGAGAAATTCCTCTGCCTTACGTTAGGTGGGTGCTTGCCATGTAATGAAACTAGAGCAAATTGCTTGGGCAGGACTGCCTCGAGTAAAGGTTGGAAGTAATCGACAGCGGCACAAGTCGAAAGATAAATAATAGATTTCTGGGGAGTTGGTTGAAGCTGTGACAGCAATGATAGCAGAGCAGGAAACTTGTGGGTTGGCGGAGTCAATAGGTAAGACATTTGAAGACTCGCAGGGGTCATTTTATCCCCTCCAGCCCCCTTCACTTTCACAGCGATTTTCACTGGGTTCCTCAGACCAACCCTTACTATTTCCCCTACTGCTTCACTGACACTAGCACTGAAAAGACCTGTTCGCCTTTGCTTCGGCAGACGACTGAGAATCTTCTGTAAATCATCCTTAAAACCTAGATCCAATAACCTATCTGCCTCGTCCAGTACCAAAACCTCGAACGAGGACTGTGGGCAATGAACATGTGGAGAGGAAAGTAGTTCTAGTAATCTGCCAGGTGTGGAAATTAGGAGATTCGGACTATTCTTAAGAAATCTGCTGAGGTCTTGCGCGGGGGTAGTTGTACCTCCTAGTAGAAGTTGTGAGACTACTCTTAACGTTGACGAAGGTTTCCGTTTCTCGCCTTCCTCCAATGGTTTCAGCGCTCCGGCAGAAGGTTCATGAAATGCGAGTAAAGAGGTGAGGACCGAATGGATTTGAGTCGCGAGCTCCCGAGTTGGAGAGACAATTATAGCACCAACATGGTGTTTCTTGATAGGTTCCTCCAATCGCAACAACTTTTCCACAACAGGTATTAAAAAGGACAAAGTTTTCCCACTACCTGTGACAGCCTTAGACTCGTCAGTACGAGGCCCACGAGATGATAAAGTAAACCTACCTCTACAACAACATCTTTATTTCCCATAAACAAGGGAATGGTTGATGCTTGTACTGGGGTCATTTTTTCAAACCCCATTGACTTGATGGCATCCAGTATCCATTCGGCCAATGAAGGTGTGAGTGCATCCCAAGCTCTTGGGTCTTTCTTCTTTTCGCCATCGATCGCCATGGTTTCTATTATTTTGATTTGAAGCTGGTTTTTCTACCACCATAAGTTTGCGCTGTGAGATGAAACTAGAATTTGGAATTTTCTTATCTTATCGGCATGGAGCATTTTTTTCCGGGTCCGACCAAATTTAGCGAGATGGACCCTGGCCGAGGATGCACCCGCACCTTTTCCCTCCATTCAAGGTTTTCTTTCTGTCCCTACGTCAGAAGATTTGAAGTTTAAAATGACAAAATGCTAAGATTACTGTATCCTTTGTTAAAATGAAATTTGATGTTGATAGAAGATAGAGGCAAGTGAGAACGAACAACTCTATCGTTGTGAATGTTTAATGTAAATATTTATTTCATAAGAAAAAGATTCAATTTATCGATGTTTCATTCTCTTACCTACTATCTACCAAATTCACATGTGAATGGTCGTGTGCTTAGTCACTCCCTTCCGCAATAATAAATCTTCTTCGCTGTTCTTCTGTGCCGCGTCCGGGAGGTCTTATCAGCCCGGTGTCTCATTTAATTCCAATCTCCGTTAACACTTAAAAGAAACAAGTTATAAATTCATGTGCCACGTCTTCACGCGGCGTAAAAAGTCATCATATCTTTCTTCAACAATGCAGCTCAGTCTGCACCTCTCGTGCCTTCTCCGACCATAGATCCATTTGACATATCTTCTTCCGCCAACACAAAACGCTCTTCGCGGAAAGACCAACATCTATTCTCTACAATATCGCTGCTGCGTACATTTGCCTTTGCTCGACGGACATTCACTGGCGTGATTCGAATACCCTGTTTGCCAAACTTCACAATGCCGAGATCATTTTCAGATATTCCGGCTACTCCGCGAGTCATATCTCCTTCCCCAACTCCATCTGAAATCTCGCGAAATGGAGAGTATTTTGGGCCTATGACCAGATCTGCGAGGAAGAGGCTGTCAGCGCAGACGCTCCCGATAGATGAAGGAATAGATGAGGATGAGACTGATGCCGAGGATTCAGCTATTGAGCTGGATAGATCCAGGTCAAGGAGCCGAAGTCCTCTAAGATCTCGAAAAACGACAAAGCCCACTACAAAAAATATTTCCAAGCCTGAAGAAGGTTTGAAGTTAGAAGAAACAAATGGTACAAATGGAAAAGCCTCGAACGGGCATCTTTCCCCCACGACGGCAAGGTCAGGCTGGAGTTGGAGAGACTTTAGCAGAAGTCCTAGTCCTTTGGGACTTATACCCATCCACAAACAATGGAGGTCATTTGTGCACCGCCATGAAATACCAAGGAAGTTGTTGCACGTTTCGATAGGATTTTTCACAATCTGGCTTTATATATCTGGTGTTCAAACAGATGCAATTACACCTTATTTAATGGGAGCCCTGATCCCGATTGCAACCGTGGATTATGTTCGGCATAATTATCCGGCTTTTCAATACTTTATACGTACGATTGCTTGGAGCTTTCATGCGGGAAACTGAGTACGCTGGATGGAATGGTGTCATCTGGTATTTACTTGGCGCGTGGATCGTACTTAGATTCTTCCCGAAAGATATCGGTGTGATGGGAATACTCCTTTTGAGTTGGTGTGATACGGCGGCGAGCACCGTTGGACGAGCCTACGGAAGATACACTCCCAGGATAAGACAGGGTAAATCACTTGCTGGGTCTCTTGCTGCATTCGCCGTCGGTGTGGTCACCGCAGCTGTATTTTGGGGATGGTTAGCACCAAGGACCGGTCCCTTTCTAGATGATCTGGACTGGCCTTTTATGTTCTCGGGAGACTTGATGCTTCCTGCGGGAATCCGGGATCTCATTGGTTTGAGTGAGGCTCAAAGTATTGTTTCTGGTGGTTTAGCTTTGGGCGTAATGAGTGTATGGACCGGTTTCACGGCCGCGGCTAGTGAGGTGGTGGACATATTTGGGTGGGATGACAACTTGACGATCCCGGTCCTCAGTGGGTTTGGGATGTGGGGATTTTTGAAGATATTTAGGTAGGAGGATAAGGGACAATATAATCATAGGACACAGGGGGCGTTTCGGGTAGCTCAACATAGCGAGAGTTTTAGAGTTGGGATGGGGCGATAAAGCAGGCAAAGTCTCATGTGCATATATAGATTCACTTCACACCGAGTTTATGTTCATGTAGGAGGGGGATACAAAATAGATGTATTAGTAGGACGATCCGAAAATTCCAAACACCAAGCATAAGCATGCAGTGAGAGCTGGGTGGCCAATTTGACGATAATTCCGGAAATGAAGCATGTGAGGACAATCTAGGCATACAAATTCACGAATTGACGGATATCATTGGTTGAAGGGATAAAAAGAGCACAGCCCTGTCAAATCAACCGGTCGTAGAACGTACGAAAGCTGCCGCACCGTTTGATTGTAGCTCAATGTTCCCATGCACATGGGGAGGGACATGATATATCTGCAAGCTTAGAAAAAACGTAATTAATATATTTTGGGTAACACGCAAAACCTTCTTCTGATAGCATCATCAATATATTCCTGATGATTTGAATGGTTCTTGGGTTTTGGTTGTAAATGGATGGATGGATATGGATGGATGGATGGATGTGTAACTGTTTAGTATAGAGCTAGTAGGAGTTGGTTTCTGGGTGGGAATAATGGTGTTTGTTTTGGGGCTTTTGCCATCGTGATGTGAAGATGTGTAGATGTGTATATGTTGTTTAATTTCAAAAGATGGATGCTAGATACATGGTGAGATGAGAAAGAAATCAAGATCTTTGGGACCAGAGACAATCCTGTGATCATTTGTCCTTGCGCGTATGTGTGGTTTCTCAAGAGGGAGAAAATTAGGAGTAGATGAAGAGTATTTAACATGATTAGTTTTTTGTGAAAATTTCGATTGATCCCTTTTGAAATCTTTCATTTCTATTTGTCTGCTTCTACTAATTCGAGAGAGGGCTTTATTGAACGGTAGAATTCTTCAAACTGACAACGCATGCAGATGTGAACAAACGAATTCAAGCCTTACTTCCTCAGTTTCTGGAAGTAGGGGTCTTTTTTTTTTTTTTTCTGAAAAGATCTTGATCCTATGGTCGGTCTTATGGTCTTATTGTTTAATTATCCAATTGTGGGATTTTTCTTATTGGAATTTCTTGATTTTTGTGTACAAATTGGCAATGATATTTGAGGTGTGAGACTATGAATTATATCTAGTTCCTAGTATCTACTACTTACTTCCTACGTCCTACTACCTATCTAGTACCTTGCCTCTCTCCTCCATAGATGCCTCCTCCGTAATATGCCTCTATGCCTCCATGCCTCCTCCGTAATATGCTCGCCATGTTACTTACAATTGTATCATGTTAGGATTATCTCTCCGGCCCTAAAGCCTAATGTTCCTGCAATGAAGCCTGATTGATGATTCTTGGACCATTTAACGTTCAGAAATGTTTCCGCCATGATTATCTTACTTTTGCCTTACCGGTACCTTAAAGACCTTACATGACGAACCTGACTACTCTGAACCGATGTTCATACAGCAAATCCTAGAAAAATTCCCACATGCACATGGGCAGATTTCACCAACGCTGCTTTTACGTCGGGATCCGCATTCATTTTGGTCTGGTTAGGACACTTAGGTACGTAGTCAGCCAGTCAGTCAGTCAGCCATCCATGGATTTTAGCGTGGCCGCGCTTGTTCGTTCGTTTTCAAACCTGACTAAACACCTTTACGGCATAGTTCGTTTCTTCAAAATTATACGAATATACGCAACTAGTAGAAGATTTGAATGAATGAGCTTGTCCTCCACAACCACATAACCAACACAACCACCACCACCAATTCCTTCCCTCTTCCTCTTTCCCACCCTTTCCCACCAATCCCAATTCCTCGGCATATGCAATAGCAACACGGCCTATCTCTGATCAATAATATCTTCTACTTTGGAACCAATCCAAGTTGACTGCGTAAGCCAGAACTTTCCAGGGTCACCCCATCGAGATATACTACTGCATGCTTGGAGGGGTTCGGGTTGAACGTGAGAGGACAGAATGGGTGGGTTGGAGGAGGTTGGTGCTAATCGACTAGTGAGGAAAGGGGCAATAGGGCGAGAAGATCAGCCTATCTCTTCCTTCTTGACGCGGGGTCATTGATACGTAAGGAACTTCGGGCTCAAGACAATTTTTCTCTTCCCCTCCTCAATGCTAGTCCTCTCTAGGTGATTTGGGCCAGCCGGCCGTGTATAAAAGGAAGCGTAAGATCCTCCTCGAGAGATTTCCTTTCTTCTTCCTCTTCATCCGTTTGCAAGTTTCCATCTCAGCTCTACACCGCTTCATACAAACAACTTTACCTTGTCTAACAAACAAGACGTCTCATACATACCCATTGACTCACAACACTATTGTCTGTGCTTGACCATTGTATCATCTTCCCATCAGGATACTACCTTGTATCTTTCACATTGCTTGCATTGCATAGCAATTCATACTAAACCATTCACTCTTCCGCATTAGTCTTTGTTGTCATTTGCATATTTTAACTTTACCCTAATTCCACACTATTACATCATGGCCTATCAACCAAGCTACTACCAAAGCACCTCGCTCCCCATTCCAGTTCCTACAAAATCTCAACAGATTTCTTACTACCCTCCGCAAAACACAACCTATGGTGTCTCACCACCAGAAGCTCCTGAATCTGTAACTACAGGTTCCGGCATGACGTCCGCATATGGAAATTCCACTTACTCCGCTACATCCAGTAGTTACGCTGGAAGTGCGAGTGGTGAATATGACAGCGCTGCTTCAGCCAATGGTGTCGATTTGCAAGAATATATGCAAGATCGATTTTCTGGCGCATTCGACCCTCTTCCTTTAGATCGCACTTTGGCAGTTCAAGCACAAACGTGAGTCAATCAATATCTGAAATCTGGACTTCAATTTGCATTTACTGACAATTTCATCAGATCTGGGTTGTTGAATGCAAAACATAGAGAAATCATGGATTTGCAAGCATTGGCGCAACAACGTCTTACGAAAACTAGAGCGAGATTGCAAGAAGGTTATCAAGATGCCAAGGAAGTGAAGGCGAATTTAGAATGGACCCAACATCGAATGGGGTGAGTATCAATTTTCTACTATCTGCTCCTAAAACCTCAATTCTAACATCATTCCAGAGCGATCAAGAGCAAAGTTTCAAAGAGACACCCCAAAGAATACGCACAAGCCCGCGAGCGTTATCCATCTCCAGAGTACTAAAAGCACAATCTCTTAATTTGCTTATTTTCTACTTTCATGCATCGCTTACGAAAAAGTTTCCCCTTTTCTTTTCCTTGATACCTTTTTATCTGCGCTGCTTTTATGAAGCGGATCTTTTAAATCATTGTCTAACGAAGTTATGACGATTCTGATTGGGTGGAGCGCTTGTTATTCCCAGTGCGGGGATGCAGCAGTGCCGGTTGAACAGGCTCCTTAGCACTTGCAGCTGGTGAGAGACGCCAGGGCTGCAGTAGTTCCCGTTCATGCATGGTTCTGCGGGCCCCCTGGGAAACCGGGCTCTGCAGCTGTGGAGCTGCGTGGTGTGGTGGTAATGGGATGAAATGGCGTGAGGCTGAGACTTTATCATTTGGAGGGAGGGCTTCTCTGTAGAGTGATTGGACTGTATTTTCCATATAGGCGTGGTGTGGGTGTCGGGGGTGGGGTGGATTTTTGTAAAGACAAATGAAACGGCGTGGATTACTAACTGCTTTTGGCTGGCTACTGGAGTTAGGACATGGCTGGAGGCAAAATATGTAGTTAGTGCTTTCAAACACAGGCAAATGATTCATTGTGAGTGGTCGATATCTGTAAGTTGTGACTTAACATGGATGATATTTTAGGAGGGCCAGAGATGAGCAATTTCCCTGGATGCTTGCCCCTCTGAGACATATCATGCACCTTCTCTCCCACCTGACACTTATCTACTCCACTTCCCTGTCTACATGCCCATCTTTGGACTAGAGGATGTGTATTAACCCTGGTAATATCCCTATCGAGCCCATCACATAAGCGTGTCGCCTACTCGTTCCTCTTCCGCATTAGGATTCGGTAGCCAAGCTCTGCCTTGTTCTTGCTTCTAACCCGGTTGCTTCTTTCGTGATATCAGGCTGATAGGAATTCTCCTTCCTCGCGATACATATTCAACCTCTGATGTAAGACTGGGAGAGGACTCTTGGCGGTTATGTAGATGCGTATATATTCATTTCCCTGCCACAGAACATCTCTCCACATCATCATAACCCCAAACCATATTCCCCAAAGCAAACCCAACCAAGCCCCACCCTCATTACATCCTCCCCTCCTCTCCCTCCTTCTCCTTCTCCCTCTCCCTCCCTCCACCCCCACTATTCCCCCCACTCCCCCCTCCACCCCTCTCATCCCTCCCAAACAAACCCCTCCTCCCGCCCCTCCAAACCCTCTCCAACACATCCCTCCCAGGCAACAACCTCTCAAACACAACCACCAACTCTGCTTCCCCCTCCACAACAACCACTAACACATAGCGCACTTCGAAATTGCGAAATACCTCATTAATATATATATCCTGGATTTTTTGACTCGGGATAAATCGTGTTTTGGTGGTGGAGAGGTAGGACTTTGGGGATGAGGAGATTTGGAGTCCGAGGTGGCGGAGAATGAGGAGGGATTCGGTGGTGTGGGTGCGGAGGGTTAGGAGGGTGAGGGTTAGGAGGGTGAGGGGGAGGAGGAGGAGGGGGGGAATGTTTTGGGTGAGGGTTTGGAGAGGGTGCTGGATTGAGGAGGGGATGGTGAGGGAGGAGAGTATGGCCGGGGCGGGGAGTATGCTGAGGTAGTAGGTGTAGAGGAGGAGGAGGATGGCTAATGCGAGGGTTATGCGGAGGATGTGTGTTAGGGTTAGGAGGATGCGGAGGTGCAGGGTCAGGGGTGGGTGGGTGCTGACGGTGTATTCGATGGTTGTTGGGGAGGGGCGGCGGATATGCAAGGTGGGGGGACAGGTGAGCATGGTTGATGCATTGATTGATTCGTTCTTGAAAGAGTGTGAGGTTTTGTAGATTAGAGAGATGCGATTGATTGATGTATGTATGTGTATTTGTGATGGGAATTGGATTTAGGAAGACGAGGCTTATCGATAAGGATATATTTTTTTGGTCCAGGCAAGGCTGAGGGTTGAAGAGTAGGCTTGCGGAATTGGAAGTGTGAAGATGATGGTTTGATATGGTTTCTATATCAATTATTGGGAGAGAATATCATGCATCAATACTGTTTTCCCTCCCGGGTTTTCTACAATAAACGATTGCATACGTGGCAGATCTGCAAGCCATTGCGGTCCCCGTGTACCGCTCAAATCCACCAGCATCAAAGTTCACTTTGATACCAGCCATGATTCCAGCATTATAGTCAGAACCATGTTATAATATGGTGTAGCCAGTCAAATGCAAACCCATCTCCATCCCCTCAAAGTGTCTTAATCCCACTCACTCTCCAGTATCAATCTCCAAATCAATCTGCACCCCATTACCCACCCCATAATCCTCCAGCGTCAACTTATCCTTGAAAGGTCTCTCCCCCTGCCTCTTCAACATAATCTCATGCGGCTGCCTCCCAATCCTCGCCGCCACCTGCGCTTTAAAAAGTCGAATCGGGTCACTCGCTAAACATGGGATTGCCGCCTTAGTACCCAAACGATCATTAACATGTACAATAATCATCGGTTCATTCGACGGCGCCGCTGAAGCAGAAACCGCTGTAGAGATTGGTGCCGCGGGAGGTCTAACAGGAGGATTCGCAGAATCCGATGATTGGGTTTTGGGTTTGGAGGAAGAGGAAGAGGCGGAGGAAGCTTTGAATTTCGAAAATGCTGATGCGCCGAATTTGCTAGCTATGTCGAGTGTATCCTCCTCCTCTGGTGTTTCGGTATCTTTCAACGACTGTTCATCTTTCTTCTGTGCTTTGGCAGTAGAAGAAGTGCCGAACTTCCCAGCTATATCCAAATCATTTTCATCTGCAGCAGCTCTTGGAGGCGAAGGTCTTCGTTCTCGTTCCGGTTCTCGTTCGCGTTCGCGCCGCCGTTCTCGAACTGGTGATCTCTTTCTGTCTCTTCTAGGTGATTGAGATCTTTTGCGGTAAGTTTTATCGGTGTCGCGTTCGGGCGATCTAGAACGAGCTCGCTTTTTGAGTTTGAGACCTGCCATGGTGACTGTTATAGTATAAAGATGAGGTGCCCTTGTAGCTTGGATGTGATACTTTGGACTCGCTCGGCTAAGTCTCGGCTCCTATTTCAATTTTTGGACCTCATGGCGATTTTCAATTCTCAATTCATTAGTTGTGACAAAGTGGTCAAATTTGTGTCGTCTATTCCTATTTTATGAACTTGTAGTATTAAAAATATCTAGTCAAATCAGTCACTGGATTCTAGTGCAATATGGCCAAAGATTATAGTGCTTAATTTAAAATACGCTTTTTATTGAATATGCTGAGTATTTTGTCAAAGCAAAATATGTTGTTATGCGAAAGCATCTAAGCCTAAAGACAATACCCTGACTCTGCCATCCCTACGCCAATTTATAAACAAAAAACCCTATACGCCCAGACTCATGATATCCGAAGCATTATGATACAGAACTGAAAGAAGAATTACATTCAATCAATCCTTGTTCTTCTTCTTCTTCTTTTTCTCGGACTTTTCGCCATCATCTTCTGACTTTCGTTTCTTTCCATTAACTTCGGGTGTGTCATTTACGGCACTCTTCTTTACTTCCTTCGCTTCCTTTACTGCCTTCTTAGCTGCTTTTGCGGCCTTCTTCGCAGCCTTTTCGGCTTTCTTGGCAGCCTTCTCAGCCTTTTTGGCTTCCTTGTCTCCCTTTTTAGATTTCTTTTCAGAGGCATCGCTCTCGTCTGAAGAGTCAGAATCAGACTTCTCAGCAACTTCCTCGATGAGTCTAAAATAGTTAGCATTTAACGTAGCTGTGGGCGGGCATAATCATAACTTACTTCTTGTTTTTCTTCTCTCTCACCGGGATAGCAGCGGCTGGCTCATCCCCAGCAAGACCATCCGCATCTGCGTTATATTTTCGGGCTTCCTTGACTTCCCATTTACCAGGAGCTGAAGTTGTCTTGCCATTTGGTCCAACAGCAACACCACGAGGAAGGAGAGGCTTTCCTTCAATGCCTCGGAGATGACGTTCAATCTTAGCACGTGAAGTGACACCCAGTGCGGATCTCTCTTCATCGTCAACATCATCACCTTTGCCTTCACCTTGTGCACTCCAGTCTGACAAAGCATCGACGCGCAGTCCAATAGCTGCCTTGGCGGCCAACATACGCGCGATCTTTCCCTTGTTCTTTCCAGTAGCTTGACCAACCAGCGAAGCATGGTAGATAAGACCGTATTTTGGAGTGTCATGTTTCGTCTTAAGGGCTCTGAATAGAGCCTTTTCAGCACCAAGAATTTGGATGGTACTGGCAGGGCTCTTGGCGAGGTTCATAAGAGATCCAGCGTGAGCGATCAATCGAGCCCCGACCAACTCGCCAACCAACTCGGTCAAGTTGGGGGCAATTGCTTGCATACGTGCAGACAAGTAGCTTGACAATTGCTGACGATATTCTGTAAAGCCGACGACTTGCTCTGCCAAAAGCTTGATGTTGTCCAAATCTTCTTCAGTGATTTCAGTACCCATACTAACTTCAGCAGCAGCTTTGATGGCAGCCTCAATTTCTTCTGGGAGAATATCCGCGAGATCGGTACTTGAAGTGTTCACGCGCATACCGACCTTCAAAATAACTCTAGCGTAGGCCAAATTGTCGTTCACAATCTTGCCCATTTCTGGGAAATGCCATCCGTACCATTCCTTTACTCTCATAGCGTATGTGTTGAGCTCCTTGTCCAAATCATCCAACAACGAAATAGCTTGCACAATCATGGTATCAACCTTGTCGGGTGAGAACTTCAGCTTGTGGCGCGACAAAGAATGCGACAAACCCAGTGACATAGTGGAGATGTGTTCGGGGAGGAGACCTGGGATCAAGGAGGGGAGGTGATCGCGGATTCCACGGAAAATGTCATTTGTTTTCGAGTCGGAGATTGGTGTGAGAGTCAAACCAGGGAGTTTGTTGATAGCTTGTCCCAATTTAGGGTCAGCAACGGCCAGAGACGCCTTCTTCTCATCCTTTAAAGTGTCGAGAAGTTTTGCAAGCATAGGTGAAACTTTTCCCTCGACCAACGAAGCAACCTCCTCCAAAGCTGTCGCGGCACTGTCGAACTTTTGGAATTGCTTAAGCTTCAATCTAATCCGTGCAATTGAACATGTTAGAAATCTGTATCTCAATTGCAAATGCGCCATCTGGAAGCAATTGCACTCACAATCCATTGATCCCCTCAGCGGTTTCAATTTCTGAAGCGACATCATCCTTCTTCAAAAGCTTTTTATCGGCCTTAAATAAAACCAATCCAGCCGCCGTCTCCGTAAGAATAAATAAAGGCGCCATTGTGAAGAAATATTTCAAGTCTCTTCGTAGTGATGCTGTTCAATGGGCGTCCAAAATTCTGAAGCTTATGATTTTTCGCAAGGAATAATTTTTTGTTCAAGCAAAAAATTATGGCAGACGCTAATGAGATCTCAAGCCACAGGCATACCTCCAATCGGTTTAGTGGTCGGGTCAGGTGACTAGTAACCAACCTCACTGAAACCCACTCACGATCCATGCAAGTAGGTAGCTCCTGCGAAGGCAACTCAACTTGGTCCAGACAAACCTCAAGCGACGACAATAGATCTTCTTCGCAGACAACGAAACAAAATGGAGGGTCTATTTTTCAACGTTCAGAATGGGTAGGGTTCCAATTCCTGTTGGTAACATTAATATCTAATACTTCCGCAGCTATATTGAGGGTATCGTCAGAGGTTATCGCAATGGACTCTTGACGGGCCAGAATTATAATAATTTGATTCAATGCGAGACCATCGATGGTAAAGAATACTTTCCTGCTTTTCAAACACATCAAGTAACGAGGGACTAGATCTCAAGCTTCAACTTGGACCTGCGTACGGCGATTTCTTAGCATCACTTCCACCTAATCCTTCAACATCCACCTTGGCTGCGAAGACGACCGACAAACTCATCTCCGAGTTTCGATACCTACGAGCAAATGCCGTGGGATCACTCGCAAAGTTTATGGACTATTTGACATATGGATACATGATCGACAATGTAGCCCTTTTGATTACCGGCACTCTTCACGAAAGAGATACCCGGGAGTTACTTGAAAGATGCCATCCTCTTGGTTGGTTCGAGACTATGCCCGTGTTATGTGTGGCTACAAACATAGAGGAGTTATACAACAGTGTATTGATTGAAACACCGTTAGCGCCTTATTTCAAGGGAAGTTTAAGTCATCAAGATTTGGATGAGCTCAACATTGAAATTGTCCGAAATACATTGTATAAGAACTACCTAGAGGATTTCTACAACTTTGTCAATACTGACCCAGATATGGCCAGCACTCCAACCGCCGAAGTTATGTCTGAAATACTGGAGTTCGAAGCCGATAGAAGAGCTATCAATATTACACTCAACTCTTTCGGTACAGAGCTATCGAAGAAAGACCGCCAAAAGCTTTATCCCAATTTTGGGCGTCTATCTCCAGCAGGAACAATCTTGCTGTCAAGAGCAGAAGATATTGAAGGTGTGAGACTTGCTGTTGAAGGAGTTAGCGACTACAAGGGTTATTTTGATGCCACCGGATTGGGACAAAGTAGCACTGGGGCTGGCAACATGAGCGGGGGAGCTGGTGGTAATGAGAAAAGTTTAGAAGATTTGTTCTATCAAAAGGAGATGGAAATCTCCAAGGGTGCATTCACGAGACAATTCACATATGCTATTGTTTATGCATGGGTCAAGTTGCGAGAACAGGTATGTTCCATTATTCATATCAAGCCAGTGGATGACTTCTAATATTTCACAGGAAATACGCAACATTACCTGGATCGCCGAGTGCATAGCACAAAATCAAAAAGAACGAATTGGCAATTATATCAGTGTATTTTAGTGTGGGGGTAAACATGTTACTAATAGTCTTTTCTTTCTTCTTGACATAGGGATGTCAAGGTTCTGTACTGGTCTAGTTGGCGAGCTGGCGTAGGGAGATTACGGATACTGATTTTCAAATTGCATGATAAACTTTTATACCTCCTACAGTACATACTTAGATCATGGTGATATACATTTTGATATTATTTAAAGACTTATCTCCCCTTTCCATGTACCCTCTGTTAAGCCCAAGGTCGTAATCAGATTCTCCCATCTATCACTGCCACGCTCCTTTTTCCTTAGATACTTAAGCAACTTCTGCCTCCTATGAACTAACAAACGCAAATTTCTTTTGTTAACCTTATCCTTCTTTCCGCGCTTCGATTCCAACTGATCGGCAAGGACTCTAATCTTTGCAGTCAAAATCGCAATCTGGACCTCAGAGCTCCCTGTATCTGGCCCAGCCCTTGGTGTCTTCTCTGGTTTATCGACGCCTGCAATAGCGTCCTGAGTGGGTGCCCTAGGCCTCAAAACCCCATCTGTCCGGTGGCGTCCAAAAGTATCTATACACCTCACAATGTTCGCTCTGGTCTTATCCTTCGAGTTTGCGTTTTCTAAGCTCACAATGCGGGCCAACGCTGCGACTGCGTTCGCATGATCTTCCTCGTGCTTCTTCTTTGCCTGTTCCTCTTCGTGAGGGTCCGCTAAATCCCGATTCTGGGCTAATCGAGGCTCCGTAAGATGGTATGACTGCTGGATGGCGCCTTGGAGCTCTGTTGGGGTCAAAAAGTGATTCAAGAGAACATTGTCGGTATTTTTGAATTTGACACCTCCACCCAAGCCCTGGGTCATGGTTGCGTCGAGTTTGATTGTAGATCCTCCGACGGTATCAAGAGATTCTAGAAATGGTGTGGACACTCCCCGTACTGGATCTCCCAATGAGGCTTCCCGTTCCTTCTTAAGTACTGCTTGCCTTTCCAGATTGGACTGTTTTCTCTGCCTAGATTGTGCTAATGCATAGGGATCTTTATGCGCTCTTCGCTGGGCGAATGTTGCCGCATTGGCTGCGGATGTGGTTGAGAAAGAGCATGTTGATGAACTCGCGGCAGGGCGAAAACATACTATTATAATAATTAGATAAAATGATTCCAGCTATCGTCAGTGTTTATGTCTTACGAGAAGGTGCGCTTAACCGCGAAATAATGGATATTCGGGGAGGCATTGTGATTTTATTTAATTGAATCAAGTCATCAATCCATCCATCAGCTTAGGTCCTCTGCTCCCCTCAAAGTCCCATCCAGATAAATTTCCGAGCTAACATCTAATGTGGACTAGTGGGGAAATTGTTATCAACGCCTAATATCTATGGCGGAACTGACAAGGGCCAATGGACAATCTTGATTAGGGTTTCGTTAACTTTTTATTTCGCACCATCGCAAAATTGATTCTTCGTCCCTCGCAAATCGACAACTTACGACAACCATCTCCTCCTAAAGGTTTGACCAACTCGACAATAATAAATCAAATCGCAAAGATGGCACCTTCTCAACTCCCCGCGATTTTCAATCCTACCTCCCAGGATATTGAGCAGCTTTTGGCCGCTCAATGCCATTTGGGATCCAAGAACTTGCAAGTTCACATGGAACCATACCTCTGGAAGACTCGCCCAGATGGAATCAATGTTATCAACATTGGCAAGACCTGGTACGTTTGGAACGGAAGAAGAATGAAAGCGCCAGCCAAGGGAACTTCGGTCTAACAAATTTATTTTACAGGGAGAAGATCGTCCTTGCTGCCCGTATCATCGCAGCCATCGACAACCCAGCTGATATCTGTGTCATCTCCGCTCGTCCTTACGGCCAACGTGCTGTCTTGAAGTTCGCCGCGCACACTGGTGCTGTTGCCATCGCTGGTCGTTTCACCCCTGGTAACTTCACCAATTACATCACCCGATCCTTCAAGGAACCCCGCCTCATCATTGTTACCGACCCACGTACCGATGCTCAAGCTATCAAGGAGGCTTCCTACGTCAACATCCCAGTTATCGCTCTTTGCGATACAGATTCCCCAACTGAGTTCGTCGATGTAGCTATCCCAACCAACAACAAGGGTCGTCACTCCATTGGTTTGGTTTGGTGGATGTTGGCTCGTGAGGTTCTCCGTCTCCGTGGTTCCATCGCTTCCCGCGAGGCTGAATGGGACACCATGGTTGATTTGTACTTCTACCGTGACCCAGAAGCTGAGGAGAACAAGGATGCTATCGAGGAGGCTAAGGCTCCAGGTGCTGACGAGGTACGTTATACATGTTTAATTGGTCCAAAAAGATCCATTTCTAACTTAATCTCACAGGTCGGTGCCGCTGCTGTTGACCAAGGATTCGCCGGTACCGGTGATTGGGAAGTATCTGGGGCTACTGCCGGTGCATTCACTGCTGCTAGCAACACTGCTGCCGCTGGTGGAGCTTCATGGGATGCTGCTGAGCCATCTGACTGGGCTGCTACACCAGCTGCTGCTGGACAAGAGTGGGCTGCTTCCGGAGCTACTGAGCAATGGTAAATGTCAATACCCAACAACAAAAAATAATTAAGATGTTTCCGCAATGATCTATATCTCTTGGGGGTCAAATTTGAAAGCACTAATGAGGGAAAGATACTCGATAACTGTTCATGTGCCATGGTTTGAGAGGGAAAGCCCTGTGCGTTCAAAAGGAGTGGACTTGATCGTTATTCCGCTCTCAATGATATAAGTCTCTGGTTGTGGCACTACAATCTTAGATATTGTTGCAAAGGATTGACATTTTTGATGTGATATGGTTGACATGACGCTCTGTCGTAATAAATGGAGTATGTCATAAAATTAATCACAAAAGCATTGCAAAAACACGTTGATCTCAAATTATGATCCTGTGTATTTGTGCCTAATTCAAGTGCATCGTAAAGATCAATATCACCTCGTTGAAACGTTCAAATTTGCAGTTTCTCTCCCATACGCAACCTCCAAAAGATAAATGTACCCCTCATTCATCGCCATGCATCACTGAAATTATCTATGAAGTTTATAATCCAGCTTTCAAGTCTTTTTTGGATTTGAACTGAGCCATTCATTGCATTGCATCGTACTATACTATATCATCGAACTCCGTAAATACTACATCTACAATCCATGTCTCACGGGAGCCCTAAGCCCTAATTATCGAAAATAATACAAAAGAAAGCTAGCTACCTTGGGTGAACGCTGAACTTTGATTTGTGATTTAATAATAGTGAGGTAGGAACTCGAATTTGAACTCGAATTTGAGTCTAAGGGCGTATTGATAAGTTAAATAGGGAGGATGAAGATGGTATGAATTGAATGTTAGGTACCCAGGTACAGAGAGATAGCATAGCTGCTTTGAATAATATATCATGTCACTGATTACTGTGTATATATGGAATCTTATGATCTGATGTATGGTCATGGAATGTTCATTTCACGTTATGTAAGATCTTATATTTAAATATATACCATGTGTATTTGAGAGTTTTTTATGTATGATTACTCTGCGGTGGTAGGATAGTGGTATGTGTCAAAGGAGACGAGAATCTTTCTATTCTTCTTTCTCTTTTTGCCAAACAAGTAGATCCTTAGTCCTGGACTATTTGTCATATTTATCTTCCAATCATTTAATAGTCAGTCCAAATCCAAGTCCTAGTCGAAGTCCTGGTTCAAGTCATCCCAAAATTTTCCTTAGCTTTTCTATATTCTCATATCGTATGGTCGTGCAAATCATAAATTCGTATACATCGATGAGTGAGTGTCCAGCTAAGGAAGTGAAAGGTAGAGCTTGAGGAGGTTAGGGTAATTGGGGGTTCCGAGTCCTGTTTAGGGTGGGAGTTAGTATTCATGTGATATAATAGGATGAGAGCTTGTATGCATCCCAGGATTACTCAAGAATCTCGAAGCACGAAGCGAAAACAGAAAGGAAAGACAAAATACTAACCTGTAACAGGATCCCATCCCTTCACAGCTGTGAACCCTGCGGTTCCACATCCTTGATTTCCTCCACTCGTGATATCATTCAACACGCTAGGATGCGCATACAAAACGGGGTTGACGAATCCGATGGCTGCTTTTCCGGCATTGATTCGTGCAGCGTTTATTAAGGTGAAGATGGCGCCGATGACAGGGGAAGAGGCCGATGTACCGTATACGAGAGAGAATTCTCCGTCCACAGCGACAACGTAGTTTACACCGTTGGCGGAGATGTCGGGGTAACCACGAGTGGTTTGTGAGTTGTTGTACTGGGCTGCTGTGTAAGGGGGAGGATATTTGGCAACTAGCGGGGAGGTTAACTTTCGATCTGGGAAAGGGAGGTATCATAGATATGTAGATAGGCTTGAGATGCGGTACGTGATGCTACAGGTATGGGTCTACTTACAGTAGGTTGCCACGGCTTGGCTTTGGTATTTGGGCATGGAAAAGACATTAGAGAATCCTCCGCCAGAATAGACTAGAGAATCAGGTTAGCATGTACATATAGGTGAGAACTATAAAAGATTTGATGAATAATAGTACTTACTGACAGACTCGGCAGCTTCTTCTGGTTGAGTGACAGTAGCGTTTGGTTTGATTTGGGTAGCTCCGACGGATGTGATGTATGGACATGTACCAGGAAAGGAAGGGCTAAACGCTGTCCCAAAATGTGAATATAGACCCTACAAACAATGTATGGGGAATGACATACCATTACCAGCTCCACATTCTCCTCCATTACCCGCAACACCATAATCACCAGAAGAGTACAAGATTGTGACACCCTGGAGGCCTAGCTTGAGATACTCATTGCATTGACGTCTCTCATATGCTGGTGTGAGATCGCTTTCATCGAAACCATAGGAGGTGGAAATAACTTTGGTGGCAGCGAATCCACCACAGTTCGGGGGTCCTTTGTAGTAATCGCTGCTATTTCCATATGTATCGGGGAAGATTGCATCGTAATCTGGGTCGTCACCACCGCCTGTTTTACAATAGGAGCCATCGATAGCGTCAAGGAAGTTGTTGAACGATGCTCCCTCTCCTATATCTCCTGCTTGATATAATGTCACCTTTTGAGGATATGCAAGTGCCATTCCGTATTCAAGATCCAAGTCCTAGGCTGCATTAGACAAGAAGTAGATAGATGGGGTGAAGAATCAACTTACAGATTCTCCGTTGTAGTCAAAGGACTCCACAATTGTCTGTAAGACACCACCGTCGATGGAGTCAAAAATTGGTCTAGCCCCGACAAGTGCAGGAGAGAAGTTGCCAAAGAATAAATCCAAATCTGAAGTCGAAGTCAGTATTTGCAAAGTGACATGTAAAGTGACTCTTACCTGCAGGGAGATATGCTTGTGGCGTATATTCGACAATTCCATAGGAGTCTATCACTGATTAAATTTGATACCAACAACGGAGAGTCATACTTACTTCCTTTTGCAGAAGGGCCTTGGGCTGGAAGCCCGTATAAAGCCCGGAGACAATCGGGTGTGACATGTGTATTGCAAGTCGCCAATGGTGAAGTTTGTAGCCCGCCATGTGATGTAACAGAGATGATTTTGCCTTGTTTGGGCAAAGATGGATCGTTTGGTGAACCGGCTCTGTGTTTGGAAAAGGCATCCTTTTGACTGGTATTCTCTCGCTTCATCTTTCGAGGTGCAACCTTTGCATCGAAGTGAAGAGTTGGTGTGATAAAATCAATGTGTTTGCGCAAGTTCTCAGGGACACTGTAGTCATCACAAGCAGCAGCACTTTGGCCAGTTTCGGCATGTGTATAGGCCTACAAGTAGGAGAATAAGTAATTGCGTACCGAGTAAGACATTGGAGGGAAGTGAGGACCAAGGATATGTACCAAGATGGAAGGAAATGTAGTTCAAACATCCACATGGAGCTGGATATGGCGGAGCTTTAGGTGAAAGAAGTGATTAGGCTTACGTAGTATTTAGTGTTGAGAAGAGACTCGGCTTCTGCAACAGTAACGTTTGCATGAATCCAATTGAGACTTTGCGATTGCTTTACACGCTCGCTCTTGATGCCATATTCTTCAAGCCATTGAAAAACTGCTTTAACAGACTCAGCACTTGGAGCAAAGGTTTCAGCAACCTTCTTCGCACTCCAGTGCTTGCCATAGTTTGCTGAGGAAGGATTAGAAACATCCATTAAGTATGCTTCCGCGTTATGCAAGTTATTTTGAGTGATGGCGAATCGCATTGGGAGGTGTGAATCCGGGTGTAATGGATTCTCCCTACGCCAATTGCGAGGTTCTTGATCTCTTCGCTCATGGACGACATGTCTTTTTTGAGAAGCTGGAGCAGCAATCGCTCCAGTCAAGAGACTGCATGCAACGATAAGAGAGAAATGCATTTTGTGAGCAAAAAGAAAGTTCACTTGAGTGCTCAACCACTTGGGGAAGCTCAAGGTCTTATGAAGCAATGAAATAGCTATGGGAGCTTCCTTATCATCTACCATGTCTAGTAAGTACCTGTCAACACCGGCACTACTAGCTTAGCAAGTAGTGCACTGCAAGGCTACATATGTGATCCAGGGGTGGTTGACATGGTGTTTGACACCATTCTTACCCATATTTGACTAGTATGATGAGTAACTTGCAGCATTTATGAGATATGGGTATCTTTATCTAAATGCACCTGCATGAGAGGAGACGGTAAAAGGAAGGAAGTCGATACGCCGTGCATTACCTGCCCGATGAAGAATGGTTCGTGGGTAGGTACAGGAAGTGTTGTGATGGGTCTTGTCAATAACACCATCAAAGATTTCTGCAACGATCCAATCAACCTTCTTACTGGTTACTGTCTGAGACTTCTGCGATGAAAAAAAGTTGGCGTAACTCGTATTCATTCAAATCACTCAAAATCGTAGATATTATGGAGAAGGCGTCACCTTTTACATAAGATGTACAGGTGTAGAGGTTGTTACGATTGATGAAAATGATAGAGATCAGTATTTGTGAATGTTGATAAGATGAGCATAAGTTCACAACATATGGCAAGATAAGGTTTGAAAGGTGGATGTTTGTGTCCCTTGTATGTACTCTGACTTTTCATGGGTTCTCGGCGAAGATACTCCGTATAAATGAAATAAGCCGAAAAGCTCGGACCACGGGTACACCGTAGTATTGAGGTACATATCTGAGACCGGCAATTGAATTATTCCGTCAATGTACTCGAGTACTAAAAATAGTAGACTAGCGATAGATACAGATGAGGACATTTTAATTTCACCCTCCACTCATATGGCTTAGTAGCCTTGCAGAATAGGTTAACTTTAGTATTTTTATATGATTGGTTATCCATTTTCATATGCACGTGAAAAGCTTAAGTCACCCGTGATTACATAATACAGTTCGATTACCATTTGTCTATGACTCGTACTATTTTAGGTACCGTACAACCTTCCAAGATTAATCAATGCTTACGATCAAGCCTATTTATGATTGGTTCAACTAGTCATGCCATTCAATAGCCTTGCAGAAAAGGTCAAAGCTCAACCTGTGATACTATTCGTGATTGGCTTGTCAAGCAAGGTAAATCATCTACAAATTGGTCTAGCCCTCTCAATGTAGCCTTACTCGTGTCATGGACTTGACCAGCAAATTGCCAAATTCGATTTTCATGCAACTTTTACCAACAAAAGTTTCAGACAATGTATTTGGTTGAGAGATTGGAAAATTCTAACATAAAACGCAATTCTATACCTAATAGACAGCATTGTTGAGTTGTCTCCATCCTCATTTCATTCCACCAAATCTACTCTACAGTCAAAAACACCTCGCAAGAGGTAGTGGCTACGCAGGAAGCAACGAAAAGTACCCCGCAGTTATATTTCTAAACTTATTCTCATCAACAAATTGAGCATCATGTCCATTATTGGGAGTTTTCTCCAGACTCCTGGGCATGAGAACCCTCTAGTATCTTTCTATCAAAACAAGACTCCGGACACTGCAGGGCGATATATTTCCCAAATCTTGAAATGGAACTATAAAAGATTGGAGGACACACACGACTACATTCAATGGCTGTTCCCTCTCCCAGAAGAGTCTATGGTCAGCAATGCACCTTTGGTAGATGCGAATGTGTTCAAGGCGTTTCATTCCTCTCCCGAATTACAATCCCTACTTAAGAATTCTTTGGTTAAAATGTTGGATTTTTATGGGTTTGAGTTGGTTGATGATTCGAATGAGAATAATAAGTTGCCTACTGTACGTATAACGTCAAGTTAACAAGTATATCAGGTCAGTGGTGTTGTGTTGTCTAACTTTTTCAATAGATAGTCAGATCTAGCAGTTTTACTGTAAAAAGCCGCAACTGGCTCGTCAGGATAGACCATAACCACCTGAGAATTAGTCGAATCCTTCGATCTCTCCGCGTTCTGGGTCTGGAATCTGAAGCTGCTGCATTGTATAAGGCAATATCAGACATTATCTGCCAGGAACCAAGCCAAATCGTTAGCGCTCAATCAGCGGAATTCTGGCGACGTGCTGCCCAGAGACCCGTGCATTGGGCACCGCATCTGTCTGAAAAAGAATGCCGAATGGACAAAAAATGGAGACTGGGCGCAAAATACCTAAAAGATTATGAAAGAATGAAGATGGCTAAGGACTTACAGCAGCAGTACGACAACAAAAAGGCTCTGGAGGAGGAGAAAGAAGCAGAGTTTCAAGCCACAAAAGCACATATTGCTGCAGTTATGGCTGATCGACAGAGAAGGTCAGAAGAAGCTACTGTTGGTCTCCAGAAACCAGGTAGAGTTCAACTGGGAAGTGGAAGCCGCATTTCCGAGCCTCAACTCGACAAAAAGGAAGCTGCAGTTGCTCAAACACGCCAGCTCATGTCTGATGTACAGAAGGTTATAGCAACCGAGGCAGTAGCAACTTTAGAATCTACAGACAGATTCTCAGATGCAACTCCCTCTGATGAGCCTATGCATAGGCTTGAAAACCCCGAAATCATCAACCAGAAGGCTGCAGAAAATGGTGGACAATCAACTACTCACCAAATTCAACAATACCAGCTCATGTCTCCTCGTCATCCTTAATCAGCATAAATACGTCTTTTCATTCCATTTTTCATGAAATAGGTGATGGTCTAGGGAACACTGATGTCATGAGGTTGGTTATGGGTGGTTTATGGGTGGTTTATGGATGGCTTATAGGTCGTTTATGGGCGGTTTATGGATGGTCTATGGATGGTTTATAAATGGTTTATGGGTGGCTTATAGGTGGTTGATGGGCGGGGCTAATGGGATTCCGGTGGCTTTATTCAGGTTTATTATGGAGTTGGTATTCAAATGTAAGGTATCTGGGTGATATAGGATGGAGTTCTAGAAAATTATATTCTGGACAGGACTGGACAATACTCAATCTATTTTTGTATACTAGATATTTTCAATGGGAAATGAGTAGAGATTATAAAAGCTATTATCAAAAATGAGGGCAATAGAGCTAAATGAATAAATAAACAGATGATAATAGGATTCTATAATCCTTATAATGATTAGAATTAATGCTAATGATTTTGAAGAATAAGTCTAGTACCCTACTTTTGGGCCACCCTTTTACACCAAAAATGACGATTTTGACCTATTAAT